CTTTAATATAAAGATATCTCTCTATTAGAGCTACCTAAGTAACTCTAGAAAATTAAGCTTTAGAGGATCTTAGATTATCTCCTTATTAATAATCTTTAATATTAATAGTTTTAGCAGTAAGTGTTTATAACTATCTATATTATTTTTTTTATTTAAAGTATATAATTTTAGTTTTTTTTATAGGGTAGGTAATAATTTAATCTCCTACTTCTTTTCTAAGAGTTTATAGTCTAGTTTTTAAGATAATATATTAGCTATATTTAAATAATCTAGCTTATATTTAATATAAAAGTTATAGCCCGCTAATAACTTTACCTATTTTACTTACTTATTATTTAAAATCTTTATTATAAAGAAGTAATATAGGTTTGCATAATTAGTCTATACTTAAGCAGGGTATTTATTACTATTTAAATAGTATCTTTAATATTTAAAAGCTTTAATTATTGCTAATAGTTCCTAGTTATATACTTTATATTAATATTTAATTTCAGTAAATTTCTTTAAGAAATATGCGACTAGGTACTATTACTCTATTATTTTACTTATAAGCTATAGTAAAATAGCAGTTAAAGTAAATTTTAAGGTATTTATAGCTATTATAATCGGCTTTTCTAAATTATAATACTATAATATTAGTAGTTTAATAAATATAGTTTTTAAATTTTTAAATGCTTTTTATATTTTAAGTATTTATTCTAATAAGCCTATTTTTTTACTATTCTTACTATCTTTAAGTAAGTCTATTAATAGTATTATAATAAAAAAGTAATTATAAATAAATCTTCTAAAAAAACTTATAAATTTTAAAAAGACTTAAATATTATAAAAGGTCTTTAATATAGGCTAATTATAAATTGTTTTAATCTTAAAGAGATTTATTTTAATCTTATTATATCTTATAATAAATCTAAGAAAGAAAACTTTCTCCTTATAGAATTTATATTTACTTAGCTTTATATATAAATTATATTTATAGAGTCTTTCTAGTACTTTAAAGATATACTATTTATATTTTTTCTTATTTATTAAGAAGATTAAGATATTATTTAAGTATATAATGCAGTAGATATTTAATAGGCCCCTTAGCGCTATATTAATATAGGCTTAAAATATAGCTAAAGCATTATATAGTCTAAATAATATAATAAGATATTTAAAATAGCTATATCTAGTTCTAAATATTATCTTCTATTTATCTCCCTTTTATATATAGATTTTATAATAAGCTTTTTAAAGATTAAGTTTTATAAAGAATCTTATATTTATTAATTAATCTAGTATTTTATCTATTTATAGTAATAAATAGCAATTCTTAATTATTTAGGTATTTAGTCTTTAATAATTAATATATAAGTGTAATTTATTATCTTTTTTAAGGATAAAAATAATTAGTAATTTAGCTGGGCTAGTTAAAGCCTAGATTTAATCTTATTATTATATATCTTTTAAATATTTTTATAATGCATTTAGTTCTTTAATAAAGTATAGGTATAAAGACCCCTATAATAGCAACTTATTATTAATTAGATTAATTATATAAATCTTAATATCTTCTAATAGAGGTAATATTTTAGCTTCCTTTTTTAAAAAGATATCTTAGAATTATATATAATATAGAGGAAGTTAAATTTCTTCTATATCTATTTTAATATATTCCCCTTATATATAATAGATTAGTTAATTTTATACTATCTCTATAAATACTTATAAGGTTTAAATCTTAATCTAGGGTAAAGCCTTTTATTAGTATTTTTAAGTTAGGCGTTTTTAATCTATAATAAGATTATTATAGTATAATTATAATAATCTTAAGATTATATTTTAATTTTTCTTAACTATATTAAGTTCTTATATAAAAATAATCTAAAAGTTAATCTTATAATATTTTATCTTCTCCTTTAAGTTCTTTATATTAATAGTAATAGAGAAGTAGCTATAAATTAGTATTATTTAGTCTTTTATTTATAAGGTATAACCTATTAGCTTTTATAAAAACCTCTTATATCTATAATATAGTAAAAAATTATAATTAATAAAGTTAGCGTATGCTTAAGAATTAAGAAGTATATTTATTTTTATAATATAATCCTTAATTAATATACTTATTAAAGTTATAAACTCTAGCTCTATACCTTTAAGGCGCTAAAATATATTAAGCCTAACGCCTTTATCTTTAGGGGGTTTAGAGTTCTTCCCTATCTTATTAGGATATTATTTACTAATATATCTGTTTTTTTTATAATTAAAGCATTGCCCTTCTTTTATTAACTATTTTTACTCCTTTAAGAATCTAAAATTTTTTATTTTGCGTTTTAAATAGGTCTTTATAGAGGTTAATTAAAATAATTTATCCTTTTACTTATCCTGTGCATATAGATAGAATTAGTCTTTTTTCCTTATATAAGGTTAAGATTATTCCTTTTTTTTAAAGTTTTTTAATTAAGATTTAATAGAGTTTTTAAGACTTTATTTAATAATTATAGCCTTAGAAGCTAGTTAGTTTAGATTAATTAGAATATATATACACTTAAATAATTAATTCTATATATTTTCCTATAATATAGAGAAGAAGGTTTAGCTTTAAATATTATTTTCTAGGGCTAATTTAGCTCTATAAAGCTTAAATTTATTATAAAATTCTTAAGCAGTCTGTCTTAGCTATTACTTTAATCTTTAGAATTATATAGCAGCTGTTTAAGGTTAATATTATAGATTCTTAAGATAATTTAATAGCTATTATTAAAATCTTTATTATAAAGTTATAGCCGAAGTAAGAAGTCTGTAACTTTAAGCTATTCTATAGTTATCTAAAAGTAATATAGCAGCATAATTTATCTTATTAGCTTTAGTTTAAAATATTAATATATTATAGGTAAAGTATTAGTCTATATAGCGGCACTAATAATAGTAAATATTTAGATCTTTAGCTTAATATTAATAAGGTTTAAGCAGTTTAATAATAAACCCAGATTTAGGAGCTATATTTATTTATTTTATTAGCTCTATAACTGCAGCTATATTTATCTTTTTTAATAATCTCTGAATTGTATTTTATAGAGCTTTTATTGCTATACTATTAAATTAATATTAAGAACCTAATAAGATAATAGGTCTAGTACTAATAATATTTAATTTTTATTAAATCTTAGAGTCTATAATACTTCTTAAATTTATTAGATTTCTTAAGCCTATAATAGTTATTAGTTTAGGCTAATTAGAACTAGTATTACTTACTAATCTTAATTGCTTAAAATTAGTAATATTTATTAGTTTAAGTTAAGTATTAGGCTTTAGGCTATATTTAGATTCTCTATACTAATCTCTAGTATTACTTTTTAATATCTCTTCTTTTCTTAATATATTATTAGTTAAGCAATTTAAACTATAAAGAGCTAGGGTAAGAAAGCTTTTTATTAGAGGTAACTAGTTAGACTAATTAAATAGAATATAAGATAAGAAGTAGAGATATAAGCGAGTAGCTATCTATATATAATAGAGTTAAAGGTTAGATTTAGTAATAATTAGAATAAATTATTAATCTATCTAACTTTTATTCTTTTAAGGGTTATTTATCTATTTATCTATTCTACTAGGTTATCTAGATAACTTAGTCTTAACAGCTTTATCTATAACTAGCTAATCTAACTATTATATATAGATCTAGTTATCTTATTATCTTTTATTATCTATCTTAGGTCTTAGTAGGTTTAAATTAAGTATTATAGCCCTAGTTTATAATACTCTATATAATCTCTACCTCTAGATTTTAATTATTATAGAAAATATTTATATTACTATTTATATTAATAATTTCTCTATATATACTTCTAAGTAATTTATTATTTAGGCAGTCTATAATAGTATTTCTAAGCAATTTAAAATAAAGAATTTAGGGCCTATTAAGCATTATTTAAGAATAGAAGTCTCTTATAATAAGAAGGGCATATAGCTTATTTAAACAGAGTATATATATAAATTTATCTAATCTTTTAAATAGAAAGATTTTAGCTATATTAAATCTCTTATAGATTTTAAGCTTTAAATTAATAATAAGCCTAATTCTATAGTTAATATTAAAAAATATTAATAGGGTATTAGCTATTATTAATAATTAGCTACTAAGACTTATCTTAATTTATCTAAGATTATAAGCTTACTAGCTAAGAGAAACTCTTATTTAATTTTAAAGAGCTATATAGCTTTAAAGTATATTATATATTATTTAGCTAAATACCCTAATTATAGTATTATATACTATAAAGATAATAAAGATATTAGACTTCTATAAGCCTATTATAACTCTAATTATATTAGAGATTATAATAAATATTATTCTATATTAAAATATATTTTTATACTTACTAGCAGATTTATTTTATAAAAGACTTATAAGTAAACCTGTATTTTAATTAGCTCTAATAAGGCAGAATATATAGCTGCTTCTAAAGCTGCTAGAAAAGCCTAATAAATATATTATTTAATAATTAATATAGGTATTATAAAGAATATTAGTCTAATTACTTTAAATATTAATAATAATAAAGCCTAAGATCTAATCTATATTTCTGCTAGTATTAAATACTCTAAATATATTAATATATAGTTCTATTATATTTATAATATGCTTGCCTAAGATATAATTAATTTAAAATATATTAATTCTATAGATAATATTGCTAATAGTTTTATTAAAGGGCTAATAATCTTAAAATTCTAGATATAGCTTAAGCAGCTTAGCTTAACTATAACTGCTTAATTATATAACTAAACTGCTTATTTCTTTATTTTTATATATTATCTGCTTTCTAGTTAGTCCTATTTATTTATATTTAATTATTTAAATAATTGCTATATGTTCCCTAATACTTAGTGCGAGGGTAGGTATTAAAGGCCCCCTCTGGCTGCCCCTTTCGGCGCCCTGCTCCCTAGCGATCACGTGACCTAGCAAGCCCATATAGGCTTCGCCTAGCTCCTAGATCCAATTAAGCAAGCTTTCTCCCGCTTCCTTCAAACATTAAGGTGAGGACTTTCGGCCCGTAGTAAGTCCGACATCTCTCCGTCACATAGGAAGAGCTTCGCCATGTGAAAGCTGCGACGCGGCGCGATCACAACCACTTCATGGGCATGGAAACAAATGGGCTGGCCAAGGACCAAGGCACGCTGTCGCCTGCTGATTTGATCCTGCAGCAAAGACGTGATGCGACGACCCCGGCTGTATCGCAGCCCAACGGAGATGGTGGACTCTTTTCACAGTTGGCCAACAACCCGTTCTTCACAGCGGTAGGTCATGTTCAGTGAATAAATATATGGAGTACATTCTAATCTTCCTTCTTAATCCAGGGTTTTGGTCTCGCAGGTCTGACAGCGGGTCTCACTCTTGCGCAGAGAGGGGTTCGACATGGCGCTGCGCTTCTCCGCCGACGGATGCTGGTCGACGTTGAGATCAGTATCAAGGATGATTCATACGCATGGTTCTTGCACTGGATGACACTCTACCAGCAGTCGCAGCTACAGGGAGCTCGTACAGCCGCTGGCAAATCTGGGTTTATGGAGTCTCTGCTTCAGAAATTGACGCCGGGTATGCGCCATCTGTCTATCCAGACACAGAAGGTCGAACACTCAAACGGAGCTATTCACACCCATTTCACCTTGATTCCCGGTCCCGGAAAACATGTACTTCGCTATAAGAATGCATTTATCTTCGTGAACCGGGTCCGAGAATCCAAGTCGAGAGACCATCAAACCGGCCGTCCGTGGGAAACAGTTACCTTGACCACCCTGTATTCTCAACGTCATATTTTCGAGGACCTCTTCACCGAAGCCCATGAATACGCGGCGAAATCGCACGAGGGAAAGACATCGATATATAATAGCTGGGGAACAGAGTGGCGACAGTTTGGACAGCCGCGACGCAAGCGTCCTATTGAGTCCGTGATTCTTGATAAGGGAGTGAAAGAGCGGATTGTTGCAGACGTGAAGGATTTCATGAGTAGCCACCAATGGTATTATGACCGTGGAATCCCGTATAGGAGAGGCTATCTTCTCTACGGTCCTCCAGGGAGCGGTAAAAGCTCTTTCATTCAGGCTCTGGCTGGTGAGCTTGATTATGATATCGCCATTCTCAATCTCAGCGAGCGTGGATTGACCGATGACCGACTCAACCACCTTCTGACCATTATTCCGAATCGAACTCTCGTCCTGCTGGAGGACGTAGATGCCGCCTTCTCAAACCGACGGGTCCAGACAGATGCCGATGGTTATCGTGGGGCAAACGTTACGTTTTCCGGCCTGCTGAACGCTCTCGATGGGGTTGCAAGTGCTGAAGAGCGTATAATCTTCTTAACAACAAACCATGTCGAGAGACTCGATGAGGCACTCGTCCGCCCCGGCCGTGTCGACATGACAGTTCGCTTTGGTGAAGCCACTCGTTATCAAGTTGGCTGTCTGTGGGATCGCTTCTACAGTGAATTTGACACGGATGGTAGGTACAAAGAAGCTTTCCTTAAACGGCTGGAGGAGCTTGGCCTCATTGAAGATGCCAATGGCCGTAAGCCAGACCGTTCCAGATCTACCAGCACAGCTGCGCTGCAAGGATTATTCTTGTACAATAAGGGAAACATGGAAGGTGCGGTTGAAATGGCTGAAGCTCTAGCACATAATGTGTACGAGGAAGCTCAGGCAGCTGGACGTGACTAGTGAACAAATCAAAACAAATGTATTATAGGCTTCGCTTTAGTATAGACTTGGATGAGTGTATAACAGAATGATACCACGACCTTGCATATCTCGGCACCAGAGCATCACCGTGGAAGTACAAGTAACTATATGTATGGCGCCAAGGTAACTCACTCCCCGGGGTCCAATGGCATATATGTGGCGATAGATCGCGAACATCCTTGGTGTATCTAGTAAGCATAAAGCCTCGTCTGTTTTGTGGGCTAATCCGCGCCGTTCCTAAGTATAACTTGGATAAGCAAAGCACCCAGCATAGGCCAATTATTCCCCCATCTGATCTATATTTGGGAATGGCTATTGCTGTGAGTGCTGTACCTTACCGCCCCTAAAGCTCTAGCCGGGTGACTGTCAACGGATTCGCCCAATCATCCCCACGAAGAGCAGATTGCTTAACCGCCCGCCTTGATCAACGGGGTGAGATCCTCGAATCGCCATCAAGACACACCAAGTCGCGAATATGGGCCTGTTATTTCCTAACTTCCTTCACAGGTTCTGGCCTGTTATAGAACACGCTACTTCGCCAAGGTGCAGGGCTGGCGTGATGGTTCCCATTAGTTGCGATGTTGACTATCGACAACCGTGATTTCAGTTGAGAAACTGGGTTTGGTTATGAGGGGTTGCACGCCGTGGAAAGGGCCTTTAATTACTCGTTTCTCCTCTGATGTCTCCTGGTCGATTTGATCGATGAGCTTACCGTTCGCAAATCCCTCTATTCTCAACTCTTGACTTTCTTTGATTTATTTTAGTATTCTATACTTAGGCACTGGTTGAGCGCTGGGCGTCTTCGACATTCAACAACGAGCTGGGCTCTATTACTTTTATATCAGATACAATACCACTGACGAATTATCTTAATCTAATTATATTCGAGATGTCTCCAGCGGCACAGTTTCAACTGTTTCCTCCTTCTTCACCAAAGAGGAGCGGTACCGATCCCTTCCTCAGGGCCAGTCGAAGACGAAAGGAAGAAGAAAAGCCTCACAGTCCTGTTTCTTCAGAGGAAATCAAAGCATCAAAGGATACAGAAGCTGTACTTCTTCGAATAATAGAGGAAACGAATTCTATACAGCCACCGCAGAGGGTTCATCTGAAGTCGTCGACGTCTCCTGCTAAAGCACCTGAGCCATCGCTACCATCTAAGCCCGCTGAACCCGATCGTGGCTTTGGAGGTCCGAAGAGCCATTCTGAAAAGAAGACATCGCCGGAGTCGTATACTGCAAAGTCAAGCTCCACCACATTGGTCGCGGGCAGTGTTGGGGTTTCTCAGCACAGGACAACCTCACCTCAATCGGATTCGAGGTCTCCAGAATCTCCTTTTGTTCCGATAAGATCCATATTTCCACGCTACAATCCCGATTTGCCTCTATCCGAGCAAAATTACTATCCGGTGGATATCGAACCGGTTAATGCATCTCGGGGACAAGACAGACTCGCGGTATCGCAACCCGCAGAGATTGACTTTGTCCTCGGTCCAAAAACTGTGCCAGCAAGCGTGATGAACTTTCCCGATGATGCCCTTGACAATGCGACTATTCATTACTCTTCCGCAGAAGACCTTGAGGTTCTCTGGGAAATTGCCAATGGGCAAAAGCCTCAAAATAGGGCTGGGACCTTCAATCTTCGGGTGACACGGTGAGTTAAGATTCAGTACACCACCGAACTACAGAAGAACAGGACCTGACGTGCTTCATAGGATTGACCCAGCCACATTTACATTCGGTGACCCGCACGTGCCATTTTATGCAATGCAGACGTTCTCTACAAACGAATTAGCAATTACGAGGACGTATCCTCGCAAGCCTAATAAGAGCGTGCCCGTCATGATGCTTAATTTGGAAGATCGAAACCGTCGCCAGCCACCTAACGATGGCCTCCTGACGCTGATATTCTCAAGGTTAGCAGCAATGCTTGCTGTTGATCAGGCGGCAGAGCTCAGCAGACAAAACCGTTTAGCACCTACGGAGGCTGTTGAGGTAGAAACGGATGCCATTAGACGAGCAGTTGCTCATGAATCATGCCGATTGGTATGGAATAATAACCAGAAGCGGTATGAACTGCGTCATCCGGCTCTCGCAAAACGAAAGATTGCAGCCCTTGTCGGCCATGATGGGATCCCACTGTCTCCCGTCCAAACTAGGGATCCGGGAACGCTTCATATTACTGTTTATAGACCATCAGAAGATGGTAGCGGTACGCGACAGCCTCCAATAATCGTGGTTACAAATCCAGTCTCCGACAGTGCTGTTGAAGCAGCCCATCTTGCTGCTTCGCCTCGAACATCCACTCTTCCTCTCACAGACGTTGATGACCCTTTGGCGTCTCTTGACTTTGGCACAATGACCCTGTCCATTTCTGCTGGATTGATAGCAGCCACCATTCCGTCCCTATATGCTGTGGATTCCTTGGTCGCAGCGATCCTTGCTGTAGCTGTCTCCGACGAAGCTACTAATCACATGCTAGCTGATATGGAGCTCTACGGATCGGATCAACGTCCTCAGAGACGCTCCATAATGTCATCAGCTAGCAGCGATACTAGATATACGGGTAAATTTTTTACCACGCTTGCTGAGAGGGATGATGCCAGGGACAAGACAGATCCGGTATCACCAATCAAGTCGACTAAGACAAAAGGGAAAGACAACGATCGCCGCTCTTCCAGATTCTGGGGTCGTTCAAAATCAAAGAAGAAACAGATCGTCGTTGATGAGATCGACTTGGAGAAGTATGGACGATATGGCAAGGGTTCCTCGAGAGAGGGAGAGAAGTTGCCCGGTCCAACACGTGCAGTTTTGCGGTTCCTATTCTGGAGCCTGGGCCTCGTTATCAAAGGCTTAACTGTGACAGCAAAGATGCTCGCCTGGCTCCTGGTAAATATTACGAGATGCGTCACGAGTGAGAAATTCTGAGCATGTATCCTTCGCAAGGTGTTGGTGTTGAAGCTGTACAACGATAGTGGTCTTCTTGGTGGCTAACACCCAGCAGTTTTGACAAGCGGATCAATAGTTCAGTTGTTCTCAGGGAGTTGAATATAGTCAATGTAATATCAAATAAGGTACACTAGAAAAAGCCAAATCTATGATTTCGATCTCAGTTCTCATTAGCTCCTGTGTCCGAGGGGTCATCATATGGCTTCACGCCAAAGAGACGCCAGCACTGTGCACTTCTAAGTGCAGGATCCTTGGTGCTAGTTGAAAAGGTCATTTCAGTTGAGCCATCATTAAGATAAGCAACTTTCTTCTTCTTTTATATTTCGGCCATGGTCAGCTGGAGACATCTTATAAAGTGTAGTGAGAAAAAGCAAATACGAGAAGAAGGTATGTTACTGACCAAACCTAGAGTCACCTCCGTCAATCCTTCCCACCACTGGGCGTGGTAATCTTGGAGCTTTTGCCCCTTAATCGCACGGACGATGTTCTTCGACACAAACTGGCCTTGCTCCACTGCGGATCGGCCATTCTTGATCGGTGCATCTGTTACGTCGCCAATAGCGAAGATATTTCTGTAAGTCGGGTCTGCGATTTGGAGCGTAGGGAGCACTTTTATATGCCCTGATGGTGAGATCGAGGAAGGAGAGATCTCTGTGAGAAGATTGGAAGAAGGCTTCTGGCCGACACATTTAATCTGTATATCTAAATTAGTCGCCTACTTCGTACTCTTTTGCGGTATATCTTAACTGCAAAGATGGCAAGATAAGAATGACATACCAAGCAATCGCAGGTGATCTTCTTGCCTGACTTAAGGACCACATCACCAGTAGCATCGTCAATTTCCTGCAGTCTCTCCTCGAGCAAAATATTAACTCCAAGTTTTCCTAGCTCAGTAGCAGCAAGCTTCTGCAGCTTGGGACCAAATGTATTCAATAGAACGGGTCTTGAATGGACCAATGTAACGTTCGTCTCAGGGAACGTAGCCTTTGCGTCTCCAGCGATCTCGACTCCTGCGGCACCACCTCCAATGACAACAACGTCTTTCGCTGCCTTCAACCGTTCCTGTTGATTCCTAAATACCTGAATCGCATCTTCTTTACTCTCTTTCCCCAGTCGCGATGGAGCCCCAGCTTCCGCGCCTGTTGCGAAAATCAAATATGCGTATTTGATCTTCTCTCCCGAGGCAAGTTCGATAGAACCACCTTTTTCTTGTGCCTCGATTTTACAAACCCGACCTCGTACCCATTCATATGACCCCTTAGGTGCTCCCGTGAGGTACGGGCCGTAAGGTATCAACGCCTTATGCTCGTGACCACTCACAACGCAGAACCGGGGGAACACCCATGTGAATTGGAAATGGGAATTCTTTTCAATAATAACAACACGATAGCCGGTTGGGACAGCATTTGCAAGATCCCTGGCAGCTTGGTAACCGGCAAAAGAGGCGCCGATAATCACGATATTTTGTGCATCAGGATCAGCACGGTAGGTCAGGCGGTGACGGAGCGCGGAAAGAAACAGGTTCAGACGGCTGAAGGAAGTGCTGAACGCCACGCAGATAGTCTTAGCTATGAGGAAGATTTGCGAAATCATGGCTGGTAGCTGCTTCGCATGAGTGAATCAATAAAATCTTCGCGGAGTCAAGACTGGATCCAACGGATATGGATGCGGTTCATTTATGGGAAAGTGTCCTGGTTGTGGAAGACAGAGTTGACATGAATGAATATCGGTTATTATTTAGGCCCCAGTGATTCTGAATCCAATCTCGCATTTAATCCTCGTTGCTAGCTCCGAAAGCGGCCGAATCACACCCATGCAACCGCAAGCTCTCTCGGTCATCTGTCGGATTTCAGTGCAAATCGGCCGAATATAGGTTTTTATGTTCAGATGATTCGTTTAGTGACTCGTTCAGCAGAAGCTAGGTCAGATGCGACCCTTTTAAGGACAGATGAATGTTGTCAAAAGATCGTGCGGTCTTCGATCCCTCGGATTTACATGTATCATTTCCTTATCTGATCGCCGAGACCCACGCTTCTGGTGGGTTATCTTATCTGATCATCGGAATCTCCGCGGAATCTCCGCGCGTGTGACCCCGTGGACGCGTTCCTGTGATGCAGACTGTCAGAGACAGCAATTAGCTTATGCCTAAGCTTCTTTCTCTATTCACTAGATAATTATTTTAACTATTATTCCTTACAATTACCTAACAGCTTGCAGTGTTAAAGTGCTAACGCCTCACACTCAGATTGAAGAGGCTCTTCGGAGTGCGACTGAAGATCCGAGAGTGTTGGGCTCGGAGGCTTAGCTTTTGCAATCTTTCCACAAGGAAATTAAGTTAGCTTCTGCGTTGCGGATACAGTCCAATGGAAAATGGATCATGGAGATGGCAGGGGTGTCCGCTTTATCTGGAACGACGACATAATATCTCGCTAGGCACCGAACTTCTGAGAGCTGAGTTTTCGCAGTCAACAACAAGGGCAGTTAAAGAAACCCCTTATTCCCGTCTCATAGACCTCAACACAACACTCGGTTATACATCTTGCTTAGCAGCAAATGGGAGAAAGGCAGCAGTTGATAATAAACGATAGTGAGCGAATAATCCGCCGGACCGGGTTTATATGACCCAAGGTGACTATCGGACTCTCCTCCCTCGGGATCGATGCCCTCAACGGAGTTTAACCTCCAACTCGGTTACTTTGGTGGGTGTCTTGATGCTTTTGTAAATTAAGCGAGTATAGAGTGATACTGTTCTGTCATCTCGCGATGACAGGTTAATGTATCATCAACCGGACTTGACGCAATCATGACTATGATAGAGCTAAGATGGTGGGTGAAATTTCAAACAGATATAATCTGTTGGCATAGCCGCTCGACGAAAAATGAAAAGCTAGGTATTAACTATCAGGAGCAAGCTGCGGATAGTCCAGCATAACATTTAGTTATCGTCGTTATCGCCACAATAAAATATTAGTATTCCTTCATACTTCTTTTCATTCTGCTCAGAGATGGATATCCAGCCAGGAGTAGCCATTAGATGCTGTGTATCCTGTGGACTCAGTGTTGGGTGGAGACCAGCTTGGGTCCAGACGTTTCGAGCAAGTAAGTGACCCAAAAGGCATCTATACTTCAATCAGTACCGCTGCCTCTGAAATATGGCGAGACCGGTCTTTAACCCGCACATATATAGTATACGTGGCCTCGGACGGGATTCGACTCTCCGGCATCGCTTTCAACGAGAACTATCGCAAACGCTTCGTACTTCCTGTCGAAGAAACTGCGCGGTGGGATACCATCTGTCACGGTGGATTCATCCACCTATGGCCGACACCGGATGACATCGAACAAAACGCATTCCTATTCCATGAGGCTTGTTGGAACCTTCTGATGGAGCATTTTGGGCCAGGGGAACTTCGTCTGGACCGGCTTTTTGAGGTTTGTCCCGTGCTCCTAAAGATGCGTAGTACGTGATGACTTCCCTTGATTGGCCTATATTAAGATTCTCTATGAATGCTGAGGAATCTCGATAGATGTATCTCGTTTTCATTGCAGAAAGCCTGATCCATGCGACGTTCCGACCATCGAGGACGTCGTGCAGTCTACAACTGTCATCCAGAAACCAAAGCAAAGAGTAGCTAATAGTCTGTATGGAACCCAAAGTACCATGGCAGACCCTCTGGGAATACTTCCATTTGAGATCCGAGAGGAGATAGCAACGTACTTATCAACAGCGGAGATGTTTAACCTCCGTCTTGCTTCGCGAGCAATGCTCGATATATTTGCAAGTCAGACTTTTTGGAAGACTCGGTTCTATGTAAACCAAGATTGTGGTTTTCTAGGTTATTTACTCACTGATCCCACAAAGAGAAAATCTTGTCCGACTGTGGATTGGCGGCTTCTCTACCGCGCCGCTGATAAGATCCCGGTTCACGTCGATCAACTCAGAATTAGAAAGGAAATTTGGGATGTGAACCAGTGGCTAAAAACCACCGCGACTATGAAATCCACCGCAGAAGACCATAGAGTTATGACTTTTGAGGAAGAGCGAACCCGTCGTTGGGAGTGGAAGGTGGTACAAGGAGCTATATTTCCTGACGATGAAACTATCGTTTCCAAAACCTACCGTTACCTGGAGGCATCGTATAAGCAAACCATCTCTATCCCACAATGCCTTACAGGGATCAGGGCGTCTATTCTGCACGAGAGAGACAGAACGTATATAACAGGTATGGATCTCATCCGTGAGGATAACTCAATGATAAGCGTTGGATATAAACTTCCAGGCGAGCATGTTATGCTAGCTATTCGGTCTTTAAGAGGCTTTGAAGTTGCTGTAGGCAGTGGAGGCATCCGCGCACTGAAACCTATAACGACTCCCAACTCCTCGCAATGGCTGGGAAGCCCCACAGATTTCGATCCAAGATGGCACCTGCAGTGCGATAGGGCTTGTATAACCAGTCGACTGGTATCAGATGTGGAGATAGATGCGCTTGAGTTTACGTTTGATGTCAGTCTGTTTAACCCTGTCTTCATCTTCTCCTACCCCTGAATCTGACTTGCCATCATGTCTTGCGCTCTCATATGTAGCTGACGACTTCCAATAGCAATATAAAATGATCAGCATAGCGATAGGAAAAAGGGTATCGATTGCCGAGAAAAAAAGTCTACAGGATGATTTCAGGCAGAACGCCCTGTGGTATCCCCATATCCCTCCACCAAATCTATGCTTGAATGAGGGGTCCTTTATGGGAGAAGATCCATTAATTTCTGGATATCAGCCGGCATACTGGACTCTGTTTGGTGGTTCTGACGGTCATGAACTCGCGTATTTGACCGCAATATCCGTTGATATGCTTTCCTACCGGATGAAATTCTTTTACCAGGACGGACAACTTCCATGTGTCACGTTTCGTCTTGGTTATAATCCATCTGGTTTTATCGATGAGTATCTTATCGAAAAAGAGTCTATGTTTTTTATTGATGGACCAGGTGGAGAAAGGATTGATTCGCTTCAGGTTGCTGTCCAAGTCCCTACTAGTGATCAAAACCCTCATCATCGCTTTAAGCAGGGTGTACCACTTCGTTACAAGGTATATGAAATTCTATCCATACGCATGGACAAGATTTGCCTCTCCTTGAATACTAACTGAGCCCTGTATAATAGATTTCTACGAATCGCGGGCGGTCCCTTTCCTTGAAGGACCCAAGGAAGTACGGAGAACAATATGAACAGACACTACAGACGCTATCATATGAGCGTTTAGACCCCGCGCCGGGTACAACTGTTGTTGGATTTTATGCAGTTCAGGTAAGCATTAATAAGATAATCCCTTCTTCTACAAGCTAAGTGTTTCAAAGCTAAGCACGAATATCAGAATTACGAGAATGAAATTCTTAGTCTCGGAGTCATATCAGTCGCAATAGAAGGCTAGGAGCCATATCTCGATCATTCATTTGTTTTCCCCATCATAACTTAACGATAATCCCTCACCAGAAGCTGAAGTATGCGTTCGATCGTGTTAGCGTCGTGTTCAATGTTTAGACCTCGAGCCGGTCCATAAGGGACGAGGGCTGTGCCATTTATTGGGAGCTGGTAAAAGCGAGCCAAATTCCCAATGCCCACAATTCCGAACATGATTTGTATGTTGCCCTGATCGTTTCGAGCCCCCAGCATATAGTCTTCCAATTGGTCGCGGGTACTATCCCAAATTCTCGGATCATCTTCGAGAGAGCTGCGCTTGTTCTCGACGAAAAGGAATTTTGCCATTATATAGTTCCTCACGTTTGCAACGACTACGTTGGATCTATAGTCCCAGTCTTGGTGTGGCCTGGATTGGGCTTCGATCCCAAAGCAATCGAGATCGTTGAAATAGTAGCGCAAAATGTTGATCCACAGCTGATCCACAGCATCCTCCCGGGTCATCAGGTTGACATTATCCAGATATTGGCGAATGACTTGCCTGTTGAAATACTGTAACAGATTGGATCAATATGTATTAGTCTGAGATTGTGATATCCGAGCATACTTACGGTCATCTTGGCTGATTCCCAGCAGGGCGGTCTCGTCGAATTAGAATGGTAGCACAATGCTATACCTCTGTCAGCCTCTGTCAAGCACCAAATGGACGTAGAATGCGCATTAAGCTCTTTCTACTTACTCAAGAAGATATCAACGATTGTAGCTAAAGCCAGAAGAGTCTTGAGCTGAATATCTGGCGATACAACTACAGCAGGTAATAAATACATCTTGATATTCACCTCTATGAAAGCCAGACAAAGGACCTATTCACTTATTGTCTCTTCAGAAAGTCTTTGTCCTTCTCTTTGTGAATAACTACTTGGGGTCATTTGTTGTCGGAGCCTGCCTACAGGCAGGCCTTTCTGTCGGGTTTCTCCCACGCCTTTCTCGATATTCATCTCTATGAAAGCCAAACAAAGGCTCTATTCACTTATTGTCTCTTCAGAAGATCTTTGTCCTTCTCTTTGTGAATAACTATTTGGGTCATTTGTAGTCGGAGCCTGCCTACAGGCAGGCCTTTCTGTCGGGTTTCTCCCACGCCTTTCTAGCTTCACCCACAGAGATAAAGAAGCTGGGCTAGTTGCTAGAAAATTCAAGCTCAGCGAGCTTTACTCTAGATTTGGTTGAATACTGCCAGTAAAGGAGATCTTAACAAGCGAATGTGCGCTGAGACGCAAGCTATTTTTTCTTTCAAGAACCACGACCAACGTAATAACAAAGATATTTCAATTTTAACAACTGTTTCTCACTGTTTCCTCCGATTGATTCCTATTTGAAGGATTATAAAGCATATTATAGGCTATCTAGAGACTTCTGGTAATCTAGCAGGTCTTAAAAGATGATATTGTTAGCGTGTAGCCACTTATTAGCCACCTGAAACTGTTTTAGATAGCTCTTCGTTTGGAAGCTAGAAGAATCAGGGACGGGGATGAGACGTTTTGTCTAAGAACGGGTATAAAGATGCGGCTAACGTTACTTATCAGATTAGAAGTTCGTTTCTTTCAATTACCTCAGAAGAATAGGAGATTTTTACCTCTGTCCTGAATGTAGACAGATATTATATTGTTGATAAGAAAGTCGATTCATTCTAGCCTTAACAGAAAACTGATAAAGAGCTTAAATACACGTACGTTATTATAAACTTTAGACCATGCTTAGTATAAAGCTGTAGGTAGGAGACATAGAGCCATAAAACAGCGATAGCGATGCCACCACAATGTAAAGTTAAATGAAGACGTTGGGTAGGTTGAAATGGGAGCATTATTGTCACAGGGTCTATCTAACGATTTATGCTCCTATTCAGTAAAAAACAAAGAAAAGGAAACTAAATTCTTTGGATTTCTGTTGATTCTTTTGCGTACCCCGAGGAATTATGATATATTTTGTCGAGTTGCATACGTTGTCGGATCCCTTTACCCTTTGTATAGCCTCCATAGTTTCCGCACCCTTGCAGATAATGTCTTAGACACTTTTGAGTCTCGACTCAACCCGACGCCAGATGCTTTTATGAAAAATAGAAAGATTTCATTGTTATTTCTGATCTTTCCCGCCCTCTCGCTTCTTTTATCGTTTTATTTATTTCTAAGCTTTCCATATTTATATAGAACACATATCCCTGATCAATATGCATGCCGGTAGGGGTGAAAACCAGTCTCTATTCTCACATAGGTTAATAATGTTATCGCTATTAAAATTTATTGCATTTACATTATTATCAAAACTGTTATAGACAGGAGTTTCTTAAGATCATTACTTCACATGGAGAAATAATTAGGACACTAATTTACTAATTTCTTGCTATTGTGTCATGTGATAGATATGTTTGACACTAGAATGAGGGGTAATCTATATTGTCTCAGGCACTATCTATATAGCAATCCTGGACTTCACAGACATAAGGCTTCACGGAATAAATGAGGACGTTCCATTCTTCATTCCCTTTTCTCTTGGTCAAATATCTAAAAAATGGCACCTCTAACTGCAACTCAAGCTCGAGAGGATACCCGAGTGGTGGAGAAAATTAGGGTCGTCGTACATACTGGACACGCTCTGGACCAGTCGGATAATCACTGGTCAATATACCTCCTTCTTCAGGATGAGGGCTCTGTGCGAGTCAATATGGCGACAGAGTACGAGGAGATAGAGGGACGACTTGAATGGTCCAATTTACAATATCTGCTCACAAATTCAGCCTTGCATTACTGGGATTATCCAGCTGTCCAACCCATCCAAGTTCTACATGTGGCTAGATCTATTTACGATCGTAATCGCCATCGATATTGCTTCTCCGGCGGAGGATCTGGCTGCCGATTCTGGGTGTGAGTATTCTCCTTTAATTTTGCGATTTTGCTGATGGCGCTATAGTCGTGTTGTTATATATGATCTTGAAGACCAAGGATATATTGGTTCAGGAACTTCCAATAACCTCTGGGGATTTCTTCAGTATCTTTATCGCCCTGGGAAAGATCCTCTGCAGATAAATTGGGTTGAAGGTGAATTCTATTAGCTAGGTACCTATTAGGGAGAGATGCAGTCTAGGTTTGCGCCCGTCGGGCTTTTTATATTGCAAACACAAGCGGAGATCAGCATTTAGGGACTCTGAGCTTTGCTTTTTCATTTCAACATGCAAAGTTTTAAGAAATTTGCTTTACATCTCTTGCTATCTGCCTCCTAGACTCTAGTAAGTTACCGTATCCTAAAGAGTCCCTTGTTGGTAATAAGAAAATCAGTCGGATTATATTTTATCCATGTCACATGACTAAGTATGCCACCTCACTCGCCTAACTGGTCGGTCGACCTTGCAAGTTTCCCTATGGTATCATTGATCGTTTTGTTGTTTTCTCTCTGTGTATAATCTAGCAATGTCTTCCCATGAATTTTCAAATCCCACATTGATACATCTTTGCCGTTCTTGTCCTGAATCTCAGTTTATAGGAGGTTCAAAGTATGGCAATCGTGTTATCAAAATATCCGATGATTTAGTCGTGAAGTTCGGCCCTGGTGTCTCCTCCCACGAGGCGATGAACCAAATGAAAGCTCTAGAATTAGTGGATTCTAGTATTGTTCAAGTTCCCAGGGTGCACCGTTTTTTCACTGACAACTCGGGCTGGGGATACATCTTAATGGACTACATAGAAGGAAGAATGATCGATTCCGTTAGTGAACACCATGTCGAGATAATCGCAAACATTCTACGGCATTTCCGTTCTATTACCAGAAATCTCCCTGGTAGCTTAAGCGGCGGTCCCTCTACTGGCATCCTTTGGCCCGATACGAATGATTTAACCATCACAAATGTCTCGCAAATCGAAGAGTGGTTTAATAGCCGACTCTTTGAAGGCCAAGGCCAGGTTACTTTTCAACCTTGCGACCTAGTGCTTTGTCATTTAGACATTGCGCCAAGGAATATTATTTGGAAAGACGACAATAGTATTTGCCTATTAGACTGGGCGTCTGCAGGATTTTACCCGCGAATACTTGAACACATTAGTCAGTGCATTAAAGAGGAGGCCTTTAATACCAGGGTTCTGCATGCCATGGATCCAATTTCTAAGCTTGAGATGGAGCAAAAAGAGAGAATCTGCCAAGCGATCTATAATAATCAGAAATTCCTGTTGTAAGTCTCGTGCAGTTATCGTGAAAAATAGTGCTAAAAGTGAAGCAGTCGTCGAATCGATCCTGATGAAGAAGCCCTGTACAAGGGACCGAGTGACCGTATCTTTCCTCTACCTCCACCTCCGACTATCGGATTGCTTCAAATATAAGGCCGATCCAGTTGATTAGCTACAGTATCTTCCGAGTCAGTTAGAATATGAAGAACCCTTGGCTGAGCATGACCACCAAGTTATCTATCTCGACAAGGTTGTGCTATCTGGGATGATTTAAGCGATCAATTGCTAAGAGTTCAAGGGGTTTGAATTATACGTGTTCTTTATTTTATCTATTCCAGCCTGTGGTCTTCAATCGGAAGAGAAGCATGTAGAAAGTGCCCCCAGCACCTTCCCTTCTTGAGCGAATAGTCTATAGCAAGAACTACTTTATGAACTATGGATAATAAGAGGAGCTTATCGGGATGAGGAGCGCGACCTGCTACTGGAGGAGCAGCACGGGATTTTCTTCGGACGGCGAGTTTGGTGTCGCGATTCTCAATTGCAGGGTGGTTTGATTTCTCGCAGGTGATACTTGGAGATTCTACGGAGCGTTTGAATGGATCTCGATCGTCTGGATTTCATCACCATGCTAAGAAAAGGAGGAGAATGAAGGCGAATAGCGACAATGATGGTTGGCCGGGAAGAAGCCGCAGAATTGTTTTTCGCAAAAGGCTATGCACAATATTAATGTTCCAAAAGCCTGACAACCGGAATACTTGAATTAATGACTACTACAAACAGCGAGTAGCTCCAGGTCGGGAAAGGAATTAGATAGAGCCAGAGCAGAGTCAGCGATGTTGTCCACTTCGAGGAAATTTCACATAAGCGCCCCGTTTGAGACTGGAAATGTGATGTAAAGAACAAGCACTCAGAAATTCCCAGGAAGGAAACATGGGACATGCGAAGCGCGCATAGACATGACTTTTCGTTTTTCACTTAGCCATTGATCCGTGCGGGTCATGTTTGGGCATGATAATAATGTATACTTGTGGCTGGAAACCTGGGGCAAGACTTCCAGCATCACCACAACAAGCTGCGGGAAGACGCGGCGCGAAACACCTCTGCTGACGAGTGTGAGCCATTGACAAAGATATTAGCGGGTTCTAATACCAGAAATACTAGACGAGACAGACTTTCTTTTCCTTCCTGTGCGGGCTCGGGAGGCTGACAGATTCCAGGATGCCATACCGAGAGCGACGGATCTTCATCGAACGAGGCACGCAGTGTGATTCCACCGCGTCAGATCTTTCCTGAATCGCGAGCGGTCACAAATTTTCCGGAGAACTTAAGCCTTTTTCGAGCGCGTGGTAAACCGGGCTTATGCCAGTGATGTCCCACTGCTAACATTCCAGAACCGAGACACGAGGATCATTTTTCGTGGCGGCCGCCACTGCAGCACATTCCTCTGTCAGGAGGCATGTTACCGAGATTCATCTACCATGGATGAACGCTGAGTATGGAGTCAAAAGCTATATCTACGGCCTGATAGCCGCTGTTTGTGTCTCCATTCGCATCGCAGCAACAACGACGATATCGTTCGATCCGACCTCAAGGGATATACCGCCGGCAACCCTTTGAATCTCACAGACAACGAACACATATCACGTCTATTACTATCAACATGCGCAACTTCATCTCTGTCATTGCCCTCGCTGGTGCCGCCACTCAGCTTGCGGCCGCCCAGTCGCCCGACTTGATCGGATGTGCTGTGAGTAATAACCAGAGAAACGGAGTTGGATATGAAGTTGAAGCATAATACTGACAATATACACAGACAGCTGTTCTGAGCAACATCAAGCTGCCTAACTGCTCGCCCAGTGACATCAGCTGCTTGTGCGGTGACTCGTCCTTCCTCGGCAAGGTCAAGGACACCATTACCCAGAAGTGCATGCCGTCTGCCCAGACAGGTAAGTGAAGCAGCTTCAACAATAATAACTATACCTAGATTAATAGCTGACCCAACATGGTACAGAGGCCCTCACATTCGCTGAGAATTTGTGCAAGACTCCATCCTCTTCTGCATCCTCTGCGCCATCTCTTCTAGGAGCCCTCTCCGGTTCTCAACCTCTGCGCCGCGAATCTACTGAATGCTCGTGCCCCTGTGAATCCGGCTCTGGTTCTCCCTCTCCCTCTTCCTCTGCGTCTGGCACTAGCCCTGAATCTACTCCCTCCTCCGGCTCTACTCCCGGCGGCGCTGTCCCTGTTGCCGCTCCTCCCTCTGGTGCTTCTCCCGCCGCTTCTTCTCCCGCTGCTGCCGGCTCCAGCTCTGCGGCTGTTCCCTCTGGATCTAGTGGTGTCTCTCCGACCAACGCTCCCTCCAGCTCCAGCTCTGGTTCTGGTTCTGGTTCTTCCCCCAGCGCTAGTGGCGCCAGCCCGGCCGGGACCAGCGGCGCTGCTTCTCCTAGCGACACTGTTTTCCATGGTAGCGGTGCTCAGTCCCTACCTAGCCTCGTCGCTCCCCTGGCCATTTCATTCTTCGCTGCATTGGCCACCCTATGAGAAAACATCGGACAAAAAAAAAAAAAAAAAACACAAAGTGGTGGAGTTCGAAATTGTTGAAGAAAAACAGTAATGACTCAATGCCTTGTCGTGCGGCGCGCGTACAATTGTTTTCTCATTTCCGGGATGGATGAACGATAGTTAGTTGGTTAGCATGGAGGGAATACCTTTTTTATCTGTGGAATAGTTATATAGATTATTAGCATGGGAGCTTTTTCACTGGTTTAGTGATGAAGGAATTAGAATGAAATGACATGATCACATCTTAACGGAGTTTCTAAGTATCTTTGGTAAATAAAGTGTACTTATTCAAAGAGTGCCAAATGGTGTTATTTATGTCGGCTCTAACCAATGGAAATAACTATTAGTTACAGTAGTTACTGACGGAGAGACTAGTTATGCATGGATCGCAGAGGCTTCACATTTGTTTAGCTATCTTTGTTTACCTCTGATGCCAGATAAATATAATAATATAGGAAGATATGTATTCATAGAATGCGTGTGGAACACTGACTCGAGGTCTTCATAGAAATATGTATGTACGTTCAGAAGAATTCTATCGCTAGGTCTATAGACAGAGAATGCAAAGTTAGAGAGAAAAATGTACGTCGTCGACGAGAGGTCCCAAAAAAGAATAATAATAGAAAAGCCTAGGAGTCCTCGGGGTATCAAAACGGTCACATCCATCGCCGGCAGAAAGACTGGTAAGAAAGGCAAGACAAGGATCGCTCAACGAATTCTAATGCTGTTGTGGGCTTTGCGTTTCTTTTGCTCTTTTATTAACCCAACGCTTGCAGGCCTCATCGAAAGGCGTGATGCTTCATATTGCGCCATGTATCTGCGATGCCATGCTCTAAGGCTGGCATGGGGCTCTTGGCTCGACTCGTCGATGGTCGGGCCGCTTCATTCAGCGGTCCTGCATTGCCCATCATTGATCGCCGCAACTTTTCCTCTCTGACGGCCACCCGTCTCGCTGCTCTCAGGGAGTCGACCCTACCCTGACCAACACGATATCGTCGTGCAAAACTCTCCTCGAGTAACGAATTTGCATCCAGCAACTTCTTAGGCACGGTTTGTATTATCTGGAAAACTTCCATAGGGTCAGACACGGCGAGAATTTCCTTTTCACTTGCTTTGAATATCGCGAGCGCCACTCGGAAGAAAGTCTTTGAGCCTTCATAAAAGAAAACGTCCCACACGCGAAGAGTAGTCTCCAGAGGAAGACTGCCAATGAATAGCGACATCAGCCAGTTAGTTAGACCAAGCGTAACATCAGGCAACCGGGTCTGCACGGTCATCGCTGGGACCTTGGTCTTGGATGTCGTTGGACCAGCGCTGGCAACCTTGTTGTAGATTGAAGGAAGGGATTCCCTCAACAGGACCATGAGGATCCAGAGATCGACGTTGGCACCTTCAAGACTGATTTCGTGGGTGCCTGGAAGTAACACGGATGTAATAATATGTAGCATCCAAAACGCTTTCTCCTCCGGAAGGAAGAGAAGGAGCATGCCAGTAATGAAATTGAGAGACTGAGTATAGCCAACCCTGGGGTTATGAAGGGAGAAAGCATACAGCACATGACGTAGGGATCGGATCAGCTCTGTTTCGACGATGGCTGAGCTGTATATTGGGTTGCTGCTACCAGAGCTACTATCCATGCCCTCCGAGTTGACCGGCATCTCAGGTTTAAAATGGATATTATCGGGAAATGTACGATGGAGATCTCGTTCGATATGTTCCTTGTCATCGTTGGTCGGTGACCCCATGGCGCGTTCGACGAGCTGATCATAGAGACCTGGGTTTCGATGTAGGTGGTCGAATCCGCCGGCGTACCAAAACCAAGCAGCACCCCGATATTCTGAAGGTATCCCCTTTCGAATATAACGTTTGATCTTGTTTGACTTGGGAGGGAAGGCGGAGGGATCCGTGGCGTCCAGGTTACTCTCCTTGAGTAGTTCGCGCCATTTCAATTTCCGATGTTCCTGAAATTTAGTGTATTGTCGATTCCAGGATTCATATTGATCGATGGTGACGTGATGGGTTGCCTTGCGGAATCCGTAGCGGTCTCTGTCCCCTGACCCCGAGAGCAAGGGCGGTGGGACGACACCCGGGACAATAATCTTGGTTTCTTGCACCGGAGGTCTGACCGACTCTTCACAAGCTTGATCTCCCGGACTCGGATTATCTGTCTCATATTCAGGGATCTCTGCCGTATCCCCCATCGAGGTGCCCATAGCCTCCAACAGGCTCTCTGTGCGCCTTTCCGCTTGCTCGTCGAGTTCCGTAGGATTAGAAGACCAGTTATGCTCATCTTCCGCCGCGATCTCATATCTCGGTGACGATACTTCGAATTCCTCATCAGTCTCTGTAGGGCCGGATGCCTGATCAGAGTCGCCTGTGGCAATGACGTCCTGCCGCTCTACCTCATCGGTATCCTCCTCTGGCACATCACTAAACCCGTCCAGATACATGGAGATAGCATCTTCAACGCTCATGCCTCCGTCTTTCTCGTAAGGTGCGTACGGCCCATCTGGCGTGTCTGGCGACAAGTCCGTGACCGAGCTACTCTTTGTCATAACACTGCTCCGCTCTGTCCCGCTAGTTTGCTCAACACTCGAACTTGTCATAGCGGAATTCATACTGCATCTGCCGGGGTCATCCCCATATTTGTCGGATACATGGGAAGGGAACCTGGGCGGACCCAAGGAGGGAGGACTGAGGGCTTGCGGACTGGTATCTACTTGATGATAGTCATCCACGAAGTAATTGGGACGTCTGCTGTTGAGCTTTGACATTGACATGGAAATGCGCAGCCCTGGACGACCAGGTGGGCGTCTTGGAGGTGTCCATCGATCATGCGGTTCCCTCGGCCCCAACGGCCATTGTCCAATCTGGTCCGGTGTGAACGTCGGATAAGTCGGCGATCGGTATGCTATCCTGCCGCCATATGGAGACCCAAGGCCATATTGAAGAGGCGGAGACCGTGGAGGGTGGAAGGTTTCGTTCTGAGGAGTCGAAGGCTGTGGTTGTGGACTGCCATGCGCCGGTTGATATCGGGCAGTGACAGGGGTTCGAGGAGAGTGCGGTATCCGGCCCTCCGGAGCTGTTGTTGGAGTAGGAACAGCATAACCTGTGTTCTCGAGCGGCCATGGCGGTGGCATGCGACGGCGTTCCGGGAGTCCATTTGTACCGTCATGGCCCCCGGGAGGGTAATATCGCGAGTCTCCATTTGGTGTGACCATGGCCACGAGGTGAAATCCAGTTCTCGCTGGACATTTGTTTCAGACTGGTAACACTGGCTCACCAAGTAAAGATACAACGGGGTGGTAGGGCTAGCTTTTTGAGTATAATAAGAGCTGGAAAATCGGCCGTTATGCAACGAGGGACCAGAAGGAGCCTGGAGTTCAGCGTGTGGAGAGAGGCAAACGGGAGAATCCGTTGGGCTATGGTACACAAGAGAGCGTGGGGGGGAAACGAGCGGAAGAGGCGAGAGAGAGATCAAACGGCCGCCACACTCCAAGATGATGCTCAGGAGGCTGTTCAAGATCAATTGGAGGTTGAGTCCTCTTGGGCGAGGACAGTGTAGCAGCCAACCTGGGCCATGTCGAGAGAAGACTCAGAAAAGATGTGTTTTCCCAGCGGTTGATGGACGAGAGCAGTAGGGAAGAAGATCACGCTAGGATGCAGCCAATATAGTCTCTGTTCGGTATTATATTATTGTATCAGTGACGTATCAGAACGCAATAAATGCCAAGCAACCGCCGTTCGTTGATTTTCTGTTTCTTTTTCTTTTCTTTTCTTCTTCTTCTTCTTCTTTTTTTTTTTTTTGCCATCGTCTTTATAGCTGGCGATGTCACTAATACTGGCTCCAGTATTATTATAATTATAATTATTCTCTTATTCTTGTTATGATGATTAGATGGTCCATTCTGTCAGGAGGGAACATCTGTTCGCCTGTCGACTGCGGCACCTCGTCTCGCTGTGATCACGCACGAATCCTGCTAAGGAGTAATTAGTGGACCCTAGAAACCCATTCGTTGCTGTTCTTTCTTCTAGCTAAATATTTAATTAACTAATTTTATCCCCAGTGGACGAACCGTCGCGCTTCGGAAAAACAGGGGTTGGCCCCCGTTCGCAGACTGCCATGGCCGGTGTCCCGTAGGTCCAAAGCTAATCGGCTGCTAACCACATATCTGAACGTTGAGTAGCTGGGCTTCAATGATCTGCGCCATCTCTGACAATTGGAGTCCCGGTACTTTTCCATGCGAAGACCGTTCGAAGGGGGAAAAAAAAGAGAGAGAAAAAGCAAAGCATTGCACACGTCCCCCGTCGCCTAAGGAAGCGGGGTCGCTACGGAGAAGACCCGGTGTGCTTGATGATTGAACGATTGACTGATTGCTAGGCTGCGTAAGCCGACGATCAGTTGTACAGGACGGAGTAGTTTACAGGCCACTCTTGCGGACGCAATCAATGATGCAGTCTGCTGATAGTCCTTGCATATCGCATGGCCAGATTGTGTGGTGGTGGACAGCTTTCTCAGTATCATCTGTCATGTCAGAAAAGACGTATATCACTCTCCCCGCTTGCTCTATCTAAACCCCTCAGGAAACACGGGAACGAGATCAGGATCTCCAACAAGGAAAATGCGGAACGTGGCGTTTCGTGGGTTATGTAGCGAAAATGATATCTGATGGTAAAAATGGTAAAAATACCGGGTTCGGCGGGGATTCCGTGTTGACGGGCAATATAACAATACGCCCCTTTTGCTAGTCTATATTCATGGCAAAAGCAAATACCATAAATGATCCATAGCCCGGAGTCGTGGGTTTCCAATGCTCATGGGGATTCGGAATGATAGTTACCCATTTACCCAAGTTCTCTAAATTCCCGAAAGGAACAGCGCACGATAAATCAGTCAGTCAGCCGTAATATTTAGTTAACCAATATTATTATTATTATTAGTTAACTGCGCGAAGCACTGACCATCAAACTCAGCCGGGTAATTAATTAATTAACTTATCGTGGGACCCGTAAACAACTTTACAGGAGACGTGGTCTAGTCTACCCTGGTTATGCAATCAGGAACGTACGGAGAGGCTGGAAGCTAAACATCCCCGCTGAACAAGTCCCAGGGCGTTGAAACCTGTAACTAGCAAGAATATCTATGGCAGTCCCTGATCCACAGACATCGGTTTTTGCCCTGGTGGCTGCAGCCATGTTTCTGGACTACTATGGGGTCGTTCGCTCTGGTCCGTAAACCGCATACCAGAATGCTTCCAGAACAATGCTGGATCAACTCGTATGTCTGTCTCCCAGTGAGCCGGATTCCCTGTCGATCGACCTGCAACAAGCCCATGTCGCGCGCGGAGAATCTGTAACTGCGCAGAGGATTCCGCCCGAGGAATATGATTATTCACATCTAGCTGTTTCAACTGCGATGCTTCACTCATAGCTCGATTCCGCTCGCTCCTCCTCTCTTTGCGTTTGCTCTCACATTCGTTCATCGAGTGCTGCGAAGGTTGAAATCCGCAACCTTCTCTTTAGTGCCTCTCTTTTGAAAAGCTATGGTTATTTGGTCGCGATGACCGTCGCCGCCCTTGCTGACCACCCGAAGAAGCTGACTCCCAGCCGTGTCCGGAACACCAGCTGGGCAGATGTATGTTCGATTGACGAGCTAGTTCACTCAATTCAATTCAATGCAGTTAGTTATCTGAAGACTGACTGACTGACTGACTGACTGCTTTTGCGACTCACCAGGGCCTTCGAGGAATAGCCGCAGTTGGTGTGGTCGCCAGTCACACGACCCTCTGTTTCGCCAGATATATCGTACCTCCGTCCTTCGGTGAAGACGGCTCAGTCGCTCTTTTCCAACGCCCGTTCTTTCGTCTGGTAGGCCAGGGTCAAGCATTCGTCGCGATCTTCTTCGTACTTCTCGGATTTGTCAATTCTTTGAAGCCAGCAACTCTAGCGCGTTCCGGCGCAGTGAGTGATGCCCTCAACACGTTAGCGACAAGCGCGTTTAGGAGGACTGGGAGACTAGTATTTCCAGCAGCGGCTGTCACTGTCATTGCGTGGTTCTTCTGTCAATTCGGTGCCTTCAAAATTGCTAAGAAAACGGACGCGTACTGGTTGAGTGCGACGAGTCCACAGCCTAGTCCGTCATGGCCTGCTGCAGTCGGGGATCTGGTACGCCAACTGATCTCGACATGGGTCTATGGAGACAACCAGTATGACCAGCCGCAATGGGCACTCCTGAGCCTCTTCAAGGCTTCATTATATGTCTTCATGACCTTACTGGCAACGGTCAACACGTCGCCTAGATTCCGTCTTACTGCGGAGATCATCTTGTACATGTGGAGCTGGGCGACTAATGACTGTAAGATCTAAGGAAGCGGTGTCCAACTATTCAAAAAAGACTTCAATTGAACTGACAGGTATTGTGAACAGGTATTGTCGGTATTAACGCGTTTGCCGGTATGATACTGGCCGAATTATCTCTCCTTCCTCCACCGAGTCCAAAATCCCTCCTTGTCGAAATTATACCATATCCCTTCGCTATTTTGGGTTTATACCTATGTTCATTCCCGGATGAATTCTATGAACAGACCGCATGGACAAGACAACTATGGCAAATCGGCCTGGCAATCTTTCCAGCCGGCGCGAACATGGGGCGTTTCTTTGCTGGCATAGGTGCCCAGATGTTGTGCTTCGCCATTTTGTTCTCACCTTCTATGCGACATGCCCTTTCGAATCGCTGGCTACTCTGGCTGGGCGAAATAAGCTTTCCGATCTACCTGCTGCACGGTCCTTTGATGCGGTCGGTCATGACTTACATGTTGTTCCTACCATCAGCTCTCTTTTTCAAACCTGCTGTCTTGGAGGATGGCACACCGGATCCCAACTCGGCGATTCCCATCCCGAGCTTCCTGAAGCTAATGATAGTGTGTCCTATCTTCTTCGCCTTCTTGCTCGTGGTTGCCAGGCTGTGGTTGCGGAAAGTAGAGCCATACTTCGGAACCGCGACAAACGCCTTCGAGAAATTTGCTCGCACATGGGGAAGAACACCAAGTGCTAATCGTGAGAAAGAGAAACTGGACGGAAATGGTGGTCTGTTGCCCACGGTGGTGATCAGAAACTGTGTCTCGTGACCTGCCAGAATTCCCTCGTTCTTCGTTTTGGACACAGGCGTTCCGTTCCACGTGGGAAGTTTTGGTTGTTGGGGATGGAGTTGTCATGATCTCCCAGAGGTTATTTACTGGATTCATTCCTTTAGTGATACTGATATACTCCGGAGTATATGGGACAACATGGCTCCACACAAGCTCCAACCTGATATGTGAGATTTTTCAAGGCCGGAAATAATAAAAAAAAAGACTCCTAATTATTATCTCCTAGAAAGCTTAATATCCATATTCTTCTGACGGACGAACCATGCATTGACAATTTCCCATTCCCTATCTAGATTCTCCAGCTCGATCTGAATTCGGTCGTTAGCATTAGCATTTTGCTTCTCACGCATAGAAAGAGAAAAGGAGCAAACAAGAGGGACGAGACATGCTACATACGTTATAACTCTGAAAAAGGGACGGAATCAACTTATATATCTCCAACAGACTGATATTCTTCCCAATACACGTTCTGGTCCCAGCTCCAAAAGTGTACGTTGCGCGAATCATCTTCTGTTTCCTAACGGCAAATTCAGCATTCAACTCTTTCCCCCCTTGTAGCCAACGCTCCGGGATAAAAGCATCTACATCTTCACCGAAGACGTCTTTACGATGGATGATCCATGGATTAACACCAACGATCGTCCCGGGTGGGAGATACGGTCCGTCTGGTAGTTTTAGACCTCCATCAGGCACGATACGTTCGAGAAGTAAGCCCACAGCCGGATGCAAACGGAGGGCTTCCTTGATGACGGCGTCGAGGTACGGCAGCTCTTGACTCTCTTTCCATGTAACGGGGGATGAAATCCTGCCGGAACTCTTGGCTTCGTCAAGTTCATGACGCAGTTTGGAATATACATTTGGGTGCTTCAGGGTGTAGTAGAGGATCGCTCGTAGTGAAATAGCAGTGGTGTCGGAGCCGGCATTCACGTTGCTGATGGTATATGATATAACTTGTTTGTCGTCGACGATGTTCGGATGGATTTCTTTAGCTTCGAAGAATCGACTCAGGAAGTCTCGTCGCGTAGGTGATTTCGTGTCTGATTGCGAGAGACGTTCTTGGACTCTGTTCCTTGCGAATTGGGCTATAGCAGTGGTGGAGCCGCCTCGGAGGAGTTGTCGGAGAGGGTTCTTGACGAACAGGTAATCGAGCCAAGGCATTTGGCCAGTCTGTTTGTTGTGAGAAGTTTGGACTCAGTAACGCTTCGCAGTGGGATAAAGCCAGTGTCTTGTATTCAGCGTGGCAGATACTGCAGGCTTAGGTATATGGAGCAAAGAACTAATGGGCATACCTTTCCAGCGTAATCGAGGTTCTTTTCTATACTCTCAACAATCCCATCTACATCGTGTCCGGATTCTAGAAAGCCTAACGCCTTGCTAAATGTTAGCTCGCCGATGACATCGAACGCGTCTGCAGCAGGAAGTTAGCACCTGGTGCATATCCTGTAGTAATATAGTATAGTATACATGGGAGAAACTCACAGTACTGCAACCACTTCGCAATATCACACGGCTCATTCTTCTCAGCGAACTCATCGAGTCTTCTGAAGAATGTATGAATGGTATTGTCAACAAATGGCTCGAATTCCGTCAATGTGCTCATCGAGTAGGCAGCTGATATCGGCCGCTTAATCGCGGCGTGGAAATCGTCATTTAGAGTGGTGAAGAGCGTTTGCGACGGTCTCCCATTAACTAGTTGTTGTTGGACACGATAGAAAGTCGTCTATTGAACTCAATCTGGCATTGTTAGTTTCGTAATCTCTGAAATATTCATACTGTTTTCGATACTTATACATAGAGGACAAATTAACTGCAGGGAAAAGGGAGATAGAGACAAAGACCTTCTGATATCCCTTATTGATCCCGTATATCTCTTTTAGTACCTCGAGGTTCCTCACGCTGACAACGTTCGGACCGAGTCGGACATAGTCTCCATGCTTCTTGTGCAGTCGATACAGAGTGACTTCTGGACGGCCTTTGGCAACATCGATGAAGCGCCACAGATTAGTCAATTTCGCGAAGAAAGGGCCTGGAACAGATCTTGCTCCTGGTGTAAAGTAGTTGCGTCCGAGACGGATTATCGGAACTATAAGCAGGAGGATTAAGGCATGAGAGTAGAGAAGAGATATGATGCTTTCTAGGACCGCCATTAGTATGGATATGCTTGAGTACGGTTTATGCGCATTCGCGGGAAGAGTAGAGACAGGAAGATGCAACGTCGAAACAGGTGCTGATCTCAGGAATTTGCTCTTATTACATATCCGATGATTTCTAAGGGAAGATATTCCTCGATCTATTAAAGCGGTGTCTCTGTAAGACGACCCCGCATATCAAGTACTCGTTGCACGCCTCAAATCAAGCGTATCCTCGTGTTCCGTCTTACTCTAAGAGCACCGAAAAGCCACATGTAACCGACCATGGGACTCTAGACTTAGGAGTTAGGTTCAGCTACTAACAGTAAGACCTAGCATTATCCCCGGAAAATCCCCCTCATTATGCTATCCTTCGTGGTTAATGCTTAGTTGCCAGTACATATTGACCACTAAGTACTACTTCCCCGCATTTTGTCTCGCCGAAAGTGTATCGCGGCAACTTCGCTCGGCATTATCTCCTTGCAGGATATGAATTGACGTGTATTCTTACTATATAGTAGAATCAGAAAGATATTTCGAATGAGGCTCGTGACAAGAACACTATTATGCCACCGCTCATAGTATGGGGTATATACTATTGCAAATTCCTGCACCACAATCTAAGACCAGACCTATTGCAAACCCTTTGCGTGGTACAACACACTCAATATAAGAGCTTCTGGGCCTTCTCTGAAGTCTTAAGTCTGCACAATTGGAACAAATAATCTGAAGCACATCAACCTGAATGGAACAGTAGAGAGACCACGTATACGCAGGTGTATCGATGAATAGTCGTCAACCAGTGCTGAGCTGCTGGAGTCAGAGTTACCATCTCCGGAAAATAGTCTTTCTTTCCCTTGTAACCATCCTGGGATCGATTTCTCACACGGATCTACCTACAAGGAAATAGGAATGCAGATGGAAATGTAGTCTCTGTTCAGATCTCTACGCTAAATAGCCCTTGGAATCAGGGAAGGGATCAGTATGCTAGTGCAGCCGTCTATACCATGTGCAGCTTGAACCATGCATGAGTCGGCCGTAAGTGAGCACACATTCCTGAGGATCAGGGAAGGGGATTCATCCTCCCGGAAAGTAGATGTCTTCAGAAGGAACAACTCTCTATTCGTGCCTGGAGCAGAGCCCTGTCAACTGTACATTGGTTTCCTTCTATGGCTCACTACTTTCAGTGTGCATATTGCTTTGTCCATTCGGCTGCAATCTCATTGAACTTGCTCCGGTCATTCTTGTATTGTTCCGCAATGCGGCCCTCGACCGCATCATCAGGCATCGGCTCTGACAAGAGCTGTCGGGCGAACTCAAGCACGGAAGAGATACGCGAGCTAGGTTTCCACTCATCCGACTTCAGCATGCCAAGGCACATGCTCCCTTTGTCATCGTTCGTGACGTTCGGGTGGTATATCTTGGTGCCGAAGGAAATTGTAGGTGGTTTGAAAGGATAGGCGCTCGGCAACGTGAGGTTTATTAAGAAAGTACCGCCCTATGGAAGTCCCCTTGGTTAGCATCTCTCGTGTCCTTTTGTTTCTCTTCATGGAGCACTACGTGTCTCATGTCTTACCTGGTATGGTGAACCTTCGGGACCCTCCATGTACACTTTCCACTTATAGATGTCCGACTCATCGGCAAGCTCAACCTTGATGCCTGGCGGAGGAGACTCGACGAGCTCGCTGAGCTCCTGTACCCAGTTAGAGATGCATTTGGAATCTTTAATCTTGGAGCAACTCATACCTTTGCTATCCTCTTTTGACTGCCCATATTGCGTGTTTTTGGGCTCGAGAAGTGATCAAGTGTGCGATAGCGGGGTAAAGAGGATGGTCAGGAGGGAAACCAGAAGAGCTCGAAAGAGAGCCAAGTCACAGTGCGTCGCGTCCCTAAAATAGATATCGACTCATGATCCAGTCACATATAGCAGTAACATACCGATGCAGTTACTGAGAGACAGACTGTAATTATTGTGTATGAATCTGTCATTTTCAAGCCCGCGGTCGCGTCGACGTCAGTCCGCCAACTCGGAGCTAGCCGAATTGGTATATCCAACAAGAAAGTAAATTATCCATTCATTCATGTACAGTGCAACAGCGTGTCGGGAATTTTACTTGTTTGAGCTTTCCTAACTGACATGCAACTTTTAACGAAGCCACTATCCCTATGTACTTATTCCTACGCCCTATTCTCACGCATACTTGGTTGGGACAGACCGGAGATGTTGTTGACAAGTGAACAGCTCCTGGACACCTCTATCCACCAATATACTCAGACCTACATTGTCGATTGAAGAAAGCCGTAGTTGCGCAGAAACCTTGTCTGGGCGGCATTCGCGACCCGAGGAAAATTAAAGGTGCAGTCAAAACTTCCAAGAACGTCTTGTAAAGCGTTACAGCATAGTTCCCTGTGGCACAGGGATGGTTGGACTTCCAGGGCCGTGTCCTTTCTTTTCTTCGCATAGGGGATCCCATTTCTTAAACTATACCAATTTCATAATGCAAATGTCACCGTCTCCTTTTTTCTTTATTCCCGCTGCAAGATGACCAATAAACCCATTATTCCTAGTAGGACGCTCTTTAGCCATGGGTGCTCACTGAGCATAATTGTAACGTATCCCACGGCGGGAATGTATCCTCTCACGCTGCCCACGAGATCTTCCTTTCGGTTCAGGAAATCCTGACCTTTTGCGTATAGTTCCTCATCCGAAGCTAGGTTGTTGTCTCCCTTTGTAAGGAGCATGTGCGATTCGCCAGGACCAGAGGGGGAAGGGGCCCTGTAATAGCAAACTGTCAGAAGAGTGCAATTGAAATGTCTTCAAGGGGATTTCAACCCCAGAGAACAAAACAGAAATAGCTTTGTACTCACTTGACCCCCTTCTTTCCCTTCTTTCCTTTAACCTCGACGTCCGGGAATGTCCTCACGACGCGGTGTACGATTGGCACATCCTTCCCCTTGACATTATACACCACGATCTCTCCAATTTCCGCCCTCGGACTCCGGTTCCACAGGAATAGCAGGTCGCCCCTCTGGAACGCAGGTTCCATACTTCCGGAGAGAACTACGACGATCGGACTTGAGCTGGCAGCTTCGTTCGGGCATTACAAGTTAGCGACGTTGGTCTCCATTTGAATCATGAGATCAGGGTGTCTTACTAAACACAGAGAGCCCCTTCCACATCATGAAAGCAGTCGAGAGGACCAGCGCAAAGTTCAAGACCTGCGCTAGCGACTGTCTCGTGTTGGACAGGTGCGAGGAAAGGAAGGACAACATGATGGGCGGAGGTTATTCTGAAGATGCGATGGCGCGTCTTTCAGGTTGTCGCGGCTATGTATGGGAGGCCGCGGGGCTAGACAGACCAAGAATTGAAGAACCTAGGAGCTTCAACGCGCTTCGAAAGGGCTCCTGGCCGTAGGTGTTAAGCCGAAAGCTCGACTTGAATGAAGACAGTCAGATGCGGAGAGGTGGCCTTGACTTGCTCCAATCTCCGATTAAGGCCATGTGGTTTGGTTCGCTTATTACTTCCGCGTAGTAGCGTCGATCTCCCGCGGGTTGGCGCTGCGCTGTGGCAGACCGTCTCTCACCACGGTCCTACGATCAATAAGATAAGCTTAGTTGCACATGCGGTGCTTTTACTGCTGAAAGGGTAGACTTTTCGTTCCTCGAGAGGTTTCGACTTGTGAAATAAGATATCGATGATGACACAGCCGAGATTCATTTAATTGGTGATTGTAATAAGCCCGTTAGATACATGTCTTGCTAATAGCATCGGGGCAAGAACAAGACAGTTTGGCACGCAGATATTATGGAGTTGAAATACAGATGAGCTCTCAATTTCGAAATCTGAACTTGATTTTGAAATCGAATCGTAACATGCCAAATAAAAGGAAACAGGTACTTGCGTGTACAAGCCAACCAAAACATCCGAAAGAATTGGGACAACAGAAATTACCCGGGTGGCCCTCAGTGTCTTAGGAGATCTATTCGCTTAACCTTCCATCTGACCACTTTGGTGTGGAAATCTACTGCTATCACGGCTCGCAATGATTTCCTCCAAGTTCAGATATCGACTGGGATCCTTTGCCAGCTTTTCCGCTCTCCGTCTCATCACAGACTCCTGCAATTCATGATTAGATCCCATAACCTCCCAAAACTGATGCGGGCAACTATGAAAGAAGAGATCCATCGTATCTGCGAAAAACCCAATCATCCAGTTGTATAACGGATCCCGACTGGAATTAGCACCTACTTCTGGATCACCGTTGGCTTTGCCGGTCGTCATCTGTGCCACTTCGAGGATCGGGACCAGGTGATGAAGTCCGGCAAACGAGTTCCACGCGATTTGGATCTTCCATAGAGCAAGTCCCTGAAGAATGTCGAGTCCGAAAACTCCCGCATTCATATAAATCCTTCCAAAGCGAAGAATCTGCTTATCCAGTTCTTCAGAGCTATCGATATCCGCCAACGAATATTTGTGTCCAAATCTGAACTGATCACCTAGAATGCGAGGCCTTTCTTCAGAGTTAACGCTTTTGCTTCTGTCAACAAGCTTGGGGTCGAACTCTCCAGTCACTAGGAATGAATATATTGGCTCAAATTCGGAAGCGGGAAGTCCATAGAGGCCTGGATGGAATATGTACGGAACGTCTTTGTCCTTCAAATATGCTATGAGCAGCGGACACTTTTCTATGGACTTGAAAGACAGTTGAAATATGCCATGATCAGCACCAGAACCGACGTAGATATCGAAGACGTCATCGGGGGAATGTCTGAATGATCTATTTAGCATGGATTCACATGTCAGGATTGGAGAGCATACTATACCGACCTTGGTAGCGATTCCGGATCAGTCTGTGTACCCACAGACCTATACACGTATTTTCCCTTGGGTGTTGGATTCCTAGACCCAGATTCCGAGTTTGGAGAAGCATCAACTGAGACGGGAGGCCTCTCTGGTTCGATATCATCCGGTGTGGCCCTGTCCGATGTTTTGGGGGTAGTTCCGGTACTAGGAGACTTTGTACCGGTGTCCACGTATCCTTGATCAACTCCCGATCTCTTCTGCGCTAGAAAGCCTCCTGCCTCTTTGGTTTGCGGGTGCTGATCTGTTGTCTTTGAGGATCCATGACTATCCGACTTAGGCGTCATTGGGTCCTTCTCTGCGGGCTTTTTCGTAGGAAGAACCAAACTGGGCTTTCTGTCAAGTATCCCTTTGGCCTTGCGCTCTTCAGCTGCCATTTCGAACCAGAATTCCGCATCTTTACCGCTCTTAGCAATCTTATGCAACGTGAGGAAGAGCTTCGAATCAGGGCGCAGAGGACTCGAAAGAGAGCTCGGAGGTCTCGCTTCAACGTGGTATAGATTCGTCTTTTCTAGCCATTGACTAAGCCAGTCAGGTATTATTTAATTAATCGACGAAAAACAAATAAAGAAAAGATTTGGGCATGATTCTTCCTTTTTTTCACCAGGAATGCCCTGATACTCACTAATTATTCTTCCCCGGAAGATACACCCACTCGCCGACCTTTGGTCGTGCGTTGGCAAACCGGCGTAACATGGCGGGGACCATAGATTCGAGACAGATGATCCCCAGCCAGAGGTCCTTGCGACCTATTCCAGTGTTCTTGTAGTAAACGATGAAACTTTCCCCAGGTTGGAGATCGCGAGAGGGGTCGATTGGTTTTAGCTCTTTCAGCATACGACGGGCCATTTTTCCCGAGGTGTTAGGTGTGAATGAGGCTAAATAGAAGTTTTTGATATTATTAAACGGACGAGAGACTAGTCAGGTAGCTGGTTGTGGTATTTTTTGAACTTTGGTTTACAAACTTAGGGGATTCTGGATTTGCTCCTTTGCCTGGTCGAACGTGAAGTTGAGAGTTAAAGACTTTGAGACAGGATAGAGGATAGATGGCGCGGAAAAGGTCTACAAGATTAGAACGTAGATGTCATTCCTTGGACATCAGCAACTCGGCATTATCTGAGGCATATGAGAGAATAGTGATATATGAGAACGGTGCTGTGACCGTCAAGTTTTCAGGTCTTACGATACGAGCAGGTCACGCAGGGACACAATTGAGAGAAAGGAGTAGGTTAGAGTTAATGTGACTACACGCTGTGGTACTGGTTAGATTTCGTCTTTTAGAATAAGGTGGGAAAAAAGTGAGGTGGCCGAATCTCTCAATTCCTATGTGTCTCAAGATCATCACGAGGCTCTCGCAGCCGGGAAGTATCGTACAAGTAGACACCTCCACGTCAAGGCGCGCGGAAGGCAGATATCCATAAACAGATGTCCATAATACAAAACATTCAAAAAGGAAACTCGTTGCGAAGGATGTCGCAGGCTGGGATGTCGTTCCTTCCAGAGGACTGTGGTAAACAGGTACAAGCAAATTGCCAACGCCAAGGGTCATGATTAAAAAAAAGAGCACTGGAGATCTCTCTCCTAAACCAAAGTTGGCGGCCAACCTCGAGAAGTGAAGTAGTCATTCTTCGTGTATCAGCAAACGCGCTAGATGCGCATCTCGTTGTCATCCTGCCATTCTGGTTTCGAAACCCTGTTTCTGATCCAAGTACCATGCCGTTCAATCTGTCGTGCCTCGTTTCAACCCCTTAGATAACTTTGGGCGACCGCTTATTGCTGCTCACAACATATACGATGAGCAACTAGAAAACAAAGCATGGCAAGATAGTGGGAATGCTAGGGGAGTACTAGAGGCTTACCTGATCTCCACAACATCATCGATATGGTTGGACATCGCAACGAACAGATCGAAAAACAATTTGCCACCGGCCTCCATCTCCATCTGCATGGTTCCACTCCTCTTGAAAGTCTTACGACTTCTGATGATCAGAGCTAGGTAATGAGCGCGGAGCCGCGATTCCGTGTCTGGCGTGTTATCGTAGGCATACCGAGCGGATCGCAAGATCACGTCGACCGGGATTCCACTCTGCAACCCTTGCTTTCGAAGAGCAAGAGATTTGAGATCCTCCAAGCCGTACTTCTCAGCTGCGCAATAGATGACGGTGTCCCGAAGGACATCATCACCGACGCCAGAATGAAACATTGTGGGCTCGCTGGAGCCGCGACCACCGGTTTTATGGATGTCCTGGGCGTCTTCGAGTTCCCAAGAGTTTCGGCGCCTGTTATGCAACAAGCGGGGGAAGTAGTCACCCTTGTAGAGGAATTCGAGGACACAGGACAGTGTCTCAGGTTCTCTATTGTACTGTCAGCCGAACTGTAGAAGTCTTTCCAGGTACAGACAACGCACTCGTCCGGCAGGTCCACCTGCTTCGTGCTTGCCTCCAGGAATTGTCCCTTTAGCATTTCACAGAAGAATGGCGAACGAGACAGTACATCCTCATGCGCAGCGAACAAACGCTGCTCATGACCCACCACTATAGTGACAATGGGGCTGGTGAGAGGGCTGCCGGAAGGGTCCCGTTAGTATACATTTCAAACTCGGATAGGACATTGCAATGCTGAATATCCCTCACCTCTGCAGCGGCGGACTGTCCAGTTTTTCCTGCATCTTCGCCTTCGCGTGTTCGCGATAAGTCTTCTTGACCGGCTTAACAACCTTGCCTACCCGGTCCTTTGAAGTAAACGAGCGTTTGAACATCGCGTCACGAGTGGAAGTGAAGTGGCTGTCTGAAGTAACGAACGACGAAGGGGAGGAGAAAGGCAGAAGAACCATAAATCTAAAGAGTGTAAAGGAGTTCCCTAGGAAGCCTGACGCTGCTCAACACACTTGGCATGCGGGAGCCCTGGAAGCCTTTCCAAGAGATGCCTCTTGCTGCCTTGAGAGCTACAAGAAACAAATCCAGTCCAGACTTGACGCACGCGAATCGATAGACTCACGAACGATGCAATCGGTCGACTCTGAGAAGCGTGAGGAAGAAAGGAAAGGAGCAGAGGATGGGATGCAGCGTGATATCTAGTAGCAGAGGGGCGGTCATGTGACTCGGTTCTCGAGGCGCCAATACCAATACTTAGATAGTCTAGAGCGACGATCTCCGGGCGTTGAACTTGAACTTCAGGGCGCTTCTGGCATTCTCTGGGACCGGACGGGCCGATGCGGGGCTGACTATCTCGACTACAAGGCTTGATAACTACGCTCTCCAGCAAATTATCTTCGTCAATCAAGCTAATCCATTTCATCGATATGACCATCCCTGCCTGGAACAGCGAGGACCCGTCATCGAGAAGATACAGCTAGGAACAAAGGGCACTTGCATGTCCACCTATCGTACACCACGCGGTTTCCACCGTTAAAGACAGTATTTAGGCCCAACAGGACCCACAACGAGGCGATGCCATTCCATCATGTAGGACTGATGTCTTATGCGAAAAGCATTCCGTTAAGAAGACTTCCAAGTCTCTTCCAGCCACTCACTGTGACACTTATCTCGCAATCTGCTCGAGCATACGCAACTTGAGCTCTCTGCACCTACGCATTTTGACAAGAGCCTGGGTCTTGGTGTCAGCATCGGTGCGCAGGTCCAAGGGGACAGTCGCAGAACCACGCATATGGGCATAGTGACGGTCGCGGCAGGCCTCGCCAGAGTAGTCGGCAAGAGGGTTCAGTTCTTTGATCTCGCGCGAGACGATGTCCCATTTGTACTTTTCCAGATTCCTCTGGATCCTGCGAACCTTTTCATCAGCCCGGGAGATTGCGAGCTTGAGGGCCTCGTCCTAAGCAATGTCAGCCATCAATTATGAGTACTGTTACGTTAAAGCATGCTGCACTCATGGGGGCGCTTACGTCCTTGGAGAACCAATCAATCTCTCCCGCCTTCAGAAGATTGTCAACATGATCGCGCATGGTCTTCTTCATACGACAGAAGCGCGTTCCGATGGTCTTTTGGCTGTACTCGGTCCGGCCTTCGGCAAGAAAACGTGCATGGATCTGCTTTTCAGTCCACTTGGCCAGCTTAAGGTTCCAAAGCAGTTCGTCGTCCGAATCCATCTCGGCGATGACCTTCTTGCAGTGGACCGGACGCTCTTTTTTGACCTGCGGGACTGGTTTATCGGCCGGCTTGGTATCCTCGTCAGACTCGGAGAAGTCACAGCAGCCAGGCTCGAGGAAATCACTATCAAGCAAAGTCTCAAGGTCCTATACATGATCCCGATGTCAGAAATGAAAGTTGCCATAGAGAGGATGGCTGCCAGAAGCTTACGGCGTTCAAGGCGAAATCAGCGTCGAATTCCTTGAGAAAGTCCCAGTTGTCGTCGAGCTCGTCAGCGCAGTCGGGATCGGTCTTCGCGTCCTTCGCTTTAGTCTCCGCTGGCGCTGCTGGAAGAGGGTTCTCAGGAGCCGGGCCAATGGGCTTTCCGATATCTGAGAGGAAGTCAGCACTGATACAGGGCACTTATTCGACATCCTTTGGATGCTTTCTATTCCCTTGCAAAGGGTGCAACTATCTCAAATGAGTGAAAATGGACTTACCGGCAGGATAGGTCAAGCTGTTCAGACGCTCGTGAGCAAAGTATGGGGCATCCCATCTAGGACTGTCGAGCATGCGTGCCATCATCTCCTTGGTGATGGCTGGATTGTCTGCGGTCCTTTTGATCCTGTGTTTCTCCATGTTGGCACTATCATTTCAAAACATCAGTGGAAAGAACACTTGTGGGCTAGATGGTTACCATACATGTTCAGAGTATGTCTTGGTTCACAGGTTTTGATATGAACGACGCGGTGATTGGAGGTGATCAAACAGCAGCTATCTGACTGTGAGGTGTCAGAGAGAGGGAGGAAGTGTTCCTAGCTGAACGGTGGTAAGGTTAGATATCCAAGGAGACAGACGCGCTAACGCGTTCAGGAAACCACAACAAAGAGCCCTGGAGGTCACAGTGCACTGTAAGTGAGACTGTAAGTGAGGACAGAGAGAATCTGTTGCTACTTACGTCATATGGCTAATCTGATAGATAGGTAAGCGTGGGGTTAAAGTGGTTGATTTGGTGTCCCCTAGCACTTATATCCTGGGACTTCGAACTATTTCCTGATCTGGCGTTGTATAGAGTGCCTTGGCGTAGCTAGATGCATTTCCCTCAAACCATGTATATCGTCCCAGTCGCCTCTAGGAGTCCGCCTGCCCCCGATAGGGCATACCTAGAGGAGAGATATCGTTTTGATGTATATGTCTCTGTGTATCTAATATCACATTAGCCTTCGGCTGCCTTGATCGATAAGAGCATTCATACCATATCCAACGACTGTGTCTGAGTCTTCTCACGGTACTGTCATTTATAGTGGGGGAGACACGCAAGGATGAGAGGAATCTGGCACCTATCGCCAAACAACCTTTTCGCGACCTCCAGGATATCCGTACAAACTGTAAAAGTATTTAACGAAGATTATCCACAAACAGCTACCGTGATGCCGTCCTCATGTCCTAGTCAGGTACACTCAAGCCGTATCCTTTACTATACTCTCGATCACATATACTGCAGGACAGAATCCAGTAGACTAGGAAGGCCGCCCCTATTTTCATTATTGGATAGGAGCATTGCTATATGCCTCGTTTACATAGCTGGATGGCCGTGTGAAGCGGCGATAGTGAGGACAGGGTCAAGAAAAGAGCCTTCTCGGGTCCGGCTATACTCGAGTACTAGTGGATAAGCCTTGTACCATAGCTCAAATCCATGTCGAGAATGAAAATTCGCTTTCCAGCAAGCTCAACCTTCAGCTGAGCCTTACAATACTATGTAGTCACTGTTACTCTTAAAGGATGCCAACAGGAAGTATTCTAACTAGATTTAATTTTACCATATTGACCCTGAAGGGCAGATAGTGCTAGCTGCATCGCAAATGACGAGCCAAGATTATATGCTCTGTACCTAGCTAACATGAAGAGACTGATTAACGCTTGAATGATAGCGCCTGTTTGAGTCAACTGAATAGGTAGCCTACTCGCCAAGCGCAGTCGGTTCCAGGCGTCCATGGACTATTTAACCTGATGGTTCGCTGTTATGATCAGAACATTATTTCTTCTACTTTGCAGCGGGCGAATAGAACGTAAATGCATACTTAAATATGTCGATCGGAGGTGCGCCAGTACTTGAAATATATTTTGCGATCTACGTAGCTAAGTACTACAGGAGAAGCGGTTTATTGTGTTTGCTGTATGCATAGGATTTCTTGCGTGAATATGGTCAGTAAAGTCACAGAGCAGAAACGTGTTCTAATAGTGTTAACAGATAATAGCCACTCCATCTTAATACTCGTAATACTGATATCCCATGTGATGGTGGATCTAAGTGGCTGTGCTCGATCTATGTGACATTTGATTCGCGAGGAAGCCAAGCCCAGGCTGCCCAGAGATCGTGAGGGTGTGGCTGGGCCGTGGTTATCAGTGATATCATCACGCGGGGGAGGCGGGATAAATGATCGATCAAGAATCAGGGCGGGTGCCAGATATCTGATATATTGAGCGATTTTCTTCTTGACTTTTTCTGGTATACTCTTCATTGTTTTGCTGCAATCTATTCGCGGATTTCGTTCACGACCGTTGCGTTATCGTTATTGCGCTGGCTTACTCGAGATCTATGGTAGCAGGCAGCCAACATTCCAGACTCGTCTGGGAGTGGAACTACGCCACAACGTGGACGCTCTTTATTGCCTGCGATTATCCAGAGACATTTAGTTTATACCTCCAGGCCTAAGAAACAGAACCACCATGGCAATGCAATACTTCAACCAGCTACGAGCGAAGACGCGATCTTCCCGGGCAAAGCAGCCTGATCCTGTCCTGACGGAAGAGGATGAAGCGTTCCTGCAACGCGTGACATCCCAAACAGATGCAGCACCCCTACCTGATGACGTTGCGACACAGGAATCTAATAATCAGCCGGTGGGAAAGGACGCGCAGATCGCTCTGATGGATGGCGCTCAGAATATCCCGCTGCCATTGTCACCAGCAGAAGAGGTAGGCAGGGAACTAGCAGCAGATGAAAATATCAAGAGCGAGGAGGGAGTAAAAAGTATGGGGGAAGAGCCTTCTGAATCTGCAGAGAAGGCCAAAAAGAATACACGATGGAGCTGGATGCGTAAACTGGCGAAGGACAGCAAACAGGTGCGTTAGCCATACTCTTTGGTCTGCCGTGGGATAAACATATATTGACTGTTATCACCCTTGATAGGAAAAACAGACAGCTGCAGCAGATGTGTCCGAAGTCGCCGCAGGGCTAGATAGACCCGGTCTGGATGTGAATGCGACGGGAACAGTCAGCGACGGAGAGGCGCAGCGGGAAACGGAAGATATGACTGACGTTCTCGAACGACTGAATCTGGCAGCAGTGAACAACCGTGTCTTCTCGATCAGTGACGAGACACAGGAGCTGCTTCGTAAATTCAAGCTCATCTTCAAGGATCTGATTAACGGCGTGCCCACTGCCTACCATGACCTTGAATCGCTCCTTACGAACGGAAATAAACAGCTGCAGCAAACCTACTCGCAGCTCCCCAGTTTTCTCCAGAAATTGATCGAACGACTCCCAGACAAGTGGACGGAGACCCTAGCCCCCGAGATCCTGGCTGCAGCTGCAGAGAGGGCTGGAAAGAGTGGGATCAATGTGGAGAATGCAGGCAAGGCTGCTGCAGCTGCGAGAAAGATGGGAGTGAAGGTCCCCAGCCTAAAGGAGCTGGTGGGCAAGCCGGCGGCTATCGTTGGCATGTTGCGGTCCATTATGGCCTTTCTCAGGGCTAGATTCCCTGCCGTCCTAGGCATGAACGTGCTGTGGTCCCTCGCACTATTCAGTAAGTCCATAACCCCTCCATGCCATCTATTCCACTATGAAACCTCCGTCTACTGGTGCTAACTCTTTTGACAGTTCTTTTGTTCGTGCTCTGGTACTGCCACAAGCGGGGACGAGAAGTGCGGCTAGAGAACGAGCGCATAGTGACCGAGGAGGAAATCCAGAGAATGAACGAGCAGAGCTCCGACGATAGAATCCGGAGCACTGAAACGCTCACCACGATGGCCCCTCAGGGAGCAGACCTCGAGGAAGTCCGCAGAGGTGTCCAGCAGGCTCGGGAAGCGCGTGCGGCGGCCCTCGCGGTGGCAGAGGAAAAGGAGAAAGAGAACAACAACAGCAACAATCACGACAACGAGACGAGCCTGCAATCAGCATCATCATCATCATCATCTCCACCGGCAGCAGCAAGCATTTCGTCTCAGTTCAGATTATTTTCCCGCAAGCAGAGCACCAGATCAAGCGTCCAGCCATACGCGGGGACCTAATGTCGCCTCTCTGGCCCGTCGGCTCGATGGCGCCAGCAGCTCGTGGATATTATTATTACTATTATTACATGCGTCGTTATCGATACCCTTCGAGAGAGGCCACTTGTTCAATAATCATGTTGCGTTTGAAACGGGGAGTTACCATGGTTGGATGTCGGGCGGGTCCCAAAGGGGAAACCGGGGCGGATAGAGGACCGAAAGCTAATTAACCGGACTGGATTGGCGTTCTGGAAGGAGTCGATGAATCATAGCGAACCTTGGGCAGCTTTTCTGTAAACGAGTTGATCGACGTTGACAACATACCATAGTCAAGTAGACCCGATGTTGCGCGTAAAGAATAAATCACCTACCATAAATACTACTCTACTAGTTAACGATCAATGTGAACCCTTACAACTTAGAAGATCAGACGTCCGCGCGGGGGGCATTGACCAATGGGACCAGGCCTGGGCCTGCATTGCCACCTGACCGGACTTTTGCCGCCAAAACGCGCCGCCGCAGATCGTGAAGTAAGCAAAAAAGACAAATCCCCACTGATGGACCTAAGAAAAGGAAAGAGAGAGAAAAAAAAAAAAAAAGAAGAGTTGTACTGCTGCATAGCCATCACTGCGGAGTAGTTGTCGAGTAGTTTGTATTATTACAGCGGGGCGGGAAGGAGGAAAAAAAAAGAGGACAACGAAGTAAGAACGATCCAGAGCGGAGCCGCCGGTTGGTTTTGCTGTCGCCTCCTGAGAAAGAAAGTCCCCGAGGGCGAAAAAGGGCAGTACTAGTATAATTGTTTTTACACATAGGATATCCGGTGGCAGGATATTACCGCTCGCCCCGTGAGGTCAATTTCTATATTTTGCGTCAAGATAAGAAGGAGAAGTAAAGAATAGAAAGTCTATTCGCACGGACCGCGGCCAGGCCATGTGGAAAAAGCACTCGATGACTGTATTATTCCCCGAGGCGTTCGATCTCAGCCTGTTTTTTGTTCGTCCATCGCAAAAGGCAAAACTGACAGCTCATCCCGGCGTTTCCTGCCAACCTTTGCAGTATGTGAATCTGAACTGGTTCGGAATCGGGACATGCAGGTTAGCCATTGGCGCAGGCAGACAGCCCGATCCAGTAAGATGATTCATGGGCCGGTTTGATGACGAGCGGCGTGGGCCAATGATGCCACAGCAAAAGCATGCAATGGAGAAGTCTGAATCCTCTGAATCACCATTCTTCGCAGCGTATCCGTAGTTGTACCAAGTTGGCTCATGTATCGATCCTATGCCATAACAGGATATGGTACTGTACCATACTCGTCTGCGATCTGAGCAGGCAGCACGGGGCGATAGGCGCTCCTGACGTCTGGGACAGAGCTCGTGCTTTTCCCGGTGCTCTGGTGGACTGGCCGCACGAGGCGGGTCAACGGTTGGAGTATCAGGTCTTGTGCTTGTCGTTCTGCCTGTTTTGCTCTGCTCCATTTGGCCCTGCAGGGCCATGACGGTCGATGCAAGTCATTGACCGGAGATTTCTAGTCCATCAACAGTGCCAGACCATCATCGCAATTGTCTTGTCTCGTCTAGTTAGTGATTCTAGCATAGTTGGTCGTTAGTGGTCAGATGCTGGACGATCTGCGTAGTATCGGATCTAGAGCAGCTACCGTGTCCTTGAGGCTTGACGGATGAGTCGACGCCAGCGAGCGGGCCTGTCTGTCTGTCTGTCTGTCTGTGACTCTTGTGTGTCGTGTATTCATCACTGGCTCACCAAACCATGTCCGGATGGGGTGTCCAGCTTGTCGGGGACAGACTTCGCCTAGGCTCCCCCACCAGAACAAGAATACCATCTGCTGCGAATCATCCAGATCGCAGACTCCAGCCCGATCATCGAGGATCAATGCGATTCTCATCCAGTAGAGCGGTCCAAACGGGGCGGTCAAAGGCATCTGGTCGATTGTCTGATTGTATCTCACATCGCCGTCTCTTTCTTCTGCCGGGGCGTGACAAGTACCTGAGGCTGCCGCGGTGTGATTGGCCCGCGGGAGGGTGAAAAAGATGCGGTGAGGCGAACGGGCCAATGAGGGGCAGACTCCACATGGCGCCAAAAAAGGGTTCCGCCTGCAGCCTCCAGTATGCTTTTCCCGCGCGAGATCTTCGACTTTTCCCCTTCCTTTCCTCTTCCTCTCTCCCCTCTTCCAGCTTCGTCCTCCCCTCTGTGAGATTATCGCATCTTCGATTTCCAAACCTCCCCCTTATCAAATTCGAGTTTTACCTGTCCCAGATATCGTCGAGAAATCCGCCAAATGGCTTTCGCTGAGCTGTAAAGTCCTCACTGGGGAGCATGTCCGCATGCCCCCCAGTCCAGACAGCTCATCAAGTATTTCAATTCGACTCGACGATATCTGCTCCTCTTTCGACGCTTGTTCGGCACGTCGAAATTGCCCCTAGGTACGATCACGGAAGAGACACTTCGACGTCCGCCAGAGGACCCCGGGGTGTATTCCCAGCGCAGATAAAACTCTTTATCATCCTTTCGATAACCCCCCTCCACCCCTCTTATCCGGTCCGCTCCTCAATTCTCCTACGATCCATCGACCCCTTCTTATCTATATACCGCCTCACCTCATATCGATATCAATTGACGACTCGAAATAATAGACCAGTGATTCACTTGCACAATTAAAGCAGCATCCTGTACATCCAATATCACAGGACAACAAACCTTGACAGCGCCCCGCATCACAGAAAAATTTACACTCGAGCAGGACACGCTCGCAACATTCACAATGCCGCAAACTCACTCACATTCGTCGCGGAAGTCGCCAAAGAGCGCGGCCAAGAATAACCGCGCCAATCTGATGGCATACCTCGATGCAACCTCCGGCAAAAGCGCAAACCGCTCCGGAGAGAAGTCCAAGGGAGCTACCCTTGGTCACATGAACAGGAAGAGAAAGTCCTCTTCCTCTGTTTCAAGCGTCTCGTCCCTGTCTAGTGTGGATGAGCTCAGCGATGAAGAAGACGGATCAGAAGACGCCGACGACGAAGACGATACGGCCCCGTCTCATGATGTACACAAACACAAAGGATCTAAGACGGGGTCTAAGTCTTTCTCTGCGAGGAAGAAGGCGAAACTCTCAGACGATGACGGCTATGAAGGCCAGCAGAGCAATGTGGACAGTGACTCTGACAGCTCCGACGACGACTATGCAGCCGTCGATGAGATCATGGATGCGGATGATGAAGACCAGGAGCTGGAAAAATTAGAAGAACAACTGATTGTAGAGTCTGAGGATGAGCACAATTTCGATGGCATCCTGACTATTTCCGACAACACCGTCCCTGACGAATGGGCTGGCCTGGGATCGTTGGACAACCACATGCTCTTTTCCACGACCTCCCTCTTGGATGAGGAGCAGCTCTACGCGGCTTTGGAGACATTCGGTGAGACTGACATGGCTAGTGAGACCGTCGAGACACCAGTGCAGCGAAGGGTGCATTTCCAAGAGGACTCCGACTCCTCCTCGGACAGCGAAGCGTCCGACGACGAGATCCCGGGCGACTTCTTGCAACAGGATAGCCTCGATCCCGATCTTCGACGGATGATTGAAAATGATAATTTTGACAACCATGGTCAGCGTTCCGATGACATCTTCGGAGAGTACGAATTCGGTCAGGGCAACATCTACCACGCCGAGTCGGATGCCATATCCGAAGAGTCCAGCGGTTATGAGAGTATGTACACGAATGCGATAGAGTCTCGTCCTTGCTAACCCTCTTTAGCCGATGACGGTGAAACCACAGACGAAGATCTCCCTCCTCCCGCGACCATCACCCATCCTCGCTCTATCTTGCGTCGGGACTCGACCGTCTCCCTTACGGCCCCTGACGATACCGCTGCTCGGCGATCCCAGCCTCCCCGTCGCCGTGGCCCCATTATGGGATCCTTCATTCCGGATCCCCACAAACCAGTGGCCCTTGTTGACTGCACCGGGAAGCACTTGGTCATTATTCCCGCCTACGCTTCATCGCGGCATGATTGGCTTGAGTCTGCCACCAACAGCATGTGCGGCACTGCCAACAACAGCCCGCGTGCGACCACGATGCAGCTGGTTGACGAGAGTGACACGGATGCCCTGGTGTCCCCTAGTCGTCCGGATCTCAGCCCAATGCTGACCTCGAGTGCCAACCTGATGATGACCGCGCTCGGAAACGACGCTACACCGGGCGGTCAAGTCATGGGTCCTCCCGAAGCTTTCTATCCTTCCCGTGATTTCGGGATGGATAGTTCATTTGATGAGGAGGATGACGATGATGATGAAGCTGCGCTGAACGTCGATGACTTCATCGACTTTGGCAATGGTTCGTCTGACGAAGAGACAGACCGGCCCTTTGACGATGGCCTCCCCTCGCCAATGGTCGCGTCATCTGTTCAGGGAGCTGGCACTCCGACACCCAACCGGAATGGTGATGCACACCAGGGTAGCAGTGCAGAGCGGTTCTTGAACCACTTGGACAGAGGTATCGTCACGGCATTCCGCCGGAACCACAACCGATACCAGACTTTGATCAGGCTGCCCCAGCACCGCGAGTTCATGCCAGCCAACTCCCCTTCTCGCCCGGCGAGTGTCTTCAGACATTCCAGGCATATGGACCCGAAGACACCTTCCCGCAAGCGCAAGTCGAGCAGCTACGCTGGCGGAGAAGCTGTCCGGCGCAAGCTCATGGATGCTCATAGAAGAACTCAGCTGCCCTTCTAGCTGCAGTCATACTCTTCTTTGTTCTATCGGGTATGAAACTCGATCTTGCGATTGACGAAGCCGTCACTCTACTCGTCAGGCCTAGCCTCTTGGCGGGTTCTTGACGGTTTCCTAATTGCTAAATAACTCTTTCTTTCTACAAGCACAGAGCTTAAACGAAAAGAAAAAAAATATTTAACCTTCATGATGTTGATTGTGTTACTATGGGAAAGATGCTTCCTTGGCCTGCCACGGATAGAGCATGGTTCTCACGGACGCTTACGAAGTAACTGACGAATAAAAAGGGGCGAAAAAAGGAGTGTGATTGATGCAATTCTTTGTGTGACGAGTTTCCTTTTTCTGTTTTCTTTCCTACGGCGCCACACATCTGATCTGTATTGAGGAAGTCAGTCTAGAGTCAGGCTGTGGTAGTTTCGCGACTTAAAAGTCTGATCTGAGCAACGATTTCTAGGATTCTTTCCTAAGGAAAATGTCCGAAGTCGAGGGGTTTGGGTAATTTCCTCTCTGTTTGTATACAGCGCGATACCTCGGGGTTTAAAGTACATGGCGGTTTCGGAATCTTTGTTTTCCCTGTTTTTCGTGCACGTTTGATTATGAGAAATTTGAATACAAAAAAGTTTAACAATAAAACTTTGTAGATTTCCTAACTGTCAACATAACCATAGCTTGATTCATATGTACGTACATTTCTACCTACCACGACGGATGCACCCCTAAAAGGTTTACGGCAAGGACTAGCGCTAGAATTATCGTACGTCTCAGAGAAAAACGGACAGAATAGGAACCTGCCACTTCCGAGGTAACCGGATAACCACCTCGTTCGAAGAATGAATAGTTTAGCGGAGTAGTTACTTAGTCCGCGAGTTTTAAGTACCTAGGTATGAAGCACATGATGGAACATGCCAAGAAACGGAAATACTACTCTTCTATTTTTGGATCAGGAACCATAAGAACCTAGAAGGGTAGGATGGAAAATTGCGTTTCGGAGTTTTTTTTTTTTTTTTTTTTTTTTTTTTTTTTTTTTTTTTTTTTCTCTTCTCGGGGATTAAAGTGGTTGTTCGTTGAGTATAACCACGACAAATCAGAATCTGCATTATCAATCTTTTGTATAGTTGCAATGGCTAGTGCTTTGGACAGTGTAATCTACTCAGCGATGAAGTTCTAGGAACTTCTTTCTAAATAGCTGCTCAAAGCTAGACATTGACAAGATACTCCTAAGCGATACTCGGATAGAAGTACGGCACGACACTGAATCCTTGTTAATAATATGTCGGTAGATATTAATATTGCAGCGGACTATAACTATTAAATGGATACACTAACTAGTCTGTACCTTGCCTTATTTAGGTAGGGGACATGGAAGAGATGTGAGTTCAGCAACTAAAACCAGATACTAATCCATTTTGAGCCTCTTTATAGAAAAGAAACGGAAATGTTGGGGGGAACTGAACCGCCGAGCGCCGTAGTTCCTGGGCTGGAGCTTAGGCTGCATCTTCGTATAATCCTATACAATCAAGGCTTCAGGTTCTTGATTGGACCAACAAATGTGCCATACACCGTCATGTGAACGCCTGAACTATGATCATTCCGCAACAGGAGCGTCTTCTCAATGACCCTGGTCATGATCAGTTCTCGGCTACAACTCCAGATACTGAAGATTCGATGCTGCAAGCCACCACCGGTAAAAATAGTAAACAGAAACCTAATTGAACAGTATCACGGGGGTCCATTGGACGGCATCAAGTTTCCCCCGTGTTCGCGAGGCACAAACAGTTTCACGTCGAAGCGCCCGGCATTGTCCGGCAGTTTTTCGCTGGCTGCAATGGCCCCTGACAAGCATCAGACGAAGCTGGGGGTAGACTATGTTCTTGATCGATATTTGATGCTGTCTAATCCGGTCAAGGTATGGTGAGTTGGTATAGTAGCATTCTGAAAGTAGGAAGAGAGTTGGGATCTTGGGGAGTTACAGAGATCTGCAAAGGGAAGGGAAGGTCGTGGGTGCACGGCCCCAGGGGCACAAAACGTTCGGATCGGATCGTCGTCCGTCCATCGTACATCGCACATCTTACATTGATCTCTTCGATCAAATCCAATCATTGGAGACTATTACAACACTGAAAATACGAGTTCAAGACCATCTCGCTCGGGTTTATGGTGTTTGATAACCTGTCGCCGGTGGAAAGTCTGCGCATACATACATAAGCGACCTCAAGTTGACCTCGCTTAGACAGAGCTCTCAAGGATCCAGTTTCTTCCGACTAGACTGCAGCTGTCGCCAAACTTAGTATCCCTCCCATTACTGTCATGGGATATGGTGAAGCCCTCTGAAAAGAGTTCTCTGCGTGCCCCCTGTTTCATGGAGAGTTTCACGTTATCCATTTGGGACCATGGTTCCCGATACTGCTTGGTCGTGTAGAATCATCGAAGCCCCTGATGTTTGTTTATTCCTGTCATGACAGCAGACAGATATAGCAGCCATGCTCAAAACCACCAAAAATGTTCTATCGTGTGGTTCCTTCGATGCATTATGTTGTTCGCACGGTTGTAGACTCTACCTCATCCAGTATGGATGGTAGATATGGATCTCTCCTCTGTGACCACGTTCTGGGTCGGTCACTAGCTGGCTGGCTTGAGCACACTAGTCTGGGCCAACTTTACTAAACTTTGCTTCCAGGATTTTCACCTGGTTCCTGCATTAGTGGCAGTTCGCGGGCCTTCATTGGGTGGCCAAGTTTATGTGATTGTTTCGAACATCGACTTTGGTCTAGTCATCGATTCTACATGCCTGACTCTGAAGGAGCCGACTTCAGAATGTCTTACAATACGGTTCGCTAATGCCAGAAGTGGCGGATTTAGTGGATTCACTGCATAGCATTGCTTCCGGGCTTGGTCTGTGACTCCTATACACCAGAACGATGTTATAGATGCCTCGAACATATTAAGGCTATATATGCCTCGACGACTCTTTTCAATCTGGCCAGCACCTCCGCAGACATCTCCGTCTTTACACTTGCAGTTTCCTTCAGGGCTGCTACATTCGTTCTTTTTTAACAACAATTCTTTGACAGAGATCAGATTTCTTTTCTTTTGCCGTTGCTGGTATACAGCAGCAAGACAATATCACTTTCCTTTCTTTTATTGTCAGCATCTGTTGAACAGTCTTTCGCTGAGAAAATATTCCTTCACCATGAAGGTCTCTACTTCTGCCTCTCTTGCTTACTTTTTGGCCTTCCAGCAAGCTACTGCTACTGTGCGTTGTCCCATGACGCCGGTCACTCCCCTGCACCCAGGATGAATATGCTGACATGATTAGTTCTGGGGCACGGATACCTTCTTCCCCAGTCCGGAGAACTGTGACAACAAATGTACAGCCGACCAGGAAAGTGGCTTCGATTGGGCTGAACTTGCTACCGGCTCCTTCTCCTCCTATGGTGGCTTCAGCTTCTCCGGGTTCACCTGCAGTGACAAATTCTCCGGCGGCTCATTCGGGAGATTCCGCCCTAGAGGGTCATCCAGCGGATTCCAGGTAGGATCGATGCTTCTCCAGGACGAAGCATAATTCTGACTATCCTTGTGTAGGACAAATGCATCCAAGGGAAAATTTCGAAGGATGCCACCAGCGGACCGAAGGTCAGCTGCGGTGCCGATCAGAAATTCTCCATCAGCAAAATGCAGGTATCTGTTTCGAAGAAAACTGACGTGAACTTCCTCTATGGAATGCCGGACGGTTCGACTTGCAAACAAACTGCCTCTTGCTCCTCCGAAGGCACTGAAGTCACAAACAGCCAGTGTGGTGGTGCCACTAGCGTCAGCTTCCACATCCCAGACAATGGCGACTCTGACGAGTGCGACTTTGGTATCCACAGCATGGGTTTCGACTGCTCGCCTTCGAAGCAAACTTCCACACCGTCCTCCCACTCCTCGGCCCCTAAGACGACTACAGCTGCTGTTGGAACAACCTCCGCAAGCTCCGTGGTTGTTTCATCTACTTTTGCCTCATCTTCATCTGCTGCTTCGGTCCCAGCAGTGCCAGCTTCGTCTGCGGAAAGCTCTTCTGCTATTACTTCTCCTGCTGCAACCTCTTCAGCCCTGAAGCTTACAACCTCGACTGTGTTCACTACTAGCGAAATTACTATCACGAGCTGTGCTCCTACCATAACTGATTGCCCGGCTCGATCTACTGTCGTTGTTACATCTACTATTCCTGTTTCCACGACTATCTGCCCTGTGACTGAGACTGAAGTTGCTTCTTCAGTTGCTGTGTCTCCATCAGCAGCCCCTAGTGGCAATCTTGCCTCGCCTACTGCTTCTGGTGTTAGCCCCGTGGCTGAGACAACTTCTGCTGGAACCACTGCTGTTGGAATATCGCCATCTGTTAGCTCCGCAGTCGCCTCTAGCATTGCTGCCACAACACCGGCCGCGTCCTCTCCTGTCGAAGGTGTTACTACTACAGAAATCACTGTAGTCACCATCACTACTTGCCCTGTGACTTCCGTTATCACCTCTGCTGGCGCTACCAGTACTTCCGTCTTCAGCACTGTCTCGACGGTGACTCTGACGACCACCTCGATCGTTGGAGCATCTACCACCTTTGTTCCTGCTGCTTCTCCCACTGGCAACTCTGCTGTTACTGCGTCCGCTGGTTCTGGGACCAGTGCCGTTGCTCCTGCGCAAACTTCGTCGTCCGCTGTGCCCAGCTCTGCTTGCCCGAATGTTGTCCCCAAGTGTATCAACACCTGGCTTGGCTCCCTACCCAAGTGCACCTCCAACAGCGACACTAGCTGCTTCTGCCCATCTTCCAGCTTCACCAGCAATGTTATCCAGTGTATCCAGTCATGGGCCTCTTCGGACTCTGAGCTCCAGGCGGCTCTCTCCTACTTCACCGGAATCTGCGCGCCTTACGTTCCCCAGAACCCTGGCATCGTCACTGCTCTTCCGACCACGGTCACCTTGATCCCTGCCCCCGGGGCTAGCGGTGTCAGCCCCGAAACTGCTGCAGTGACTGCAGCTCCCAAGACCACCATCACTTACTCCTCCATCACGGTCACCGTTCCCATGGTCGGCTTCACCACTTCGACCGAAGGAGCGTCAACCGCTACTGTCGGCTTGATTCCCGTCACTTCCCAAGTTGCAGTTACTTCCCAAGTTGCAGTCATCCCTACGCCTACGGGCAAGTACCCGATCATGGGAAGTTCCTCTCGCGCTGCCTTCGGCACTGGCGCCGGTGCCTTTGCATCCCCTACCTCGTCCGCCATTCCTTTCACTGGTGCTGCCTCTTCTTTGGGCGCAAGCAAGTGTTTCTTCTGGCTTTCCACTGCTGCTGCAGTCCTTGCGGGCATGTTACACTTCTAGACGCACCTGCACTAAACCCCGTGTATCATATTGCCAGTTCTGTTTTTTCTTGTATCCCCCGCCCCCTTTTTTTTCGTTTACTTATCTGCTCTAATGCGAATATCTCTTTTTTCAACGTGACTCGTCTAATAACACGCACACAATGCAAAATCCTACTGAGTTTCATTTCTTACGCTCCTTATGAGGATCCGCTGTATGACAGGACGATATTTTCCTTTATGTCATGCCGGGTCTTTCGTCAGTATAATATAATGTATTCTTAATGCCCTATGTCTATATAATAGTTTCAACCTGAGAATGAACAAAAACGAGCGCAGTTCTTCTTATTGTCTGGCTCGGATAACATCTTTGTTTTGCGTCAACTATAGGGGTAAACCTTGATAGGTATATACATACATAAATGTATAGTGGTATGGGTATGGGTATGGGTATAGGTATCAGCATATAAAAAATCAATTGAAACGAGTTCCAGCTCAAACTCCAATACCTTCCTCCCATGGCGCCTGCGCCCGAATATAGCTTACTCCATGAACGTACCTACTCAACATCGGCTCCTCGTCCACTGCACAATGCGGCTTTTTATCACGACCCTTGAACCATCCTAGACCATACCGCTTCTTTTTCGCAGCGAGCAGAGCTTCCATTTCACTGTTATTAAACCGTTCCGTCCCGACGAAATCATCGAGCATTCGTGACTGGTAGATGAAAGCCAATATGGATGCGATGGTAGATGGTTGACGAGGGAGGAAGGCGTGTCTCCTTTGGGCTAAGACGAGAGATGCAGAAAGGATGAGAAATGCAGTAATGAGTATGGAGAGAGTGGAAGATACGATGAATGATCGAGGTGTTTCATCCTTTAGGTAGAGTGATGATGCGGTAACTGTGAGGATGTCGCCCATGATAGAACCCAGACCGAGGAGCGCGACGAGATAGTGTCTGTTGAAGAAGGCTTGGAATGGGAGGAGACCGTAGGGTGTGCCCTTGTAGTCGAGGGTTAGGGTCAGTTCAGGTCGCGCGTTACCTCTGGAGAGGATGTAGAAGGGTTCGAGCATCCGGACTGAGAATTCCAGCGTGCTCCAGAACTGTTTGATGATTGTTGTGATGAGCGTGGGTAGCCAGGGCACTTTGGCCACGACGACATTCACGTCTGTGTAAGTGATGATTGGGATTAATGCGAGAAAGATGATCAATAAAGTGATGAATGCTATGCTGGGGTTTCGTCGGAGGATCATGGGATGTGGATTCTCGACTTTATGCAGCTCCGTGTATGACAGATCTGATTCCGCGCGTCTCATATACTCGCCCTGCCAAATGGTGGATTTGTAAAGAAGGTAGTGTCGGTTCTTGAGCTTTTTATGGATTTCGTCCTCTCGTGCCTCTTCCATCCCGGTGAAGTCTGTGAGGATGTGAGATCTTGTAGCCATGGATGCGATGCCGGCGATGCCTTTCGGGTCGGTCAGAAGACCGGATTTCCTTCGAAGTTGGAACAGGAGAACCAGAGCAAAGATGGCCACGAGGATGAGACAAGCTGTGAGGATTCGAGACCATACTGGATGTATCTGGACGAAGAATTTATGCTGTCCGTGGCACTGGCGCTTAGTATCGCACATGGGATTCGGTATTGGAGCCACTGAAGGGTTTTGCAGCGAGGGTGCCACAGTGGTAGCTAGTACTGTGCCAAACGAAGAGACGAAGACAGCCCAATGTCGATATTGTAAAGCTTTGTATGGAACAAGGTAAGACCAAAGGGAGATATAGTCGAGATTAATGGTCTTTGCGGCGGTGTTGCCCATGGGCTGTGAAAGCTGATAGTACGGCTCCAGACGTTTAACTTCGTAGTCCGTGATCTGCCATAACACGCCATAGCTGACCATCACTATAGTCGGGAGGTATTTCCAGCAGAAGAACTCTGCAGTAGGAATATCAGAGACGCTGTCGTAGCTTATCAGGCCGGTTCCTTCGTTTTCGAGCGCCATTGATCTTTGACATAGGTACTCCTGCACAATGGCTAGAGTAAGAGAGACCAGAACAAGCATAATGATATAGATACTACTCATTGGAAATGGTTTCCAATCCGGTTGCTCTGGGTCCGATGGATAGAAGTAACTTTTCTGTACAAGGTTGTTCGTCGAAGTTTTGCTCAGCAGAGAGCCGCTGCTGCTAGATTCTGGGTATCCTGTGCCTTCCAGAGAGCTCAAGTCTATCGTTGGCGGGGATTCCTTGACGGAAACAATTATGTTGTTCTTCTCTGCCAGTTGTTGCCCGTATCGTCGGACCGTGGCGGTCCTGTCGAGACTTGCACGTTTGGATTCACGCTGAGGTCGCAGACTATGAGGCCTCTCGGGCCCCCCCAACACAGGACCAACACTGAGTTCCGCCCCTACTCGCACTCTATCTCCGAGCTTGATGCGACTATCAATTGTTGGTGCTTCCTGGTTGTCGGAGGCTTGATCCTCCGACGCACGATTCCATTTGATGTTTAGAGGACCTTCAAAGAAGGAGATGTCGACAAGCTCTGCATCTCCTGGTTTGTCGTCGGCCAGATAATCCAGGGCCTCATAAGCGCTTCTTCTAGATTTACTCGATTGAAAGCTCAAGTTAGACCGTAGATCTGGCGATCTCAGCGGACCAAGTCGTCCCAAGATAGACTTTGACCTTGATACATGTGTCAAACTCGTCGACCGTTGGGCTCTTGGACCACTGGGGCTCTCCAGCGGGTAATGTTCAGTTTGATCCTCCAAGGGAGATAGTGGCACTCTAGTTTCTCTAAGCAGTGGTTTAGATGCAGGGGCAGGAAGTAGGTTGCCGGCATATTGGTGGTCATGGTCGTTCTTTTCTGAATGTTCGGCATGCAAGAGGCCTCCAGTTTCGCAGTCTGTTCCATCAGGACGAGTATCTATCTGTAGAGGAAATGACACCCGTCTGTTATTGATGGCTGCTGCATAGTTTCGAGAGAACCTAAGACTTTGCACGCTTCTTCCTTCCGAACTGTCTTGCGAAATGGTCCTCGAAACTTCAATTTCGGGGATCCTGTCGAGTCCTAGATGGCCGGATATTGTTCGACGCTGGGATGCAGATCTGGTTCTATCACTGGCGGGAGTATACCTAGACCTGGTGTCCACGGGATTCTTCGATTGCCGTTCTGATTCCGGTGAAGAATCTCTGATACGTATTGTAGGTAGTTCTATGCTGGTGAGTTGCTTAGAGGCCATTGTAGCTGGTGGTCGACATGCTATCCAGTGTATGGTAGCCGTGCAGCAAAATACCCGGTCGACTGAGCGTGCAGCGTTAAACTATCGAGTTCGCGGGAAACGAATGAACAGTTGGTCTTCGCGCTAGGAATTGCGTGAAATTAGATCGCTGAACTTGAATATCAGCAGCTGAAGCGACGGAAACGAGGCAAGGACGTACTTGAAAGAGTGTCCGAACAAAGACAGAAGATATATACAAAGGAGCTATTCGATAGGATTTATGTGATTATAGGTCCAATCTGGTTTATCTTGTGAGTCTGGTCTGATACCAGGACCACATTCGAACCAGGAAGGGAAGGACGCGACCGTTAGGTACCTACGTATGTAGCGATCGTATGTATGTAGTTGGGCTAGAGATTCCAAATAATCAGGGCGTAATCAACCCATGCAGATTCAAACAACGAACCCAGATGCCACCGCTGCAGACTGCTTGGTCGAGTCATTTTGTTTCGCTTGAATCAAGCAGACAGAGTCTCTAATCGTCGCCTCCGTATGGTGATAGTACCCTCTAACCTAAACGCCCTGATCTGACGCAGGTGTGTCTCACAAAAGTACCACACCAATGATTTCAGGCGGAATACCAGTGAAATCAGTCGCATTAATAGAGTAAGAGTTTGTGGGCGCTATCTGCACCAATTGATTGACGAGGCGACTCCAAGATTGACTGGCTACAAGTCACTAAATCTATAATTGCCAACCTGGGGCCGAAAATGGGCGCTCTACGCGCCCCGCGAAGATAGATCACAACGACAGCCGTAGCAACGGTCTTATCCTGTCCCTTGATCTCTATTAAGCACGTGAATTCTATGGGGACAATGAAAATCACTTTTTCATTCCATCCATCGTGATTATCATCATAGTGGGCCAGGTATTCTTTGAGTTCTGCTTCACCACTATCCCCGATTCGGTAAATAGAGTATATTTTCTGGCGGGACTTGCTACCGTCACCGTTTCTATCAACAGAAGCTCATTGTTAATGCGAGTAAGTACGTGATATATGTCTTATTATCATAGGCCTAGCTGGTATTATATATACACATTTTATTTCGTAGACGGGTTCGGGCTAACGGTGTTGTCAGGGAACTTGCGGAAGAAATCCGCAATATGATCAATCGGCGCCATCAAGAGACCGACAGCGGTCTCAAATGGTGGCTTGTTCGGAGCACTGGGGTGCGATCGAGACGGTACGAGGGCCTTCATCCGGCCAAATTGCTTCGAGAGCCCTTCGCTCTCCTCTGCGGTCAGAGCCTCCTCGAGCTTGATGAGGTCGTGCGTCTCCTCCTCTTTGATATGCTGAGCGAGATCCTGCATCAGGGCCTTGATGGTGGGGATAAATGCGGGATCCGATACATGGAGGTTCTGGAATTTCTTCAATTCTTCCTTGACCTGTCCGCGCGTCAGTATTGGTTCTTGTCAACTGCACCAGCCAAGAATACAAGATAACCGTCTCTTGGAGAGGACTTACCGTTTGATGTTCTCCACGATCCTTCTCTGCCATGGCATGGCCATCTTTCAGGTGCTTCTCGAATGCAGGATAGACGACCAATTCCTCTCCGTGGGAGTGACGAGCTAGCTCCCAGGTGAACTGATTCTGGAAACGCGTCTGCTCTTCCGGGTCTGTGGAGTTGATAATCTTGTCATAGTAAGCCTCCAGATCGCGGTGATCCTGCTTAATGGTGTCCATAATGCGAGGCGTCATGTTTTCTGATGCAGCGGCGAAGAAACGCACTGAACGAGTCGGATTTGCTATGCAGGAAGCGACGGGCTTGGTTGCCTGCTTGGAGATATAAGTTCTCAACAGACTGGACGAGAACATGAGGATATTATAGATGGATTATTATGAAGGTAAACCGGTAGGGAGTCTTTGACAACTTAAATGAATTCGGTTTTCTTTTTCTCAGCAATGTCCGGTCCCGTATCTCTCCTCTTAACCCCTCCTTTATACCCAAATTGACTGTCACCGCGTAAGTAAAACCATGTCCAGCTACATCATGATGAGGATGTTGGAAACAGGGTCCATCCCATTGGTTACCCCATCGCCCACTGACTGCTGGGCTTGAAGATCTCGATAAACTCGACACATGCTATGGATGTCAATTGCCAGATACCATATTCCTCACGTCAGCATTCCTTCATCAGTACGCCACTTGGGCTGTTCTCCCGGGCCTGTTTACAAACACGGCGAAGTCAATTGACTGTCTGTGACCATGCTTGGGGAAGCGTTGTCCTTGGCGAGGCTTTCTTGGTCGTGATCGGTACGTCAGTATGAATGGAACCAAGAACTTGAAGCAGCGGTTAGTATCACGTGATATTATACATTCTCCATCCAAACGGCTGTTACTTCCTTCCAATCATCTTTTGCAGATTTGATCTTTGGCTTAACGATTGTAACTAGCAAGAAACGGTGTTGTTGGCCATTTGAAACCAGCTGGACTTCATTGGTACTTCAATGGTTGTTGCTCCTTGGAATTCACTGCTCCTCCGGATCCAAGTTCTAGACTAGACCCCGCCAGGCATTTACGTGATTTAGCTCATCGTTCGGGATTCTCTCCCGGGATACGAATAATAATGCACAGATCAGTGCAAAGCCTGCTGCCATATAGATTCAGTTGGATCATCTCGGGCTCTATGCATTGAGACAACTTGGAGAGGATCGACCGGAATGCTGAAGACCATAAGTTTGGTCATCAATCTTGCGTTGGGGATGATTGCATTCAATTATATTCATAACGAAGCTCTACGAAGGAGCTGATTCGAAAAGGGAGTGTCGTGAATTCATCATCCATGTATCAATTTAAATTAACACACATCTCAACAGCAACAGGTTTCCGCATGAACAGCTCCATTTCAACAACCCAAAATCAACCAAACACCAAAGCTCTCACTTCGATACTCTCCCTAGGCTTCGCGCCAACCGGCGTTCGCTGGTCCGTGAAAGCAGTATGCGGCACTCTTTGCGCGACTCCTTCCTGGGTATCGGAACACTTCAAGAACAACCGCTCGTGGTTATCCATCCCGGACAGATACATCCATTTCTGGTTCGGGTTGTACTTGACGCCCATGATCTCTCCCGTGCGATGAGGGTATCGATGCTGGATCGGGACCAGATCGTTCGGATCCACCGAATCTGCAGATGCGAATGCTAGCGGAGAGCCCTGCACGACACCGTTCAACGGCCGCCAGACGTTGATGATCCGATAGCGGCCCTTGAGCAACTCCTCTGCCTTCTTGGGGTCCTGGACATGCAACCGCACACGATCCTCTGCTGCTTTGACGGTCTGGTCAACGTGCGCGCGATTCACCGGCTGTCGCGGTGCATTGGGATCTTGTCGCCGGATGGTGTGATCGAAGAGAATGACGCTGTGTGCGCCAGGGACGTTGTCCAGGAGCAACTTCTCCACCTCGGGATAATAGACCTTTTGGACCTCTTCATCGGAGTTGAAGGTCTCGTATGTAGTCGCCGTCGGGACGTTCTGGAGGACTTGGAAGGCGTCCTTGTCGAGGTTATATTCGCTCTCGTGGCCGCGGACGTCGGTCAAATGGACCTTCTGTAACCCTTCGCCGTAGTTGCGCTCGGGCTCGCCCTCAGGCGGCTGTTCGACATAGTTAAATGGCACCGAGCCATCAGCGGGAGGGACGAAGAAGGTCAGTTCCGTCTCGACGGGGCCGCGGGGGACGTAGTTCGGATCAGACGCGGAGCCGGCCAGCGTCGTGGAATTGGTCGTTGACGTTGCCGTAGCCATGTTGCGTGTGTTTGTGTGGTGAAGAAGACCAGGTGTAGCTCTCACGGAGCCAAGAGCACTGTCCGTATATCGGCGGGAATAAAGAGATAACTTCGGATGCGGGGAGATGCGAGGAGTACCGGCGAGCTCTATTCCAGAGCGTAGCGTCGATCTAAACAGCGTCCGAAAGGTAGCCACAGTTGTAGTAGAGAATCCTAATATTGAAGATGAAACCAGAATATAGACAGATTCAGTATGTATGACGAAATTCAAAGCCAAGGATGCTAGTTACCAGCCTTTTATAACAGAAGGTCCGGTAATATATATAAGTTAACCTCGAATTTGCCTCCGAGTGGAAAGAGAAGAAAGAAGATCGATGTGTTTCTTTGGCTTACAATAATATCTCCGGAAATTTGTAATCATTCCCGACCTAGTCAACTAATCGTTCGCTATTCTCGCCGAGAGTGCCGCCCAAAATATTCCGACAGATTTAGCTGGTGCTTTGATCTTTCTTTTGGATTCACTGGCTATGTCACTAGGCAAATATCTGACTATTATTCTATCTATCTGAATCCCATAATAACTGGTTGACTGTTGAGTGTTCTGTATCTTAAATCCGAGTGGGAGGGCAACTTTTTATCGTAGACGTCATCTCCCGCAGGCTCCTTCTTACTGGTCGAGAAACTAGCGAATTTGAAGTATCACCTAAGCTTCCAGTTAACTTACAAATAGTTATACGATATAACTGCCTAGGTGCTTTAGATATAAGTTCTTTGTATTACAAAAGTCAGTAAAGGATTAAGTTAATATCCCCCTAGATCTAATTTAAGTAAGCAAGTAACCTAGCTAACTATTAGCCGGGAATTTAAATTATACTATCACTTCTATGCTATTAGCATTCGACAGTTAATCTACTAGATATGCTGCCGAACTGTTATATTAGTTAGTTTTTCTTCTTCTTCTTCTTCTTCTTCTAGTGCTAATACTTTAGCTGAACCTTCAACTTTTGAGGCTAGAGATAAATTAAGTAAGCTCGTCTTAGCTTCGCCGGCATGGCTACTAGACTCCAGCACCACGTTGAGGTGCGAGCTTATCGCTGGAGGGGGGGGCACTTCTTCAGTACCAGGTAGCACTTGTTCAGTGCACAATAGCACTTGTTCAGCGGCAATTGAGATCCACTTTTCAATGGAATTATGACCATTTCTTCAATGGGCTCTGGCCCATTATTCAGGGGGACTATGACCCGTTTCTTCAACGGTAATTGTAGTTCATTTCTTCAATGAAGTCGTGGGGATTATGAGTTTCGCAGCAGTTCAGAAGAACGTGATATAAGACGCCTCGAATCTTGGATCCATTTCCCAGCTAACATTCCCAGAGGCCAACATGGGAACGTCTATGCAGGAACGTATCCGGAGTCCCTGATTGTCTGAGCCGCCTTGAGGCGGAGGGAATCTATAGGCCATCGCCACACATCATTAGGATTTCTCCCGAAAGGCACCGCACCCGGAAGATAGAAGTCCCTTCTATAAAGGGTAATTGTCTGTGCCGGGGTTCCTGGCGGAGGGGCTGGGAAAATATCCTAATAATTATATTAGATCTATAAGTCTGTAAATAGGTAGATTTCTAGAGTGATTAGTACTTACAAATCTCTGGCAGGTTGGCATATTCCTATGCCAACCTTCAATATACCCTTTAACGGCGGTCCTATTCCTAACTAGGGACCATTTCAATAGGATAACAACGTTAACCCCGGTGGTGCCGTTTATCCAGAGATTTCGATCTGCGACCAGCTGTGGATAGGACTCAGAGTACCCCGTTTCGAAAACGACAGTCGGACAAGGCGCGCCCGCTGGTTTAAAGTAGCCATCTGGCTGTTTAAACGAGTTCTGATAAGGTGGCAAGAAACTATCGAAGCCTATTAATATGATTAATACGTCATATATATATATATATGAGATTCTACCTAGAAAACTTACTAGTATCAGAAGTGCAAATAAATGTATCATACTCCTGTAAGGTAAAGAAGCCACCAGAGACACTTAGTGCGAACTCGCGATGAGCCCAAGCTAGATGAGCATTATGGAATTCAGTAGGCATCCTGACGGAAAGGATATACGCAACTGAGTCGTAGGAGAGTCGCACTGAACGTCGTTCAACTTGTCCGTCGCAATCAAGACTTCTGGCTACTTGCCAGCCGATACCAGGATTAGAAATGTGATATTCGAGATATCCAGAACCGGCCGTAGCTAGAATCTCTTCCTTAACGCGATAAAACAGCTGTTGGGCTGTGGGAGCACTCCTAGGAGGCTCGTTCTGACTGCGAAGCTCGTGTTCTTGTTTCACTGTCATGGTGATCTAGTGGGTCGTGAGTGAAAGAGAAAAGGAAAGTTAAGAGGGGGCAGTAGAAACGATAGATAACACAGAGAGTAAAGTGGGGCAGATATAAAAGTAAAATAAAAGGAACACAGGAAGATCACAGATTTATAGTGAGGGGTAGAAGAGTGTTAGAACTAAGGACCATGAAAGGAGAAGAAGCTTTAAGTACTTAAGCTAACTACTGGGAGCTACAGTGGGATGTACCAGGTAGTATCTGGATAGCATTAACTTAGAAATATAGACTAACCTATAATAATAGGAATATCATGTGACCGTATAAATTTAAAATACCATTATTTTTGCCCAGGAGGCATGGTACAATATTATTAATTCCCTGATTCTTTGTAAATAACCCTTATTTTTTATCTATAGCATAATGGCTAATAAAAGCGAAGGCAGTGATAGACAAAGTACTAAACTACTTATGCTGATTTGCAGATAGAGATTGTGGGGGTAACTACAGTAAAACCTGGATATAACGAATCAATTTATCCGCCTAGTCAAGTTCGTTATATAGAGGATTCGTTGTATGAAAAGTGGGTCCGTATTAGTAATATAGGTATGGGTAGTGAAATTTTCGAAGAAATTGCCCTAACAGGGAATTTTAGCTAAGGTAATCACTGACAAATAAGGTAAATCTGTACCTTTGTATAACGAATTGTATGGGAAAGGCCCGAAAAAAATTAACGAATTTTATAGTAGGGAGGGATAACAAATTTTGTATAGGATTTCAATTTTGACACGGTGTCAGATTCGTTATGTGGAGGTATTCGTTATACGCGGGTTCGTTATATGGAGGTTTTACTGTAATGAGCTAGCTTAGACAAGACACGACGAATAAAATCCTTGCTGAAGTGAAGTATCCGTCGTATACCAACATTATTATTATTATCATCATTATTTAATTGATTCGTAGTACAGATTTAAATGTACTCTCCTCTCGAAGCCTTGGAACTTCGTATATTCAACTTCTGCGTGATTGATTGATATACTCCACTCCGGATCGGCTCTAACATCCTATCTATAACCATCCCCGGGCTCAACTATCTCTAACGTAGATCTTATCCAAAATACCTACCTACTTATTCAAACGTCATTGCTAAAACTAGGATTTCATTGGCCGCACATACTTAACTCAACGCAAGGAGCGGAGCGAATGCATACGACGGAGAGAAAGAAGCACCCGCCGCACAAGTTGATATGTGGGGAACCTAACCTAAGTAACCTATACATACTTACCCATCACGCCATCGACATGGTACATCGCGATATACTTACCGCCAACTAGTTAACAGGAAAAGCTGAGACGTCTCTGATCCACTGGCCGCGTGGCAGCCGGTTCGAGAAGTTGGATACGGGGGAAACAGTCTCTCTATCATTAATAAATAGAACAGATCAGACCCAGAACCCCGTGGGTCTGTGCTACCTAGTATGTAGAATAATATGATATAACTAGTGGATTGAAATCTGGGGCTGTTGCTCCTTTGTTATTAGTTAGTATCTTCTAACAACTACCGATGTTGTTGTCGTCTTGTGTTTATGGTATAAATACCCGGATACAGGTGACCTTTCGCTCCTGAGATATACTTTACGTCCGTTATGGTTGCAGAGGGGACATATGCCAGTAAGGAAGCTGGCGGTGGAAATGACGACGTAGTCGCTGTAAACATCGCCGAATCTACACAACCAGATTGGGACGAGAAAGAAGAGCGTCGAGTAAAGCAGAAGTCGGTGTCCTGGATTGATCCCAGATTCGTTTCGCATACGTGCATGTCTAGCTAACAGCGAGTTCTTGTGTACATATATATAGGATTGACTTCATTCTGCTCCCTATCCTGGGGCTGGCATTTTTCGCCCTTCAATGCGATCGCGGTAATATCGCCAACGCCTTGACTGATACGATTACGGAAGACCTCAAGGTGACAACAAATCAAATTAACGTCGGCAATAGTTTGTTGTCTGCGGGGATTGTCGTTCTTGAAATCCCGTCGAATATTCTCTTGCAAAAGGTCCCCCGTCATTCGTTGAGCCCTTGGATAAGGGGAGATCGACTGATGATGGCTCGAGATTTAGGTCGGACCGCAACGATGGTTATCTTTCCAGATCATCAGCTGGGGGTTGGTCGCTACGTTCCAGGCTTTCGCTACCAATTATGCTGGTTTCTTGGTCACTCGGATCCTTCTGGGGCTGTTTGAAGCGGGCTTTATTCCTGGTGGGTAGTCATCTCCGCGATCCAGGTCCATGTCAGCACTAAGAATGAGAATTGAAGGTGCTCTGTATACCATGTCGACGTGGTACAAGAAGTCCGAGACAAGCTTGCGCATATCACTGTTCTTTCTTGGAAATCTCCTGGCTTCAGCTACTGTATCGCTTATCGGTGCTGGTATCCTCACCATGGCTGGCCGTGACGGAGTAGCTGGCTGGAGATGGCTTTTCATCAGTACTGCTGCCACCCGGATCTCTTCCTGCCAACCAGAAATGAATTCCTGCTAACTTGCCTTCACAGTCGAGGGAATAATAACCATTGGTATTGGAATCATCTTCATTCTTCTGCTCCCTCCCCGCGTGGGATATCCGAAACCCCTGATCGGATTGGGGCGATGGAGCTATTTCACTCCCCGCGAACAGTACATCCTCGTCCGACGCGTGTTGCTTGATGACCCGAGCAAGACAACCTCTGAACTCTCCATATCGGGACGGGATGTCTGGCACACTGTGCGCAACCCGCGGATCTTGGTTCACGTTCTCATCACTTTGTCGTCCACGATCTCGGTTCAAGCAGAGCAGACGTATGCGCCTTCCATTATCAAGAGTCTTGGTTTCAGTTCCGTCAAAGCCAATGCCCTATTCTCCGTGGGAAACTTTATAGCAGCTGCTATGGCTGTGATATTAGGCTTCCTGGCGTGAGTACCAAGCTTCCAGCACCAACCCATATGTTTGATAAACTGACATCTGGATGCAGCGATCGCATACGACGACGTGGACCATCCGCTCTCATCGGATCCGTCTGGTGTCTGATCTCGTATGCCTGCCTCAGGGAGTCTGTCCATTACCCTAAATGGAATCGATATGCCGCGATTGTTTTCGCGACTGCGACCAACTCAATGGTTCAGTGAGTTTACCCGGCTTGATACTCGCGTGATAGTGCGTAGAGCGAATTATGTACAATTACTTACCATGCATCACCAGTATCATCAATGTCGGCTGGCTCTCTGTCAATTGCAGAAGTCCTCAGCAGCGCAGTGTTGCTATGGCGTAAGTTGTCACGCTGAGATTTTCCCAATTATTTATATGCAAGTGCTGGTTCAGGACTAACTTTATACTTCTTTGTAGCCTCATCATTATGGCTGCAAATGCTGCCGGTATTGCTGGAAACCAGGTCTTCCGCACGCAGGATGCTCCTCTTTATTTGCACGCATTTACAGCCATGCTCTGTCTTGCAGCGGTGTGTCTCGCAACAGTGATCGGGCAGATGTTCTGGTATATGTGGAGCAATCGCCAAATGGCAAAGTCTGGAACTGTGCCCACTGTCCAGGCCAAGACGGAGGGGATAGAGATTGTCCAGACTTGGTGGTGGACTTGGTGATGTTTAGCAGTATACCATAGTTTCATCATTGCTCGCCCGCAGTCCTCGCTTAGGCTCCATTGCTGCAATATTGGCGACTCTTACAACATAAGATCTGTGAATCAATCATAATAATACCGGCGGTCGCCTCTTTCAACGCTCCCGCGTGGGCGAGTTAAAGATCCAGATCTACCGCGTTCTAGACTCCTCAGTAGCGAGTGCCTCGACATAGCAGGACCGAGATTCCTATTTCAGTTTACGTCTGTTAGCCTTGCAGTCAAGCGACGCGAGTCATGGGTCAAGTGATAAGACGGGAGATAGATAGATAGGCCAGGGAAGCGAAGTTAGCGGCAGATGTGTATTCTATTGCCGCGGACCCCTGGACAACGTGGTTGTGATGAGCACAGGCTGTTCTTTTCAGGTACCGGGCTCCACGAGCTCGCATAATTCATGCAAGTAGTAGGGAGATAGTTGCAGTTGGCCGTGTCCCGTGGCCAGCTCGCGCTGATACTGTTCGGATGATTGGGAATATATTCAATATTATTCCAACGCTCAGACGCGACCTACCATATCTAGAGTTATGGAGGTGCTCTATTTCGTTGAAGAGGATCGAGCACAGACCCTTCATCCAGGTACCAGTGCAGCTTGGATGTCCTCAGGAAATCAGATTGACAGCTGGTGTCGTTCCTGAGATCGAATTCATTGTCTTCACACGGGGTGGGTCGACGCATCCTAGCTTTTCAGCGGTCTTTCAGCCTCTGTTCCGATTTCACGACTAACTTAGCCCTTTTGCGCCATAAGGCAGGGTCCATTCCAGATTCAGAAGAGAATAATCTCTATCTATCTAGCATCGGAACAGGGCTCGTCTCTGATGGTTCGCCAAATCGGGGATGACTGGCGATCGGCAGGCTCGCGCATTTGCTGGCCATTGCGTCCCCTGATCTTCATGGAAGCTCGTATTATCGATTGACGATTATTGACCTGCAGTCTCTTGTAAGTACAGGAGAGTGGTCTTATCGGCTCTGTTTCTGCCGTCGTTGGCCAACGATCGTTGTGACGTTGACTACTCGTTAGCAGAACCTTCTTCGCCTGGCTGGCACTTGCTGGGAGATGGCCGCTTTCAACCGCCATGGGGATCTCCGTTGGGCGGACCCAAGATAGATTGTTCCATGAGACTTGCGGCGTTATAGTTCCATTATTATCATTATGATCCATGGAGTCGGGCGTAGCAGCATCCGTGGGTTCTCGAGCTGTTCTTCTTCTCTTTTCTGTGCTGCTTCGCGTATCTTGGGAAGTTCTTATCAGCTTGACTAAACGGTGCGACATGCGTCTGATAGAAGAACGACTGCTGATTGGCTATCCAGACGCCCCCTGGTCGTCGGGCGGATCCACCCGGGCCCACCCCCGATATGGTAATCTCTCATATTAGAGTCAGTTATTTGATGGATTATTATTATTACTTCCTTCTGGTAGATACTTTACTTCACATGGCTGAGAGGCACGAGGCGATTCTCGGCTGGGATACCTGACTCTCCGGTAGGAAACATCCCAGGTTGGTGGATAAAGAGCCGCATAATCATGCACCCATGGCAGCTGAAGGCCCGGACTTTGCCAGATCCCCCTGGGTCTTTTCTGATACGATGGACTATTCTACTTAGTTAGTAGTAGATAGCAGTTATTATTATTATTACCGTCATTCCCAAAGTATCGGCTATCAGGGGCTATGTACGGAGTAGTCCTTCATCTACCTTAGGTAGTCAGATATCAACAACCGCGTTGGATCTGACAGGGTCACCAGACGTGACCACCCCGCTGTCAACAGAAAGGAACTTGATCGGCGAGACGATCACGTCTTTAGATCGATAGAAACTGCCGGCTTGGCCTGGGGGGGAACGTCAAAGAGCAGTTATTATTGATTTCAGCATTGACGGCAGGGCTGCTTTCAGCTTTCAGTTAGACCCAGCGATTGATTGATTGATTGATTATTGCCTTTCCGGCAAGCGACTTGACTTTCCGACAGAGTCACTAGATCGTACGTAGCCTTCGACTAACAACTCGACTAGATCGTCTGCCAATCGGCTACCCAGGTTTATCGTATGGTTTGATGCCGTTCTGGAGATCGGCGTGGTGGGGCAACTCGTGGGATGAAATACTTACCATACTTACCTATGAAGACTAGAATGGGTCTGGGAAAACTGCCTCAGTACCCTAATAATAATAATCAAGTTAGGTTAGGTACCTAGTTATTATTATTATTATTACCGCCAGCGAACCTAAGGAAACCTTCTCCCCAAGAAAGGGCCCATCAGCTTCAATCGGCCACTATTGACCTGCGTCCCGGGGAATTGGACCCTTGTGCGACTCTCCTGATAAGGAGCCCTGCTAGCCCTGTCTGCTGCCTCTTCGCGCAATGGTCGACCATGGACGAGATATCTGCGACTGCTAACAGCCACAATCCAAAATTGCCGCTGTGCAGATGACGCCACGTCCATATAATGAAACCGCGAGCCTCCCCGGTTCCAGCGTGTCGTCTGCCCGTCGAGATGAACCGTCCGAGATGGCAGAGCCAACATCATTGTGGTGGCCGGATGAGAGGGTGAAGGCAACGCTGACGGCGGAATATGTTGCCTCCAGTCTCAGACCCGAAAGTCAGGACCGGCTCTTCTCCCTGCCACCGTGGGGAGAGGGCCTGACGAGTGAGACCTATCTCGATTGGATTCTGACAAAGGCCGGCAAGCTCTTCCTCATCCTTCTCGACATCGGAATCCCAGATCGCATCTTTGCGCTCGTCGACCAGTCCTACGACGACTCCGATCTCCCCATTGCGGCGCATAGCGTCGACCTCCTCAAGCTCTCGCCGGAAGGAGAATCGCCTGCACTAGATACCAAATTCTTCCATGCGCAGTGGAGGTTCTTGGTGCGCGGAATTCACGAAGGCGAGCACGTCAAGTATACGGAAAACGAAGGCGTTCCGGTGGAATTGCTACGGACCGGGCTGACGAGTACGAACAAGGACGGAGTCGAGAAGGTCGTCCTGTCGGGAGCGGTATGTCGAGTGTTCTTGCGGACTCAAGTCAAAGTCGGGGAAGCTCCTCATTTCCTTGACGAAAGCGAGGTGCTGGACGAAATCCACTCCCTGCGAAGGCTCGCCCATGAGCATGTCTTCTCCGTGTATGGCTCCTATTTCGTGGACGACAGCATCTCCGTTCTCTTCTCGAGACCCCATGAGCGCACACTCGGGGCCTTCCTGACCGATGTGCCTCAGAGCTTCAAACGCCTTCCCAAACCGCAACGGAGACAGATACTGATCAATTGGCCGCACTGCTTGGCGAACGGCCTGGCATGGCTTCACGCACAAGGCCATTCCCACGGCGCTATTCGACCGTCTAATATTTTCATTGACTCAACTCATAACGTATTCTTGGGACATTTTGAGGCCCTGGATACGCTATTACCGCCAGGCAAAGTAAATGACGTCGAAGCATATCAATATGCTGCTCCCGAGCGCTGGATTCGCACCGCGGCTGTGCAGGAAACCGGAGTTTCGCGTACTGCTCTTCCTTCTGGAGGGAGGACAGCCAGGCGACAATCGAATTCCAACATTGTAAAAGACAGTGTCGCCAAGCTAACACAGGCTACGCGCTCGAGCATGGCTTCAGATCTCACCCGGCCCGTGTCAATGGTCTCGGCCAGTTCATCAGCTGCCTCGCAAGCCACTGTTATACGAGTGGGCTTCCCTGGCTCGCCGAGGAGAACGTCATACGCCCTTTCTTCGTCTTCCTCTGGCTCCAGTAACAATGGCTACTCTCGCAAACACGCTATTTCGTCTCTCAAGAGGCCCATCTTTTATGCTCCGTCCATCGCTTCCTCGAATTCATCCGACTCGTCAGGCCGCCCTGTCACGACTGTGTCGAACCCAGTTGGTCTGGCGGCGCCCAATTCAAAAGTAGCCGTTGTCCAAACCTGGCAATCTCACCAGCTTGATCCTCAGCGCTCAGATATCTTTTCCCTAGCTGCAGTGATACTGGACATCTTTACCCATCTTTGCAAACGGAAGATATCCGCTTTTGTGCATCACCGGGGGGCGAAGAACAGAACTCCAGGCCGCGGAGGAGGCGTGGCAGATGCCTCATTCCACCTGGATAAAAATCTAGGCCAAGTGGGCTCATGGATTACTCTTCTCGACCACGACGCCAAAAAGCGTCGGGATCCTATTTTCAGGGCCCTGAAGCCAATGTTAGCTGTCGTCCGCGACATGCTGGCAAGAGAACCAGAGAAGCGCCCTACCGGAGCACAAGTTGAACGCAGATTCGCCAGAGCCATCAACCACTTGACAGGAATCGTGCAGCTCCACTGCGTATGCAAGGAACCTCCCCCCTTAGTCCAGCAGGAAGCACGAGAACCGAAGCCAGAAGTCAGCGAAGAGCCTCCTCCTCCCATTGGATCTCCAATACCGGAATATCCAGAATCACCTATCTTATCTGGCGACAAAGGGCCCGTGGATAGTGTGAAGAGGATGGAAGGACCCGCCAGCGGTCCTCCTTCGCCTGCATCTGTAGCGGAGTTCGACTTTGGCCTAGACGAGACAGGAACAGGATACATCGATACCAGTGACACAGACGTGGAACTGTATGATGAATACGATGAAGATATCGCCTTCTCTGATGACGAGGGCGACGGTGGTAAAGACTTGACGGCATTGCCCACTCCTGCATTGATGTCTCCCTCAGAAGAGTCCCTGGCTCAGTATGGCAAGTCGCTTTCAGGTGACTTTTCGAAGATGGTGACTAGTCCCACAAGGCTGATTTCGCAGATACGGAAAAAGTCACCTCTGTCGAAAGAGCAGCCCTGATGGGCAGAATTCACATGACCAATTGACCTTTTTTTTTTTTTTTTTCATATAATCTCACACATTCTAACCTTCATACTGGAGACGCTACTTTTATTTCCTTTGTTACTTTTCTTCTCCTTCCCTTCCCTTTTTTTTTTTTTTTTTTTTTTTTTTTAAAAGAAAAAAAAAGACTCTACTCCCGCCTCCGAAGTATGTATAACCAACGGTGTATTCTGACCGCAATGGCACGTTAACGAAAAAAAGACTTTCCTTTTTCCTCTCTTATTCAGCACTCACTCGATTTGTTGATGATATTAAACCCCACTTTTGTTTCACGAGTACCCTTTTCTTTTTCTTTCTTTCTTTTTTTTTTGTCGGCGGTTAAGCTCCTTGGATCCCTTTTTTTGTCTGTGTGGGGGATGGTTTTTGAGCGTTTGTTTTTTTTTTATCGGTGATGTGTGTATATCCTAGTCTTGTCTGTACTCTTTTCCTCTCCCCGAAAATGTTTATCTTCTGTCTTAGACAGGTGTCTTTCTCCTTGTGATACTGTATCTAGAAGGGTAGATTTACTACGCTTGAAGCGGTTGCCGTTAAGAAGATACAGTGATATTTCATATTCATATTCATATTCATATCCCCCCTCTCTCTCTATACACCTTCTATCCTGGTACATACATTAACATGAACCATTATCACCGTATGAATAACGTCAATTTTGATATCCCGCATGCTTAAATAGATGAGAAGTATGTGAAAAATCTCAATTTACAATAAGAAGCTGACAATACCAACAAGACCACAGAGCGCAGCAATGCTGCCCAGGCCATCGCCAGGATTCGGTCCAGCAACGGTGGCACGGATGGCAGCACCGCTCTTGGCCGACGACGTGGAACTAGCATCAGTCTTTGTGGCGGAGGCTCCAGTGCCCGAGGCTGAAGCCGTATTCGTTGGCTGACTAGCTTCCTTGCCCAGCGTCTGGCCGAGAGTGGGCAGGGGGGATGAAGGATTGACTTGCCATCCTCCGGATGTCGAAGCTGGGCAAGGAGGGAATGTCACTTTATTTGCGGAGGCCGAGTATTCCGATAGGGCAACGCCCGTCGGGGAGAGGGTAGCCCATTGAGACTTCAGGTTGGTGAAGTCAGGCGATATGGGCGTGGGAGTACCCTGTCGCGTGTATCCGTCCTGAACGATAGAATTCGTTCCGGCATTTGGATTGTAAGGACCATAGTTGACGAGGCCGTAGTTGTTCGCTTCCTCGATCCACTCGTAGATAATCGCGCCAGACCAAGTACCCGACATCTCAGGGCCGAAGATAGCGGCTTGATCCTGGAAAGTACGAGGAGCAGGCGTGTTACAGCCTGTCTCGGAAAAGAAGATCGGAATAGGGTAGTCTGTTGCGTTCTTCTGGAGCTCGCTGTAGCCGGACGTAGAGTATGACGAATCGCCGCACCATTCATAGGCATTGAGAGAGAAGAAGTCCAGTCTTTCAGAGGCATTGCTCGAGCATGCCATGTAATTCTGGAGCATGGGACGCAGCTGAGCGATATCTGCGGCAGAGTACCCGACTGGAATCTTTCGGTAGCCCTTGGAGTCGCGGTAGGCCTTGATGTCACGGGCTGCGGCCAGGACGTAAGGAGCTGCTGGGGAGCCCTGATCCGTAGTGAGAACCTCGTTACCGACGAAAACACCCGCAGTGTTGTCGTATTGCTGGAACTCGTCAAGGACCTTCTTGAAGGACTCGAACTGGTTATTGTTCCAATGGGGCGATGTCTACTCCGGTTATCAGAACAACGTCTTTCATTGGGTAGGGCACAAACAACGTACCTGCTCTATCTGCGTATCGAAGGTGTCGAGATCAACGAACAGATAGATTCCCGCATCTGCAAAGGCCGACATACAACCCTTGTGGTCTCCATCGGCGTCCACATGGTACACACGGATTGTATTGGCGCCCAGCTCCTTCATCAAGGAAGCATCGAGCTTGCATTGTTCGGTGTCGATCAGAGGATCTTCGGGGACCAATTGATAGGCGACACCTGGGCCATTCGTTAGCATATATAGAAACAATGACGGCTACTTTGATCGCATACGAACCCTTGATAAAGAATTGGTCTCCGTCAGAAGTAAAGAACTTAGAGCCCACCGCAGAAAGAGTTGGAATAGCCATAACATGCAGCGACTGGAGGCAGATAAACAGCAAAGAATAGCCGGCCATGGCCAACGAATACGGGGAGGCCAACATGATGGATAGCTAAGAGAGCAGCTGCACTGTTATCGCACTCGGTTATCTCCGCTCAGTTGCGATAGAACAGTAATGCTGCAGCTCTGAGAGGCGGACTGAGAATTCAGAGAGCGTAATATGCTGCTCGAGTAGACAGATGTGTTGTTGCGTCGCGCTTTTTCGAGCTCGCGCTTAAGACAGGGTGCCAACCAGGGACCCCAGAGAGGAAACGAAGAGTTTCCTTGTTGGGTACTTAGGGCGGGGGAAATAGAAAACGAAGGTCTATGAGAATAGAACGAAAGGCAATGGCAGCACGGCCACCAGCAGAAAATAAATTGCTCCCAGAAGTCGTGGACTGTCTGGCGTGAGAGAAACAAAGAAAAGAAAAGAAAAGAATTCGATAAGAAAAGGAGAAACAGGCCTCCTTTGAAGGGTTACTGAAGGCGCAAAAGGGCCCAAAAATCAAGGCACGGAGCCATCATGCTATTTTAGCGTGCTTCTCCAGATCAAATGCCCTGCCTACTTAGTGCGACAGACCTGGGGCTTCTGCTGGCTGGGAAATAATCCATGGGAGCTGGTATTATTAGTAGCTAGCTAGTTAGCGCCGTTGCATACTTGTTCAATCGCGAAAATGATTGATCTTGGCAGCTCGTGCGCGATCGACCAACCAGAAGGTTTCATCAAAGACAAGCTTCTGGGCCAGTATTTCTGACAGTCGATAAATACAGAAGGGGCAAAGAGAAGGCATGGTATTTACGGACCGGCCCCTTGCCGGTGTGGAATTTCAGCCTCGATGTACGCCACCATCTGATATCTTATCACCACGATCGAGTTGAGCAGAAATAACTCAGTGCGCTTGAGTGGCGCCCAATGCAGGCTTAAATCCCGTCAACGTCGCAATTGAAAATAAAATGCAACCTTCACAAGCTTTCATTTCATCTAAGCGCCATGTCAAACCAAATGACTTCACAGGGGCTCTAAGACAAGACTGGGAGTAAGGACAGGAGTATTTCATCTAGGGTCTGTCCCTTCTGATCGCCGCTTAATCAGGGGACGAACGACAATTGTCAAATAAACACCTTCGGTGGTTCTCCAGCACCACCCACCTCGAAGGGAGGTGTAATGATATACAAAATCAACTCGCGTTAGCTAATGCTGCTGGCCGTCCTTGTTTTGCTTGTTATTGTCTCCGTCAGCAACCCCTGCACGAAGCCAACATCCTAAGCTAGCGGCAGTGGCTGTTATAACGCGTCTCATACGGCATAGCCTTCATTCTCCACGCTTAACAGGATATCAGTCGCTTTCTTTCTCGCAACTGTGAGACGGTGCTCACAATCGATATCGCACACAGCCCTTCCCATGCTGGGATAAGACCATCTGCGTAGGTTTCCTCGGAGTGTAGCTTTGTAGCTTTCCTCGGCGCCGAAACAATGGCTTCTGTATCCGATCTTCGATACCTTTTCCCAAGTGATTTCTGGCCATTGGGCAACTCCTGTCGCGAAAACACCTTCTTGCTGCTTCGGACACGAGTTTATGATCTCGAAACCGATGCGTACCACGATGTATGACCCTACATAACGACCCATGTAGATGTGCAGACTGCCATGGTGTAGAATCTCGAAATGCCAATGACCTTCTGTTGCTTGGCTTCCTGGCTTCCTGCAATGAGCAAAAACCTCATAACGATAGCTCAAGGCAGTTGCGTATCGCATCACAGTCAAGTGAGGAAAGCATGACAAAAGAGGCTGCTTGCAACTTCTGACAATGCCAGAGCCTTGTGGGATTTCCTTGTTGATACCAACGATGTATCCACGTTCATGAGTTGTCGACAAAAATAGGATCATTTGCGTTGTGCGTTTCAAAGACATGTTCCCAGTATTCCCGGACTCTATTGCAGATGCCCGACTTCCTCTTCCAAGATCCAAACTTTCTCTCCAGCTGGCAGCTAGTCCATTTGATCTCCTCCCAGTAAGCCTTTTCAGCGTCATGTCCGAATCGTGTCAGTGTCTCTTTCGGGACCGTCCAAGCTCTGCTGTCTTCCCCGTTCGAACCGAGCGTCGGGGCTGTCTCCCACTTATCGCCGAACAAGTTCTCGCCCGGATTAAATTTGGGATAATGCGCATGGATGAAAAATACACGTGGGGCCTTGGCGACAGAAGGATCCTTCACTCGCCATTTATCTTGGCTAGTCAGCTTAAAATCTTCAACAGGATCCGCCTGGACCATGGCTGATCCAGACACCTTTCCATCAGCTTTTGGATGGCCTATTGGCCTAACTGGTTCGCTGACAGTATAGAAGCTTTGTCCCAAAGCGGACGCCGCGTGGATAAATGTCTCCTTGTCGCCTTCTCCCGGAGCACCTTGAGAGAGCAGCGTGAAATAGTGAGATGGTCCGTAGAAATTGTAGTAAGCAGCCAGAAGCAGACTCGAGAGATGGCTCTGCTTGGAAACTAAGAACACGCCTGTCTCCGACGACGCGCGAAGATCTATGGGAGGTGCTTGTTGTCGAGAGATATCAAAATACAGAGGTGACGCTGTCGACGCCCAAAAGTCCGGCCATGTGACCAGACCGTTCGACATAAAAGGCTCTGAGTACAGTAGGTCTTTCGGATCATGAAGGGGGAAACAATCAGCGTCCATCCAGATGACTGTCTCAAAGGACGATGAGAGAACGGCAAATATCTTGATTTGGTAATGGGCAATCGGGACCTTGGCGCCTCTTCCGTCGTCTAGGACGTCAGAAAGAACAATACATCGAGCGTTGAGGGAAGGAAGAACATCTTCACAGATCTCAGCTTCGTATTCGCTCCAGTCCTTGACAAAGAGCTCGACTGGAAGAGTCGATCCAGTCCGGCGGAGCATCCTCAACGAGGTAACGAACACCGGGAGTAGGCTTCCTCCCGCTGAAGAAACGATACCGCTAGTTCCAGGAACGTGCATCGGTACCAACTGCCTTGGCTCTTGTATAGACTCGACAAAGCTATCATGCGCTTGTTGCATCGGCAGCCGGCAGCCGTCAGGATCGGCTATGAGGTCAGGTCTCTGTGGCGGTTCGACCGCACTGAATCCGATGGCCCCTGCAGACCCATATCGCTGAATAGAGGGACACTTTGGCGCATGGATTTCTAGCAGATGCAGGAAATCCTGCCAGAAACCACTGTGAGGTATTTCAGGAGAAGCGCCAAGGTTGTCGCTGGTCCGCACTCTATTATCCGGGCGCGCGTAAAGATACAGTGACGACAAGATCAAAAACACACACCCGGCAAGTAAAATTGCCGTCAGCTTGGTCCAGCGACCAACAAGCATGATGGCGATGTCACATACATATATGTAGCACAGTAGGATACCCTTTGTAGGAAGAGAAACAGAGTGGTGAGCCAGCGGGTAGACGAAGAGTACTGTACAATCACTGGGGCCTGAGGCGCTGCGTGGACACTGCCGCTAATGACGACCGCCGCGTGTCCCTTGTGGCACAGCTGCAAGACGAGATTGGTATAAGAACAGAAACCTTGCAGTGTTTAACAAATGGATATTTGCAAATAGTCCATCTGTTAATAGTGAAAACAAAAAATAAAATGAAAACAAAAAGAAAATAAAGCTCCTGTCGGTCTGGAGACATTACCGGTAGAGTTCTGGTCCTTGAGGATTTCCAGCAGGCTGTCTCCCCTTCTCTTACTACTCCCCTTTCTCTCTTTTAAAGTCTCTTGTCTAACTAACGAGTCTCCTGGTGCAGCTATGGCGGAAATGGATCTTGATTCATTGAGAACGCGTCTTGGCTGAATGATGACGCCTCAGAGGAAGAGACTCAACCGGCTGAGCGCAAACGCCACAACCGGCAAGGTGCTGCAGTTACATGCTATGGTAGTCACTGAGCGCTACAGGCCATCTAAATCAGTCGAGATACGTCGCTTGGCGTGTTCGAAATCGACGAGACCCCGGGAATCACCGTCCTTCCTTGTGATATCAACGGCGATGGTGTAGAAGACCTCGTCGTATCTCTCTCCCGGACAATGTGAATGATCGGTATTATCTGTAAATCCCATTGATTCGATTTTCATCACTGATATATTCGAGACCAACAAAAAATGCTATGGATCTTTGCAGGCCTTAGATAGAGCAGTTTCTATCCCGCTCAAGAACGCTCGGACAAGCGTCCCTACTGAGGCGAAACGCGAAGGTCTTGTCGCTGTGCTTCCGGAGGAGATATATGAAGAGGCTGAGATGACGAGCAGCACTTTTCTTTGAGCAGATTAGAGAGCTGGAAGCCTCCCTTAGATAACACACAAAAGATAGACTCGGCGCATCAACAGGCCAGAGACTCGAGAAAGTGAGCTGAGCCGGGACGACCGGGCTATGTATCTAAAGAATTGCTGGATCCACACAATTCCTGTCATTACATATTAACATATTCAATTCAACGCACTGTATCGATTGTCAAAGAAGCGAAGCGCAGCCAATCAACTCCAGCAATGGCGGTGCTACGTACTTATGGTTGAGTATCGAGAGAATTGATAAGTTATCATCCTTCTTCTTATCGGCTGAAGGCGTCGGGAATTCCCCAGCTCTCCCCAGCTTAGCGCGTTAGTTACATTCTTAGCCGGACGCTTATGTCCAGAGAGCCGCTCTATCCCACTCTTGCAGATCCCGACTCTGTCGACTTCATGGACGATGAGTTGTTGTGTGATTGAATCTGCTTTCGTAGGTACCACACTTTTCGATACTCAATGCACGGAAGCAGTGGACTATCCCCAATAGCTACTCATCAAGGAGATATTCATCATGAAGGTATTCGAGCCAGTTTATTGAGACAATGGCTATTTACAAGACTCGACTATTTTAATGTTCAGTCAATATACATACTTAACTCTAGCAAAATTGACACCCCACCCTAAGTAAGCAGCTTAAATCCTATTTTAACCATGGAGATCATACGGTACTCCCCCACCCTTGAGAAGGCCCAAAACGCAAGATAACTACCTTCCTAATTAATAATGTCAGTATTCACAGTTGTCAAGACGATTTGTAGCTTGGGGTCGAAGCGTTATCGCATAAGGCTGAGATGCTTAATATATCTGCGTCCCCGTCTCTACCTCGAGGATGTTCTCATACTAACTGTCTCTCGATTTTCCCGGCTACACTTACTCGAAGCTTGACCACTTCAAGATGAGTGAGCTTCCAATCTCGCCGTCAGTCGCGGTCGCCGCGGCGGCACTGCTGTTTTGTCTTTACAAGCTGTTGCAAGTCGGCAGCAGGCCGAAGGGCATGCCTCCTGGTCCTCCCACGGTACCGATCCTTGGAAACCTGCACCAAATGCCCGATAAAGATGTGCACGTCCAATTCAAGAAATGGGCGGAAGAATATGGCGACATGTATTCAGTCATGCTGGGAAACCAACGCATGGTGGTCATTAACTCCCCTAAAATCGTGAAAGATCTGATTGACTTGCGCTCCAACAACTACTCGTCCCGTCCCGAGATGTATGTTGGCCAGACGCTAATTTCCGGCGGCTATCGTCTGGTCCTGATGCAGTATGATGAGGGCTGGCGGAAAGCGCGCAAGATGATCCATAATCTGCTCAATATCAAAACTGCCGTCAACTACATCCCGTTCCAGGAGCTGGAATTGAGACAGATGTTAGCGGATATGGTAAAGAGACCCAACAAGTACCACGACCACGTCCGGAGATATAGCACAAGTCTAGTCACCAGCATCGCTTTCGGATGGCGGAGTTTGGCCTTCAACGACCCCGAGGTCAAGCAGATATACGAGGTAGATATTTGCGAAACATGGCATTGAATTTAGACTCGTTTCTAACTGAATTGTTTTCAGGGTTTCGAACAATTCGCCGTCGCTTCTCAGGTGTCTGCGTCGATGCTGGACTACTTCCCCATTCTTCGTCTCCTCCCCGATTTTATCAACCCGAGCAAGAAACGGGGAAAGGAGCTACACAAGGAGGAAATCGCTTTGTATAAATCATACATGCTGAAAGTTAAAGAGAGAATGGAAAAGGGCATTATCACTGGAGCTTTCTGTGAGGACATGTTTAAGAGACAGGAGAAGGATGGCTTTACGGACGACTGGGCAAGCTATGTCAGTGGAACTCTGCTTGAAGCCGGCTCAGATACCACGGCGTCTATCTTCCTCTCGTTCGCTGTCGCAATGATCAATTTCCCCGAAGTGCAGAAGAAAGGTATGATCCAACCCCCCTCTTCTTGCTTGCAGCTGTTCAAATCGCTTACAATCCACATAGCCCAAGCGGAGATTGACCGAGTGATTGGCCCTAACCGTCTCCCTACGATGGCAGACGAATCAGACCTCCAGTACATTCGCGGTGTCGTTAAGGAATCTCTCCGTTTCCTGCCTTCGAGTATCCTCGGAATCGTCCCGCATGCTACGACTAACGACGACGAATACAACGGATACAAACTCCCCGCTAAGACTGGCGTCATGGTCAATGTTTGGGCTTTGAACAATGACCCAGTGAGATATCCGAACCCTCGTAACTTTGACCCGGACCGCTACAAGAATGACTTCCTCCGTGCTCAAGAAAGCGCTACGCTCTCCGATCCTTATAAGCGCGACCATTTCACGGTGAGTAATCAGATAAATAGCAGAGACTCGGAAAGTTGACCGACCTATCGCGAATATGAAATACTGACCATAATCCAGTTCGGAGCCGGTCGTCGTGTCTGCCCTGGTCTGAACATCGCTGAACGCTCCCTGTTCCTCGGAATCGCCTACATGCTCTGGGCCTTCAGCTTCGAGCACGCGTTGGACGAGAACGGCAAGCCCATCCCGGTGTCCACCGAGGCAGTCACACAAGGAATTGTCTGCCGTCCTGTCCCCTTCCAGTATAAGATGGTAGAACGGGATCCAGCGAAATCGAAGATGGTATTGAAAGCTTGGGATAATGCCAAGGAACTTTTGAACCGGTATCCAGAGGGTATCAAGAGTATTCAGTACCAGAAGGATTGGGCGGAGTTTACGAAGAATGAGGTGTTTTAAATTTCTCTTTTTTGCACATGGTGGGTTGTATGAGTGTTTCGAGTGAATTCTATGCATTGCATGTGGAAGGTGTACATATTGAAACAAAAAGCTACAGTATGAATGAATATGTTTAACAATTTGACCTCTTTTTTTTTTTGAAAATTGGCATCAGCGCTAGAATATTCACAATGCTTAGTTAAGAAACCCAGAGGACCATAAGTTACAGTAACTAACTTAACCAGTTAACTGTATCTAGTCCAGATCCCCCAAAATCATCCAGTGATCATCCACTAAACCATCGAATCCATCCACCATGTTATGTCCCCTTTCACAACATTAATAATGTCCAAATCCGTCCACATCCGACCTTACATCGATCTATCTATCGGACATTACGCGTCTGGTGTTCACTTACTCCGTGATCGTCACAGCGATCATTCAATCTGGAACCTGTCACCAAAGCACGGGGCATGTTCATCATGATCGACGACGAAAAAGGTAGAAGGGAATCACGCCTTACCCTTTCCGCTGGTCCAGTGTATCTATCTATGGTATCTTTGCCGAATATCCTCCGAATCGGCCCGATGGTCGGCAGAAAGACAGTGACTGGAAGAAGAGGAGATCGGGGTCGGTAGAATGGAGTTGCTGGTCTAGATATGGTGAGAACTAAATATTATTGAGGTAGATAGTAGTCGAAGACTTGTTTGCTCTTCTATCCGTTGCGTCTGTAACTAAGGGCCTCATGAAGGGGGAATTCTGCGAGCGCAATTGACAAGGGCCATGAACGACGGGATTAGCTTGCTTGGATGGCCTGGATGATGTTATTATCAACAGGTGATGCATTAGTTATTGTCTATTGAGTGTCACTCCAATGGCCACCAGGTTGGCATAAAACTGGCTCATTGGAGAAATGGCTACCCATGTTCAATAACGTAGTTACACAGATCAGGGCCCCAGATGCAAGTTGTACTTCACGGTTACCTTCCTGGCAAAAGAGGAATGAGATCCAGAGAAAATATTTTTGACTTCAGCTTCGGGTCTGCTCTTTTCCCAGCTATGAGCTGTGGATACAGTACACATCCTCGTTTCTGATATAACAGAGTTGATAGTCTGGCGGGTTTCATGCAACGGGAGTGCTCCCGACTGAAAGGATACTACTGACCTAGACGATGTCTCCCGTGGTTCAGTCTCGGCATCAGGACGGCAGGAGATCAAGCTTCGAAGAAAAAGACAAGATAATCTAGTTACACCAGATAGTTATCGCTGTCGGTGACCTCATGGCTCCCGATAACCAGGATTTAATTTAAGACTTGAAAAGATCTTTAGCGTATCTCTCCTTTGACGGACCTCATACAGCGGCCCACTGCATACACTTGCTAGTCGCTCGGAGATGAGGAAGAACCCACTCACTCGCGAAATCGGTTCCAATCACCGACTCAGGCACCCGGTCAAAGTAATAATATCGAAAGATCGACATCCAAGTTGGGCTTATTACGACTCCCGTTACATTGTCCCTGAATCTGTGACGGGACAATCCACGGATCTGAAATCAGCTTCAGATTTTTCAGAATTTTTCTTTCTTGCTTCGCGTCGGCCGAAGACACACTCTCTTATCGTGCCTGTCTCAGTTGTTCTCTTTTCGCCATCAGATGGCTGCCTCCCTTAGCACGCCTTGACCATGTGGACGAATGCCTTCCAATAAGCTGGGAGGCTGCGTGCGGAGATGAGAGCGCCGTGCAGAACTGGGAGGCGTTCGAGTCCCCGACCTGGGGCAGCTTAGGGCGTGCTGATATGCTGAGGCTATTGCTATTCCCGTCCAGGTCTCTGTCTTGGCAAGACCTGGACCGTGGTCTATGCATCGTCAATCAGCGTTTATCGGCGCAGGTTTCTGACATGCCACCCACCATGTGGACGCTCAGTTGTTCGGTTTTGTCCTCCGTAGCGCCCAAAACCGAGCGAGAGCGGCACCAGGTAGGAATGCATGGGCCTCGGAGCACAGCGATTCGATGGGAACCACGAGTTGTCGCACACGGTGCTCTGTAGAACGAAGGATGGCGGGGAAAAGGGTTCACCATGCTAATTAGACTAGGCGGGAGAAACAGGAATCGCTCTCCTGACGCCCGATATCCACGTAACCAGGGTCTTGGATAGATGAGCTAGAAAAAAAGGAATGATGTGATAAGGGCGGCGATTGTCCCTCCTCGCGCTTTTGGATTTGTAGTAGACAGGCGATCTTCGTTTGATCAACGTTTCCGGCGGTCCTCAAAGTGCACAGCGTGACCTCACATGATCGCAACTGACACTGTCTTCTGTCTCGAGTTCTTTAATTAATTAAACTGTGACTTTTTATCTCTTCACAGCTCCACAAGCTTCACTCGACAGACAACAACAACAATAATAATAACCATTGATCGTTCGCTGGCCGCAACATCGGTTCAATTAGATTTAGCGGTGACCGGATAACGCCATTCCAGTCGAAGACGTCAACCGCCCAATGCCATTCATGATCCTGCGACAGAACACGAATCGTGACGATATCGCAGATGTGAATGACACACGATCTCTTACTCGACTTGAGAACCGCGTCTCCTGATCTGATTTGTCGCTCGCTTCCGACGACACTCTCACGGACTCTTCTAGAGCGTCGAACCTCGCGAAATACGGACGCCGACGTCATCCTTTTCTCAACCATTGGAATACAATCCGGGCAATTGGGGTTATTACTATCGTCAGCTGAGTGTATAGAATCGGTCTTTCTGCCCGAGTGTACACTGGTTAAAGATAAAACGCCTCGCCTTGCTTACTCCAGCAGAGTAAGCGGAGAAGGGGAAGGAACAGCATTGGCGATAACACTGGCCGATCACCAAAACAATGTCTACTTCTAGTACAAATTCGCCATTCAGAATCCGCGAGGCGGACCTGAGAGAGTTGGAGCGCAACGAGGAGTTCACGGTCTTGCGCCAACGTCTCGAACGAATTGAGCAGGAGACGGGTACACTGAGGTATGCTTGAAGAATGCCACGCTGCCTCTCCGTCGTTGGAATATACTAACGCTCTGAAGCTTCTGCCCCTTCCACCAGCAGTCATGTTCCCCGGAGGAATTGTCCGCCTTTCGACTGCACCGTGACATCCTCCATGCTATTTTCGCGCCTCTATTCAAGATCCATAAATATGCCACACAAGTTGCCTCGCACCGTCTGCAGGATCGGAAATCTGCGGATGCAGAACTTGCTTTTCGCGGCGATGCGCGCAGTGCCTATTCCTGGCTGAATTGTTTCCTCGCAGAAGAGCACGACTGGTGCTCCACCCAGGGATGTCCTGCGTGTGTGGTGTTGTATGTGCTGGATTCGGAACCGACCATCCGTATTACCGCTGTCGCCTGTCTGCTCTCAGATTATATTCAAGAGACGGTAGTTCCTGACGCCAAGCGTCGACTGCTGTCCTTTGATTTCTGGTTAGGCGCAGTAGAGACTGCCGTCCGTGAAGACCAATTCTGGGGGGATGCCTTTTGGCCAGAGATTGAGTACCGAGCATGGGCACTGGAGAATGGCATTAAGCAGCTAATATCTCAATGTCTCGAATTGAGAGACCACAAAGAAGTGCACATGGACAGACTGCACCCCGGCTGCACCACCAGCTGCGTCGCTGCGCGCGGGCCCTGTCGTTACCACGTGCGGACCATTGCACTGCAGCCTTCCAGTATGGCTCGACGGCAATTGAGGATGACCAGAGAAGAACAAGAGTGGATATCGAGGGCGGTTGTCTCGTACTGGCGGTTGCTGTGTCGAAACGGCCAGAGACTCAAGCCGCTGGAGCTCACTATGCATTCACCCCGACCAACTTTCCCCAGAACTCGATCATTGACGTCTTGATCAAAAGTGCTTAAACGAATCCGTGAGACAAATTTCTCTTTTCGCGTTCGAATACGTCACAAAACCAACCCAAGGATAATGCATGCGCAATCCGGACCTCTCCTCATTGCACAGCGGTGAATTTAACCGCCGCTCTCCCGCGACTCATCCGCTTAGACCCTATACTGGGATCATGCAACCAATTCGGTTACAGCCGGAGACATTTCAGGACGCCGGCCATGCCAGACCACTCCATTCCTCACGAAGGATATTTCATTCCCGTAGTGGCATCACGACTGCCCTCGGATGATTGAACAGCGACGCTGTATCGCAGTTCTCACCATGACGACATGACCAGATGACATTCATTTCTTCCGCTTGGCACATCCCAGTGGTGCATGCAAGGAAGAACATCTGTCCCATTCATTCATTTCATGGCCGAGTAAAAGGGGGTATCGACAGACTGCGCAAGGCGTAATAGTCTGCATGCAAACTTCCAACTTCCGAAATATGGAAAAGGTCATGCTCTCGCGCCTATTCTATTCATACATATATATGTATATGTGTATGCATATCTCCAGTACTTCACAGTATACTCATCATACTACTGAGCACAAAGTACAGTACAGTACATAGGATCACATTCTCATGTACATGTTCATTTCAATAAATAATACTCAAACCAATCATCAACACCATAACATCCCTTTCCTAGACCAATAGTTATAATATTACCTGGTGGAATCCACAAGACTCGTAATCACAAATCGAACGGATCTCGACCACTAAAGTAATAAGAATCGCCGATCTGATAGTTAAGAGCAGTTAACTATATTAGATACTTAACCCAGAAAATCTTAGCTTGGGAGGCCCAAGATGTCTGCGAGACTTCGTAAACCCCTTTAGGTACTGTCCCGTTTTCTTTTTCGTGGTCTGGTTTCTTCCGATGCTGGAACCTTAGACGGGTCTTGACCACGATTCATCGGGGGTGGGGGGAAGGAAGAATTCTATATCAAATTGCGACAGACCACTACTAGCTTTCCTACGAGCTTCGAATCTTCTGATACTCGGGAATAGCCCATTTCACCATCCATTCCGATTCAAGAACCTGCTGAGCAGACGAACGATTCTCAGGCTTGAAAGAAAGCATTGGACGCAACATCGCGAAAAGAGCATCTCGCTCACTCGATTCAAGTGTCGGCATCCCCGCCTGATTCCGCGGTTGCTGGATATTTAATTCGAACAGATCCTCTAAGGATTTATATTGGGATGTAGCTCTGTTATTTGGCTCGCCGTTATCGGTGAAGTGGTTTCCACGGCCCTCCCACTTTTCCCACCATTCAGTCGGGAGCGGGCCCAGTGCTGCGATTTGCTGGCATGTCATGTCGTCTTCGTTTGTGAGGAAGCCTTCGAATAGGGATCGTTGGGCTACGATTTCCCAGATGGTACATGCTAGCGTCCAGATATCAGATGAGAAAGTGAGTGGCATTGTTGGCTCAAATCGAGCTTCGGGGGCTCTTATTAAAAGGGGTGTATATGACTCAAATCTCTTCTCTCGTGTCGGAGAGAATGTCTGGCCAAAATCTGTGAGAACGATCCTGGCTTCTGGAAGTGTAATTTTTTCACTTGATGCACCAAGCCAGATAGGTACGACGCCATATTTTGGGACTCCTGGCGGAGGCGTTTGGCCATCTAATCGATTCACTGGCTCAAGTTCCGGCTCTCCATACAGCTCATATAGCTCCTTCGTAGATAAGTTATCGAAATTGGATTGGGGTTTGAGGAGGACGTTTCCACAATGAAGGTCTCCATGAACAAAGTCTTCTGAATGCATATACCGAATCACCATCGCGAGCTGTGCTGCCAGCGCACGAGCCACATCAATCTGAAAAAGGCCTATCCATGATTCCTTCTTTGCCTCAGATAAGCTCATCCTTGCCGGGCTTGTCACCAGGCAGGCGTGGTTACCGTTGGGGCCTTGGATGTTGAATTTATCCAAAATCGAAGGTATCATCGATGTGCCTATATCTGACGACTTTAGAGACTCTGATAGCTGGGACAGTATATCTGTCTCAAGAGGGTCTGAATCTGCCGTGCAAATCTTAACGGCAACATATCGGTTAGATATCTCGTCCCGAGCTAGCCAGATCGTTGAGTAAGTGCCGTGACCGAGTTTGTGGACGACACGGTAGCGATCGCGAATGTGATCGCCAATTTCCACAGGATGATAGCCACCCTGCTGATAATACTCCATTCGTTCCACGCTCTCAATGGGCTCGTACAAGACCCGACTTGTGCTCATTGTCGGGGCCGTTGATTTAGATGCAGTGAAGGAGAAGGCACGGGAGGGTTGACAGTGGATATATGGCAGACCTGCATTATCCTTAGCCAAAAAATGATGAGGGAAATACGGGCGCAAGGGCAAGGTGCGTATGCGGAAGAAGCATGGCCTCCTCATCGTTGCTGGTACAAGAAGGGAGGCCTTTGTTGTGAGTTTTGAACGGTAGATGGACTACGAGGCTGATCCGGGTGAACTTTTGCTCCGATGTTGGTCACGGTCCACCTGATCTCCGGGGGCGGCAAGTGTAACAGCCTAACTATCTAGTCTAGGCGTGTTGACCAGACCACTCCGTTGATTTGTTTAAAAGTTGTCAGTATCTAACCATATCTTTTTATAGCCCCAAGGGACGTGGCTGCTTATGAAGGTGGACACTGGCTCAAATCTTAACGCCCAACTCATCCTACGCGGCAGGAACTTGAGATCATGGCCAATGGATCGCCCTGTACTAAGCTATTCTATATTAATAGCACCCAAAGACTGCTTGCTATCCTGCTATCTCGTTGGATGTAATGAGTATAGGACAATGTCTTGCCGCTGACTGAAGCATAAAGACCGAGTCGCTGCTCAATCAAAGGTAAGTTTTATCCATTTCCGGATCATTTCTGTCTCGGAACTGGGCATTACAATACCTAGCTGAATATCGCTATGTCGACAGTTAATCTTGTCAAATACTATTTCCACAAGTCTATGTACCCTCAGAGTGAGGAACGACTGCGCAAAATGATTGCTCTGGCCTACCAAACGGCTAGGGACAGGAAGATTTACCCAAAGGCAGTGTTTATAAGGTATGCTTATGTTCCATCTATGTCAGTAGTCATGGTGCCACAGTTCTCCATGGCTCACGTCCACACGAATAGAAACCAGCCCATATCAGTCTAGTGAAGGGCAACTCCTCCGTTTCAGACTTTGGAGCGTTTTTCAACCTTTACAACAGACGATTACTTGATCAGCGCTGATTATGTGTAGGTCTGAAGTTCATGACACCACGAGCATCAATGGCAAACGGCAGAAAGATCCTCTAGGAGCTCATATCACCCTGTGTTACAAAGATGAAGACCAACTTCGTCGTGGCACCCATGTTGCTAGTCACGGCTACGTGAAGGATGGATCTACTCTGGAATTTGTCCAGGCCACACACCACGCTGAAAAGCCAGATTCGACAAAGAAGAGAAATCGTGAAGACGTGTGGCCATCGGAGGATAGTCTTGCAATTGCGCCGGAGATCGGATACGGACACTTCCTCGAGGAATAGCAAAGTTAATGTGTGATGTATTGAGTCACGGACACAGTCAGAGGTTATTGTCGAGTACTACCATCACAAGCAACGCGACCACCATCCCTTTCGCTGGGGTTTCGATAGCGTTTAGGCGAGCTAGATAGCGGGAGGTTGATTCCCCCCCTTCCTCGAGCCTCCCTAAGCATAACTAAATTTAGTTTAAATTCATTCTGGGAGCTTGATAAACTAATTGCCCGCGCACCTTTATCTTTACATGCTTAGGGCACCTTCGAATAGCCAGGAAAGAAATTGCACACAGTCGTTAAATGTTGATAACACCAAGAAAGAACGGAGGGCACAAATGCTTTAAGAAGGTTTCGCGGATAGGCGCGACATGAGCTGGATAGAAAGAGCTGGCTATGCGTAATCCTAGACTACCCATGGATGTACCCAGGTGGATGGTCGTCGATCTGGATATAGAGGTTGCCACGTTGATGAAGGCCAACTCGTGATGGAGGGAAGCGGTCATGAGTGTATAGATTCCTGGAGGAATGAGAAGAACTAGGAATTTGGCTCGTTTGCATTACAGTATGGACGTGCATGCATCCGTTTCGCAGGTCTGCTCTGGGCGACACTACAGCTAGACATAGGCTGTTTACTGATATTACTTATATTGAACGAGGTAAGATGAGTCAGACCGATCGAGAGGGTAATATTAATATTCTTCAGAACTTATATATTTCTGCTTTGCAGTCCCGATTAATTCATATCTTGGCTGTCCTACTGGTTATTCTGTTCCTGTCGACATACTCACCAGTGCGGTCTCCTAATTGCCTACTATTAATATCAGCCATCGCTAACACTTTACTCTAGGAGCATCAGACTATATTTTCCCCTATCATTCATGATCATCAGCCTCTCCAGCTTTAGCTTTGTTTCTGTTCAGTTTATCAGATTCTGGATTATATGTGTGAAGTACAGGTTCTTCAATTGATGATATGGAAGATGCTCGTCGCAAATATCTCCATAATAAGATTCTTACGGCCATTATACCCCATTTCGTTGATAAAAAAAGTATGACGATGGTCCGTTCGAATTAAATTTGCGACGATTTCCGGTTTGCAGAAATATAATACTTGTCAACAACGCATGGGATTTGAAGATAGTTGCGGTCCTCGACTGGGAATGGGCCTATGCAGCACCATTTCAGATGCTTTACTCACTCCCACGATGGCTCCTTCTGAAGAAACCGTTTGATTGGGATGATGGGGATATTTTTTGAGTACAATTCACTTAAATCGTCAGCATCAGCATTAGATCGGCACTTATTATTACATAGCGGTAGTAACTAGTTAACTAACACTCATACGACAAGATATCAAATCCCGCACAGGAAAGGTAGAGCAGCGACAAGTTTATGTGATTGTGGGCGTTTGACTCTGATGTTCGTGAATTATACTCATTATTTCTTAAGCAAGCGTTAGTTGATTCGGAAATATGTACACGCTTATACTCGTGCCGCTTTTTCTATGGTTTGAAATAAAGGAGGGAAAGAGAAAGATTGTTTCAAGTTCTTTTGTCTCATGGATGCCTAATCGAATCAGAAGTGGTCGGTCACTACGTGACTTATTGCAAGGGACATTTGATTCAAGGTAAAATTCCTGTCTTAGACTTCAAACCCGAGTCAAACGTGGCAGCCTGAGGAGCCGTTCGAGCGCCTCTCGCTGGGAGTGAAATGGAATAGTTCACGGTCCTACTGGTAGTGATACGGCTGATAGGGATGGGAGTATAGTTGCGTACTGTGTTTGTTCGAAAGAGGATAGTTATGAACCGATACAATTCCAGTGGACTTGATAGGTTGAATCCTTTTTCCACTCTTCCTGCCAATAATAACAGCTTCGCTTCTTAAGGTGGCGATCAGAGTTGTGTTTCATGATGTTGTACATCGTTACTCAATCAAGGAAGGAGGTTCTAGATCTCCAGATTCATCGATATGTAATAATAATGTGTTTATCGGATCGTAGGGCTGTCGTTGATACGTGGAGTAGGTAGCCTAGTATAATTTCATGCATGGGTCCCTTGAGATGAAACGGTCAGACGACTTGTCGGGTTGAAACATCATAGCATCGATCAAAACCTAGCTGGTCGTCTTGATGTCTGGATCTAAAGGTCATGAGAACAGTTTCAGATGTTTCAATGGACCTAATTGGGAGGTGCGGTGTAAGCTCGACCAAACGACGCATTGTGCCCTTAACCCCAGTGGGTAGGTATCTCGACTGGGAATATCCCCGGAAGAAACCTGATGCGAGTGATGCAGCAGATTGTTGTGGATGTTTCTTCCATTCCCGGTCGGCCGCGGAGAATTCCTGGTAGAGTAGGGCAATTGTTCCTGCTTCCGAGTGCAAGCCACAGCGAGGGGCGTCTTCCCTCCGAGGCGTCACAACCCAAAGACTAACCGTCCACTTCTTGCCTAGACCTGGCGGAAAGGCTTACATTTCCTTGGGTCGACCTGGCCGGATGTCCGATCTCCAGTGGGGAAGAAACGGCGAGACTTGAGCACGGTTACTCCGTAAATGATATCGAACTTGAAGGGATGCAGTGCGGGGCTGCAATTGCAGGCGACTGTTTTCTAGAGAGGGGCACTGGCGTATCATCCATTCCCAATTTCCAAGGTTTTTCTCGCTTCAAGTAATATCTGAAAAGATGCGCCCCGGGTTCCACGACCGTTGAGATGACTACCTGAGTCTTCTGCAATAATAACCGCTGCCAAGTCCGAGCTCCGGCTGTGATCCATGGGAAGGCGTTGAAGAACGGAGGCAGTGGATCTGGATCTGGAGACGTCTTCAAAACGCTCTCGATCGCTTTCCGTCGGAGCAAGGAACAGGGAAGACTTTTTCGCCACAGTCCGCAGACGGCCGGTCGAGCTGTAAGTCAGGGCAGTAAATCCACGGAAGAACAAAGAAGACGCAATAGACTCTCGATCTGTAAAGGCATCCGTGGATGGGTGTATGTGTCTTCAACAGTTACGTTGCAGGAGATAACGCTAGATAGAGGATCATCAAGTGTTCCGTGGATGGGAAGGAAATGCCGCTCCAGTCGGATTGCCGGCAATTCAACAACGCTCGAGAAGAGATCACACGAGAACTTGAACCACTGGGTGTGAATGTTTTGAATATCCATCCGGCAGGGCTGGCTGCTGTAGCATGTGTCGTGTACCAGATCACTCGCTGTATATTGACATGTTCCCTTGGGTAGCAAAGAAGAAAAGAAGAGTACACACGCAAAGTCTCCACGTTTCTAATGCAGTCTGTTAATGGCTGTCATACATGCACTCGTGCTCGGAGAACCTACTACTAACTAGTTATTACCTACTAGGTAGCAACGCAGCGAGTCGTGTAGGATAATGCATCTCATAGGTAGCTAGTTAGCTGCGCTAGCTCGAGGACCAAATGTAGTTCGCTTTTTTTCTTTCAAACCTCATCTCCTGGCATTATTACCACTTTGACCGGATATCCACCACCACCAGCCAACTTGCTCTCCTGTTCCATATAGCGGGCCATAGAAGGTGGAGATAATCTCTGCTCAGCCCAACGCTGCGATCTGTTGTGTTTCCAAGCCCGGTTCTCAGGTATCTGTTTCAGACAGTTAAATAGTTGCTCCATCTCCCTCTGCACAACCTTGGTAACGAGTAATTATGCGATCTTCATACAGGATGAGGGGGATTGATTCCCACGAGGAATTAATCGCGCGTCTAGAGAATTGGTCCCCCCCAGTGGTCAGGCCGATCGGATAATCGAGCGGGAACTTACGTACCACCACTGTGACACTGACGACTCGCACAACCCCTCTCGTTGCCGCATTGCTCCACGAGAACCAACTTGTATCTCAGCTGAGGCGAGACATGTAGTCTTGGCATGTGGCTGCTGACAGAGTCAGGGATCGTGCAGCCAGATCGGGTGACTCTTCGAGAGCATGTGCCAAACAACGTTGCGAGAACAAGTTTCCGCAGCTCGTTCAGGAGCTTGGATAAGATTGATAGGAGATCCAGATTCTTCTCCGCATCTGCGTACAGCATTACCTTCTCCTCCTGCCTGTGCGACCGGGTTCCTACGCAGACCCGATATCATGTATGACAGATCTTGGGGAGAATCCCAATAGACGAGGTCGGAATTGATCCGGTGTGGCACGCGCAGACACGATCTCCATGATCTCCATGCGACAGAACAAAGGGACGAGCTCTTGGGAAATTAGGTACCTGCCTCGAAAGCAGCAAGTCTGAGAACCAGGCCCAGCCACTCGGGTACATGGGTATCATTATTGTGCACACTTTTCTCCCGCCCAGGCCTAACGACAACACTCTGCCAAAACGTATGCCCCACCAGCAAAGAAGCCTAAGTGGAAGGATGCGAGTAAGATACGGACAGGGCCGGCAAAAGGACAGTGTCTCAGGCTGGCAAGCATCCTGTAAGTATCCCTGTCCGGGAAACACGACGGCACGTCTCTTTTTCCATCTTGACTCGTATACCTCGGGCGATGGAAAAGATCACGGCACAGCCACATGATAAGCGTATGCTGGCACCGGAAGACCAGTGTAGTATATCCTTGCCAGTGGTTGACCAGGAAGAAAGGTTCAATTGCAAAACCATCAGCCACAGCCAACCAGGCAATCGGCGGTTGTGGCCGCGGTGGTGCCCTACGGACCTGTGAAGACCCAAAATGGCGGCACGCATATCAAGTATCCAAAACCTTGTTTGGTCAGATTGCCACTTCCACTGGTAGGGACCTTTTGTCGATTATGGCCGTGGTGGAAGTCTTAAGCTGGCCAAGTCTCCCGAGCAAATCGGTGGTGCCTGTCATGAGCGTCACGATGATCAGACCGTGTAAAGGGAAGAGCAGTGTGCCACGGACGGGACGAGCAAGGATCGGTTAACAGGACATTCCGGATCTGGAGTGGAGAGCATGAACAGAAGCTTCTCCGGCGACGTGCGTCGGGACGGAGGTTCAAAAGCTTGACAGCAGTCCCCTAGCGGCTGAGAATTGCCCTTGTCAGTCGGACTCGGACCAAGACGAGCTTCTATATTGCCCCTGGTGAGGAACTTAATAAATGTAACTTTGGACGCTTAAGCGCGGAGGTCATCACAGATGACAACAAAATCTGACAATATAGAAAATGTCTCGTCAGTGCAGTGAGCAGTCAATGAAGATGTCACCATTCCATTCCCTAATATCCTACAGTAGAGCGAACAAGAGTTCAGCGGTAGCACCAGCCCACGATGACCGGTAGACGTACGCATACTCCCCTTCCGGGACATCCTCACATTGCTCGGGGAGTCGGGGGGGACCGATGCCATCGCGCGCCCGGCCGGAATCGAATCCTGATCCGTCTCGTCAAGATCGGTAGATAACCTCCTTACCTTGCCTTTCTGACGGATTTTTAATAACGTCGTCTTTGCCTATCTGGTCCGATGATATGGTCACCATGACCGTTTCGCGGAATGTGTGCCGGAAGCCCTCGAGACTGTGGCGGCATCCACGGAACGGCGGCTGCTGTCAATAAAGGCAGGTAGCTAGCTAGACGTGCTGATTATTATTATTGAATCATCATTGACCTGTGGCTGCGACCCCAGAAGGAGCCAGCCTTCGACCTGGCGTCTTCTCCAAGGCTGAGACGAGAGGGTTCCATGGGAGCGCTGAGCCCCGTTAATCTGATGGATGTTTCGAGTTTGCCCAGTTCCTGTCCATGTGCGGCCGCCAAGGGCCTGGACGATCATCCGAGCTTTCGCTCCGGGGAGGGACCGTGGAGGCTTTCGCTTGAAAAGCTTCCGGTCGAAGTTTAGGCCCTCCGATAGTCTTGGGGGGCGATGGCCCGTGTACGCGGGTCATGGCTGCAAACGACCGGTCCAGGCTGGTGCACACATTATTTCTCAAATCGTGGCTATCGAGGAGACGATCCGATCGGGGACTATGATCGAGGTTCACGCACAGCATAGCATAGCATATTCTGGTGTTATCATCGTTTTTTTTGGCCCTTTCTTCTGTGTGATTCTCTCTCTTTTCGTTTCTTTCCTCTTGTTTTTTCTTTACCTTTTCGTAAGATCGGTTTGAGTTTGATAGGATGGGAATCGCACAGGACTGGGGGCAGTACCTCGGTACCTAGGTCATAATTTGATGGCTCCGTCGCGACACGCAGAGAAAGCAAGCCAGGAACGGATGGATAGTTTAGTAGAGTAGAGTCAAGTCGAATCGAGTCGAGTCGAGTAGAGCAGCGTAGAGTAGAGGATCAAGAAATGGACGGAACCGGACTGCAGTCACGAAAGGGTCAATACAGTACCAGCAATCCAGCAATAATTAAGCAAGCACAAGCAATCAATCAATCAATCATAATCAGTTTAACTAACTGGTTAACTAACTCAACTTCATGATGATGGATGAATCATGGACAGCACCGCCCAAGGAAAGGCCGGACCAGGCATCGTTTTTCCCTCTCTCTCTCTCTCTCTCTCTCACTTTTGTCGACCCGCCAACTCAGCTAACTAAAGTGAACCAACTAAACTAAACCAAGCCGCCCCCCACTGCGTCCCTGTCAGGTCGAGTTGGTCTAGAACGCTGGAATTGCCTTGCCCATCCCCGAACTCATTTCTTATGAGTTATTAGTCGATCTGAACTGCTGTCTGTCTCTCTGTCTGTCTGTCTGTCTATTACTTCTCTTCCTCTTCTCCTCTCCTTAATTCTCTCCTTTTGCAGATCCCTAGATAGATAGTCAGCTCCTGCTCGACTCATCTCCTGACCGTTGTTCCCCGTCCAACGGCACTCCCTCATCCCCGTTATCCTCACTCTCCGTTCTCATCCTGCACCACACGGGTTCTGCGCGCGCATATCGTCCCATGAGGCTAAGGGCGCTTCGTTGTGCCTAGTCCGTCTATAGTGTGTGGAGGATCTCCAGCAGGTCCAGCCCCAGCAGACGGCCCGCATCTCGCTCTTTCTGCTTCCTTCTCTCGACTCGGGGAGCCCTCGGAGGAATATCTGGAACAGACAGCCGGTCCATCCTCCATCTTCCAGCCCTTCTACCTCAATTTAGTTGAAAGTTCATCGCACGATCAATCCCACCCTTCACAACACCTCTCAAACCTCCGTCAACCCTCGTCCGTCTTGTTATCGTCACAGTCTGTGACCAGCAGAGGACATCGACGGCGGAGGACGCAAAATCCAGACAGCAAACTGGATGAATCATCAGGCCTATACTGGTCTGCAGCAGCCCACACCGGCCCCAGATAATGATGTGATCATGCGCCCGCCATCATCCACCACCTTGGGACCAGACGCGCGAGCTGAAGCTCATTCCTCGCGGCAGGCGGTTACAACATCGGACAACCACCACGCTGCCGGGAGACACCCGGCCCTGTTCCAGAAGACCAAGATATACCAATTCGGGGAATCCTCCTCCCTCTCCGCTACCTCCACGTCGCCCCGACTCAGGCGGCGGGCATCGCAGGGCTCCCTCCGGTCCGGCCCGTCCGCCGTCTCTCGCTTTCTTGCTAAAGGAAGCCTTCCGCTGCAGCTGCCCCCCTTTGATAGTTTGGGGATCACCAGTCGACCGTCGCTCAGGGTGAATGCGTCGGCTCCATTGTGCGCCTCGTTCCACGGTTCCTCTTCTGGTCACAGACCCATTGCCTCAGAGGACGATTACTCCTCGAGCTTACCGTTGACTCCGCCGGCGGATGATGACGATAACGTGGGCTGGAATCCACGTGCTGATATCCCCATGCTTGATGTACACCTGAACCGAGAGCCAAAGCCTATGGCTCACATGCACGACAGTCGGGACCGCAAGAGTAGTTCGAGTTCGGATGGCATGGACAGTTCCTGTGGCTCATCGGACCGTCACTCGATCGGGAACCCAAATGAGATGAATCTGAGCCCAACAGACGATAAAATGCAGGACCATGAGAACAGTGATAGCTGGCTGCAGAATGGTATCGATGCTGCAAGTAAGTTTGGTAGCCCTCGCGTCGATCAATCACGATCAATCACTTGAACAATGTGTCTGACATGCGTGCAGTCTCGTCCTTGCCCGTCTCGAATATCCTAGGGGAGGCCGTGAAGATCGTATCTCAAACTCTTCCATACCCGCGAGCAGCAGACAAGTCTGTCGCCCTACCAACGCGGGATTCCGTATTCTGTTCCGTGGTCCAGGCCATCCAAAACCGGTTACGACCGGGACAGTCACCCTATATCAACATCACCCATGCCGTACCAGAGCAGTTCAGTTTATCGAATCTGCCCAGTTCGCCACCAAGTACTCCCAGCATGGCCTTTGGCGGCGATGATTACTTCCAGTCTACCGTTTTCTCCAGTGCCACGCCCGTCCCCGCCTACCACGACTTCAGAGGCCCTCTTCAATCATCACGGACCTCCTACCCCATCGTTCCCCCACATAGTGTCCATCTTGCGATCGTAGAGCGATATCTACCGCCCTCATCGATCCAAGAGTACAAGGACTTCTTCTGTCCCGATCGCCCTTCTGTTCTGGTCGATCGATTGAAGGAACTGTCGCCCTGCGGAGGCAGTCTCCTGCTCATATACCCAACGAAGAAAGGTGCCCAGTCGTTCAAGACGCAGTATCTCGGGCCGATCCTGGATCCGCTGCTGCGCCAGATGGTGGTCGTCAACGAGCTGTCTGCGGACGTGGGGCGATACCTGGGTAAATTCGGGTCTCCTGCCCAGATGGATGATTTCGAGTCGATGAAGAGCAACATCAACTTGCTGTGTCAGTCGATAAGCAACCCCTCGTCCAAATACACGCTGGTCGATGCGGAGCGGGGGACGGCGCACCTCGATCGCAATTTGTGGGCGGAGTGGTACATCCAGCAAGAACGGGCGCGGATGAAGGAAGTGCTGAATATCTATTGGCGGAATGGACAGCGACTCCCCGTCAACAAGGCATTATCCGCGTCGAACCGCACCCTGGCCGATAAGGAGGTTACGTCGGCCATGCTGCTCGGCGAGATCTTCGATGGCATCAAGAGACGGCCATACGGAGATGGCGGACCCCGCGATGGTGTCGAATTGGGCGTCTTTGTCATTCGACGGTCGCGCTAACCAACCCCGGTGGGAGATGACAATATCTCTGGTGGGAAATGGAAATGCATGGGTTGCTTACTGCCCAATTTTCTTTTTTCTTGTCTTTTATTTTATTTGGTTCTAGCAAAAAACAAAGAGAGAGCACGATGGGTTCTGGCTGGGAGGCGCTTCGGGATGTTTGGCGTACGGATGTATTCTCTCTGGGGACGGGTGTCCTGTTGCACCTTGCTTGCAAGTTTGGATCTTAATACCCAACGTGTTCTGCTATAGCGAAACTATGAACTCATTACTAGTGAAAAGAAAGACATGACTAGTTACACTTGCACTTACACTTGCATTTGGATTCCACACTGAACTTGTGTGTAAGAAGACATTGATCATCGAAGCTAAAGTAACGAAAGAAGTCCATCAATCGCGTGTCTGGTGATATCTGGTGTTATCTGGTGTTATTCGACTGTATGGTTGACTCAGAGTGGTCTGAATGATATAGAAATAATATTAAATAGAAATAAGAATATCTAAGTTATCTCCGAGACTAAGCCGATCCGAGATAGAAAGACAAACAACACAAACAGCATCTACACTGTACGGTGGCCGACTTCTCCCTCCGCGCTGCTGCTCTCCTCCTTCCCCGGCGTCATCGGACGCATTTATCTCCTCCCACTTTCTGCTCCTCTGGATGAAAGACTACTGTTCATTTCTGCTCTATTTCGCCTATGCCTGAATCTCTATAGTTGTCTTGCCGTGCTCCTGGCACGTCCCCCGTCTTTTGCTCCCAACCTACTTCGTTCCTGTGAAGAGAAAGTCTACCTGCCCATTGCGACTGGCCCGCGCACTCTGCCGACCATGGCATACTCTCCTGCGCCAGTGTCACCCACTGCAGGCGCAATAGGTCAACCTGTGGCAGGCAGCATGAATGCAAGAGGCCGATCGATGAGTCCACCGACGAATCCTCCTTTGTCCAAACGGGACAAGCGACGCACTGCGCTCCAGGAGCGTCTGCAGGATCTGACGGCCTCGTTCAGCCAGAACCGAGACGCCCAGTTTCGCCAGCAACTCCATGCGCTGCAGTGTGATATGACCCTGATCAATAATGCCGATCCATACACTCCTGGACCGCTGCCCGATTCCCCAGAGGAAATTGCCCGGTTGATTGAAAATACTGTTGGTGGAGGCAAATTTGGGAAGGAGATGGCCAGTGTTGCAGGAACCTGGTACGCGCGATTCGTCCAGGAGATCAATCAGGTTAAGGAGGAGACAGATGCAGAATTGGCACTGCTAGTGGTAAGTCAACTCCCATGGTCTCGCTCATTCAAGCCGGCTTTTGGCTTTTTTTTTTTTTTTTCTCTACGCTCTTACTCTCGTGTTCGGTTTCCTGGCACCTGCTGGCTTGGTCTGGACAGTGCGCTAATTTGTGTTCTGATCTGGTGATATAGAGTCGTCACCAAAACACACTCGAGCGCTATAAACGCGAATATGCATTCAGAGTTCATTTCGCCGGAGAAGAATACAACCATCTCTCGTCCACTCTCCGTGAGCGTCTGGTACAAGCCATTTCCGGGAAAAAGGCTCGCTTGATGCGGGAAAAGGAGCAGCTAGACATCGCAGACACCAACGCCCTTCTCCTTCACCCGAACCAATTCAGCATCACCAACCCAGCCAGTCCCGGTGGTATCCATAGCAATCGTAAGACAAGGCACACGAGACACCGTGTCGACCTTGATGAGCTGGGCAATGGCATTCTTTCAGAGTCCCTCAGCAAGAGAAAGAGGAAAGCTCCGCTCGAAGATGACATTGGGTCTCCAGTCAGAGATGGAAACCATTCAAATCCGGCGGAGAGGGCGAAGGCTTCTTTGGAGAAGCATCAGCATGCGCCGACATACAACATCCACACGCTCTTTACAGATAAGGAGCTGACGGCTCATGCCAACATAGCCCATATCGCGACCGTCCATTTCTTCTCCACCTCCAAGCGCACCGATCAGGGCTCAGGTAGTGCCACCAATGGTAACAACACCGAGGCTGAAGATATGTCGGGTGTTGAAGGTACTGGACAAGAGGACAATGGCACCCCTGCAACCGACATGGTCCGAACGGCGAGCCAGAATTTCCACGCCACCCGGTCAACCCGGACACACGGCAATACGGGCCTCAGTGTGCTGAGTGAACTGTCCGATAAGCCGGCTACTCGGCCAAACCTGCCGTACCACATCCTCGCCAACTACCACGCGCGACCCAATGGCACTGCACCGCCACTGCCGCCTCTGATGAACGAAGAGATTGACGACGATTGTGCTCGCATGGAACGCCTTCAGGCGAAGCCTCCCAGCTGGATCGATAAGGGGCTTATCGAACAGCTTGTCGAGCCTCCTCCTGAGGAGATTGGCGGCATCCCGCAGAACCCTGATCGGTTCAGCCTACTACATCCCGACTTCCCTACCGAGATGGGCATCCATCTGTACCCATTGAAAAATAGCACGAAAAACGGTGCCAATGAGATGCTCACCACCGGTAATGAACGCACGAAGAGAAATCGGGGATAGCTGAAGTCGCCTCGGTACTTATCCACAGCTTCGTGGATACATCAGATATAAGCTCATTATGTGGATCTCTTATACATAGGACAGGACAGGACAGGTCAGGTCAGGAAGGGTGGGAACAACCAGATGGCGTTCTGGCGTTCCTTCATTATGCAGAGATATACTCTGTACAACATTTGCATATTCATGTTGATAACCTACGCGCGTGCTCATTGAGCGGACTGACAGCATTGCTGTATCTTAGAATCTCATTTTTTCGTTCAACTCCATCTATCTAGTCAAAGCAGTTAGCCATGTATTGCGACATATTACAGACCTTGCACTTATTAGGTTTCATTCTATTGTTATTCTTTCCATCCAAGACCCTTGTTCTACAGTACATGTCAGTCTCGATAGCGTAGTTTTCATATGTAAATTCTGAGATGATACCTGGCTCCCCGTTCTCTTGCTAAGTATGAATTACTTAGTTAATCTCTACTATTACTTACTTAATTAATCGTATGGTAACTATTTATGTGTATTTATGTAAACAACTAGCTAGCTAGCTACCTACCTCGTATCCTGAATCTACTTATCACCATAGCGTGGGGAGATCGGATCGGGTTCGAAAGGTTCTAACTACTTAATTAACTATGGGGGTATGCGAGCGGGTAAGTACATGAGTAAGTAGTAGTGGGGGATGGGGAGCCAATTGCCATTTGCCATTTTTGATATTGATATTGATATTAATATGAAGATGGTAAGTTACTTTTCTTTTCTTTTTCGCAAAACTTTTGCTAAGTATAAGTATGGATTGACTATCACATGTTATATTATAACGACAGGCGCAGATCTAACGGGTCGAGATAACCAAGCTAATTTGACAGCAATGGCGGCAGCAGTGGTTGGATACCTCTTACAGAATATATTGCGTTGTTCTCAGACATTGGACACGGCTGTAGTAGTGTGGTCCTTTTTACAGAGGCTATTATGGCCACGCCTATTTACGCAAGAGAATCATATGCGGGCCATATCCAAGATAGAAAATCCGAATCCGTAAATAATGATGTACAAAACCATTTCATAAGTTTCAAAGGGTATATGGTATGTGTGCAAACGTAACACAAGCCGCGGCTGCTGGGGCTTCCTCGTACAGTGACCGTATATAACCAAGTCGCCCGCTGCCGCCGGAGAAACCAGAACATAACTTCGCTCAAGAAAAGACAAAATTCGCCCAAATGCGAACCCGACAGGTCAGAGGGAATCTCACAGATGCCAACCCATCAATGACCCCTGCACGATTACCAAAACACCGAATATCCGTAAGACAAGCATCCACCACAGAAACGGAGAAAAGGTAGAAACAAAAACCGTATCGAAGTGGTGTCAATAAGGTCCAAAATGTGTATCACGACTGCATTTTCACAACACTGTCGACCGTAATCCAGAAAAGAAGTGCTACGATATACGAGAAATGAAGCTCATGACCGGTACCTTGGCCGCGATGACGCTTGAGTATAAGCTGCAGCCGCCTCTTGTGCCACGGCCTTGCGATCCTTTCTGATCTGTTCGCCAACGATAATGCTGAACAGCCTCTTGTGGAGCTCCTCCTCGGACCAGCCGATCTCACCTGAGCCACCGTTCCGGATGTCTGCTTCAGCAAGCTCATCGACAAACTTATCGATGATAGCAAACTGCAGCTCCGTCACTGGAAGCCCGTAATCACCATCCGCGGTCCAGAGCCAGTCGCCAATGATTTCAGTTCTCTCCTCGTTAGGATAATATGGGAACAGCTCAGGCGACCGCTTAGCCAGACGGTAAAGGCGGTACAGGGCCCTATAGTGGTCGTTGGTGAAATATCCAGATACAGACAACGGTTTCCGCTGTAGTGACTGCCTGTATGTGCGTTCCGTTCTTGCTGACTGCACGCCAGGAGATTGAGGCAGGCTGGGATATTCGACTTCTCCGCGAACCGGAGCGTCTTGAGACTGGGGCAATTGATTAGGGACATCGTCCCAGTTCTCCTCATCTCCTCGCCCTTCCTCTTCTTCTGCCTCTTCCTGCTCCCTTTCCCTCTCTTCTATTCCTGCTCGGGATACCTGCTCCTTTCCAGGGCTTGCCGATCCCCACCAGCCTGGAGTGAAAGTCGACAGTCTTCGGAACCATGACCTTGATGCAGCCGCAGTATTTTCTTGTTGCTCGGGAGGCGGGGTTAGGGCCGAACGTTCATGAATCGAGGGAGACTGGTGCATTGCGTCTGTATGTCCACCAGGGATTACCATCTCCTGTTGTCCTTGCTCACTTTCCAGATCATGGTCCATAATATGGTCTCCATCAGTATCATGATCTTCATTCCACTGCGGAATAGAGTCATGATTGGACTGGCTAAGACTTCGGGCTGGACTATTCTCTGGCTGGATTTCTTGTCCAGACCGCGGACCATCAAAGACTTGCGGGGAACTTTTGCTGACCCTTGACCGTACAGGAGAACTCGGATCGGCACGCGGACTGCTTGTCGCTAAGCGCGACTTTGATGTAGCGGAAGTGCGAGCGGCAGAAGACGGTACGTGCTGACTCGCGTTGGTTTGAGGACTGCTATAGCCGTAGTATTTCCGCGTGTTCGGGCTGTTTCTTTTCTGGAGAAGGACGGACAGATCAACCTCCTCTTCTCTCAGTCGACCCAACCGTGATTTACCCAAATAGGGCATGTCGCCTTGCTGTCTTTCCCAAGGAGCCGGGGGAATGTCGACGCTATCGCCTTGGTCAACGACTTCATCTCCCTTCCAAGGACTAGAATCTCTCTGACGTGGGTGGGATGATCCGTTTTCCCGTGAGTTAGAGCGAGAAGAAAGGTGGGAATGAGAGAGGTTGGCTTCCTCTTGCCATATGTCGTAATCTCCTTCCGAGGCATCCTCCTCTGACTGCTGTTCGTCGTCATTTTCGGACAGTTGCTGAGCGTCCGTATCATCCTCGATTACGATTATTCGATTTGCATTTGCCGACTGAATCTCTCGGCTGACCGCCTCTCTTTCGCGCTGCCACTCCGCCTGGCGTTGTGACAAGGCCACTGAGGCTGTCTGTTCAGCATTGGAAGCGTCCTCGCGCATCGAGTATGGCGTCCGTGCCGGTGAGCTCTCCGGCCTGGTTTCGGTCATCACCATATCTACTCCTTCGTCGTCTTCTTCTTCCAATTCCAACCTACGGAGCTCATCCTCGTTCTCCCGTCTCACTTCTGCTTCTCTCCTCGTCTTGGCAAGTTCCTCCTCAGCTGAGCGGCCAGCTGGAGCAGGAGTAGGAAGCTTTGAAGTTGAATCTTGAACCGCGGGCGTTTGTTCGACGGCGGTAGTCTGATGATTGCTGCCATTCGAGGACGTGGGCGGCGACATATCCTTGACTGGAACTCGTTCTGGTGTTGACTGGTTTCGGTGAGAGCTGGAGGAATCGACCTCGAGGACGGCAGCGTGAGAGTCAAATGAGACTCTTGGTTTCTTTTCTGAACCATTCCCGCTTTGTCGGTTGAAGAAGGGTTTTAGCGCCCCTTTCGGTACATTCGTACTGGAATTCAACGCGAGTTGCTTTGCTGAAGGCAAAGTGTCTAGTGAGACCATGCTGAACCCCTCACTTTCTATGATGGTATCGAATTCTCTATGCTCGTCCGTCGGGTCCGGTAAATTCTCGGCTGGTTCCTCGTGGCGAATTTCTTTTGGTGGACTTCTTTTTTGTGTCGTCGAACTCTCCTCTTCAACTACGGATGAAGAGGTAGGTGTGGGATATATGCGATGCGGTCTTGGGGTATGTCCTGCATGTTGCGTATGGTTCGGGGAGGCTGCATCGGGATGATCTCGCCAGGGAGACGTGTGTTCTTTGGCGGGGCTTGACGCTGTCGGAATATTTGTAGTTTGCGTCGTTTCTGTGGGATCACGATCTGGTGAACTGTATGGTTGCCTTTCTGGGGATGTTGGGGAGTGGCCGAAATTCGAAGGGTCAGGTTCTTCGGAATGGCCCAGTCCGCTTGGGTTCCATATATCATCATAACCATCGTCATCGTCAGAAATACCGTCGGCAGCAAGATCGAGAGGATTCTCCGGCGGTGGTGTCTGACTATTTTCTGTTACCGTCTGAAAGCGATCTGTCTCGACACTTTCCACCACACTCTGGTCCGGGAGACTCTTCCTTGGTCGACCCCTTTTTCTCTTTTCCGTATTTCCCGTCGTGGCCGGTCCTGGTGTGTAGCCAGGACTCCCCTTGACCGGCGCAGGAGTGCCTTTTCTGGGAGTCACCAACCCATCCTGGATATCAGACTTGCGCGGCCGGCCTCTTCTTCTCTTGGGGGAAGGCTCCCAGATCCCAGAATCGTCCTTCAGCGGCACCTTCATCGTCTTCGCCCCCGGAGTCAACAACCTCCTGCGCGGAGAACCCCCGTTGTTCATCTGGTCTTCTTGTTCTGCCTGAACGGTGACCCGGATCCTCCACGGACTTAGGTTGCCTTCGGACTGTAACTTGCTGGGCGAAATGGACCGCTGACGGCCATCAATGTTCATTGTAGGCGATCCTGGCAAGATGATGTCGTCGAACTGGATGGAATGTGAAGCTTTGCTGGGACTGAGGCTAGTGCGCGGCCTCTTGCGCGGTGTTTTGAATACAGCGGGTGACAGCCAGCTCTGTCGCCCAGCAAACGGTTTCATCGGAGAGGAGATCAGATAGGCGGCATCTCCTGGAGGCCCCAAAATGTCCGGGGAGGAGCTGGGGTCGCGCGATGTCATTGCGAATGAGCGCCAGGCAGAGCTGCGAGATCAAGTCGCAAAAGGTCAGAATAATGGGTCGAAGTTGCCGCGCTTGGAAAGCGGTGGAGCAACGCGCGATTCTGGGAGATTGCCCTTGCCGCGCAGACGCTGAGTTCCATCCCAATGGCGTTAGAGAGCGCTGTTGACGGACAAGACAGCCATTCTTCGCGGGGCATTCGAATCGCACGAGGGTGAACAACATAAACAACTATCCCGATCAGGCAGTCCGCGATGCCGACCGGCGGCGTGTTGCGCTTATATAAGCTGATGGGGGATACGTTTATCCGGTCCGCTGCCGTTCCCGTGACAGCCGCCACTTTAACCGCATCCGGAAGTGGTGGATTATGGTATTTGGATGTTCTCAGAGAAGGGCAGACGATGGTAAAAAGTTCATTGTCCATAGTAAAGCATGATGGTGGATTCTAGCAGCGGTAATGCCTTGGAAAGCCGTTCTCAAGCCATCGTGGTGGGGTCTGTAGGCATATCACGGATCGCGTAGTCGTAGTGCCCTCCCTACAACACTCTGACCTCAGTAAGCGATGTTTCTAGGATTCTGGGATTCATACTAGGGAGAAGTAGGAAGTGGCACACTGTATTTCACCTGACAAGTCATCCTCAGAAGCCGATAACTATGGTACTTCAGAGACATGAGTATGGTTGGTACTTTCTCTCCACGAGTCCACGCCCATCCTGCCCACTTCCGGTTGATCGACGCTGTGGATGTTTCTCCCCGCAAGACTTGGCCTATAAGCGACTTGATATCGCTCTGTGGCGCGACGGCGTCGACGCTATCCTGTCCCTGGTTCACTCTCAGGGACAGAACGTCCGGAGAAATTATTGCGAAGAGTCGCGGTTGTTCGCGCCTCAAATCCTCTGTCACACGGTCAAGTTCGATCGGGGATAGATAGACAGAACTAGCACGGATCTCTCGACTGGAGAATTCATCCAGCATCCCCGCATCCAGCGCGCCACAACACGATCTCGTATCCAACGAAGACACGCTGGCCATGTGCGCCGGCGAAGCTTGACTCTCGAACCAAGCGCAGCGTTACATCACCATACCTGAGATCGCATTCCGGAACTGCCTGGACGACGGCAGCTGGAGCTGTTTAGCTCTGCGCAAGGGAGACACAGAGCCAGCCTTTGCGCCACGAGCTCTCGATTATCCCGCAAGAAGGAACAGGCGAGCTGCTAGCAGCCATCTTACCCCAGCTTTCCCCGCCCGCAGGTCGGGCGTGATGCCGGCTGAATAGCTCGCGCAAATGCTTCATAAAGGAACTGCGTCCCGGCTGATGGCCGGAAGTCGCTCTCTGCTCTGTCCGTCGCGGGTGTCGATTCGTCTTCTCGTAGTCTATGGCCTGATTCTCATCACCATCTCCTTCTCCTTTGGATTCAAGATGCACATGAAACAGTACCTGCCAGTGGCATTGTCAGTGCTACCAGCACTGGCTACCCCAGCTCCAGGGTCACAGAGGACGACAACAACAACGACCACGGATGATGATTTCAAGGTCTACACCATTTCTGCAGACAATATCACGGCGAAGTTCATCCCTTATGGTGCGCGTCTGACGTCCTTGCTGGTGCCAGACCGTTCTGGTAACCTGCAGGACGTCGTGGTCGGCTACGATGACCCGAAAGAGTATCTCCACGACACCGAGACCAACCATACGTTCTTTGGAGCGGTCGTAGGTCGTTATGCGAACCGAATCAAGAACGGGACCTTCGAGATTGGCACCAAAGAGTACCACATCCCGGAGAACGAGAATGGTGGAATCGACACTCTGCACGGCGGTCCGGTTGGTTATGACCAGCGCAATTGGACAGTGACAGCGTCCTCTCAGTCGACGGTTACCTTTTCCTTGCTGGATTCTGGGTTTGAAGATTTCCCTGGAGATGTGATCACTCATGCCACCTTCAGCGTGGATGCAGACCGTACCCCAGAGAACCCGGATGGCCTGCCGCGACTGACGACCAAGCTGGTTTCTCTCGCCCTCACGGAGAAGACACCGATCATGCTGGCCAACCACATCTACTGGAACCTCAATGCTTTCAAGGAGGAGACCATTCTCAACGACACGTTCCTGCAGCTGCCATTGTCGCAGCGCTACGTCGCTACTGACGGCATCTTGATCCCGAACGGAACCATCGCAGATGTTGCGCAATCCAATCACGGCGTGATGGACTTCACTTCAGGCAAGCTCGTCGGCCAGGATCTCCAGTACTCCGACGGCGTCTGTGGCACAGGCTGCTACGGCTACGACAACTGCTTCATCGTGGACCGTCCTCCAGCCACCGCTGCTCCGGACTCAATCGCTTCCGTCCTCAAGATGAACTCCTCCACTACAGGCATCGCCCTGGAAGTTGCGACGAACCAGCAAGCTCTGCAGATCTACGCTTGTAACGGCCAGAACGGTACCATCCCCGTCAAAGAATCGCAAATCAAGCGCAACAATGGAGGTGCCAAATTCGTCAACAAGCACGGTTGTCTCGTCATTGAGACCGAGGGCTGGATCGACGGTATCAATAACCCTCAATGGGGCCAGTTGCCATACCAGGAATTTTCTCCTGAGTCGGGGCCGGCAGTCAACTGGGCCACCTACACTTTCAGCACAATCCCATAGAACTATCTGGAGATTAACTAGTTTGCTGGTCATCTATGTCTGGCAGCTTTGTGAAGCTCCTATAGTTCTTATATACTCCTTAACTAATACCCGCCCTTGAAAAAAGGCTGTATATAAATGGACATACTTTTTTCTACTTTAGATGTCCAAATAAACAACTCATCACTAGCGATGGAGCTGTGCTTCCATTCTATCCTGTTACGCATGTAGAATCGATATCCGTGAATGTCCGTATGGAGTTGAGTTTAACAAGGCAGTAGTAGTTCACGAGAACGACAAGTCCGGGTATCTATTTGTGTAATGGATCAAATGTCTACATACAGGCATACAACATACAAGCGAGATAAGGGCAAATCTGTCTCATCCCCACCCCGCCAACGTCCAACTCGAGCGATCTCCAGCCCGCAGTCCAGACCGTCGATCAGGAACGTGCGCATCGGAATCTCGACTCGCGCCTGCCAGACCATGCTGTAGGAACTTCTCCCGCTCGATCTCTACGAGACCGCGAAGCTTCATACTGGCCACGAGACTGGCCCCGGCCCAGGGACCTAAGGTATCGACCTGGCGGAAGATACCGTGGACAGGAGGTCCATGCAGATCCTTGCGTGTGCGACGAAGCTTCTGTTCGACGAAATCGAGCTCTTCCTGCTGGATATGGTCGGCATCAGTGTTGAACGTATCCGGAATCGTGACGGAGGAGGAAGAAGAGGGCGGTCGATGTGCAGAGGACGATGATGACTGATGGGATTGTTGATTGATGCTGAGGCCTTGGAGCTTTTTGCGCTGCTCGTCAATCACCCTACCGCGGATGGAACTCCAACCGTAGCGACGGACGAGGGAAGAGACGTCTTGCAGGATCCGGCGCCGGATTCCAGGGATGTTGGCACCGCCACCGGTGAAGATGATTCGCGACATGCATGATCCGCGAACGTCGGGTGGAAGCGCAAGGAGAGTGCGATATACAAGTTCGTCAATGGGCTTCTCTTGGTCGTCCAAGTTCCAGTCAGATACGCCTTCGGCAAAGAGCGCGATATCCACCTGGTCAGCGAACCTCGAGAACGGCACCTCGATGTACACGGAGGGGTTAGAAGGCGACGGAATCGAGGCCATTCTGAAGCTAGGCGTACGAGGAGTGTCTGGACTTGGTTCGGGTTCATCACGAAGCTTGCACCATGCGAATCGGCTGACGACCTCTTCGCAATAATCGAACCCGACGGATATCCTATCATTCTCGTCTGTCTCCTGGTCACGCTTCTCAGCCAATGCAGTGAGAAATCTTCCCATCTCCTGCATCAACAGCTTCATGCCTCGAGTACTTCGTTTCGTCTCGATCTCGCGGTATTCGTAGAGACCAGTGACGGTGGTCTCTGCCCAGCCTAGATCCACCACCAAAGCTGAGCGCAGCCCTGCTGCTACCGCGGCCATCGTAGGTGACGGGAGAAGTGTGATGCTCGGATATCTCCAACGGTTGAAGAGGGTGGAGAGTACGGAGGACAGTAACGGATGAGGTACGATCGAAGGTATGACCAAGACCAGTCGCGAGTTGCCAGCATCTGTGAGCAAATAGTTGTTGTATATCTCTCGAACGGCGCGCTCGATCTTATCGTCGACCAGGGCCAGATCAACATCTCGTAGATCCATTCGCCAAAGTTCATATCGTCGCGTCCACTCCTCTGCCTTCATTGATCGCTTTCTGTCTCCCGCATTCCCACCACCTGGAGTCTTTATCCATCCTCTGTAATCACCGGCCTTTCTTGATTCCTCCGGACCAAAACCAACCTTGCAGATAGGCGCACTATCACCCTCAAATCCCGCTCTTAGCCATCGTGTCCCGAATTCGAATATGACTGCGTCTTCTTCATTCCGAAACGAAGAACCGGGCGACGACGTCGACGTCTGAGAGAAGGACACTATTGACCGATGATGCGAGTGTCGAGGGGTATGTGGTGAGGACGGTTCGGTCTGCTGGCTGTATCGCGTGCTGGAGCGCACTGCACCAGATCCTGAAATAGAAGGCTTCCTATCGATCCCGGAAGTGGCCGTGGCCATCGTTGACATCGTAGCCTTTCACTAACGCTGATGCGCTCCTTTTTGTTTACTCTCACTCGGTATCCGCGCGGGAAGCGCAAGTGAGGTCGCAAGTGAAAGATACCTACGTTTTCCGGTCTCGTCTTACCAGATGCGCGTCATATCAGTTCCAATTGAGGACATAATCACTCGAAACAATACCAATTGCCAGAGACGCGAACTGATCGCGAAATTGAAACTCCCCCGACTCTGAGCGCATAGTTAAGTCGTTCGCAGACAACGCTCTACCTCCGCGGTGTTTTTCACGTGACAACTTTCCACTGTTTCAGAAACATCCCTGATTGGATCTTCCTTCATCCAACAACAACCACAACAAACAGTGAGGAACACGCACGACTGGTCATAGATCGCCTGTTCTAGACCCTGTTACGACAGCCTCTATTATCATCTCTTCTAGATGATGGATATTTCCGTAAGATAAAATTGCAAATGGGGATTCCTGGGTAAGCGATATTCCCCATCGTCGAAACACAACTACCGTCGCGTGCCGAAGCCCATTCCGAGCCGTGATCTCGCGGACAGGATCCTTCGTTCCTGTTGATCTTACTAACTGGAGATAGACTTATAAATGCGATCGGGCCTGGGGATCGCATCGCTCTCTCTAGGTTGGCGATCACTCACCTGGAGCGGACTTCACGGCCCATCCGCATCGCTGTTGATATTTCGATATGGCTGTTCCAAGTCCAATCGGGACGGGGAGGGACAAATCCAGAACTGCGGACTCTAGTATACAGACTGTTAAAGTTCTTGGCTCTCCCTGTGCACCCTCTTTTTGTGTATGATGGACGGCATAAGCCGCCATTTAAACGTGGAAAAGCAGTGGGTGGTCGCAGCTATGGCTCAGCCCCGATTATTGGTCTTTCAAAGACTCTGATAGACCTTTTCAAATTCCCCAGACATGATGCCCCAGGAGAAGCTGAGGCTGAATGTGCAAGACTGCAGAAGGCAGGCGTCGTGGACGCCGTGATGAGTAACGATGTCGACGCGCTGATGTTTGGCTCCACGCTTACCGTGATGAATTTCTCTAAAGAGAAGTCGAGCGGAACAGCCGCGGCTACGCATATCACCTGCTATCGGACGCGGGAGGAGGAAGGAATGCCTGCAAACGTTCCCCTAGATTCAGATGCGATGGTCCTCTTTGCCCTTCTTAGTGGAGGCGATTATCTACCATCCGGCGTTCCTAAATGCGGCAGCAAGCTCGCAGCGGAGATCGCCAGAGCAGGGTTTGGTTCTGACCTCCTGGATATACTCAGATCGGGTGCCACCGATGCTGAGGTGAAATTGGACGAATGGAGGACCAGGCTGCAATACGAGTTAGATGAAAATGAAAGCGGCTACTTCCAGACGAAGCACAAGGCCGTCAAAATTCCGGAGACCTTCCCAGACAAGGAAATACTCTCGTATTATGCCAATCCAGTGGTTTCCTCCGATGAAGAAGTGGAAGTGCTACGACGACGGCTGGTCAACGCCTGGGACCGTGAAATTGACGCGCTGGAACTAAGGATGTTTGCCGCAGAATTCCTTGATTGGAAGTATCGCTCTGGGGCTAGGAAGATTGTCAGATGTCTGGCTGAACCTTTGGTCTCTTACAGGCTTCGGTTACAAAAGCCTGCAACTGTACTTCAGGGTTATGGCTCTTTCGTCCCAAACACTACCATTCCAACGGCGCAGCGAGTGTATAAGAGCCGTACTCACTGGAGCACAGATGGCCTGCCTCAGTTACAGATGGAAATGGTCCCAATTGACGTTGTCGGTCTTGACTTGGAGGCCGAGGAACCTAATCCTCCACTCCCCCAACAACAACAAGAGGTCCAGGGGTCCGAAGACGTCATTGATGAGGAAGACAGTGACTCTGAAGCAGAGGCTCAAGCTCAGGACTCACAGCAGCCAGCCAAGTTCTACAACCCATATGAACCGATGAAGATATGGGTTCTAGAGACTGTGGCGGAAATAGGGGCTCCGAGTGCGGTGGACACGTGGAGACGAGAACAGCTCAAAAAGGCGACAGCACCGAAAAGGAAGGCAAAGTCAGCGTCTACGAAGGGTACCAGCGCCACGAGGGGAAAGAAGACTATAGACCCAGGCATGAAACCCGGAAGTCTTTTTAAATATTACAGTACCGCCAAATCCAGGTCGGACATATCTCCCGCCAGACAAGCACAGCTTTTGGATGCGGCTCGCTCAAGCACAACGCCCGAATCGAGTCCTACAAGCACCTGGGAGAATGAAGGAAAGCTAGGTACTACCGCCTAATTTGACTCAACGCGGACGCCGTACTGATGGCTGAGAGCGACCCTCGAGAGGACCTATTCAAAGAGTATCGATGAGCTTGTTGATGAGTTCTGCTCGGCACATACAGCATCAGACACGCAAACGCAAACACCCAAATGCCGCCCTGCTGATAAAGCCCCAAAGTCGAAGGCAAAGGGCCGTACCTTACGTTCTAACGCCGGGGATAAGCTTGACGGAAGCATGGATGATAAGGAGTCGATAGTATTGTCGCCTCCATCTCGGCCGCAAGATCTCACTGCCACTCGTGAGACAGTAGGCTCCCCAAAATCGGCCACGACAAAGACACGTAGATGCTCTCCGCGTAATGCGGCCTCCTCGTCGTCCCCCATCGAGGAGAAGAAGCGCCGCAGTGGTCGACAAAAGCCGCGTCAGGTAGTGGCCAAAGCGGAAGCAACTGGAGAAACCAGTCCCTTGGGATCATCTACGAGATCGCCGACAGGTCCAGGGACGGAGAACTCAAAATCAAAGGCTCGGCCCCGTCCTCATCAACGCGATGCGGTGACAACAAAAACCACAGATCTATCGCCGTCTCCAGATGTAGACGCAGACTTGCCTTCGCTGGAAGACTTGTTAGGCCTGAATTTGGAACCCAAACCTTCAACGCGTGGTTCGCATGCTGAACAATCAAAATCCGAAGTTAACAGGAAAGCGCCTCCAAAGAATGAAACAACTACTGCCCCCCAACCGACAGAGACCTCTCCAGGCAAACCAGCGAAACGTCGTCAACCGCGAACGTCACCGAGACACACGTACTCGGTAACAACTCAGAAAGGATCCTGGAGAGCGGAGGGAACTCCAGATGACGAGCCGAATACCGACCAGAAAGGAAATACAAAGTCTTCCAACCCGTCGACAGCTTCCGAAAAGAGCAACAAGAAGAAGCCTTCACGAGTAGACATTATTGATTTGACGTAGGATTTTGGACTTCTCTATATTTCCATCTTTTTGTTTTTCTTGGAAGGCGTTGGTGGAGTCCTTGTCCCTAGGACGATTACGTTCCCTTTGGGCGGTGGGAGTCCATCTGCTCTTCAATTGGACATTCCGCGTTTCACGAGTATCTATTTTTTGAATCCTCTTGCATAGATGACAGATACAGTGCTGGATAATTGATTGGTCATAGTCGGATAATACTACTGGTAGCACCAGAAAAGCAATGCCGCACGTGCACGTTTCCATGTCTAAATTGCCTGTATGCATTCTACCTATTCTAAACTAGACTAATAATATAGTTACCAAGTGAACGTCTTACATCACAGATACCATCTAGACGGGGAAGCGAATCGAAATACCAGAGACTTACTCCACTTCGAGAACTAGCAATATCTATTTACATTACAAGAAAAATAAAAAAAAAGAAGAAATAAAAAAGGAAGCTGCACAAAGCGCATTGTATATATTTTCTTGAGTCTCAGAAGAGAGAAGACGGAACAGTTATATTAGTTCCTGTCTATTTCAAAGGTGAACTGGACGCTATGCGAACCGAGAGGACGTTGCAAAATTCGGTACCCAAAAACTAGGGGTGGGATGTCCGGGATAAGAACATGACGTGAAGGTATCGATGCTTGAAAGTTGACGCTGGTGAAATCGTCAAATGGGCCAAAAGGGATTCTGATCCTGTCACTGCAGAACGGATTGTTATGTGTGATTGGAGGAGGATCCATAGAGAATAGAAAGGGAAAAGCAAAGGTATCAACTGGATTTGAAAGCTTATGCATGACGTGAAAGGGCATTACAAGTGTAAGACAACGTGGGTACTGTGTAAGTAATTAACCAAAAATCTTGAGGAAACCCCATAAACCAATACCGCTCAGGACGGGGATGGTCAGGTTATCGTCCCATCCGAAGAGATCGATCATTTCACTTCCCGCCGCGACGATTCCAGAAACGACGCTCATCACACCGAGAGCCAGAGGTCCGGTGATGACTCCATTCGAGCTGTCCTGGGACCATCCCAGGAGGCCTCTGATCGAGGTAGGCAGGAGATTGAGACGGCCGGTGAACATGAACGATCCCTCAGGATCATTGGGGAAGGCTCCCATAGTCGGAACAAACCATCCCCAGAAGGCGGCTGCTGTAACAACGCCCACTGTCCAGGCCGCAAGGGTGCCTGCCACACTCTTGCCGTCGCGGATCTTTGGTGTGTATTTTCCATAGAGGCGACCCACAGTGGACGCGGCGGTGTCACACCAGCTCAGGAGGAGGACGCCCATGACTCCGACATCCTTGGAAAAGAACTTGAGCACAACATAAGCTCCAAGCAGATACCAGATAACGCCATTGTAGCCCTGCACCTCCGTCTCACGCATGAGCGCACCCAGCACTGTGATATAGAGCTTGTTTACGGCCTCGAATCGATGGCGGAGGAAATCGGTCGCAGCAATAGGGACTAGAGCAGAAAATAGCCATGGGGTGATCTGGTACGTTTGAATTCCGCGACTGTAAAGATACAGCGTCAGGAAGCCGATCGACACGTGCAGAAGCTTGCGGGGGATTTCGTGCCGGTGGATGAAAGCGCGGTACCGCTGGTGAAGCGGGATAAGCCCCAGGGGTGAGGGAGACCGAGAGATATCATGCCAGCCGCTCTCCTTATGGGGTGGTGACAGAAACCCGTTTGTCAAGGGCTCCGACTTCACGACAGGCGTCTTTTTAGCAGAGCTAAGTCGAGGAGGACGCTTCCTGGGACTGGATGATACAGCAGGACTGCGAGAGCTTGTCCGAGACTGTGTCCTGGAATCATCGACTTCTTCCTCATCTTTAGATCCTTCCGATATTGTCTGGGGCGATGTCATCCGCTGGCGCCGCGCAGCGGAACGTGTAAAATAGCCATCTCGCGAATCTGACCGTTCTGATGGTGTTGGAGAAGGTGATATCACGCGAGGAGTGGCTGGTACCCCATACTGTGAGGACATCTCGATCGCAGGGAAGTCAAAAGGCGGCAATGCTGGCCGCCGGATGACTCCTAGCTGAAGCTGACACAAGAGAGTCACGTCCTGGGCAAAAATGCCTGAGGATAGAGTCCCGATTTCTGCGGCGAGCGGAATATTGACGGTAGATATTGGTGCGATAGCACACAACCAGATCGGGCAACTGTCGGAGCGTAACTTTGGTTCAAAACTTGCTGGAGGTGGAAGCTGAGTCGCTGCTGGCGCATAGCGAGGTGGGAGGCTCTGTCTAGCACATGCGTAACATTAATAATGACCAAAGCCTTCTTCTCTTTTCAACGTGGAGAGTGGGACGTGTGGAGCAAGTCTGAGAACAGAGAAGAGGTCACTTGAGCAAGGAACAATTAACAGTTAGTTGGATAAGTATCGCGATCAAACTTTCAGCAAGGCCGGCGTTCGTCGGAAAGCCTTGAAGCTCAGGCCAATAGATCGGCGGTCTGGCACGGCAGAACCGCCCTACCATACGATCTGGTCGATCTGATCGTGCACGGACAAGTCAAGGCGATATCCCGATATGGTAGGTATAATAATATATATACCTATTCCAACACATGCTCCGAGTAAACGTACATATTTTGGACATCCTACCAAGGCTTGAATGGAAGACTTGGCTAAGTCACTACGACTCATACAGCAGTGCACAACAGCAAGGTGCACGTCGATGGACGTCTCACCGCCTTTTACTATCAGTTTATCACGTGACGGCAGAAAAGTGCTCTCCATCGATAACGGTTATCAATCTCAAAATAATTTTCGAGCGCGGAGACAAGACGGCACTTTACCACCAGGCAAGGACCGACAACGTCGTCCTCCTCCAGCGCAGTTCTTCCCTGTCATGGCCCCGAAGCCGGCTGCCACGTCCTCGAGGGCGTGGGAGGCTCTCAATCCGCCGCTCTCACCATGGATCCTGGATGCTGTTTCCACCATGGGGTTCTCTCGCATGACGCCCGTGCAGGCCTCCACCATCCCTCTTTTCATGGGCCACAAAGATGTGGTGGTCGAAGCCGTTACCGGAAGTGGAAAGACCCTATCCTTCTTAATCCCTGTGGTTGAGAAGTTGCTGCGACTAGAGGAGCCGATCAAAAAGCATAATATTGGCGCCATCATCATATCTCCAACCAGGTAAGAAGTCTACTCAATGGAGTTTACAGTACAAGTCTGACCTGTCCTGAAGGGAACTTGCATCGCAGATATATAATGTTCTTGTCTCATTACTGGCTTTCCACGAACCTTCTGCATCGGTCATTAATCCGCCGGACGAAGAAGATGCAAGCGAACGTCCAAAATACCCATCGTCCACCCTCAAAGTTGTCCCACAGCTTCTTTTGGGAGGGCTAACCACACCAGCGGAGGACCTGAGTACATTCTTGAAGCGATCTCCGAATGTCCTTGTCTCCACCCCTGGAAGACTGCTGGAGCTGCTCTCGTCACCCCACGTCCATTGTCCGCAGTCATCATTTGAGGTACTGGTAATGGACGAGGCGGATAGACTGTTGGATCTTGGTTTCAAGGATGATCTTTCAAAGATCTTGGCTCGGTTACCGAAGCAGCGACGAACTGGACTCTTCAGTGCTAGTGTGAGTGAAGCTGTCGACCAGCTAGTGAGGGTAGGCCTCCGGAATCCAGTCAAGATCGCGGTCAAGGTGAAGGGCGCATCTGGTGTCGAAGACAAACGCACTCCAGCAAGGTACAATCAGTTTAGTTTCCTCTTCCCTGAACACTGGTCACTGACAAACTCGTAGTTTGCAAATGACCTACCTTCTGACTCCTCCAACACACAAATTACCGGCAGTTCAACGAATTCTCTCCGCCGTTGAACCGACGCCACAGAAAACCATCCTCTATTTCTCAACCTGTGCCGGTGTCGATTATTTCCAGCATCTGGTTCCTTTACTCCTTGGGGACGATTTCCTTGTGATTCCTCTTCACGGCAAGCACCCTGCTAATGTTCGACAAAAGAACTTTACACGTTTCACCAATTCGACGACTCCTGCCGTTCTATTAACAACAGACGTCGCTGCGCGCGGGTTGGATATTCCCGCGGTGGATCTTGTCATTCAAGTAGATCCTCCATCAGATCCAAAGGCATTCATGCATCGGTGCGGTCGTGCTGGTCGGGCTGGCCGTCGAGGATTGAGTATAGTTCTTCTACACCCAGGAAGAGAAGAGGATTACGTGCCGTTCCTGGAAGTTCGCAAGACCCCGGTGACACTCTATGAGAACCCTAGGCTCTCGCTATCCGATGCAGATGCATCCGCTGCTACGGAAAAATTCCGTAAAGCCGTCTTGAAAGACCGCGCTCTTCATGACAAAGGTCAAAAAGGATTTGTGAGCTTCGTCCGCAGTTACAGCAAACACCAAGCCAGCAGCATATTCAGAGTTGCCGATCTGGATTGGGAAGCACTAGGTCATGCTTGGGGCCTCCTAAAGCTTCCTCGAATGCCGGAACTAAGGAACTTCAAGGGGGATACAACTTTAGGTGTCAGCCTTGATTGGGACAATTATGCATACAAGGAAAAGCAGAGAGAAAAGCACCGCCAGGAAGCTCTCAAAGAAAAAGCTGAAGCTGGCGATGATGTTTCTCAGAAACATCAGAAGAAGAGACCAGCCGAAAATATACCCTGGAGTCAGAAACTAGAACAGAAGGGCGAGCGTGAGAAGCGCAGAGAGAAGAAGAGGGCGAGAAAGGACAGAGACAGGTGGGAGAAGATGACCGAGGAGGAGAAACAGAAGGTGCGTGAGACAGAGAGGATGCTGGAGGAAATTAGAAAGCAAAAAGAACAAGAACGAGCCTCCTCCAAAGAGGCCGCAGGTGCCGCAAACGGCGAGGAAGACGAGTTTGAGGGTTTCGACTGAGGATACCAGGATTCCATGCCATCCACCGGTTCTCTTTTCATGCTATTTTCAAATTCCTGTACCATATATATCCGGCACTGTGTGCCAAAGTACGAGTACGAGTACGAGAAAAGATAATGAGCATATTCCTAACAACGGATATGCGATGCCAATTCAGGAAAAAAAGATCAATGACTCTGCAACCTATCCTTTGTGCTAAACTAAGCTGGCCTGTAAGAAGATGTCTCCAATCATCTCTGCAGAAAGTGTCCTTTATGGAAGCAGATGCATTACAAAGACCATTGTCCTGGATCGGACACAAACCAAATGTCTGCAGAGCCATAGCCACCGAAGGACGGACGCTGAAGATAACCGGTTGTGTGTATATGGACATCCACCGGAGTATTTAGTCTCGACATTTTCATCCTTAGCAGTATCATTTCCATCCACACATTCACAATTCTTCCACCAGTGCTCCACAAAAGGAAATAAAATCACCCAAATCATCAAATCCACCACAGAATCAAGCAACCAAAACCTCAAAACCAGACGTCCTTCTCCTTCCCATATACATTTCCATCCAGTATCAACAACGCGAAACCATGTGCTTCTACAAACCCAACGCTCCTCCCTGCACCTGCACAGTCTACGAGTTATTCCAGCCTTGCTGGCATGCAACATTCTATCCAGCGCCAAAACCGCTGCAGAACCCCAATCCTATTATCCGGGTCTGTGGGACGATGAATATCGCCTTGTCTGCAACTCCACGACACTGTCTGGTCTGTGAATCTGCTGTTGCGTTCACGGGAGATTTGACGGCTGGTTCTTACCTCGTGGATAATGGAGAGAATGAGAATTCCCTGTCTACTCAGAATCAGAGTATTGGAAGTCATGATAACTATGGGGAATCGGACATTAAGATGTCTGCTATGATGGATAACTTGGATTTGTTCTCGTCGCTCGGACAGGAATCAGAGACTGAACCTATGGCTTCAGGAGCAGACCCAAATGCATTGAACGAGAGTCTTTTCAGTGATTTCGGATCACTGCTACCGGATTATGGGGAGGTGCAGTCTCTTCTCTAATCGGGTGCGGCATCTACGGAGTCTTGAGCTATCGCGGATGGCGGAGGCGGAGCGATAATAACATGAGTTGTCTTTCGAAAGAAAGAAATGTTTTATACCTTTTGACATAATACCGTTAGTATATTGCTGCAGTACTATATACATGAATAGCATGAGCTTACGATAGCCCAACAGTCCAGAGTAGATATCTATTTCTCTCTAATACCGAGCTTGTGGAATTTTCATGGTAACTCTCGGGTATGTTCAGGAACACTTAATCCTTACCTATGGGAAATGTCTTGCCATATTTAGGTATAAAGCTATAATGCCAAGCACATTTGCCCATACGTATTCTGTCGGCGCACAAAGGCAGCGTACAGCTGATGTGCAGGTTCTTTGATTGCTTTGATTATCCTTATTATAGGATTGAACCTACTAGATCACTAAGGTCTAGATTCTTTGTATGCTTGAAGATAGATATGGGATTATCATCCCCCTTAGACATATAGAAGGCAGAGACTGAAGTGGAATAGTATCTACTAAGTCCTCAGAGGGGGAATGTCCCTGGTACCAAATCCATGTCCATTCATCAAATGCAATCTATCTATTGTCCAGCAGTCCTCGATTCGAGAATGCCAGAGAGGGCAAATTCAATTATATCAAAGGATTGTCTATAAAAAATCAGCAATTGCAGTCAATACGGCTTGAATGCAGGCATCCGGATTGAAACCCTTCTAGGTCTACACGGTTCACGTGACTTCACGTGAGAAATCTACCGTTATCAGGAGCATTACGACCTGGACCGCTCATTAATGATGCAACTGGTCGACTGACCGTGGCCTTTTCAATATGCATTTGTCAAAAGTTCCAGATAGCTGGCCGTTAACTGACAGACGTTATGATCCTGCCGCATCTAAAAAGCAGGAATGTCATGAGTGATTAACTAGCATGCATGCAACAGAGCAGTTCCCCAAACCTATCCCCGACACAGGGTATCCCTAATCATATTGTACAAGAATCGAAAATGCCTCATTGCTTGTTAAAGCCCGCGAAGAGAAAAAAACCGCTCATCCAGTCCACATGTCCAAACCATCGTACTTGTCGGTTGTCTTCATGAGTTGAATCAAGCCGTCGAGCGCAACACCGTCCCTGCTCCGCTTGGCTATCATATAATCGACATAATTCGAAAACTGTGATTCGTCGAGTTCCTCTTTTGCATTGTCTGTCTTTTCCGTCTTCTCTTCACGGTTCGCAGTGCCAGGCGGACTGCTCAGCTGCACGGGCGCTGCGGGAGTGCGTGGTTCTGGGCGCGGATTGTTCTGAGTGGGCGTGGGCATGTCGTCGTGAGGCTCTTCGCCAGCGGATGCGGGAGGAGAGGAAGGGATGTCTGAAACGTAGCGGGCAGAATACGCAGTCGGTTTCAGTTCGGGAGCCGGAAGAAGCTTGAGGACCTTGGCTGGCGAACTCGCGGTCTGCTGCGAAGCTGCAGCTTCCTTTGTTGGGCTCGCAGGCATGGAGAATCTCAGACGCTTACGGCTGTGAGCTTCAAGCTCGGACACCCTGCGGTCGAGCTGCGGATCCTTGACACGCTTCATCGCGGTCTGGATTCTGCCCCGAAGAAGAGTTGCTTTCTGCTGAGGGTCAGCTGAATCCGGAGAGCAATCAGACATCTCCGTCTTACCTGCTGAATGAATGCTTTGCGCGCGTCAGGATCAGACGGCACGGAAGTGGCAGACAGGTCTGCCTCAGATTTGTTTTGCTTAGGGGAAATGCTCATCCTTAGTTGTGACGGTTCTCTTTGTTGACCTTGTGGATGGGCAGGTTGCTCGGCAGGTTGCTCAACGGACTGTTCGTGTTCGGATTGTGAAGCGGCCTTTGAAGAGGTCTGATATCAGCAATCCGCATCCAACATTCACTTGTGCAGACTAAACACATACCATAGTAGCAGACTTCACTGTGGATTGAGAGCTTTCGTCAAAGATATGGAACTGTTCTTCATAAGGTGGTAGAGCAGCAGATAGGCTCTGTTGTGAGCTGGGGTTTTCTGTTTGTTCTTCCACATGGTCTATTGTCCGCTTCTGGCCAGCATAATGGGACAATCCAGTAACCCGTGGCGACAGGGCTTCACGTAGAGGCTTCATTGGAACAGCCGTCGTTGCTGCGGTGTCTGCCTTGTGGTTCCTCGATGGGGAGAGTATCGACGCGTTGGGAGTCTTCTCTCCCAAAACGCGTCTGCCATCCTTCACAGGACTCAACCGGACCGGTGAGTGCTCCATGTTATCGAGGTGTATAGGAGTGAATTGGGTATGGAATAGGGTCCCTTCGTCAATCGGGGGTATAATAGAAGGTAAAGAAAGAGCTGCTTTGAAGTGCTGCGGAGCACTGTAGTTCGAGCACGCGGCCGGTTTTCTATATACAGAGATTGCGGGGAGTCTATAACGAGAATTCAAGGCAAGGGGCAATAAAAAACCATCGGATGAATTCTGATCAGTCAATTGGGACAATTGACGGCTGAATAGGAGCAGCAATGAACAATCGCGGCGCGTAGTGCTCGCGTGGACGGTCTATTTTGTATGGAGCTGCTAAGGCCCGCGATGCCCGCCCGGAAAAACCGCGGGGTGGAGTCGAGCTTGGGCCATCACAATCCATCCACGTTGAGCGTGTCCGTGTTGCTGCACCACGTCTGCTCGTCTCTACGCGTCTACGGGCGACTCGAAACGCTTCGATGGCGTCCTTTTGTAGTCGATTTCGTGCAGTCGTTTGGCGCGGTTGCGTGTTGGACGGGATGTGTGAGCTCAGCGAGCTAGCAGGATGCCCATCTGCAGGGTCCTGGTTTCTGTTCGACGAGCGCACAGCTTGTCAATAGCAGGTTCGAGATTAGTTACCTGGACTGCCAGATGACTTATCATTATTTCCACAGATTTATCCATTGCGAGATATTGAAGCATTAGTTACCGCTGAGAGTAGTCGGTAATGATAATGGGTTGACGGTCCAACAAGGTTTCTTTGTCCAGGCTGCTTCGACGGCTTGGACAATGGATGCTACGGACTGCACTTTCTCTATCCTACATCGTGTCATTAGCGTTGATATGGGGTTCATCTGCCATTTCTCCGGGCAAGGCGCGTTGACGTCGATTGGAATGAGGATTCCAAGCTGCTACACACGTGTCTGAAGGAGCGCCATGCGAAGCTTTCCCATGGTCCCATTCCGGGGAAGCTTTGAAACGACCTGGAGATTGGGCACGCTGTACTTCATCGCGTCCATAATACACATTACACATTGCACAATAACCGGTTAGATCAGGCTTCTGGCGCGACTAACTACTACTGCAGGACATAAATACTGCGGTCGATCATTCTTGGGAGACAGGTATCGCATCCTGACTCCACGATACAGGATAGGGGATAGAGGGAACTTCATGGCAACAATTACTCTAGTAGTTTGACTGAGTTACGGAGCACGAGCTTTGTCCATGGTTATTCGGATGATTCTTATCTTCTCAGCAGTTTGGCATTGTCGAGTTATAGATATTGGATATTGGAAGTGATCGGTCTGGCGGTAACTGGTATCCACAACCCTGCAGTACTCCAGAGACTCGCTTCAATCAGAGTTCCAGTGTATCTATCCTCTTCAAAACAGACCCAAAGCAGTCTACTCTACAGTCGAGAATACATAAAGATATACAAAATAGATATTAACTATTAACTATTTACATCTCCGCGCAGCAGAGAGCCCCAAGAACCGCCGATCTGCGCAGCCACGGCAAGTCTGAGACTCCGCATGACCTCACCAGGCCCAGCCTCTCCACTCATACTTGCTCGCCTCTCCTTAAGCCAGCCAGCTCTCCCCTTCCCCCAAACCTGCTGGTTTCATCGTTCTTTGGGTCATTTTCTCTAATGCATCCCTATTGAGGCTTTATCTTATCTGCCACTGTATCATCATTGCCCGTCGTTCCTGGTGAAGCTGGCACGATGCGGTGGTCTCTCGTTGCTCTGGCAGCAACCCTGCTGCACACGGCCCTGGGAGAGGCCTCGAGACTGACTCCCCCCGTCCTTCCCTTGATTGTCCGCAATCCCTATCTCAGCACTTGGCTGGGAAATGCCCGTGATGAGCCATGGGAGAAATGGCCCATGTTCTATACCGGAGAGGATGTCGGTCTCTCGTTGATGGCCCAGGTCCCCAGTACCGGTCTCGTCTATCCATTGCTGGGCAGGCCTCATGATTCCTTGCTGCCCGTTGGACACAAAGATGGGTATGGCAGATGATCTTGGACAATATCAGGCAGAAACTGACCAGAGCAGATATAATGTCTCGTACCCAGTCTTTGTAGGGACCAAGTATGATGCCTCTACCACGAACCTGACATACCAGATCCCTTCCCCTTCCCCGAATGGCTACCCGCTCGAGCTCACTGTCTCGTTCCTGTCTCCCATCACACCCACATCGACCCTGCGCCAGTCCATTCCGGCATCCTATGTGACCGTATATGTCCAAGGCGACTTTGACGTGAATGTCTACATTGATGTCAATGGACAATGGGTGAGCGGAGATCGCGGCAGCCAGATCGTCTGGGGATTCGACCATCTCGTTGCACAGGGAGGTGAGAGCAGCAGCCTCAAGAAATGGCAGGTTAAGAGACAGGGAGAGTTGCTGTTGTCGGAGATCAACGATCGCGCGGAATGGGGAACTCTGCACTTCGTCGGGCCTGCTGTAAGTATCGTCCGGAAATGTCTTACTGGTATTTCCAATTGCTAAAAGTGAGACAGGATGCTCAACATGAGTCCGGAACCTCTGCCCTTCTCAGACAGCGCTTCGCAAAGACAGGCACCCTGCGGAACGTCAACGACCAGAAGTTCCGTGGCGTCATGGACCAGGAGCCCGTCTTTTCCTTTGCGAAGGAGTTCCAGCTGAACTCAACTGGCGGCGTCACAACCGGCAGTGTCACCTTCACGATCTCTCACATCCAGGACCCGGTCGTCCAATATGCCTCAGCACGTGGACTGACATTAATGCGACCTCTCTGGAAGTCCTGGTTCGGAACCGAGGACAGCCTTCTGTCGTTCCACTATGCGGACTTTGCTCATGCCAGTGCGCTGGCATCGAACTACTCCGACCAATTGGCCATTGATGCTTACGAGTCTGGAGCAGAGGACTACGTAGACATTGTTGCCCTGTCCGCACGACAGATTATGGGTGCGACCAGTTTCTCTGGAACGGACGAGGATCCGATTCTGTTTTTGAAGGAGATCTCTTCAAACGGCAACTTTCAGACTATCGATGTCATCTTCCCGGCATTCCCGTTCTTTTTGTACACTAGCCCTCGTTGGCTGGCATACCTTCTGGAGCCGTTGATTGAGCATATGCTCAGTGGACAATACCCCAACACATATGCCATGCATGACCTTGGAACACATTTCCCGAATGCGACTGGACATCCAGACGGCCGGGACGAATATATGCCCGTGGAGGAGTGTGGAAATATTCTTATCATGGGCTTGGCTCTCGTCAACTCTCTCCGTTACTCAGCCGATGACCAGGCGTCATCGAGATGGGCTGCTCACGGCGCACCGACTCGAGTCATGGCTGAGAGCGAGTCGAGCCTGTTCCCACTGACTGACCTCCAGGCTGTTTCTGGAATAAACCATCAGGATGGCAAATGGGGCGGTCCGAAGGAGGGTGTGCATCTGGCAAAGAAATGGGTCGATAGGACCTACCGCCTATGGAAGCAGTGGACCGGCTATCTAGTTGACTATTCGCTGGAACCTGCCAACCAACGTATGTATCTTTCTGTACTTCGCATGAGTCTAGCTTACTGACCCCCTGGAATCTAGTTTCGACGGATGACTTCGCCGGCTGGCTTGCCCTGCAGACAAACTTGGCCCTGAAGGGTATCATCGGTATCAACGCCATGAGCCAGATCTCTGAAGTAGCTGGAATTCCGGAGGATGTCCAGTACTATAAGGTACGTATATTTCTATTGATCACTTTTCTGTTGATTACGTCCTAACTTGATCCAGAATATATCCGATACGTACATCGCCAAGTGGGAAGAATTCGCTATGTCGAGAGACAAGACCCATGCTAAGCTGGCTTACAACTGGTATGGCTCGTGGACCACTCTGTACAATCTTTACGCCGATGCTCTCTTGTGCTTCCATCTGGATGGCACAGAACAGAGCCTTGCTGCCTCAGGCACTACGCAGGTGCCTCTGTCTTCCAAGAAGATCGGATTCGTCCCGAGACATATCTACGAGAAGCAGTCTACCTGGTACCACTACGTGCGTCAGAAGTATGGCTTGTCTCTGGACAGCCGTCACCTCTACACCAAGACCGACTGGGAATTCTTTTCCATGGCAGTGTCCAGCGAGAATGTCCGCAGTGAGATCCTGGAATCTGTTGCAACATGGATCAACGAAACGGTGACGGATCGCCCATTCACTGATCTCCATAATACAGAGGGAGATGGTGGGTTCCCAGGACCGAACTTCTTTGCTCGCCCTGTCGTGGGTGGTCACTTCGCCTTCTTGGCCCTCCAGCGAGCTTGTGGCGGACGCGCCATGGACGGACTGTCATTCCTGGATGACGATGGTGGAGTGAGCAACTCGTTGCGTGAGAGCCGCGCCGACTGGGCTGCTGCTGCACGCGCAGCTGCTGAGTTCACCTCCGGTTCCTCCGAGTATATAAATGATCCCTATGAAGATGACGAGCTATAAACAGAACAGAGGGCCACGACATAGACTCGCTGCATCTTGCTTATTTTTTTGTATATTCAATATCCTCAGCAGCAGAGGTGGTGTCGCCTTTGTCTCAGGACCTTCGCTTTGGCTACGGTGCCCTCTGTTGGACGGAGATGTTTATTTATCCTTATGCTATCCGATAAAGCAAACCCAAAAACAACACCTATAGCATAGCTGCTGACACAATCGAATACAAAAGCCGTTATTGCTTAACGATTAAGTTTCGAGATTCAAATCTCTTCAACGTAGAAACAAAATCCCCCCCCCCCAACCTCTTCTCCCCATTTCTCCACCTATAAATTTATTCATCGCCTTCTTCCAATACCATCTTCTTAAACATCCACACAAGTACCTCCACCGCAATGTCTCCCTGTCCTTTCCCCTCCCCAATTCCCTTTTTCTTAAGGGCCCTTCGGACCCTCACCTCCTCCGCGCTCGGAGGCCGCCGAACATATATCACACACGGGAAAATGACCCCTCCCCGGAGTAATCCCTCGCAGTAGCGAGTATTATAGGCTGAAACCGTCTCGGGGAGGAACACGATATCGGTGCGGGTGTTTTCTGTAGTTGGTTAGTTTTATCTTATCTTCATGGTCACATATTTATATATATGTATGTTTCCTGGGGATTTAGAGGTGTTGGGGTTGGGCGCCATGAAAGATAATATATATATATACCTTGATTCATGAAGACAGGACCGGAAGACATGCTCGGGTTGGTCGGTCGGTTGGTTTTTATAGTCTTTGAGAACTCACTCCGGGATGTGTATGGTAGTATGGTTCTATGATGAGGTAGGTGGATAGATGGATAGATAGATATAGCTTTCAGCGCGAGCGAGCTTAGGATTAAATATGTTCAGTTTGTTCGGATGATGTTCTTGTTTTTTTATTTTTGTTCGTTAAAGGAGGATATATTGGGAATATTGGGTTTTTATATTTGAAAATATTGAATAGAGGTAGTTCATCTATTCAGGGGGTATTAGATGGAGATATGAATAGGGTAGTTGAATATAATATCATATTCAATGGCAGTGAATAGCGAAATCAATATGTTAGTTATTATGTTAACAATAGTAAGGTTTTAGATATAGGAAAGACGATAAAAATATTAATTGACCAGAAGCGTTGATTAATAAGACTGAGAAACTTATCGGTGTCAGTGGCATTAACGTTGAATTTGAATATATTTACCTCATTAATCGTTGGTAGAAGAGTAAAAATCCAAACTACGCCAGGGCTCACCCACTTCTGCCGTCGTGGGTGAGCTAACAGTCACGGATACCTAGTAGGATTGTTGTTGGCTGGTGGGGAAATCAGTAACAGTTTGATAGGCTAGCATCTGATCTTCGTCCCGATTAGAATCCTGCGATGCATCTACTTGTACTATTATTTACGGAGCTGAAAAGTAATAGGGGGACGGGTTTCTCGTTTTGGAATCGTTAATTACTCGGACGCCCGCAGGGCGTATCATCTGGGGAGAGCACTGAATCCTTTCTCTAGGTACCTAACTTACCCTATGTAATTCCAAAGTACCTACCTAGGGAGACTTCAACTTTTGCCCATCCTACAAGCATCCAAAAATAATCGCCTTGAGTACACATGCTCCATTCAAATTAAAATATTATAATATACTATTGTATGTACTGTCTCTTGACCATGAATCGGTTCCCTCGACTTCGTCGATTCCCTGGGCAACCACCATCGCCTCCACGAAGACTCAAGTCTTCCCAGTTTCCCATATTGGACCCCACCACGAAAATTGAAGAGGAGCGAATGCCCGCATACGATCGAGGCCTTTTTTATCCAGTCAAACTTGGGGATATTTTTGTGTCTCGATACCAGGTTCTTAGCAAGTTGGGATTTGGCGCAAGTTCAACGGTCTGGTTTTGCCGTGACCTCCAGTAGGTACCCATCCCGTACTGCCTCATATACCTAAACAGAGCTAACTTTTGGACAGCCAGCATCGGTATATTGCACTAAAGATTTGCATCCGCGGGTCTAAGGATCGAGAAGTGCAAGTACTTAGGCATCTTTCAACCGTGAAAACAAGTCATCCTGGCAGCGCTCTCGTCCGTAAAATGATAGAGGAGTTTGAAATTGCGGGACCGCCGAGTGGTAACCATCAGTGCATTGTTTATGAGCCGCTTTTGACGAGCCTTCTACATTTTCAGGCAACCCTGAATCCAAAGAGCCTTCCTGAGGACTTACTGAAGGGAGCACTCCAACAACTGTTACTTGCCCTGGATTACCTACACTCGGAAGCCCATGTAATACATACTGGTTTGTAGCTCTCTGAAGACGCCTAAGATTTTGCCGATTGCTAAGCTAATATCTTCGTAGACATACAAGCTAAGAATATTATGATCGGTTCTAAAGATGATTCAATTTTTCGCGAATGGGAAAATGACGAGGAAAATCAGCCCAGCCCGCGGAAGTCTGATGGCTCCAATATTGTCTACAAGTCTCGGCCGTTCCATCGTAAGAAGGGATGGAGCGGTTTCGGAATGCCACTTCTCTCGGACTTTGGCGAAGCGCGTCTAGGGGACGTGCATGATGGATTGATCCAGCCAGACATTTATCGTGCGCCTGAGGTCATCCTGGGGATGAGTTGGACATCAAAAGTCGATATATGGAACGTCGGAGTGCTAGTCTGGGACCTATTTGAAGACCACCATTTGTTTGATGGTAGAACACCCAACGGGAACCAGTCAGACGTATACCTTCTCGCTGAAATGGAAGCTATGCTGGGCCCTCCACCTCTCAACTTCCTTCGCAAGTCTCCTCAAAGTCAAAAGTACTGGGATTCCCTGGGTAAGATCTTCACAATTGAGAAATAGAACTTCATCTAACATCAGGAATAGGGCAATGGAAAGCTGCCATTGAAGTGCCGCACTATTCATTAGAGGAATCGGAAGAGTATCTTGAGGGTGAAAACAAGAAGATGTTTATGCAGTTTATCAGAAAAATGTTACGATGGGATCCGGAGGAAAGGCAGAGCGCCCGTGAACTTCTGTCAGATCCCTGGTTAACTGCCCAGTAATAAGTAGTCCGTAATTTCTGTCTGGTGAGATGATACGGAAGAGGAACATTTACGAGGCTACAAACAAGAGTCATCATCCCTTGATTCAATTCGAAAACTTTTAAGATAATTGAGCTTTCCTCCATTGCACCTTGAAGGGAGACTTTTCGAGCCATAGGAAGAGGGGACGGAAGCCACAGTTCTCCTAAATATGTAGTGCAAAGGAACAAAAACATTATCAGGTCTTATATACTTGGAGGTTGCGACGGCGTATCGGGCGACCATACAGTACCGCAAGCGGCAAGGCTAACCGGATTCACAGGTCCTCCCGAATATTACAGTATATACTTACTTGGAGAACACAAGATATACGCTGGCTAACGGTTATTTTGTACCACTGCCAATAGGGAAACACAACACTTAAGCCTACTACTACTACTATTAGTAGTAGTAGTTACTAGATGGAGTTTTGTAATCAAATTTCCATTTGTCTGCTGCCGCAGCCCGCCTATTCTACAGACCCTGAAAGAGCAAACATTACCGTAGCTGGACGCCTGCCGGGAGCTTGCATCCTTCAAGATACTTTTCAAGATGACGTAAGAAGAGATAACGGGGAAATGGAAATAGAGACAAAAAAAAAGCGTCAGGTTCACTTGATTTCACATAACAAAGCTGGATTTTAGGTGTCAAACTCCTGTCGATGCCTTTCAACCTCATCGAGTAAAGAGCAGACAATAAAAGAGGGTCCGCCATTATTTATTAGGTCGGACTTCAGTTTGAGTCTGGCTAGCCACGACTTGGAAAGAGCGGTCAGTTGTTCATCGTCGCTTGTTTGACTAGAAAACGGATACCGCATCTAGCCAGTAGCTTATGCGCCGAGACTGGGGAAGTTCTTCTCGTCGACGGTAGGGCCGTTGTTACCACCACGACCACCAGTACGAGGGCCGTCACCACGACCGCCAGTACGGGGACCGTCACCACGGCCACCACGTCCACGACCGCCACGGCCACGGCCACGGGGTCCATCACCACGGCCGCGGGGAGCCTCGACGAAGCGCATGTCAACCTCAAGGAGGTTCTTCTCCTTGCGCTGCTTCTCACGCTTGCTCTTTTCCTCCTTGGTGCCCTTGATGTAAGCATCCTCCTCCTCATCGCGCTTCAGCGGCTTGGCCTGAGCCCACTTGGGGTCGACCTTGGTACCCTCGTTAGGGGCACGGGCCTCCTTGACACCAAGCTCCTGGTTCTTCTTCTCAGCCAGTTCGGCGAGGTAAGCAGCATAGGACTTGTTCTTGTCGCTGGGCTCCTCCTCAGCGGGGGTCTGAGGCTCGTTCTCGTCAGCCTGGGCGACGGCCTCACCGGCCTTCTCATCGGTCCATTCCTTCTCGCCACTGGTGGCACCCCAGCCCTGGTCGATCTTCTTGTGGGTGTCACTGTACCTTCATTAGTATTCCTGCAAAATGCGACTGGACGACGAGGAATCCCTTACCCGTGACCGCTGCGGGGGTGACGGTCGTTGCGCACACGCTCACCGCGGTCGTCGCGAGCACGGAATGCACGGCGCTGAGCCTCCTTGTGCTCGTCTACGGGCCTGCTGCGGTTGTTGTAGCTACCGGCCTCACGGTCACGGAAAGCTGGAGAAATTCAGATGTCAGCGACATCACAATAGAGGACCATTGGCGGAACGGCGCAAGAAGCATCTTTTCATATAGAGATATTGGAGTCTCGTGGGGACGGGACGAGCACGTACCTCCTTCGTTGCCGGACTGAGCACCACGGTTGTTGCGAGGAGCCCCGCCGCGAGGGGCGCTGGGAGCCTCCTTGGGGGCATCACGCTTGCCATGACGAGGAGCAGCCTTATCTATAGCCCGCGTGGGAGGGTCGGCGGGTCTGTCGGGGTCGAGCTCAGGGTCATTGCCTGTAAAGCATCGCAAGAGCGACAAAGGTCAGATATGATGATGATGTAATCGTGATAACGAGGATATCGCAGAGTAGAAGTACGAAAGGCAACGCAACGGGGAGGAATTGGGTGAATTACCAAGAAGCTCGTAGAGGTTCTGCGCAAAGAAGAGGTCGTTAGCATTGAGTACGAGACGATTGACGAGCAGGATGCGACTCAATTTGCAGCAGTGACAAGGGGGTCGACGAGGAGCTGTCGTACCTTGGACCGGACGTCCGTCATGACGTCTGGCTTTATGATGCCTTCCTGGGAAGGCTGTCTGTTATCGCAACAATTCGAGAAAGAGCTGAACGGGGGAGGTCAGCAAGGCAGAACCCTGGAGAGATAGGAATTCAGCCTCGTGGGGAGTGGTTGGATGGGAGGTGGTAGGAAGGGGGGTTGGTGAAGGTGAGATGCGGGCTGGATAGGTTAGACCTTCTGTGGTTGTGGCCGCCAGAGGAGCTGGAAGCCAAAGGAGTAAGGTGGAATCGGTGCTAAGCGAATAATTCCTTCGGTTGGTTTGCCGCTGCCAGGTTAGGGCTTAGGGTATTATTCTTTCTGCGGGGTTGTCATTAGTTCTTATTATCATGATCATGATCATGATCATTATTATATTATTATTACATTGCTGAACTCCAGCATCATACAGTATGGAAAATAATAATATAGAATCATTTAAAATAATATCTCATTGTATTGTTATTCCTGTTTTCTTTACTCTGATCCCCGCAATGGCTATGGTACTGCTAGAGTATGTATGTACACGTCCATCATCATGTATGTCATACGAGAGAGAGAGAAGCCATCGTCCCAACTTACGGAAAAAAAAGAACAACCCCAGAAGAGAAGAGAAGAGGAAAAACAGCGTTACCTGGAGATTCTCCAGCTGAGAAACAACATCAAAATGGTATCAACCCTAAACGCCCAGCAATGCGTTGGTATAGAACTTTTCTTTTGTCTTTCCGTCTCCCAGGAATATGACGTGGCCACCGGAACAAGAGGGAATTGAAAAATAAACAATAGTGTAAAAAAAATGGTATACAGGCGAAAGTGAAGATCATCTCGTGGCAGCGTCCTGTTTGGCCACTTTCATTGCCGGAGATGTTGGTTCTGCTCGTAACTGTACGGGGTCTGAAAGTGCATGCTTGCGTTGAGACCAAACGGATCCGTGTCGAGCATCGGTTCGTATTGTCCGAAGAGAGGATTATTGCTCCCACCGTAAGCGTTCTGGTCGACTTCTCCGGTCTGCGAGTTGAAATGAGGCGGCATCCCTAATCGCCGTGAGCCGTTCGGGGCGGGAGGCTGGTTGAAATCGGGTACGAAGGAACCGGCGTTCACTGTGTCGTCTTGGTCGTGGTCGTCGAGCAGGTCAGCTTGGGCGTCGTACTCCTGCTCTGTATAAAGGAATCAACCTAGGACGAACAGAGCACTATGGGGGTAGAACAAGGGAAGGGACGGGACAGCTTGCCTAGTTGGTCATAATGCTTTTGGAATGGTGACGGATAGTACGCCGATGACATGCGGGAAGCGATTGGCGCTGTACCACCGGACATCATCGATTGCGACGTGGCGGGCTCCATGGAATCCGAACTGGCCATTCCCATCGATGACGGGCCTTGATTAAAGCTTCGCTGCTGAGGGAGTAACGGCGGACGGCCATGTTGCTGCTGCTGCTGCTGCTGCTGTGTCTGGAATTCGGTGCTCGTTGGAGACATTGCGCCCGACAAGCCAAACCCGGGGGATCTGGCTGTCGATGGCGAGGAGACGTGAGAGGAGGGAGTCGGCTGGAGTTGAGGTGACTGCACACCGTAAGCACCTTCACGGTGCTGCTGGGACAATCCTGGCAGGTCCGGCTTAGGAACAATTCCAGCCTTTTGCCTGGTAAGGGAATTCCTGTGAATTGCCGTACGGTCCAGGGGCGCCGGCTGTTTTGGTACCATCGTGTTGGGCTTGACCGGCGCCATGCCCGGCGCAGCACTCTTCAGACGCAATTCTGCCTGTACATCAATACCTAGATGACTGGTTAGCTCCCTCTCTCCGGCGTAGAAAATGTCGCCATGAGGCGGTAGGGTAGCGGTCGATTACCTTTCTCCAGCAGAATTCTCTCCAGCAGCGAATTCTTATATCGCAACATCAGACATTCGTCTGCTGCACTACGGTGACTCTGCTGTAGAGACTGGAGCGTCTCCTCATTATGCTTAATGGTCGTCTCCAACTGCTTGATGTACTCTGTGCGCCGCTCGCGGAAGGCAGCCTGGGCCTGTCTATTGCGCTGCTTGCGCTCCTCCGAGGTAGCATAGATCTACAGAGCTTCCTGTCAGTTATTGGGGCCCCATCCGTAGGGCTGCATCTGGGGCGATCGATGGAGACCAATTCGTCTTACGTACAGGTTTTCTGCCTCCTTTCCTCTTCTGCGTCTGGACAACATCCTGGGTCAGCGTCTCTACTTCTGCCTCGGGCGTCGAGACGGCCGAGCTGACGGAAGCGTCGCGCGGAGGCTCGCTCTTGGGCACGACCGTCTCCATGGGCGAGTCATTATTGATGCTGGAATCGTTGGCCTCGAGCATGGAGACCATTGCAGCGTCGCGAGGACAAACCAGTGAGAACGAGCGGGAAATTGGAATCAACAATAACCGCGGGGTCTCAGGATTCAGACGCAGAAAGCGCGCGGCTGTGCGGACACCAGGAACGAGAGCAGCTGGAGAGAGCGAGTAACAGAGCGAGGAAGGGCAAGCTGTGACATAAAAGAAATTGCGTGACAGCCGACGATAAGAAAAAGCTGGAGGAAAACAGGGGAAGACGTGAGGTAAAATTATTTACTAAGAAAAAAGCGACGCGATGGGAGAAAAAAAGTCTTTCCGGGTCAGGCAGCGCCTTAAGACGCTCGCCTCGGCCCGTGAGCTGGCCTTTTTTCTTCTTCTGCGCTTCTAGGAGGGGGGCGTCCGGCTCGAGAACGATCCACTGAACGAACCACCGCTGAGCAGATCTCTTTCTTCTCGCTTGGCTGCGACGACGACGAGCAACTGGTGGTGGGGTGGCCACGAGGGGATGCCGTTTTGTTCGTCATCCTCGACTAACTAACTAACTATGAACTGGTTAGTGTCCCCTGTCCTCCGCGGAGAAGCGCCGGTATAACTAGTAGTTAGTACGGGTAGATCTGGATCTGAAGAGAAACGGGGTCCTGGCCATCTGTCTATCTATCTATCTACATAACTACTCTGTATCTGATCGCTGACTATCAACTCGAGGACAGTGCCTAGCCAGGTACCTGTGCTCTTATAGTACACGCGGACAACCAACACACATGGGAGCAGCCGTTAGGAACCGTCTTTTGCTCTTCTCTGCGAGGGACAAGCGCCGGATATCCTTTCTTTCAATCCATGTCGATGGTAGGGCCGATACCGGGAGCACAAGCGTCGACCGCTGCCATCACTCTGACGCGGGCTGCACAGAGTTCATCATCCTGGTCTGATTCAGGATCATACGGACGGTCAGATCGCAGGTCGACGCTCGTATGCATTGCAGTTTTGTCTGAAAGTCCATGTCTTTAAATAGCGGTCGGGCCAGACAGAAATTCCATGAATCCATGATTCCATGACTTGTCGGTCTGGAAAGTCGCAGGTCGACAAATCCTCGACCGGGCAGTCAATGGATCTTGAAATCGATCTCTGCGATGGTCTTCATCCTCGCTCAGAGCATACCGCCCTGCTCCCATGCGCAGTCCTCAACTTGAGGCCTCAATGGACAAGCTTTTCGCAGCCACCGCCCAAGATGGCGAAAAAATGCGGCGCGTTGGGATTGGAGAAGCGCAACATCAGCAGGTCACTCACAGTCACGAGACCCCGAATCCCGTGCAGGCAAGAATATTTGAATACGACAGTGGCACAACAACAAAAGTCACACTGGCCAGCCTTTCGTTGATGCACCTCACGGCTCTCCTCTTAATTCCTCCTCAGCCGAAGAGGGGTGAAACCGTGAAGGTGAAGCCAGGCGAAAACGAGATCGGCGCCAAGCCGGTCGTGTGCACTTTCCCTTCAAGTCCTAGGCCGTGGTCGAGGGCCGGAGACCTCCGTCAAGGATGAGCTCAACCTCTCGGCCTCTACAAGATGCTGAGCTGAGCCCTTTTCTCCCGTATGACTTCAAGTGGTGGAGAGATTCGATATCCAGAAGACATTGTCGAATCAATTGTCATGCTCGTACCGCTCAATCCCGAACACTTGGCGAGAAAGAGTGGCCCGCGAAAAGGTATCGCGCAAACCAGGCATCAGGGTTGACTGACTCGTTCAAGCCGCGGAGATTATTCGTCGATTCGATAGGTAATCCTGATCCTTGCTACTCCGTACAGTATCAGTAAAGGTCCGTGTGGAGATCTACTTATAGATCTCACGGACGCGTTGGCCATCCACGTGCAATCGGGCCCACCTTCGTAGAGTATGTCCCTGGGCCATGGATATCAGATGGACGCATCGATGATCGTTATTACCAGATCTGAGCACTAGCGCTTCGATTCAATCTATTGCTGGAAATTCGAGGACGCCGTTGCCGGCTCTTATAGATTGACCGTCTTGAATAGAGTTGTGATGCTCCCTACCCTAATGGACTTCTTCTCTACAGATCAGAACGATTCACACCCACAATGAAAGGAGATCGAACTACAAACCCCTTCTGAGACCAAAATTCTATTATTATCATCATCATACAGGTAACTAAACCCTGCAGGCACGTGCCACCCGTGATGATAAATAATCCGAGATTGCAAGAAAATGCAAGCGTTATGCAAGCAACTTCAGCCTGGTAAGGGTTTAATTTACCTACGTTGCATATCATTCTCAGAATCTATCTAGCCGATATCTTCAGTGGATATACCATCGTGAGGTCACCTAATTATATGCTGCTTTCGTACCCGCAATGACACGAACTATGTCGAAATCAAAGATCGCTTTTTTTTAAGTAAAGACTTGGGCTTCGGGACGTATACGTATATCCACGTAAATGCTTTCTTACTTGGGTCTTATCTGCGCTTTCTGGAGATAGATATAATCCATCAAGAGCTGGGCTACCGCCGTCCTGTTATTTATTGGGTGTATTTGAAAACTTATCGATCGTTTTTTTATCACTCATTGATACAGGCCAATTTACTTCGCTGGTTAACGAACGAGCCTGTCTACTATAATGAACAGTAATAGTGCAAGTGACCAATAGGTATATTCATCAAGTAAATTATATCATATATATCATATCATATATATAGATTCTAGGTATCACCGCGGCATAGTCGGTAGAGCGGGGTAATTGCGTAAGTAGGTAGTCAGCTTTGTGTAGGTATTAATATTTAGCTACTCCTCCCACTGAGGATAGAAACTTAGCCTTTTTACTACCATCTATCGGTGGCCTTAATCAGTTAACGGATACATTTTCCAAAAGCATCGAGAGCTTACTGATTTGAATTCCTCAACCATGCCTATTTCAGACGACATTGTTAAAGCATATCCTCCACGTGGCTCACTACAACAGTACCGACTCTCCCAGAGCACGAATTTTCAGTGTACCCGTTGCAAGCAAGATAAGAAAGCCAAGCTAGTAACTATCATTGATGGAAACTGGGATAACCTACTCTGCAACGCATGCTATGGGAATATACTTGCATCGGGGAAACCCTTAGTTATGTCCCAACGGAAAAATTGGGCATAATCCCCAGACACCACCGAGAATACAGACAATCTGCGTTGATATATCCTCGCTCTTAGGGCTTCCGGTAGCCCATTTCAATTGTCGATATTTTCTCCTATGCCTCTAGGTGAGCCATGGGAGGGTAACGGTAACCCGGTGAACTCGACAAAGTACATCGGTCGCTTCTGTATTATTTAAGGATTGGATCTCCTTTATCTCCTTCTTTCATGAGATACTGGACTGCTCGTTCGTCTTGGCTGAAAGTAACTTGTCCTTTTAATTTTTCGGTCCAGTTATACTACTTTCCTTCATCCAGTCGTCTACGTGTAAGCCGCCCAATGCCGTCTGCCTAGTTTTTAGGTCCTGGATTTCGAAAATGGCCTCGGGAGAGCTAGAAACGTCATATTGCTCACAATTTACTTCATCTATATCAAGAAAACCTATGTTCCGCAAATATTTTGCTCTATCCAGCTGTTCAGTTGAATTGGTTATAAATATGGCTGCTCCACGCAACTACAGGGGTTCTTTTTTTTTCTTTTCTTTCTTTCTTTTTTTTTTGATTGATATGACTACGTCTCCCCGCGATAGCTGATTTCCTTCTGATTTATGAGAGGCTGATAAATTAGATAAAGACGAATGCATAGGCGTTGTGAGATGGGTAGCAACGTGGGCGAATCCACGGAGATTGAGTGTATTTAAAAAGCGAAGAGTTATATTGGACCTCTAGCAGACCATGCTAGTTCCTTGCTTAACTCTAGATTTAGAAGGGAGGTGGACCCCATATTTCGATAGAATGACTGAGACTGTGTGTGCATCTAGATAAATAGAAAAAAATCTTGAGAAGTAAGGAGTCAACTTGATATATTTAAAAACGGTGCTGGCCTGATCGCATAGATGCTCCATTGAAAGTGCTAAGATATATCGTAAAACCCTCGCAGATATAAGAAAAAAATAAAGCTCTTTACCAGTTCCCAGATTCGGTATGAGTAAAAGGCGACCTCACACAGCGGCAAAGCTACTCCGAGTTTAGATCGACCAACCGCGGCGATCGGTGACAGCACTTCTTCCCCGCGGCCACCCAAGTAAATCCCCTCATGCGGAGTGAAGGCGTTTCCCAACTCGACAAAACACCGGTTGCATTATTCTGCAGAAAAGCGCACGCAAGAACTTCCTTCCCCCCCTCCCCTCCCCTCCCTTTCAGTCTTTTTTCTATTTCAGCTTTCTTATTGGGGAAATGGAGAAAGAGACGCCTGTCGAGACGGCCAGCGCGCCCGACCCTGCCACCACACAGGCGAATACCGAGCCTCGGTCTGCCTCGACATCTGCTCCCGATACTGCCGGGAAGACCGCATCGAATCCGGCGCCCAGTGCAGCTGCTGATGCTGGCGACGAAGATGATTCTGATTGGGGAGAATTAGATGGTATGGGCGAATTCTGCAGCTTATTCCGCTTGCGAGCGTTACCTCAAATGTTTGTTTGGCGCCACTGACTGACTGACTGATCTATCTTGCAGAGGTCCTGGATGATTTCAACAAGCCCAAGTCGACAACTGCAGAGAAAGCTCCTGCTTCGGAACCTAGTAAGCCAGAAGCCAGTGCGGCTTCAGCAGCCGGCGGTTTCGATGAGGAAGCTTTTCTAAAACAGCTCGAGGCCGATATGATGGCCAGTCTCATGGGTGGCGGTAAGGGCGCAGGCGACGCAGGGCTAGCAGCTGCAGTAGGAGAGGGCGCGCCAGACTTGAAGGCGCAAGAAAGTATGATTGATAAAGAGATTGATGAGCTTTCCAAGCAACTACAGGAGAGTGGGATTGGGGCAGAAGACTTTCTCAAGCAGCTCCTGTCTGAGACTGTCTCTCCAGCCGCCCAGAAGCAAAAAGATGGCCCTGCTGGTGCTACAAAGACGGAGGCAGAGCCAAGTGCAGGAGCTGCTGGAGCTTCTTCAGCCCAGCCAGAATCGTTCCAGGATACGATCCGACGAACGATGCAGCGGATGCAGGAGTCCGGAGACCGCGCCACTGCTGAAGCTACAGAGGAGGGTCTTAACGATGATATGGTCTCTCAGTTGCTGAAGGCGCTGGAAGCAGGTGCAGGTAGTGGTGGTGACGACATGGATCTGAACAAGATGTTCCTTGGAATGATGCAGCAGTTGTCCAACAAAGATCTTCTGTACGAGCCGATCAAGGAACTGGACGGCAAGTTCGGCCCTTGGCTTGAAGAGAACAAGGATAAGGTGCCGGCGGAGGATATGGCGCGGTACCGGACACAAGCGCGCGTTGTGAGAGAGATTGTAGCCAAGTTCGACGAGGAGGGGTACTCCGATGATAAGCCCGAATGCAGGACGTATATCTGGGACAGGATGCAGGAGGTACTGCAACCCCATTTTCCGGAGATTGATTTGACTTGTAGACGAAATGCTAACGATTTTCTCCAAACAGATGCAAGCAGCTGGCAGCCCGCCTGAGGATCTCATCGCAAATCCTTTAGCTGAGGAACTTAAGGGCACCGGAGGCGATGGACAACTTCCCCCGGATTGCCCGACGCAGTGAGCTGCTAGGATTTTGTATATCCCATAACTCTTTACGTGTCTTTTTTTCCTTTTTTCGGACACTTAGCGGGAGACAGGACCCTCTCTGCGATTGATTGGTTGGGCACATTTACTCGATGACCACAGGTCGTTATAATAGATTATGATCTATGTCACTTGCGCAGGCACGATTTGTATATACATAGCCCATACTTCTGATACCCCCTTTTATCTGCACAAAATATGTACCATGGCAGACACCACATGTGGCCGATCTTAGGCCCACACAGAGACATTCAAGAATGAACATAGGTCTCGAACCACGAGTCCAGAAGATTAGACCGACCCCATAACGCCGCACAATGAAAGTCACTCCAACGCCACCCAATGCAAGAAAGAAAACAAAAAAGTTGAGAAGTCTCGTTAGGACGATCAGCCACTCATATCCATGTCCTGACTATGTTGCAGGTGTCCAGCGCCTTGAACATGGTCCGCCAGATCCATGAAGATATCATCATAGTCATCGTCGCTGTAAAACGAATCCCGCTCGCTGCGCGGTGACGAGGGCGCATTCTGCGGAGCCAATTCCTCAAGGGCCTCCTCCATCTCATGTTCCTGCGAGATGTACTCATCCAAAGCGTACATATCCGCCTCATCTGCTCTTCCGTCAGCTCCACATCCCATTGATCCCAAGAGTAAATGGCAATCATGTAGTTAGTTGGTTACATACCTATCACATCACCACGTTCCTCAACTTCCTCCCCCTCTTCATCGAGACCGTGACCGTACTCTCTCAAAATCCCATCCGCACGACGACTCATAATCTCTCCCCACTGCTTCTGCTCCGCCATATACTCCATCATCATGAGCTGCTCGCCGCGCGCATCGAGTCGACCAGCTTCCCGATCTCGCTTCACGCGGCTCAGGAACATATCTCGACGCTTAGCGCGCGCTGCTTCTGATGCGGACGTGGTGCCGCGAGAGGCGACTTTGCTCGCTGGATTGGAGACTTGAGACGCGTACCGCTGGGCGTATGCGGATGATTTGGGAGTGTTGTTCGAGAAGCTTCCGAATTCGAATCGGGTCTGGGGGTTTTGATCATCCTTGCCACTGGTAGTAGTAGTGGTTGAGGATGAAGTGTTGAAGTTGAAATTCGAAAAAATCCCTGATTTCGGAGCTGGGGATGAAGAAGATGATTCGGACATCGGCATCATCAGTCGAGATGTGCGACTCGCATCGCGCGGAGCCAGCGGCGAGGAACGCGCAGGTACGTAATGGAACGAGTTCTGGAGTGGGATGTGTGTTGGATGAGGGAGCGCGGAGACGGACATTATACTTTTTGTTTTCTTCTCGGATGATGACTTTGTTGCGTTTGTAAGCGATGTAAGAGCTTCGTTGCGTCTTCTTCTTCTTCTTGGTCAAAGGGTCCTTCGGGTAGATAGATGGATAGAGTGAGAGTAATAACGTCTATCCAGATCTAAAATCAACAAGTTTTGTACCAGCCACTCCGCGTCAAAAGGTCGAGATTCGCGTTAGATAGACTAGTCTTTTGTCACGACGTCACGCGGATAGACCCCTGCGCTAGTCCCGATTCGCGCATATAGCATTCCTGAGGCAGCCAGCCGCGCAGATCTATCGAGGGAGGTTGTTTTCTCGCGTGTCTACGAGTAGATTGTGGGTGGAGATTGGGTTTTAACTTTGGAGAGGTATGTGTCAATTCACTATTGAGGGAGAATATGGTGTTTGTGGATCGTATCGTGTGGTTGGAGTGGATTCTGCAGATTAGGTAGCTAGCTGTACTCAACTCGGCCTCCTTACGTCCTCCCCCTTTCTAATGTATTGTACAGTAGTAGTTAGTACACAGACAGTACTTGGTCATCTCATCCCGTCTCCATCAATTAATCATACTCTTGATCTCATGCGTATAGCTCCGAAAAAGGGCATCCTAAACATCAAACCCAATACTCCCTTCTTTAATCCATCCATCAGACATCAGGGACATCACAAACAATATCGAATTCTTCATCAAATGGAAACGTCTGCTGCGGCTCAGGCGCTGCATTCGTCACGTCCGCGATGGCAGCGAATCGAGTCACGGAAGCGGCCGACTGAGCGAGACGGCATTGTTCTGTAGACAGATCGCAAACTTGTCAGCCTGATTACCTACCCTTCATGAATCAATTCGCGGGGAAGTATACGGAGTAGCGTTAATTGAAAAGAAAGGATGGATGGATGGTGTAATAAAGAATTCATTCGACTGACTCTGCTGACTCTCGCAATCTTTCACTGTGAAATTCGAGGTTTTGTTCGTATTCGCTTTCTGCGTATGTATTGTCAGCTTATGCGAGTGGTATGAAAATCATAGATAGGGTTTCTCTAACAAGTTGACAGCTGTTGAATTGGTTATCGCAGCTGTAGAGGAAACATGTTAGTAAGGTCTGATATGAAAAAATCAATCATATACGGCAGCCTGCTAGCATGTGTATAAGCATGGTACTGCTACTGCCACGACTAACCTTCTCTCTCCTGCAGATTGGAAATCCGTCTAGCAAGAAAAGAGCAAATTAGAAAATAAAAATAACCATAATCCTAGAAGGGAATAGAAACTCACAAACGTATCCCCATCGACGCCAAATGGTCTCTCCGGATTTCCTGTATCCGTGATCTAATATATGTATGTACCAACATGCCATCAGCGAACGCTCGAGAACTTCAAGAAACCCCCACACGCCATTTTCGACAGAATAGAGCTCAAAAGAGAAACAAAAAAGAAATACTCTCTTACCGCCGGTGCAGCTGCTCCCATAACTCCTTTAAACACCTTTTCTCACCCGCAAAACCGATCAGTATTATCCACGGAATATAAAAACCGCCCAATACAACAAGTCCAGAGCAGAGCACACCTGTAAATTATCATCTTTCCTCTTAACCATCTGGCCGTATAACATGCGCATCATCATCGGGTCCAGTTTATGCGTTATAGCCATGGATGAGGCGTCGACGACGACGACAAGAGAGCAGGAAAGGAATTCGAAAAGGAGAAGAAGGATGAGGAGGGTTGTGAGTTGGGGGTGGCGTTGTCGTGGCATTTCGCTTTCAAGGGTTGGGATTGATTGCTCTATAGATAAGAGAGATTTAGGTTCCTTTCCGATTTATGATGGCAAAAGTGACGGTAACGATGTTGATGGTGATGGTGATCCCCGCCAATGATTATGATGATGATCCGTAGGAATCGCAAATATATCCTGAAAAAAAAGAAGAAGAATAATAATAATAATAATAATAATAATAATAAAACTTCTAATACACACTACTTTCCCTTGGAAATGCAACAAAAGAACAAGACAAGGAATTCAGCAGACTACAAACGAAGCTAAACCAGGATTTCTCATCCCTCTCTCCCTAGACCACCGCTATGATTCTCAAACTCATACTCCTCTCCCCTCCCCTTCCAACGCAGAATACCCAGTTCTCTAACAAAAGATCGAACTGGATACTATTTTCAGACTCAGAACCTACCGGAACAAGTAAGAGATACTAATCCACGATACCTTGTCAAGTAAAAACTCCTGGGAATTTGTAGCCATGTCGGGTAAGTAGTTCGAGTTTCAGATATGTTTGAGCCAGGGCTTCACCGTGTTGGATTTCTTAACGGGACGAGCTGGTTCCGAGAGGTAGTCTTACATCATGTTGATGCCTCCTGGTAGAGAAGAAGTTCAAGAGAAGAGTTATTTTTATCTGATGCTGCTGATCAGCGGTTTTAGAGCCTTCCAAGTGCGGGATCTTCACGGTGCCAATTTTGTGCACGGTTCCTTCAGTAGTGTCACCGAGAATCAGAATTGACATCATTTCTTATGCCTGTTGATAGATACTGCATCACTAGTGTCAATTGGTCACGGTTAGAGCAGTGCCTAAATCAACGCTTTTTTGATTTGATTGCTGACTCTTGTCAGAAAGATATTACATAGATACACAGAGGAAAGTTGTGATGCAGATGTGCATCCAAATCAACCCCGTCGAACTGGAAGAGAAAAATCTAGAAGACAGGAACAACCGGATTCCCACGACATGCCTTTCCGGCTATTGTTCGCGGATAATCAAAGGGGGAATAGTCCATATATGCACAACAATGACACAACCCATTGCGCGAAACTCGTGACTCCTGGTAGCCAGGTGGGAATCATCGCGAGTTTGAAGGCTGAGGGACGGTAAAAACAAAAACCGGAAACAGCCGGATGATCGAGAGTAGAGGTATCTGAGAACGGGACGTGCAAGATTGTCGAGAATGGAACAGTGAGTGAGTCTATGTGAAATGAACGGAATAGTGAGGATAGTGCCGCTGCGGGCAATCCTGGAAAACAGAAGCAGTCGTGACTCGATCCTTTCCCACCTAGTCGCGCCAGTGAAAAATAAATCCCGTGAATGATCGTAGAGAGCGAATGTGGAGAGGCAGCCCCAGATGGGCGACATCCACGGCGGAGGTGCTTGAATCGTAAGTCGGAAATAACCCGACGGTTAGTCGACCACGCAAGAGACGTCCATCCGTGTAGCCTCAAACCATGGTGTTCGAACTAAGTCGTAACAGCAGCGCAACAGAAACCCAAACCGACCGGATGCAGACCAAACAAGTTTCATTTTTTTGTATTTTTTTTATACAACGCTTAGAAGTTGGATGCAGCATTGACGGGACCGGGGTTATGGTACTGGTCCAGCGTTGACTTGAATGGCGTACCGGCAGGGCTGGCCGCTTTCTCTCGACTGCCAGCACCGACAGCCGTACCGGCGCTCATCAGATCATCCTCGTCGGTAGCGTCCCTGTTCCTCCTGCGGCCCCAGACTCTCCAGAAGACCAGAGCGATGACACCGATGACAATGGCACCACCAACACCAACGACGACACCAATGACGACCTTCTTCGAGGACTCACTCAGGCCAGAGCTGCCTGAGCCGCCGGAGCTCTGGTTGTTTAAGCTGGGGGAACCCGTCTCAGAGGCCGCGGTGGGAGTGGAGGTATAGGAAGAGGCCACCGGGGTTCCACTAATGGTCTTGGTGGTAACGATCACCACAGGAGTGGGCGCGGGGCCAGTGGTCTTCGCAGCAGTGGTGGTAGCCGAAGAGTCGCTACTCTTGCTGACCGATGAGGTCTCGGAGGTCGAGGTGGGTGCGGTAGTGTCGGACGTCTTCGCAGCCGTCTGACTCGTCTGAGAGGGACTGGGCTCGTTTGTGCTCGAGGACTTGGAAGTGTCGCTGGTGGTGGTAGCGGTATTAGCGGTGGTGGTAGGGGCTGCAGACTCTGTTGATGATGCAGAGGTCGAAGGGGCGGAGGTCTCTGAGGACGAGTCTGCGGACGAGCTGCTGGAAGTCGCGGAGGAGGCAGCAGCAGTATCGCTGGTTGAGGATGCGCTGGACAGAGACAACGGGTCCAAGGCGCTGATCTTGTTGTCCCTCTCGTCGACCTGGACGGAGCCGGAGAGCACGGCGAAGAGGGCCAGACAGAGCCAGAAGAACGAACGCATTTTTGCTGTGATATTTGGCGACTCTCGACTCTGTATAGATATTATGGCTGTACAGAAGGGCTGTTCAGCCGTCGAGAAGGAGGGTCTGAACGCTCAGCGATCTGGCACTAGTGACTGACGACCCAGATAGATCGAGGGAGGAGAGGGCCAGAGGATGTGAGAGATATGATGAAGAGAACGACTGGATGGATCTCTGCGGACGATAACAGAGATGGACAAAGACAGAAGAGGCCCTAGGGCAGGAGGAATGAATGACCAAACGAGAGAAGTCAGAGAAAAACGAGGGGGAGTTTGGTATTATTGGAGAAGGGATGTGAAGGGAGTCAAAGTCAACGGACGAGGCGAGACGTGGAGCGAGCGATGGATCCAGCCCAGGGCAAGACCAGGAACCAGTCAGCTGACCCCGGCGGGAAATTTGGCTTCCAGCCGTCGGTTAAACCGTTTGGCCCGCTAGACAGTCCTAGGCTTAGACTCAATCTCTGTCTCGGACTCTCTCGCGTGCCCAAAAATAAACCCCAGGCCGACTATTAATTAATTAGGGATTTGCGATGCAAAAGCAGAATGGTGTCTTGTCTATCCACCAGGGATGGACGGAGAATACTCTATGCAAGAACTGAACTCGAGGGACGTTAGGCTCAGGGCTGCACGTGCTGTGCAGTAATTATGGTTCATAAGAAGAAGTCTTCAAGACGTGGGGGGGAGGGGGGGCGCGATTTCAACGGTGACACGGTTCAGGAATGCTCGCCCTGCGCAGGAAAAAGAGTTAGATATTCTACTCGAGAGGAATGAAGCCAGCTCGCGCCTGGTCTCTGCTTCATTAAGTATAATTATATGAGCCTGAGCCTGCTGCCCTCTGGCGAGGTTACGGAGTAATACACGATTCAGGTGCCAACCCGGTGCCTCTCTGGCCGTTTCACCACGTCGTCTGATCATCGTCCTTCCCACCCCTGGAGAGCGACCAGCAAAAACCCTCATTTCCCTTTTCATCGCGCCGCTGGAATCTCTTCCAATCACCCGGTCGCAGCGCTGGCCGGATAGCCGCTCGTTGGCATCGCCGGTTCATCCGCTCCGGCTGCCATTCATCCAAGGGTCATCCGCGGTAGAACGGTGGTCAACTTGTCAGAAGTAGTATCCGTAATCGACTCGAAGGCGGCTTATGAGCAGGCATTAATGCACTAATTCATTATTTCGCTTTCACTATTCGCTGTCTCTCGTTCCCATGCTGCTGGTGTGTGGCTGTGTGGTAGTATCGTTGCTATCCCTCTGTTTCCGTGAAGAAAATCGGGAAATACGAGGGCTACCGACTGCGTAGGATTATTATTATCATCATCATTATTATTATTATCATTAATTAGTTAATTACCAGCATCATCAACTAACCAGAATATTACTGTTTATTATTAATTGATTAGCCACACAACACCGGCCCTCCCAGTGACGAAACAATAACCTAACTCACTAGAGTAGTTAAGTTACTTGACCAATAACTATACGGGCCATGAAAATATCGACTGCCCTATTAACTATTATTGTATTCGCCTCCCATGATCAACCCGAGACCGGGTTCTCCGCAGATCTAGGGCTGCTGCCCAGAGAAAGAGGAAGCGCCCTACGCCGCTGCAGAATTACCATACATACTTATGGTACTACTGCTGTAGTACTACGGAGTACTGCTGCTAGACTACCACTACGAATGATCATGATGTAACCTGGATCTGACGATCACTACTACCCTCGCTCCTTCGTTCTTCATCCTCAGCTGGCTATGGACCCGACCTTCGCTTCGGACACTGTCCGTTTCGTTTCAGCCCTTTAGGTCTTGCGCGTATCGACCGAACGTGGGTTGGTGCGCTGCAGGTTAAGAAGAGTAGGAGTTTATCATGCATTTTTACTGGATTTTTAATACGTCTTGCATGAAATATGCAAGGATTGAGAGTGTTGAGACTATCGAATAACAGGTACAGTGCTACGTATGGATCGTCATGTTTCGCCAGATGGCTTCTGGTCGCGTGTAGATGAGATCTGATAGGGTTGGAGGGTGTCTGATCGGCAATGCGTCTGCCCCTTGGCGTTTGTACATGTATTATATATTCTCACTCGAGCATTTTATCTACAGCCACTGGATGGATGACTATCGATATATGGGGATCGTCGCGCTGACGATTTGATTTTATTATATATATATATATATATATACCCCGACGGGGTCAAGATCCCTTGATAACAACAATACAAGCAGTGTATGCTTCGATATTTCAAGTCCCAGCCAAACCGGTGAAGTCAAGCGGCTGGACAAAGCGGAATGAAGCAATCAGAGGTTCGCTCTTCGGATAGAATGAGGGACACAGTCCACGGTGCAAGAGTTCTGTAGCCCAATCTATATCCGGTGTGTTCTGTCGATATGCCCCAACAGATAGAAGAGACAGACAGATGTCAAAAGAAGAAAAGATGGAAGTCGTACGAAGTAGTCGATACTGTGAAATTCGATCATCGAGCAATAAACGACGAGATCAAAACGTATTGCGATTAGGAAGGGGTATCATAAAATCCAAAATCCATCACCCATGCTGGTAAACAAGACTCAAAATCCACCGCTATCGATTACGCGGTTTGCCCTTGAACTGCTCGCTCAGTTCGTCTTTGAAGAGCTGCAGAAAATGCTTTGCTCCTGATCCTGTAGGGTCGTTCCATTGTTAGAGGATTTCAATACGGAGGGACATATTCCCATGAGAGCCGGTGGATTCCGATAAAAAAACGGAAATAGAAGCCAATACCATTATTATTATCGATCTTCGTGCCGCCCATCTCCTCTGGAGGGGTTCCATATCTGAAAATTTGGATCCTTCGATGGACTCTCCCGACCATTCGATGGAATGTTGGACTGGCGAGGAGCTGTGCGGGACGAGCAGAAAAAAAAAAGGGTCAGCAAGCGAAGATCAATTCAAGACGGCGGCAACCATCAGACATACGCGGCCAGTGAGCCAGATCTGTAGATGGAAAGAGAGCTGTTAGCTTGCTGCGCTGCGGTGGCCGAGGTGAAAAGAATTTTTTGGTCGGCGAAACCCACCTCGAAGGCTCGCAGCCACCACCCTTTGAACATGACTGGAGTGGCAGCAGCAGCTTCACTAGCTGAACAGGCTACGAGTTTCACGGAATGGAAATCAAGATTGCGCCATTGGCAACGAGGGCATTCAAGCGTGCCGCTGAGTAAATAATAGTTAGGTCACGAGCTGGAATAAGAAGAAGAAGATCGCAGAACGGAAGAAGGCAAGCTTTAGAGTGAGAGACCCGAGGCACAACCAAGACATTCCTAGAGCGGGTTTGGTTTGGTCCAACGGATGACCGGCAGTAGTGGACATGAATAATGATGAATTCAAGATCCATTCCCCGGCATCTAATTAGTTACAGAGTACAGTAACTACTCTAATCACTTAATAATATGATTATTATCGTTGATTCATATGATGATTTTGATTCTCTTTCCTATATCTATCCCTCTTTATTCTAGATCTTTCAATCTTTGCCACTGGGCAGCTAGTGATCCGGTCGTCAACTTGACGGGTCTATAGTTATTATTTATGACTCCTCTTTTTGCGCATCATCATCCGGATCTACCCCCCTTAATCATAATCAGTTAAGTCTTTCCTTATTCTTTAATTATTAACTGGACTGCTGGGCAGGTCCGACAAGGGTCTTGTCCCATTGTACACGCAAAAGACACTTCCACATTACATATTATTGTTCAGAACCAGCCCTGGTGGCACTGGCAGAGACCCTGTTAGCGACGAGTTAGTAACTCTAAGTCTGTCCATTCATTCCAACGCATTCTGTCTTGCCCGCCCGATTCGCGGAGGGAGACTCATTTGCTATCTACGGATTTCTCGGCGTCACGCAACGTGCCCAACACGCCCAAAGTGGCTTTGCGACAACATCTCCAGCGACCGCGATTCGTGCGCGCGGGAGTTGGAAAACTGGCTGCACCACCACCACCGTCAGCGTCGCCGTCGAGCTTCCATACCTGTCCCGACCTGTCCTCGCTGCAGATATCGCGACCAGACTCAGCAAGCAGAGCAAGTGTTGGCGCATCCGACAGCGGCGAGCGGGAAACAGCGACGGGGCTACCCCGCTGCCCCTCTCCAGAGTCGCTCGCCCTTCGCAGCAGATCTCGGAAACTCGCATCGACTGGGAAGCGGGCGTCGAAAAAGGCGCGCAGCGTCCTGGGTCGGGTTCGCGCCTTGCAGAGGTCTGCTGCGGCTAAGATGGCGCCCTCGCCGATCAAGATCGATACCAATGTTGCAACAAAGCGTGGGCGTTCGCAGGACAGCGATGAGATCCCCGCGGACTCGTTGATCGTCGACCAGGGAGCAAGTGCACAGCGGCCTCACAGCAATGTGCCTCTACCTCCGTTCCTCTGCCAGTCATATTCAGGTCGGTTCAAAGCTCGAATCTCGCAAGATGCTTCAAGAAAAAACAAACTAATCCGTGCATGCTGGGCCCTTAGAAATCCACGAGAAGTTTGATGAACTCGAATGGCGTCAGAGACGTCGCGTCCACGAGGGAACCACTGCCAACGATGGATCGCACCGCTGGGCGCTCGAAACAGGCCCCGAAGCAAAGGCGCGGAACCGCTACATGAACGTGTTGGTGTGGGCGAACTCTCGGATCCGTCTCAAGGTGCCCGAGGGCGAGAGTGATTTCATCAATGCGTCTCCGATCGTGTTGAAGGCTTCCACTCAGGGTGAGGAGAGGAGATATATCGCAACGCAGGTCAGTTCTGAGCCTTTGTCGGGATCTGTTGGACTTTTCTCACTGACTCTTGACTAGGGTCCCGTCACAGGACAAATCGCGTATTTCTGGCACATGGTCTTCCACGAGAGCAAGGAAGAGGCAGTAGTAGTGATGCTGACCCAGACCGTCGAAGCTGGCAGGGAGAAATGTGCTCAGTACTTTCCCTTGGACCAGGAAAAACCCACCATCGATTTACAAATAGAGGAAGAGGATCCCTTTATCAACGACGAGGCGCGTGACAAGGTCAAGGAAAGCATGAGTGGCAGAGTCACTCTGCTGGAATCTCACTGGGACGAATCCTGTCGCTCGCAGGTCCGCAAGCTTGAACTCACGATAGGCTCGGAGTCAAAGATTGTCTGGCATTTCTTATTTGGGGGTTGGGCGGATTACTCCAAGCCTGAAGGCGAGGATCGCCAGGCTCTTCTCGAGCTCCTCAAGGCCTCTGAATCCAAATCTACCACCCCAGATAACCCTCGTGTGGTGCACTGCAGTGCTGGCGTTGGGCGCACCGGCACGTTCATTGCTCTGGACTATCTTCTGAAGGAACTCGACTCCGGAGCGCTTCTGGAGATCAGTGATCCCCAGGTAGACCCCGTCTTCGACACGGTCGATCACATGCGTGAACAGCGGATGATGATGGTGTACAATGAGATGCAACTGCTGTTCATCTACGAAGTTATCAGGGAACAAGCCGAACTGAGGTTGGGTCACGGCAAGGAGAACGACGGTCGGACGGGTTCCAAGGATGGCGATCCAGATATTAGATCTCCTAAGATGGCGAGGCTATCCTCCGATTCGGATTACAGGGCAGCCGAGAAGCCAGAGCTACAGCCTGTCTGAGGCGTTGCAACCTCGTTGCCACGCATGGAGACTGCATACGAAAATGTTTATGTCTTCCTTCTTCTACCCACCAACTTTTCTTTTGTGCCTGTCATAGAGATACATGTCTTAGGTGCGCGCGTTGATTCTGCATTGGCCCAGAGAGCCTTTCCCATACATGTTCACCTGTTGCATCCCTTTTGCATTTCCCTGGGACACAGTGTGTCTTTCAGGATTTTTGCAGCTCCCTTTCCACCCTTTGGTCTTGGTTGATGGGGCATATCTCCCTCCGCAAACAGAGGGAATTATGCTTACACCGGCCTCGCCCTTTCTCGCATATGTTTTCTTTCAATGGTTTGTCAGAATAATACCCTGGTTTGTTTATCCTTCTTCCCACGACCCCATTATTGCCCAGTGCGTCATGTCAACATTAGAATTCATGTACATTATTTCGATCCAGTCCGACCAAATTGAGAATGGAGAGTACTATCATCAAAATGCGAGTATCGAGTATTTGCTGATCCTATTGATACATGCAACGCACTGAATATCAACAAAAGTCATCCTTGCAGTATCATTCACTTAAACTTTGCCAAAGTGCCCCTCTACCTGAGCAAAGCATTGCACTTGAAAATTTGCAGCACGATAAGAGGATATATCAAAATGACAAATAGACTAGCTGGAAACACACATCTGGTTCTCGTCATAACGTACATGCACTCGTAATAGAGCCTGGGCTCTTTTCCTTCTCTTCTCTTCCTTCCTTTCCTTTCGTTTCTTTTTGCGGAAATGATGCTTGCAGAGACACGGCTTCGAAAAAAACAAAGAAAAAAATAAAAATAAAAAAATAAAAAAAATCTGAGGGGAGTACTGTGATAACAACACGGTATCTTGCAACAAAACAATGCACAGAGAACGTGACTGGTGGTGTTGTGAGATGGGAGATGGGGGATGGGAGATAAATAAAGCCTTCGGTGCCGAACAGTCCAGAAGAGGAGTATAGGAAAAAGAAACCAACTATGTCCACGAATAATCCATAACAATGGACTACTCAGTCGCTTCTCTTGCCTTCTCCACCGGCTGTACTCGTCGTGGGACCGGGCTGTCCTTCGCTCGGAGCATTCTTGCCGGCTAGGCCTTCTGTCTCCCTAGGTCCATCCTCCGCATCCCAGTCATCCACTGCGTTCTCGTCCCAGTTATCTACCTCCTGCTCCAATGTCGTGACACCGGTTTCTTGAGGGCCTAGGTGGCTTTCCTCACCGCCGGAGCCGGGGTTGACGCCTAGCTCGACATCGTCACCGGCGCCATCGGCAAAGGCACCATATCGTGCCTTTCGTCGACGCTCGATCATCCGCTTATGATACCAGCTACATAGGCCGATAGCACCCAGGCTGCCGACGACGTTTGCGATGACATCGAACGGATCGAATGCCCGGTCATTCGGGAGCAGGCCTTGGACGATCTCCGACCCGACTCCCAGGACTAATGTGCAGACGAGCAGGGTGAGATGCAGATTGCGTCTTCTGGTGGTATCTGAGATCCAGTAGAAGATCAGAGAGAGGAAAAAGAAGGTCACGAGGTGCAGGAATTTGTCGTTCGGTTGGAGATGAGCGGGAATCGCGGGACCGGAGCCATCATCAGAGGCGGTGCTGTGAGGCAGGAGGCCGATATAGGCGGAGAGAAGGACGAGAACCGCGAATGCCCCTGGGATAATAGCATTGTTAATACTGCTGTTTTTTGTAATGTATATATATACCAGCATGAAAGAACGCGCTAGCCAGCAGCTAACAGAGGTACCATGGCCATTGACGCTTTTTGTGCCAGAGAGGTCACAATTCCATGAAATAGAAAGCTGCCAGGAATTGAGGGTGACACGTACCTGCAAAAGGCCAACGGATTCGCATCGTGAAGAAGGCTGATGTGGTCTGCTGGGAGTCTGTCTGTCTATCTATCTGGAGGCGGAGCTGCGGGTTGGACAAGTTACGCTGGCGGCGCTTGCGTCATGCGCAGTGGAGGCAGATCAGCACGGGGCAGCAGTCTGGGAGGATCCGGACAATGTGTTGTTTGAACAATAAGATAGATAGGGAGAAGCTCCCCAGAAGGCCCCAGAGAAGGCTCAACAGGGCGATGGAGAGAGAATCGTCCGCTGTGGTTGTCTGGTATCGTCCTCACTTGACGGGAACGTCGAGAACTGCGCGGTTGGTCCGACTGCCGTGACGGCGCTGGGCTGATGGCCAACCTCACCTCGTTCCTCCGCGCAAGAACCACCTCCAGGAGCGCCTTCGTCTGCCATCGACGCCGCCCCCTCACCATCACTTCTGACGCTGGAGACATCGTGTCGCGCTTGCTCGCGCACTCTTCTTGTCCCGCGTCCCTTTTTTCCCGTCCGAAATTACCCCGTTGTGCCCTGCGACACCTCGTCATAAACGTGGAGAAACGGACCCCCTCGCCCGCCCCAGAACCGGGGATTTCGAGCGACCATGTCGCTCGCTCAACACCACGCCTGGCTGCCACCAGGACATCTCCGGCCTCCCGATGATCATAACGACGTGCGCTCCGTCAATGGCCTTCCAAAACCTCCCCAGCGCCCCCGGACGCCTCAGACGCGGGTCTCCGTCGGCGCGGATGGGTCCCAAACGGACAATTTGATATCGGAAAGTGACACCGCGCCGGACGAAGATCCACGCATCGCCATGTTCCGTGAGCTGTACAAAAAGAGCGAGGCGAAGATTGGAACACTGTTTAGCAAGGAAAAAGCCGATGCTGAATCTAGGGATGTCGGACCGGCCACCAACGATGAACCGGAAACCGCCGCCGCACGCGCCAAGGAGGAGGACGCGCCTGCAACGACTGCTCCTAAAAAGTCGGCGAGAAAGATAGATGAAGATGACTACGATGAATATGATGAGGAGGAGGAGGAGCAGGAGCAGGAGGAGGAGGATGATGAGGATATAGGACCAGTCGCATCTCCAGTCAAGGTCGCGTCGGCAGCTGCCGTTCTGGAGTCGAGTGCGGACCCATCCCCTGGCCATCGGCCTAGCATCGCAACCGCAGATAGCTTGAAGGATATCAAAAAGGAGACGGTGGAGGAGATTCGCAAGAAGCTCGAGGAGGACAAGAAAGCTACGGAAGAGGCTGCAAAGAGGAGCTTCCATACAATGTTTTACACCTTGGAAAATGATAGGGACGCTATGCTAGATCAGCAACGGCTAGAGGAGTCTGAAAGACAAGTCGAGGCCGAGATGTCTGGCCAAGGTGTCACCGCTGGTGCGAACACCACCAACACCGGAACGAATGGCTATGGTTCTTTGAGTAGCGCGAATCTTGGTGCTTCGAGTCTGACCCTGAAGAATTTGATTGCTCGCATTGACATGAAGCGGAATATGGTGCAGGCCTCTGATGCGGAACTTCGGAGTCTGATGAGCGAGGTTCGCAAAAATCGAAGTAAATGGGCTAGCGAGGATAAGATTGGTCAGGAGGAGCTGTACGAAGCGGCGGAAAAGGTGCTCAGCGAGCTGAAAGCCCAGACGGAACACTCAACTGCTTTCCTAACCAGGGTGAACAAACGAGAAGCACCTGACTATTACAACAGTGAGTCTTGCGCTAATTTGCTTATCATCAGGCGGGTGCTAATACACAACAGTCATTAAACATCCCATGGATCTGGGGACGATGACCAAAAAACTCAAAGCACTGCAGTATAAGTCGAAGCAGGAGTTTGTCGACGATCTAAACCTTATTTGGGCAAACTGTCTGAAGTATAACGCTAATCCTGATCATTTCCTTCGCAAACATGCTCTGTATATGCGTAAGGAGACAGAGAAGCTTGTGCCCCTGATCCCTGATATCGTAATCAGAGATCGGGCGGAAGTCGAAGCAGAAGAGCGTCGACAGCAACTCGCAGAGATGGACGGAGCCGAGGAAAGTGACGACGAACCCATCATGTCATCTAGAGGTAGAAAGGCACCTGGGAAGACATCCAAAAAAGGCGCTGGACCCTCTCGCGAGACTCCGCAGCCTTCTGAAGGTCCACAGGGACCTCCTCAAGCCCAGTCAAACGCTTTTGTGCGTTCGGATTCCGATGCTGCTATGGATGGGAGCCAGAACGGATTTGCGACACCACCCCCTGGCACTCTAACACCCCTTGATGCCGCTGGAGGTGGTGCACCAGGGAGTCAGACTGATGCAATGGATATTGATGGTTTTGGCCCTTCCAGTACCGTTCTCAGCGCCTTGTCCGCTCCTGGTATCGATGCTGAAGACCCAGAATATAAGGTCTGGAAGCAAGTCACCAAGAAAGACCGCGCTCTTATTGCAGCGGAGAGACATCGCTTATTCAAGGGTGACAAGCTTAATTCCGATGAGCCAGCTCTGCTTCGGACAAAGGCCGGGATGAGAAGATGGCTCAGGAACCAAAAGCGTGCGGCTGAAGGAGAAAAGACTCAGGAGTCGAATTCTCAGGCCCTGGAACCAGTTGCAGCCGGCGAGACCCTCGCGGAAGGGATAGAAGTTGAAGACAAGGTTATTCCGGACTATTACGATGTTATGTCGGGTATTCCTGACCTTCCTGACCATCTTCTATGGCGAGAAGATGCTGAAGGCAACGTCGTTGATGCCTCGGAAGAGTTCCTCCGGATTCTCCCCAAGGGCTCCTTTACCGCTCCCGATAGCAAGTTGTCGCGGAAGATGGACGCCAACATGCGACAGATGCAGGAGACACGGAAGATCTGCTCCAAAATTGGTATCGTAAAGCAGATGCAGCTCCAATCTCAAGTATGAACATCTCTCCAAGATGTTTCTTTTCTGATGCAGACTAACGAATATTAGATGTACCAAAATCAGTTCCAGAAATACAACCCAGAACCATTTGTGGAGCAGGATGTTCCAACTCATGTTATGAACGACGAAGGACCAGTAATAGCTCCTTGGGTATGCAAAGCTGCACTGCAACGGTCTGTTGGAAAGTTATTCTATCACGCCGGTTTCGAGGAGTACCAACCGTCGGCCCTGGACGCAGTTACCGACATCGCCTCTGACTTCTTCAAGAAGATCGGCGAGACATTCAAAACTTACATGGAAGCCCCGAAAGTTCCAGTTTCGGATCCTCTGGATACTTCTGCGCCATCGGCTACTCAGTTTAAGCCTGCATACACGGAGCAAGAAATTATTCTCCATACCCTCTCATCTGTCGGAATAGATGTCGAATCATTGGAGTCATACATCAAAGATGATGTGGAGCGCTTGGGCACGAAGCTCGGTGTTGTCCATGATCGTTTGAGGGCCCATCTGACAGAGTTGCTCCGTCCCGCTCTCGCAGATGGCGGTGCTGATGGCTCCAATGCCTTCCATGACGGTAGCGAACAGTTCATTGGCGGTGATTTCGCTGAAGACATCGACGAAGACTTCTTTGGTTTCAAAGAACTGGGACTGGACAAGGAATTCGGACTCTCCAGTCTCAGTGTACCACTTCATCTGCTCCAGAACAGGATGTATAATGCGGCACAGGCCCAGAATACGAAGTACGTGGCTCCCTTGCTTGACCAAAGAAGATTCCCACTGACAGATTTCCTAGCGCATCGCAAGCAACATCGACGCTCTTTCCCCCTCCTCCGCCATATCCGCGCATATCGCTTCAGACCTTGTCGGATCAGATTGGCTTGGTTCAAAACTTCTTTCGCAGCAAATTACAAGCGAACAATGATGAGCCACTCGTTGAAGATCTGGAACTACCGCCCAAACAGAGACCCACGGTCGCTAGGCCTCGTCTTCCAGCCTCAGGAAAGATCACTGCGCCTTTGAATCTTGCTAGACCTACAAACAGCCCCCAGAAGCGACCACTTCCAGCTTCAGCTCCCAACCAGGCAGCTTCTGCGAGAGGTAGCATATCAGAGCCGAGCAAGAAGAAAGTGAAGAAGAACAGCGGCGCGGCGGGCATAGGCGGATCCAACGCGGATGCACCAGGCGAGGAAATGCCGGTCGCGGATGATATGACGAGCCCGACAGCAACCAAGTCAGTCTCTAAGCTGAAGCTAAATGTTCCCGGTGTGAATGTGGCCTCTGCCGCCACTTCCTTAGACAACAGCAGCGCGAAAAGTGGTCTATCTGATTCCTTTGGTGGAGAAGGCAGCACCAACTCGCATTCCGGTAAAGTGAACGGCACATCTGGCCAGATGACTAACGGGACAGTCGCCGATTCATCCACGGCGACTGCTGGATCTAACGTCGATGGTTCTGGCAACCATGGCGCTGGTATGATCAGTCCCGAAAGTATCGATGGCCCGTCGTGATCTTTTACATCTACCTCATTTCCGTTTTCCCTATCTTCGACATTTGTGTTTTATCTCTCCTTTTCTTTTTGGCCACTGGCAGGGTGCTGTATACATGTTGGGTTTATTTTCCAGTGGACGTAGTTAGGGTCGACCTCGCTTCACGGAGGCTGGATGCATGGATAAGGCTTGTTGCCGCCACATTGAGGTCGTACCTACGTCGTTCTTTGGTTCAAAAGCGAGGAAGTCGAGTCGCAAAAATGATGGCATTCAGGATCGGAAAAAATTCTGCATTTGGTGATGGTATACTGCGCTATGATAATATGGGAATTTATGTGCGCATATCCATAGACTTGTGTGTTGGGACAGTGGGAGGGTCGGATGGCGCAGTACTTATGAGGAGTGGGTTCTCAGACTGTTCTTCACCCGACCCTTCTGGGAATCCTCGTTTTTCTCCGTTTTTTCTGTTTTCATTCTCTCTTCCAATAATGATGATGGCAGCTGTGCAAAGTGACACAAGCAGAAGTCTTCTGTCATTCTGTTTCTTCTTTTTGTGTGTTTCAATATCATCTGGATGGCTCTCTTCCCCTTCCCCTCCTGCTTGGACTGCGCTGCCTAAACGCGCATGCCAGTCTAATGTTCAAAGGCATCGACGAAGGCTTTGCCCTCCTATTGCTTCAATGTCCCTCTGTCTCTGTAATATCTATCATCAACACATCGCGACCTGTCTTGGGCTCCATTGCATCGTTCTATTCCCCCTTCTCATTCATCAGCCCGTTTTCTATACGTTGAAAATGAAGGCCATGAGTTAATAGCATTGGTCTTATACTCGAAATCACGGCGCAGCTTATTTCTCTGACCAAGGAGTTATACACATCCAGCCGGGTGTACGTATATGAAAGAGAGAAATAAAATGGACAAGTTGTATCTCCAAGGATGGTTTGATCCAATCTTGCGATGTCTGGATCTCTGTAGACAGTAGCCCTCGACAGATTGACTGTCCCCTCCTTTTACTCTCTGCTGGAGTGCCTATTAAGCTAAGACAGTTCTAATCCCCTCCTAAGCCTGGCTCTCATGCCAAGGTGGAAGGCGATGATATCTTGCATACAGGAGGTATTCTGTCGTCGAGGTATTTGATTCTAGGACTGGCTTGAATCCTCAACAGTCTGGCGTCGTTGCTTCTCCATCCAATGTCCGTAGGTTTTTCTTGCATGTAAGGAGTAAACCGTGCAGATACTGCACATTAGTTACCAATTCTTCTCTTATAGCCAATACAAATTACAATCTAAGCATGATTCTTTCGACTCCTGTGCCATCATCTACCATGATAACAAAGTGAGGAAGGTTCTAGTGTACCGTCTATCAGAAAGACACTTGGTCTACAAGTCTACAAGTCTACTGTAGGAGGCTAGGAGAGCATTAAGACTGGGTCATAAGTGATGTATTGGTCATTTCCTCCGATACTGTTAAGAGATCACCTCCACCTATCCGCTATCAGCATAAAAGAGACACGGGCCGCCATGCTAATATGCACCGGTTCAGTTAGTTCAGATCCGTTCAAGCCCAGTACAGAGCCGATCAGTTCCAATCTATCTCACGGCTTGAGATTAACAATGCAGAATGAGATGCTCCACAGTCAGGACATGGAAACGACCTAACCCTTTTACCGCTCCCCCAGTGGTCAATGTCAGACAAAAACACGATGGGCAAATGACGAACTTGCTCCAGCTCGTTGTTGCCGGCGAGACAGAGAAGCAGTTGCCCGGAGACCATCCATCCTGATTTTGCCACCATTGAATGTGTATCATCTAGATGTACCACATCCCGAAAGCCAGCCTGTTGGAACTGGCGTGCATGGGAAGCAGGCGCTTCTCCAGCGGCTGTGGTTTCTTCGGCTTTGGGTTGTCCAGCTTGATGTGCGGTCCGCTCTGAGGACCCGAGCTGGCAGGAACGTTTTCGTGATGGCGCGCTCTGTTTGAGATTAGATGCGCATAGTACACTGCGGGGACTGTAATGATGGTTAGCAGGATGAAGAATAATGTAACCGAGCACCAACTTACAAAGTGAGACAGAAGTAGTCGACCTCATGTACTGGTAGCAATGATCATAGATCATATTCTGGAGCTGGTGAGGCTTGTGTTTGAGCTCATCCAGGATGACGTGATAGTGAACAGGGCGAGAAGTACCCTGCAGGGCGATGTGCGAGTACAGGATAAAGTCCCAGTGGTCTGGGCTGGTTATATCCCGTTCAATCAAGGTTCCTGGCAGAGGATTGCCGAACCTGTCTGCAGCGTTACGGTCATTAGGTCTAGGGAATGCTCGAATGTGGTGCCGCTTAGAGCAGATAACCACTGTGAATTTCCCATTCCAAGCACCTTCAGCTATCACCCCAAGGAGCGCCTTGATATGCGGCACCTCATCCATGAGCACCTGCTGGTACTGACCATCTGAGACGCCGTCTCGGAAGTAATAGACGTGCTCTGGAAGTCGGCCCTTGTTGACCGTCATAATCCATTCTCTAATAAGAGGTTTCAACATGGTGTGCAAGTTGGAATGAGCGATCATCTCGACACGCTCCATGTTCGTATCGCACGCTCCCCAGTAACGAGCCCCATATGAATCCGCACAAACAGATACAGCAGCCATTGAAGGTGCCCAGCTTCCAGGGCTTGAGTGTGAAACGTCAGCCCCGATTATCATCGAGCCGGAGCGGACGCCGCAATCTGGCATTTTGGAGATCGCGCGAGCAGTGGTACCTCCAAGCTTCGCATTGACTTTCATCAAAACGTTGGAGACATACTGAGGGTTACCCTTCACAACCTGTTCCGATTGGAGGACCTGCGAAGGAGCCCCCCAGCGGCAGTCCATTGACTTCTTGATTCGAAGGTAGGTGAAGGAGTTCTTGTCAGGAACAATGAAAATGATCAGCTGAGGGTCCTTCTGGAACTTGTTTCCAGTGGCCGTGTAGACCTTCTTAACGGCTTCAGCCACATCTTCCTTGAGTTCCACAATGCAAGGACGATTAGCCACCTTGCCACCGTGACCAGAGTATATCTTCATAAAACTGTCACAGAAGCTTTCGACTTGGCTCTGGTTGATCGGGTGACGGTTGTTGGATACGTATCCCACGCCCCACGCGGTCAGAGGCCACTTATTCGGCTCGAGAAACTTCTTTCCTCGCAGATCCCAGCGTCCATTGGTCCCAGGATTGAGTTTCTGGTTACCGAACTGGATCTCCGGGTTGGGGAGAAGACGGGCTTTCGTGCGTATCATGTTTTCTTCGACCTTGAGGCCAAACGACTGCAAGACTGGGTCGTGAGAATGATCGAGGGTTTCCTTGCACTTCTCAATGGACTTCAAACGTTCGGCAGGACGAGAAACAGCAAACTTGATCATCTTTGCTGTTTGATGTTCGCTCAGTTTGTACGGGTACTTGTTGAGGCCCTGGATGGTCAAGAATTCCATTGGGTAATAGACCTCCTTCTTGGTCATTTCGACCATCGGAAGGTCTGGGTACCTCAGGTCTATGTTATACTTCTCCTTGAAGTAAGCCTGTACAGTGAGCCGTCTAGTCGTCCCAGTAGCCTTGTCCTTGATATCAATTGTGAACATTCGAGGACTGGAATTGACCAGGCCCTTGATAACGAAGTCCTGATCAGACACAGGGCAGCCGTTATAGTTGGGACGGACAACCAATTTGTTCAGCCGCTTGTGGACTTCATAGAACATTGCCGATTCCGTGAAGCCACCGTAGCCATCCGGGACGGGCTTCAGGTTCCACATAACCTGCTGAATGTCACGGGAATCGGTCATGCCAATGCAAGCACCCATGATAGAGATACGTGCCCAGTAGCACGTGTTGGAGACGTCGATGTTGACACACAGCCGCCCGGGCTACAATAGTGCGTTAGACTAATGTGAAAATAAACTGGTACAGACGGATTGATGACTTACATGAGTAATGCGGATCGCCTGGTAGACGCCCTTGAAGGCGAGAACTCCATTTCCAAGGTCTTCCTTCTGGCCCTTGGGATCAATGAAGGACCTCTTATGGGTCACGAACTTGGTAGATGGATATTCGCGGAGCACATGATCGAAGAAAGCTAGGCCGTCAGTAAATGCCCTATTTCCAGTGGATATAGACCGATGCAGTACTTACTCAAAGCCTCGTTCACATCCTCACTATAGGAAGTCTGGCCACGGAGCCAGGCGCTCAACACGGAAAGGTTGACCGTCTTGGTGCGGCGGACGACCAAGCGGAATTGGTTCTTTCCAGTGATATTGCGACGACCTTGCTCAGCGTCAAGATCGACGACCACATTCAAACCATTTTCAAAATTGTTCAATGACCTAATGAAGTTAGTTCAAGAATCAACTAGGGGAGCGGATGATACTTACCAAGCGAGCTTGTTACCATCGAAGATGGTCTGGCGAAGAACTGACTTCCTGGCGTTCGAGTTCCATACTTTCTGGATGACAGCACGCTTCTCCGCGCCGTTGCCGATATGGACCTGTAAATGCGTCAGATATGTCAGGACGTCACCGGGGTTGTGGAACGGAATTATACTTACATCGTATTGGTATACGGTCTTGCTAGGAAACTTAGAAATCGGATACGCATTCAGCGAGACCTCGATTTCTTTTCCAGTCGTGTTGGTTCCAGGACGTTGGCAGATGTCCAACGGAACGGCATTCTTTTGATCGTCAGCGCCATAGAAGTTCAGGTTACGGGGCAACCCTTTGATGATCCCATCAAACTGAGGAGCACGGATCATCTCCGCCGTCAGAACGGGCTGAGGGATGTCCGGATCTTCAATAAGATTCTGCATCGTGTAGGCCTAGCACACTCAAGGTCTCAAGGTACAAGAGATGTGGGTTGAAGCAGCAAGAGGTATGATCGAGTTGGGAGGCAGTTGAAGAGAGAGGAGCTTTGGTGGTTTGGGGGAGAAGAAGAAGAGTAATGAACGAGGCGAATAGGTCTATATATACACCAAGAAGCGGAGTAATCGTGTGAATTCATGGGATACGCAGCTTGAACGATCATGGGTGAAAGTGCCGCATAGGTAGCGATGAATTGCTGCGACATAGCAATAGGAAGATGGTTGTCTGTGAATGGTTGCAACCACTCAAGGAGTTGGGCGGCCGAAGACAATAGGGGATGATGCGGGATCCCGCATTCACTATCAAAAAAAGCTCGGGAAGAAGCAGCAGACTACTAGTTACTGCTTGCGTGAAAGCAACCAGGAGGTAGTCTTGGGGAGGGGCATCCACTCGTTCTCCTTAGAGAAGTCATTGCGTTTCTCAATATATTTGGGAGGTGACTGGCCGAGCAGCGTGGGAAACCGAAAGACATATTCTCGAAAGCAATACAAACATCACTGACTTACCGGATAGTTCAGAGCAAACGCCGTCGGCGGAAGATCGATGTTCTTACAGCTATCTGTTGCCAGCCGCGGACGATCCAAAGCAGGATCACCGCGAGCGGGTTCACGCTGGGTCGGGCTCATTGGGTGAGTGGTCGGAGACCCAGGCAAGGATGGTCTACCAGACATGGCGACTGGTATAAACCCTGATTTAAGTATCGATCGTCGCGAGTGGAGCTCTCAAGGAAACAAGACTGCTGAAAACCCGACGAAGTCAGAACCTATGCTCGTTAGTCACTACAGAGTGTATTGCAATAAGGACAAGGGCAAAATCGATGAACTGAGGAGCGTTGGAGGAACGAAGAGAAGAAACGTTGATGGCGTGTTACCTACCTGAAAAGCTGGATTCTCTTCCAAGTGATGGGGTACCAGAGACAGCCTAACTGCTGAGAGAGAAGAAAGAGAACACTTACTTGAAGGGTAGGAAAAGCGATATGGCGATAACTTGCAACGAAGAAATACGAAGAAGAGAAGAGATAGATGTGTGGAAGGGTGTATGAGATGAGACAGTGCAGAACAGGAAAGAAAAGCAACTTCGAGTTGTAGGTGAGGATGAAGGAGGAGAGGATAGAGGTGAGATGTGGGAGGGAGAAAGCAGGAGAGGAGAGGAGAAGAGGAGACCTTGAGGCGAGGACGCGTCTGGAGAAAGAGAACACAGACTGTCTCCTAGGAAGTTGACGTCCACAGCGACCACAAGACGTTTTAGGAAGGAACAACAGAGCCAGCCTCAATGGGGCTGGTTGTCCCACTGACGTGGTTCTGAACAGAAGGTAATTTCCGGAATTGAGGAGTATATGATTAGGATGTCAAGTAGGTATGTTTGCTTAATTTAGGAGAAGTGAGGAACGAATCGAAAAAGGAGAATGAGAAGCCTGAGCTGATGGATCCTTAGGATGATAGTTGTGGAGTTGTCGAGATCACGCAGTCTATATGCGTTCGAGTCCTCTTAAATATTGATGCCTCGCAGAACTACGCGCCACAAAATAGTATTTGGATTGTCTCTGAGATAGTGAGCTAAGTGAGATTTCCCTGTCACATCTTTGAAGGTTTGGACTTTCTGACTGACTCGATCCTGGATGTGCAATCAGCGTCTACTTAGAAGATCTACCAAATGACGGACATAATATACCCCATCTCATGTTTATAATGGCTATGGTTCCAGACTGGTTCTAGAAAATACTACTGTGCTTCGATGCATGGGTTGAATGTCCATACTTGTGGAATCCCAGGTTTGAAGGGACGTTCTGTTTGTTACGGCGTGTCGTGTGGGAACTTCCTACACTATAGCGAGTCCTGTGGCATTGGAAGCATTGTGAGATAAATTTATGTTCTTCCCGACCCAATACAGTAGACTATGGTATATTACCTCCCAATTTTACATGCTAAGTCGTAGCTACTTGAGAACCATAAACACAATGGAATCGATCGTCTCTTAGAATCTGCGATCATGTTTATTCAAGCAGGTACGTATGATCACATATCTAAGCATCCATTCTAAAAAGGTAAAAGGGCTAGCTACCGATTTTAAATTGCAGAGTACTGTCTCCTCGGATATTCAATAGGCTCGACATAACCGAAATTCTGTGCAGTACAACAATCTTCGATACAAACTGGAGGGCAGATTATTGACAGCGTTCATACACTCGGAAACAGAACAGAAGACAACGGAGTGAACGGTGGACTTGATTAATAAGGAAATGTACTGAGCGTGAGCCTGTATAGACAAAGTTCCATATTCACCATCTCTGGATATCGTCAGGGTATACGAAAAAGTGAAATGAGCTGGACCGGTCGAGATTCCCGACCGTTACATAACAGAATGGACAAACCTTGTTAATTTGCCAGTGGCTGCTATCTGTAGGTGACATAGCTAACTGTTGTCGGAAAATAAAGCTCGATATTATGGATTGCAGATCAGTCCTTTTGAGCTTGCTATTTGAGATCAGCGAAAAGTCACAGTATCAAGATGTTCGATGTCTGAGAATATCAGACCGAAAGCTGGCAGTCGCTGATGATGTATATAACTACTTTCTGCGTGTGTAGGCAAGAGACTACCGTATGTAATGTTGCACCCTCTGCTTGAGAATGGAATGAACTACGCGGAAAATACTATCTAGCATTTGTTTCTGGACATTGATTCAGACAAGCATCGTGTAAATAGGACCGAACTACACTGCGTAAACTGGAATAAGAAAAGGTACGCTTCAGAACAATACATGTTATGATGATGCTTTTCAAGTATTAAATGAGCATCTCCCATTTGCTTAGAAATACGGAGTCTCGTCGATTGCTCTCCATTCGTAGAATCTTCCGCCCGTCATCGAACTGTACAAATGCCCCCATCCTTCCTTGAATGTCCGACCCAAGAAGCCGATCACAATCCTCGCTATGAGCATGTCGCCATCCGGCTTTTAGAAAAAAGAAAAGAAAAGAAAAAGAGAAAGAACACCAAACCAAACAACGCCGTTCACTTCGCATGCAGGTGTGCCTGTTTTAGGTGCATATGGTGATGTCCATTTACATTCAATAACATCAAAGCATGACAAACAAGAAAATCTGATCGAGGAGTTGTAGTCGAGATTGAGCTAGTACGAGGGCCATAGTATCCTTAAGGGCGCCCCTATGCTTGGTTCTTCCGTTACAGTGCGAACTAACGGTATTGACCTGGAGGAAACAAGAACTGTTAGCGAGGAGTCTTCCAAGTTCATCTAATAGTATCCCAGGCAGAACCGCAGGTACTTTTCCCACTTTGCGGGAGCCTTATGCATTCAACAAATGGGAGGACACAAGCATCTTACCAGTTGAAGGGTGCATCCCAAGGACTTGCGTCTGTCCAGCTGGCATTCCATACATAGCCTGCGAGACATTGGGTAACTGTGATATGGACGAAGGAATATCGATCCTTCGGAGGAGATCCACCATCTTTTCAGGGGAAAACCTGCCAGCATTGTACGCAGAAGCAGGGGGGATTATACTAAGAAGATAGACGACATCGCGAGGTAAAGGGGCTGCAGAGGACTGGGGTCTGTACTGCGCTCTGCTCTGAATTCCGCCGTTGACCACTTGGGTCTGTTTCTGTTGATCGACGCGTCGAGCGGCCGCGGCTTTGAGCGGTGACTCTGCGCGGATAAATTTACGGGGTCTTCCCATCTCATCGTCCAATTCGTCAAGCGGGAATGCCCGCTTGGGAGAACTCGTCGACGGCGCGTCGGCATACCGTGGAACAGGTGCGTCAGTGACCTGCTCGGTTGTTACCAGCGTCTTTGGTCTCGCTTGAGAGGGTGATATGATCGGTCGGACTGCTGTAGGATCGAAAGTGGACGTCAAATAGCGGTGCGAAAAGTGTGCTAAGGCCGGATCCTCAGGGAATAGCTCGCGCATCCGCGTCTCCAAATTGACCACTTGGACTAAGTCGCCGTATCGGGACTCATACTCGTGAAGGAAGGCGAAAATGGGTTTTGCCTTGTGGACGTTCTCTGGATTGGATGCCAGCTTCCTGACAGTCATCTCAAATACCGCTCTCGCATCTGCAATTACCACATTAGCTCACAGTTCTGCTGCTCAGATGGAACACAGAAACACCTACTCGTGACGTCGTTGATATCAATCAAATGTTTCAAATATTCGAGAGCAAAATTCTCATCTTCTGGGAACAGCTTTGCACCACGCTCAAAGATCTTCGTCGCTGCCGGATCCTTATAACAGTGATATTCAATGAGAGCACTGGCGATATAGACGTCACTGGTGATCCGGCCACGTTTGCGAGCATCCGCAAATATCTGTCTTGAGCCAGCCATTTCACCAGGCTTGCCCTTTCCTTGAATACGACGCATCGCGCGCATCAGAGCAATCCACGCGAAGGATATTGTCTTAGAAAGAATCCCGATTTGCACAGCATGCGCTTTCCGCACCGCGTCAATCTGGGCCTTTTTCGCAGACTCCTTCGCCTTTGATTCACTCCCACGGTCCTCATCCTCGTCCTCTTCCTGAACAGGCAGGTTCTCTGGTTGAGCGTTGGCATAGGTTTCTTCAATACGAGCGACGTCTTGCGCTTCGCGGGTGCGAGCCTTATTGATCAAGTCATAGAGCGCATCGAGAACTTTGTCGTAAGGTTCCCTTACTTTGGCACCTCTCTTCTTCGGGTCTTGTTCTGATTCCGACGTAATCTCAAGGCGATCAGCCCGCTTGAATGCAAGCAGACAACTCTCTGGGTTGGCGTCTATTCCTTGCTTCAAGAACTCATTCCCTTCTGTTTCCATATCATTCTGGAAGCAGAACTCCGCCGCCTCAAACCATATTTCGGGCAGGAATCTCAGGGCCATCAGCGCTTGCTTGTAGACATACAATACACGCGCCCTGAAACCTGCAATATCTTCTTCTTTGAGAACCAATGGGTCGCTCTTCTCCCAGTCAATCCAACGCTTCCATATCTCGACCTGCTGATTAAACTCCACGTCTCCTTCTGAGCCCGGAATAGGAGGTAGCCTAGGTAACGAAGTACGGATAAGATCACGCGTGATATTCTGGAGCTCAGTGTATGAGCTCCGCGCGGTCATATATGCAGGAGAGCGCTCCTGGAGAAATTTGCGACCCTGACAGAACCGTATTAGCTCATCAAACTTTATCAAAACTTTCGTCAAAAAGACGAAGAGACCTACAGTAAGTTTATTCAGACCCATCTCAAACTGATCATACTCCTTCCAGAAAGTGTTTACAGCATGAGTAGGTACACAGATCGCTTTCTGGTAAGCCTTCCGCAATAGGTCCATCTTCTGCTGGTCCTGCCAGCCAGAACCCCCAATATTACCCGGGCCTGAACGTATGAACTGGACGTAATCCACCCAGATAGGAGCTGAATCCTTATCGATACCAATATTCTGAAGCGCAAAATCATAAGCAGACGATATAATTCGTCTGGCCTGACCTGTGGTGTCTGTTGTTAAGGGGTTACGGCGACGAACATAGTCAAGATAGACAGACCACAGCTGAACACTGGGGGTTGCGAGAAGCGTCCTGTTGAAGATCTGCTCTAGACGGTAAAGTTCGTTGTTTTCAGACTCCATATTGGCATATGAGACCCATTGATCCGCCTAATATTCGTGAGTTCCGGTGAAATCGAAGGAATAATGTCATGAGATACTTACCGCTTGAGGAAAGACTTTGAAGAAACGCTCATAGACCTCACGGGCGTTGTCGATCTTATTGCGACTGCGATGCTCGTTGATGAGCTCAAGCCATGCAGGAATATCTCCGCGAGGGTCTTCTTGGATCCTATCCTCCAGTATGCCAACACGATCGTGGGGCAGCCGACCTGTAGAGGAAGACTCGGCAGTAGCAGCCGGAGGGGTTGGCACAGGGCTGTTACTTGCAAGTCCGCCCTGCATAGCCAAGGGATTGTACAGATCTTGACCAGGAACAAGAGAAGGATCATTTTGTGGAGCAGGAACAGGAGGAGAATAGGAGTTATTGAAAACATCTTTCGAGGTGGACAGGTCTGGTGCGGCCTGCTGTACTGATACATCAGAGGTAGAAGTATTTTGATTTGCATTTTCAGAGACAGCCTGCTCAGGTACGCCTGCAGAAACAGTTCCCACATCTTCACCACCGCCCAGTACGGCCGGTGGCTCATACTCAGTATCGCCCTTGTCATCCTCCTCATCATCCTCAACGACAAAGCCCCCTATTGTTCGGGTCTTCGGTTGCACATGGGTATTGGATGGAGGCATAGATGCTGAAGCTCTCGACTCAGTCCTGGACGGCGTCTCGGACGGGTAGTTACCACTAAGAGGCTGATTCGAACCATTCTCCGGCGGTACTGAACCGTGCTGAGGAGTGCCTGAAGCCGATTGTGCAGTAACTGGGGGAGACTCTTGTATTTCATCTTGCTTGGAGTCTGTTAAAGGAGCAGAAAATTGATCTTGCAGCGTTTTTGAAGGGTCATAATCATCTGAATCTGAACTATCTGCACCTTGTTCCTCAACAGTATTGTAGCTCACAGTATCTGCATTCATTGCCTGGGCCTGGAAAAAGGCCTTTTCAGCGTCATCTTCAGCCATGATAATAAGCTGTGTTGTCCTGAAGCAAAACAAACGAAGCGAATAAGAAAGCTAGCTGCCAAGGAGGATTAGCAAAGAGCTAAGCTGGCGGCAGCAAAGGGACTAGCTCACAGGTGGAATGAACGTGAGATAATATCAAAAGAGAGCTAAATTAGTTATCAAAGGGCAAAAGAGCTAGGTGCGTTCCAGAGCGGGTGGGTAATGGGGACGAGGTATCCCAGAGGTTGCTGGGTGTTGCTTGCTGTAGTTGTCAAATTCGCCGCAGAAGCTTCAAAGCTCTCACGCGAGGGATGATCACGTGACGTTAATTGGCAGCGCGAGAATGCGAGGACGCGGTCAATAATCGGGCAGCGCGTCGATCCCGCTCTGGGGCTGCTAAGAGACCTCCTTCATCCTCCCGGGACATAAAGTCACCGTCGCCTCCTCTCCCTTCTCACATATTTGGATTCCTTTGTTGTTGTTGTCTGCAGGCCTCCTCCCACATCAAAGCACAAAAGCTGTTGTTCCATATACCCCACCCCGCCTTTCGCCGCCATGTCTGTCGTCTCCCTTCTCGGAGTGAAGGTTCTCAAGAACCCGGCCCCTTTCCTCGCGCCCTACGAATTCGAAATCACCTTTGAGTGCCTTGAACAGCTTCAAAAAGGTGACTAAAAGACAGGTTTCTGCATATTCCTGATCCCGGCTCACTAACGGAGATTAGATCTCGAATGGAAGCTTACTTATGTCGGTTCCGCTACTTCGTGAGTTGGTCCCTTGGAACCCCTCTCATTTGCTTCATCATACTGACTATTCAAGATCTGAACATGACCAGGAGCTCGACTCTTTACTTGTTGGACCTATCCCTGTCGGGGTCAACAAGTTCATCTTCGAGGCCGACCCACCAGACCTGAAGCGCATCCCGCCCTCCGAGATTCTGGGCGTCACCGTGATTCTGCTCACATGCAGCTACGATGGCAGAGAGTTTGTTCGCGTTGGATACTATGTAAACAACGAATACGATAGTGAAGAGCTCAATGCGGAACCCCCTGCGAAGCCTATCATTGAGCGCGTGCGCCGCAATGTGCTTGCGGAGAAGCCTAGGGTCACTCGCTTCGCGATCAAATGGTGAGCATGCTGAACCGCACACGTGGGGCTTTGACGGGTAACTGACGTGGCATTGCTAGGGACTCCGAGGAATCTGCACCAGCTGAATATCCTCCTGAACAACCGGATGCGGATAATCTCGAGGACGACGGCGCGAACTATGGTGCCGAGGAAGCTGAACTTGAGGCCGCCCTTATGAGAGAGCTTGAGGAGGCCGAGCGAGGAGAAGGAGAAGAAAGAGAAGGTGGTGAAGACCAGGAGATGGAGGGTGCCGAAGAAACTGCTGGCCCATCTAAGGAGGAGGACGTCTCCGATGCCGAAAGTGAGGACCTGGAAGCCGAGAGCAGTGGCAGCGACGAGGAAGATCTTGACGAAGATGAAGGCGGAGACGGCGATGACGATGTCGAAATGGGTGATGACAAGGACGAGGTATCTAAGCCCGACGCTGCGCAACACTCGCAGCCCGAAGTCATGGTCCACTGAGCTTTTGATTTTTGATATGCACTTTCCTTTTCTGGATGGGAAAACAACGGGACTGCCAATACAGGATTTACGATCTATAAGGAATGCTTCACGAGTCAGGATGATTTCCAGCACACCCTCCATATTTAACATATATCGCATTATCTGCTTTATCTGATAGAGTCCGGCCATAATGCTACTTAGGGGGGCCAGGCGCAGTTTCTTTCTTTGTTCACAACTTTTATAGTGACTTTCCAGAATCTCTTATGCGAGTATATATCACGGAATAGTCTTTTATTTCCCTTCAAAAGCACGGACAGACAATTCTAGTTTCCTTGTATTTCTGCAATTTTAATGAGATATTCTCCAATGTAAACAGCGTACGGCCATGGCAAATCCGCTAGCGGATGAATCCATCATGGCCACAGTATAGCATTCGGAATGAGAGGGGAAAAAAAAAACACTAATGGAACGTCGTAATGAACGGATAACTCCAGTGGTATCATCTATCATAAGCTTTGCAGAAAGTGTCCCAGCCCTTTACCAGATAAGTTCACGACCGTTAATACGTACATGGAAACACGCGATGCTCAGAGGCCGAACTTAGAGCCTAGGGCTTTTCAGAGCATCAGTATTCGACTGCACATACAGCGGGTTCATCAGGGACTGGAGAGACTTACCACCAAGGAACATCTTTCGTTTCTGTGATTGAACATATTTACTGACGTCGTTTGCAAAGCTGCTGCTGTTTTCTTCCAGCCTATCCATGGTGTCTCCCATGAGATTGAGCCTCTCAGTTCTCTCTTGGACCTGTCGTGACATGTAGGCCATATAACCTTCATCGTTTCTTTCAACTGGGGACTGGCCTGGCCGTTGACCCTCACGGGCGGCTCTGCGACGTTCTTGTTCTTCAACGCGCATCTGCTCCAACATGCGCTTGGAAGGGGGCCGATCAGGACCACCGACTGCAAACATGTCAGCATAATTGCGACAGAGGCAGGACTGGATCACTTACTTAGGATATCCATATCCGCAGGAGACACATATTGAGTGCCGGCGATCCACTGTAGATTTGAGATTGTCGGACGAGGTGGAGTGAGCGCCTGCTCATTAAATAGTTGGTCTGCAGAGGGTTGTCTGTAGAATTGTCAGTCTCACCCTTCCTATAACGTACTTAATCGCTGGCACTGTCACATACATTCCGATGCCAGCTCCCCAGGCCCGCAACAAGCCCACTTCAGATGGACCTATCCAAGCAAGGATATTGCCAGTAGGGGAGATCAAAGCTTCTGAAAGTCGCCTCATATCCACTAAGTGATCGATTCTGGAGCTTCCGATCTCCTTCAAAGACGGGATGGAGTAGGCACGAACGTTTCCGTCGCCAAAGAGGCCGACAAGACTATAACCTCTGCCTTCAGTCTTGACCACCGCAGCCGAGTCACACAGGAAATCGTCCCAGCTTTTATAGGCTCCTTTGGAGGTTGCCGGTTTGAATATCCTACAACCCGATGGAGTCACAACGACAATCACCCCATTGAGTTTGAAACCGGTCCTGAGACCCGCAACAGCCTTTGCGGTTGCCAGCGCAGGATTCCCCTTTTCCGCATCGATGGGACTGATGCTTATGACTTTATCATCGAGGGAGGTGATACCGGCTAACACGGCGGTATAAGCCCCAGTATTGGATGGTAAAATTTTGAATGTCGCCAGATTCCCTCGGTTCGTACCAACAAAACAGCAGATACTCGAGTAATCTGATGCACCATATCAGTATGGTTTTCTGCCAGGGTTTACGAGTCTGCTTACCTTCTCCATCCAGCGTTAAGACGCCGAACTCGATGCACGTGGGCCACTCAGATGGAGCACCTTCTTGTGTGCGGCTCTTTCTGATGCTACTCCGCTTATTGACCTTTACGAAGTCAGAGATCTGAGCAGAGTATATCACTGCCGGTCCACGCAGATCGATGAGTGCCAAGCTCCCTCCCTCGAACCCGGCGCATATGAATCCGACGTCGCTATGTTTCAGTGCAGTCACGGGCCCTTGCTGCATATCCAATAGAGTTAATGGCAAGAGGCCATCCTTCAAAATGGGATCTGTCCTTAGGGTGATATCTGTTAATTCCCCCGGCCCTGCATTGGGCCCGGTTGGGATATCACGTCCAAAATTCCGGTTACGGCCCCATCTGAATACTACAACTTCTCCAGTTTTCAAGCCGACTGATAATTCCCCTGCCGCTCCAGACATAGACATTTGGGTCACCTCCACATCTTGGACGCGGCCCACAGCACGAGCCAAATCGACCTGAATTACGTCTCCATTTTCAATTTCATCATCATGGCCAGCATCCCAAATACGGACTGTTCCATCCGCATGAGCAGTTGAGACGATTGTACGGTCCTCAAAGCGCTTCAAGTTTTTCTTCGCCTCAGCACCGCCAATCAGGAACTTGGGTCCCTGAGATCGTCGCTCTTTCAACCCTAGCCAAGGTGAGCGGTCCACAGGCGTGAGTGAGATTTTATTGACAAATGGGTGAACAAAAGCCAAAGAGACGTGGAGCATGTTGGTGGGGCTGATAGGATGTCCGCTAGGGAAGCTCATCGTCAGTAGTTCACCAGAGGATAATAATGCGATAATTGCGATCGGATCATGAGCACCAGCAAAATATGGCGACGAACGCGGAATGAGACAGAAATCGACGACGTCTGCGCCTGGCGGGACTGGTAGTGTAATACGCCTTTTGGGAGACTCGAAATGTTTGGAGAGAACCTGCCATGACGAAGTCTGATAGTTCGGGGTCGGCCCAAAGTCAAGAAACGTCAGTCCTTTGTTGGTCTCCGTTGTTGGATGACCACCGGCTATGAGGAGACCGGTGTCGTCAGGGTTGTTCTTCGCACACCAGGCAATCTGGCGAATAGGTTCTTTTGCAGATGGAAGCATCTGCTGTGAATCTCGTCTTTCAGACATCGCTCCTGGCACGTTTATGTTGGCGTCGTGGATCGTCGTTGCCATCACCAGGCGGCCATCCTTGGGATCCCAAAATACTAGACTTGAATCCTCATGCACAGTCAAGACAAAAGTGTTAGTGGGATGCCATAGTGCCTTCGTCAATTTCGGCCGGCGCAGCTCCTGGGCCATTGCTACATCCGAGTAACCGCCCGGGGCACCTGGCGGAATCTCATATTCGAAGTACTTTTGGGCGATATTCTGCTTGAACGAGAATGTCACCGCACCTTCTGGGTACCCAACTAGGAGCTTTCCTATGTCACGAGGTGCGAAAGCTAGCGACACGACAGGGAACAACCGCGATCGGGGATTATGCTCCTTCCAGAGATTAGGTATGCGGAAGGGCGTCAAGGATTCGCGGTCGAGATCGTACGCAATGATATCCCCTGCCATGCTGTAAGTCTCCAATCAAGATGATAGGCTGTATGGGATCCAAACCGTTCTGTAGACCGATGAACGCGTAATCCAGACTCGGGTCTGTCAGCAGTGAAGAGACGAGGCCCGGAGGAGCATAGGACACTAGCAATTTCTTCGTCGCGAGAGAGAATACGCATATCTCACTCTTAGAATCGACGCTTACGAGCTTGTCCGCGCAAAATTGAACGAATCTTGCAGACGCCTTTCGCGGGAAGTTGAAAACGACAGAGACTCTCCGCTGGCCGAAAACGTATATCTGACCGCTGCCAAATTGTGTATCACTCGTCCCTACAGCGAGCAAGGACTGCACTGGATCGTATGCTATTGCGCTAATCTGTGAATTTATTCCATATCGAGCAAACTATAGATGGTTAGGTTCATGTTTCAAGCTATGGGGTAGTAAACTTGCTGCCCCGGATTGGCAGAACCGCGGAGACGTACATCGTCCACAGCGAAGAGCTCTGGATTTAAACCAGCAGACAGGTCGTTCTGGATACCGGCCTGCTTGCCTCGCAAGAAATGAGCCATCTCTGCGACAGTGGAAAGGCAGCGACAAGCTACCTAGATCGATGGCATTGACGATGGACGGGATGAGGAGGCAGCTGGGGAAGTAAACTACCGTACTTATCCTTAGGTGGAGGGGCTGTGGCTGTTGAACTGCAGGCGGAAGCGGGCGCCGAGAGCTGACGGCATTGTGGCTTGGCAGCTCGCCCCGCTACAGTATATAAAGACGCGGGGAGTTCCGAGAAGATAGAGCTTTTCAAAATCATGTCTGACATTCCCACAGGTTTGTTAGTACTGGTAAGATTATCGGACGATGCTCTACTACTAAGTCCAGTCTATCCGGCATACTTAATGCAGGGCTCCTGAAATTCGAACATGTTGGTCTTTATGAAGCTCAAGATCTTCTATTGAGGCCGTCATCATGATCATGATCATGATCATTATCTGTATTAAGTTGTCTAATTTCTAGCTCTCCTGGAGAAAAACAATGCAGAGGAAATGAAGAAAGAAAGGAGGGCAGCCCCACACAGCCTGTCTCATGATTTGCGCCAAACCAGGTAACTATGCATCGACCGCCAGAAGAAAGTCATCATGTCGTTAGGAGCCGACCGAAGTGGCTATAAAACAAACGCCGAGATAGTGCTCAAAGTTCGATCGCGTTGATATTTTGGAGCGTCGCAGTCAAGCCTCTCCGTGCCTGAATTTCGAGTGCCTCGTTGCGATTCCGATAGTATTGCTCGGTAATCTTCTGGACATAGCGATAGCATGCATACCTGTACATCGTGAGCAAGGCTTAGTTTGCAATGACTAAAGACTTGGTAAGAAAGAAATATACTCACAACAGTATTCGGATCCTTTCTGAGCCTTCGAGATTCAGCCTCGATCCGAAACCCTCGAGAACAGCAGATGACGGGTTCTCGAAGATCTCTGCCATCAAAACATCCCCCCATACTGCGTTCCCCAGGTCAACAACACCGCGTAATTGCTTCAATTCAGGGTCCAAAATTATTTGGGATGGTCTGCCAAAGTCGACGATAACCAGTCGGGGCACGGTGACCTCCTCGAGGGCGGGTGATAGGCGGTCAATCTCGCGCCGGATCTCTGCATATGGAAGATTGATAAACATGTCTTCTGCATCGCGGAGGACTTCTTCAAAGATGCAAATATATGCATGTTTCCACGAAGGACTTCCTAATCCGCCTGCTACTTTCACCAAGGATCCAAAAGACGGTGCCACTTGCTGACCAATCAAATTGACAAGGGAGCCCAAGTGTCGATCGATATTCCTCCGCTGTTTTGTCGTGATTTGTGTCTCCATGTCATGCAGAGGACAGCCTCCTATGTATTGGCGAAAGAGAAACGGCGAGCCCAGAGACGCACGACTTGGATCAAAAAGAAATAGCTGTGGAATACATGGGTGGGCACACGAGGCAAGAAGGGCAAGCACTCTGGCTTCTGTCTCCAGTAGATAACGCTCCCTGCGCAAGAGGGCTGTTGTTGGCCGAGGCGAAGTTTTGAGCATTAACTGCAGACCGTTGGACAACTTCAGAAGACGCAGTGGATGCATGTGACCGTCCAGAACCTGCACATCTTGGACCCGGACGGTAGTAGTTGGGAAAAGTGACTGCACTATATCCTGAAGCCTACGGAGCTCGACAGGGCGGGTCGGTACAGGGGAGAGAGCAGCCATAGACATTATAAAGGGTCTCTGTGATTCCAGGGACAGCGACCCTGCAGGCGGTTTTAGAGAAACAGACATATTGGCTAGGTAAAGGAAAGAAGGGAAATAGGACACGACTGTCAGAGATGGATACTGAGACTGTTATAATACCCCACACTACATCTCGGCCTGAGACCAGACGCGCAAGTGCACAAGCGATGATTAAAAGAGATGATACTCCACCCCGGCACAGAAAAGTCAGAGAAGCGACAAAAGATCCGCTGGGCGACTGAACAGGCACGGGCACGAGCACCCATTAGGTATCTGGAAGCAACAGGCACGATTCCTCCGGGCAGGAGGGGGGTAATGGCCGCAGGGTGGCCCGTCACACTGAAGGAAGCCATCTGTATAGGACCATATACCGAGATCTTGGATCCAACTGAAACGAGGGCTTCGGCACACTGGAGCGGTGCGTTAACCATAAGGAAGCACTAAACAGTGGTAGAACCGTAGAAGAGCCATGTTGGATGCAAACGAGCGTAGGAAAGGAATTATTCAAGCGCCAGTGCGGGCCATGCCGCCATGTGGTTCCCGAGACGATGCGAGACAAAGGGTCTCCGCCCCGCCGATCTTGCGGACTCGCCTAAGTCTCCCGCTCTGAGAAAGGCTTCCTTGAGGTCGATGGGAACTCGCTTGGCATTGCCCAATCACATCGGGATTTTGGCGAGGTCCTGGCTGGCTTAGACGATCTGAAACCACCTCGCCGAGGACGAACGAGTCGGAACGACCAAGATCGGGGATCTTAGGCGTCTGCAAGGTCGTTCGCTGCCGCTGCTTCCAGGACAAGTAATGTCGCCGAAATCCTTTAACGGGTTTGGTCGTGTAGAAGCGCTCATCTCCACGCTCGGGGCAAGAGTTTGCGATACGCTGTTGAAATGCCCGTTCTAGAAGACGCACGAACTTGATCTGATAAAAAATACATCTGTCGACCAGCCTTGGGCCGAGGTTACAGCAGGTCATTCCAGAATCCAAAGTAATCCGTTATGTAATCATCTTTTTTGGTATCATGCCATGTCCGGTAGATACCCGCGCGGCTTGTATATCATTTTGTATACTGTGGCAGGAGGAAAGAATCCACTTAGCTACCCAAAACTCTATTCCTTGGATCCTGGCTCAGCGGCCTCAGCTAAGCCTACACGAGATTCTTGTGGCTTGTCGGCTGGATTGTAGAGTTCTGCCAGGTTGAAGCGCTTGAGCGAGTCATAGTCACTGCCGACAACGCTCATTCCAATAACATTCTGTAGAGAGGTCGACTGTCAGCGTGACCACTGCACGGACATACAAGATGGCTTGGACCGTGAAATGGCTTGCTTACCTGGACGACGTCGACCAAAATGATAAGGTCATAGTTTTTGAGATCAACGCTGTGGCCCGGACCGACTGCATCTGCTACTGTCTTGATGATGATATCCCGTCCCCATTGTTTGTTACTTCTCACATTAGGACGGATGGCGTACTGCACTGAATTAGCAAAGAGACCCAAAAGCATGTGAGCGACTGAATAATCAGTTGCATGCAAGATAGGATATCCGGTTTAGGAATGCATTCTCTTTTTCTTCTTCGTCCGTTCGCGGGGAGAGGGACACACCTTCTTCGGAGGTCCACCAGAATGGAAGTGAGGCTTAAGGATTTCCTTCGCAAAGTCTTCCAGGTTTACGCTGAGGGTCTTTCGAATGGCAGTGACGGGGGTCATCCTCATAATCCAGCGGCTTCTCTTCTTGTCGGGATTTTTTTGAGCGTCAACACATATGCTGTGGACCAGATCCACAGGATCTATCGACTTGTCGAGTCTAATAAATGACACTGTAGAGAGTCAGTTATATCTGATTCCTGTCAAATATTCCATTCTATACGAATTGACGCACTGCACGGCATTTCCATCTTAATCACTTGGAATCGACGGTTACCACCCGACTTGGGCTTCAGACCCTCCATTTCCTTTCTGATTTGGGTTTCGATATCATCCTCATCAGCACCTGAGTCTTCAGTTTCGGGTACATCATCCTCGTTATTCCCCACTTTCTATGGGAGAAGGCCCTGCGTCAGCTAGCCGAAAGCTGAATCAGGAACAGAGGCTGGGCGCACTCAAATAGAAGGATTGGAGTAGTACTTGCCTCAGAGAAAAGATCAAGTGCTTCCATGGACGCTTTGTGCTCTCTGCCTATGTCGCATGTCACAAAGACGCCAGAATCACCGGATTCGATGGCGACTTTCTTTTGGGTCTGCTGCTTGTACCGTTTATCGCCCCCCTATAGCAGGTTAGCAACGTATTTGTTGAGCTGAGTGAAACAAAAACCCATGAATTCCAACGTAGAACATGAATAGGACGTGTACATATATCTCAAGCGTACAAGGAGCGCAATTTCGAAACCTACTTTTCTTCTTTTCGATGACCGATCAGGACCCGCCATAGCTCTTTTCTTTTGCTCAGCCATGCACACACTCTAAAATAAGAGAGATGGATATTCTGCTGTCTTTCTCTTGTAAAAGTCGGGCTGTTCCTGAGAGTTTGGCCTCGATCTGGATAGTTAGGTGATACTGAGATTTCTCGGGTTCCCTAATTGGTGGGGTTAGCCACGATCATTTTGTTTTAGTGGGTTTAATCGCGATGTATGTACTTATCGCCCTCCCGCGCGGGAACAACGATAAGCGCGGAGACGGCGACGCACCGAAATAGTGACCCCGAATAATTTATGAAGTGGATCTCCTTTTCTATTCCAGACTACTGACCCGATGGGATGCAGTTTGTTGTAACTACTACTACTAACTACGAAATGTTCAGTAAGCTGGTCAGTCATGGGTCACGTGATTATTACACTCCAAAGCGGCGCGGGGTTCTATCTTCAGCTATCTAGTGGTCAATTCCGCGCAGATCATCCATTTCCCATTGCTCCAAGAATAGAACTGGAGACGAAGCATACTACATACTACAAATGGGCATATAAGCACTTAGTCAAATTAAATCCATCTGGTTCACAAACTAACCTGATGTGGCCTGGAAACTCGATGAACGCGTATACGCGGGGCAGAGAGATAACCACTCTATCAAGGAAGGACACTATTCTGTCATGACATCATCTGCTAGTCATGGCTCTCCGTTGTCATCCGCAAAATAGCCATCATTCTCTCCCATAACTCTGGGTCGACCATCTTAATATTCAGTACCTTTTTTCCATTTGAATATTTCCCCTGGTGATTACAGGGTTTTTGACTAGTCGATCTCCCTGCCTTTACTCAAGGAGCCTGGGAAGGTATTGCGCTGCCCATTACAATCGCAACATACAGAGTCATAGTTTAATTGCAGCCAGCAGAAGATGGCCACTGATATCGCGACAAGGGAGCTCAAGTCTCCTATTGACGTCGCAGAATATCTCTTCAGAAGGCTCCACGAGGTGGGAGTTCGATCGGTGCATGGCGTACCCGGTAATTACCCTGTTCAAATGCTGGTTAGAGAGATGCCCTATGACAGAAGACTAACTTCTTCGTTTATAGGGGACTATAACCTGGTAGCATTGGATTATATTCCTAAAGTCGGTCTCGATTGGGTTGGAAACACCAACGAATTGAATGCCGGTACAGTCCCGAATACTATGCATAACACAAGATATGACCGGTTGCTGACATGGTTTCTGCTTGCAGGATATGCTGCTGACGGTTATGCTCGACTGAAGGGAATCAGTGCCCTGGTTACCACATTTGGTGTGGGTGAGCTTTCGGCTCTGAATGCTATTGCAGGTTCCTACTCAGAATACGTCCCCGTTGTCCACATTGTCGGGCAGCCAAGTACATTGTCACAGAGGAGTGGAATGCTACTCCACCACACGCTTGGAAATGGGGACTTCAATGTCTTTACGAACATGAGTGCTTGTATATCTTGCAACGTTGCGAGGCTTAACGACGCTCAGGAGGCGGCGACGTTAATAGACAACGCTATTAGAGAATGCTGGGTCCGGAGTAGGCCAGTTTACATCACTCTGCCAACTGACATTGTTCAGAAAAAGGTTGAAGGAGAGCGCCTGAAGACACCAATCGACCTCTCGCTACCCAATAACGATCCGGAGAAAGAAGACTACGTGGTCGATGTGGTCCTAAAATCCCTTCATGCAGCCAAGAGCCCTGTTATTCTAGTTGACGCTTGCGCCATTCGTCACCGTGTTCTCGAAGAAGTTCATGACCTCATCCAGGCTTCTGGCTTGCCGGCTTTCGTCGCCCCCATGGGTAAAGGAGCTATTAATGAGACACATCCCAACTATGGAGGTGTCTACGCAGGCGACGGATCAAACCAAGGTGTTCGCGAGCGTGTGGAATCCTCCGACCTCATTCTTAGCATCGGGGCAATCAAATCCGACTTCAATACCGCAGGTTTCACCTACCGCATCGGGCAGCTTAATACGATTGATTTCCACAGTAATTATGTACGCGTGCGATACTCCGAGTACCCAGACATCAACATGAAAGGTGTTTTGAGAAAGGTCATCCAGAAGATGGGTAAATTGAATGTCTCGTCTCCCCCCAAGATCTCGAACGCGCTTCCTCAGGAGGAGAAGACGTCGAGCGATAAGACAATCACTCATAATTGGCTGTGGCCAATTGTCGGGCAGTGGATGAAGGAGAACGACATCATCATCACAGAGACGGGAACAGCAAACTTCGGAATATGGGAAACAAGGTTTCCCAAAGGAGTTACTGCTGTGAGTCAAGTGCTTTGGGGCAGTATCGGGTACTCTGTTGGAGCTTGCCAAGGTGCCGCACTGGCTGCTAAGGATGACGGTTCTAACCGTCGAACCATCCTTTTTGTCGGCGATGGTAGCTTCCAGCTTACTGTCCAAGAAGTGAGCACAATGCTGAGGAACGGATTGAAACCAATAATGTGAGTTCTGAACATGTTTGGAAAGGAGAAAGAAAGTCCTCAGTAATAGTCCGTGGTAAAGCTGCTGACGCACTACCTCAGATTCGTGATATGCAACAACGGATATACTATTGAGCGGTACATTCATGGCTGGAAGGACGAATACAACGACATCCAAACGTGGAAGTTCAAGGATATCCCCACTGCGTTCGGGGCGAAGGAATACAAGGGTTATCAAATCAAGACTCGCGATGAGTTGACTAAGCTCTTTGCTGACGAGACCTTCTCCTCCGCCCCGTGCCTGCAGGTAAGTGAATATGACCATGACGCTGACAACTGTTGCTGACTGTTCTCAAGCTCGTGGAACTCTATATGCCGCAAGAAGATGCACCGGCAGCCCTCAAGATGACTGCGGAAGCTGCCGCACGGACTAATGCTAAGATGGCCGAGGAGGGAACGCAGGCATTGCCTACTTACCTTAAGTGACGAATTGCTGTCATTATTTGATTGACGATCATGAGTAACTACCAAAAGTGTGTCAACTACATAGTCTAATTAAAATAGACGGCAGGGATACGAAGGACCACGAAGAAGATTGTTGTTTCACAGAGAGATCCCTTAGATCATGATGGCATGTCATAATCCAAGTAAATTAATTCACTAGTTAGTAGTAAAACTTAACTGCCTAAGAATAATGTGCCCACTTAGCTTGCTTCAATAATTTGCTCAATAATGGCATGGTTGAGTCTAATTCCCTCCGGCTTCCGGCCCGTTTGGCCACTTCGGGCGCGTTTGACTTGGCATGCGCTAAATCGCTGTCGGGATTCCACGTGACTGATAAGCGCTAAGCAGCAACAAAGCTCCCCCGGGGTGTCGAAACTCTTTCTAGGGGACTGATCATCGAAACGATTGCCTCCAATCTGGACAAGAACCTCTTCGTCTTGTCGAGGGGCTTAACGCGGGGCATTAAATCCATTGCTTGAGGTCTGGCTCCCGTAGTGGGTTTGACGTGGTCGTGGTGAGTTACCGTGTCTTGCGGGCTGACACTGTCCCTTTTCATTCAAAGGTGTAATCTTCTCTTTGATGCGCCTCTTAGGACTTGCGCCTGAGTTACATGCTTACTTCTACGGACTCTACAGATAGTCCCTTGCGATCTGCCCCCCAATATTAAGACGCAGCAGCATCCATCAAGTTGACTTTCGCTCTGCGGCTCCATTGCGGGGAGACGTATGACGTTTGGTTATATGGTTCAATCGGCCTTAAGATTACGCCTGTACAGTTGAAGCTCGGATTTTTCGAACATTGCGTCGAAATCTATCGAACACTGTGCGCTTCAGCGATCTGCAGTCAATTATCCTGCTGGCTTCAGCTACCACGCAGCCCGATTCCTCTACGATGTTCGGCTTCAACTATCTGCCACTTCTTTTCATCGACTGGGTGAATTTGAGCTCGTGAAGCCGTAATTCAGACTCTCACGCCCTTTACCTCTGAGATTCGACACAGGTCATTAGTATGAAACTGGTCATGAAATAGTCCTGGATTGTACGGTGAAGGGTTGAATATTTGCGAAAATCCGAACAAGGTCTACCTGCTTGTGTGGTACAGGAGAAGGGCATTCAAGAGACAACAGGGTCCATCTCCAAAAAAAAAAATAAGTTTTCTTTTAACTGGTGGAGAAGTTGTCCACTTCAAGTTGGTGAGACCCTGCGTGGAAAACAGACATCATGGATGGACAGAGACAGCCGTACATACCGGTTCCTCCTCCACCCGCAATATCGCAACCGCCCCAGTCCCATGTTATACCATTACCGCCGCCTCCTCCTCGTCCTCAGACACAGCCCCATGGCATTCCTCCGCCTCCTCCAGGACCACCGCCGGGGTCTGGCTTTGGGGTCGCGCCGGGATGGCAGCAAAGCTGGGGAAGGGGACTTCCTCCCCCTCCTCCTCATCCACCTATGTTAAACCAACAGAACCAACACCTAGCCTTTGGTCGTCCGCCCCCTCTGCCGCCACAGAGCGAGAATCAACCCCTCACCTCAGCGACTTACATCCCGGCCGGCGAGTCTTTTGGGCCGGGAGTCGGGATACCTCCTCTATTTGATTCATATACTCGTTCTGTTTATGAAGGGTATGGCCACCATGTAGCGATGGACTCGAGGATATGACTCGCGATCTGATCATATGGCACTGATAGAGCTAACGCATTGTATAGGAAAGATGAAAGCACACTCACACCCTCCACTCGCAATATGCCGTCCTCATTTGTGTTACATGATACCGTTCATGAGTTGGTATCTCCAAACGTGCCAGCGAATTCGGCGCAGAACCCACCAGCGCAGAGCACGGGGCAAGCATCTGGGCTTGCCAAGTCATCCAGTCACCGTCATAATAACAGTAGTGCCTCATTGGGGGGTCTATCACCAAGTGAAGCTGCTGTTCAATGGCCCTTGGACCGCGTGTTGTCATGGCTTGCACAAAATGGGTTTTCCAATGACTGGCAAGAGACCTTCAAGTCCCTAGAATTACAAGGAGCGGATTTTCTCGAGCTGGGCCATGGCGCCAACGGTAGAGGCAATCTGGGGAAAATGCACAATGTCGTCTATCCCCAACTGGCGAAAGAATGCCAGAGGACCGGCACAGGGTGGGATCAGGTCCGTGAAAGGCGTGAACGAGAAGAAGGAAAGCGCATGCGGAAACTGATTCGCAATATTCACGATGATGGTAGCCGTGAGACAACACATGTCAGTCTTCAGAAGCGACGGTCATCCCAACCATTGACTGCTTCACCTATGTTCGATGCTGGCCTGGATGGCTCACCGAACCTCGGGCGAGATGCGGGCTCGGCGATCAGTTCAGGCAATCCTGAAAGCCCGGTAAACTATACTGCGAAGGGCAAGTTCGGCGAGTATTCTCGCAGGAATAGCGCGCAGCTGCGGTCGGTAACGTTGCCGGTCCCCGGGTCTATGAGCCACGATTCTCATGCAAATGAATCCCACCCTTTGGAAGCTGCGACATTGTATCCTCGCTCAGAGCTTTCTCGATCTGCTCTCAAGGGATTAAGCGAGCATCGAAGACACAGCTCTTCGACGGCTAGCGATAGTGGACCTTTCCCTGCCCCGCCCCTTCGACCATATGAGGAGAGCCCTAAAAGTGGCAGTCCAGCCGCACAGAATGCCACCCTTGTCCCATCGGGATTGACATCGTCGTCTACAGGCGATCTGACGTATAGGTCGGAACACTCGCGGGGGAACAGTACTGATTCTGCGTTTGGGGGCTCTGGCCATGGTCCTAATAAGGATATTCCTACTAGGTATTATGAGGCGCGAAGGCAAGGCTTGGATACTGTCCGTCCGTCGCCGCAAGATACAAACTATCGTCAATGGAACGGAGAAAGCGCATCCTATTCCAAAGAGAGCAGCAAGGGCTTTCTGAACATTTTCAAGAAGAGACCTAAGCTTACCGATTCTAGCAACCCATCTCCAGAAGAACAGAGTCTTGAATCACCGACGAGTCCGGTAAACATACGTCAAAACGGTAGTTATCTTCCTTTCACAAAGCCTGGACTAAATACTAGCGATGTGTCACTGGGTGAGCGGCCTTCTTCTGCGTCTTTTTCAGACCATGAAAAGGTGGCAGTCCGGATAAAGCCTGCCTCTAGGGGAAAGAAGTATCTCTTCGTCACGGCAGATGGCTGGAACTACCGATTGGTCGACGTGACTGACCTTGATTCCGCTGACGCTTTGCGCCGTGCCATCTGCCAAAACCTAGGGATGTCAGATTGGGTAAATGCTCAGATCTTCGCTACCGAACCAGGACAGACTGATCACGAGGAACCACTGAACGATCATGCACTGGTTTCTAGGCGTACTAAATCGGATGCTCTGGGTACGATGAAAGTATACGTGCGCGCTGCGAATCCACATTCAACCTCCACCCATTCACCGCGCTTTGCTGGTCTCGGCGTTTCGATGCCCGAAAAGAACACTATGTCTCCCATATCTGGGCAACATCACCTGCAAAGGAAGCCTTTAGATGAAGATGCTATGCTTCGTGTGTCGGCGGCTGGTGTATCCCCTATTGACGGTCCGCGGGAATCCAAACAAACACCCGAGTCAGATAACCACGAATTCCCTCCTCGCTCCTCTGATAGCAGGCCTAGGCCAAATCATTATGGAGAAACAGGCTATCGAAGAGAAGGCGTAATAGATTTCGACAGGCCTAGGCCTTCTCCATTTGAAGACAAACGAGTCGACAACCTTATCCCGCAACGGAAAGCTCCATCTGCACCGTCTGAATCTCACACGCTAGCGAAAGTCAATTCGATGAGCAAGAAACCGGGTCAGCGATCCCCTGTAATCCAGGGAGATCAAAACAAGAACAGGCCTCCTGGAATTCTAACTCCTGAGGAGCTGGCTGATGGTCGGAAGCCGATAGGTCCTGCGCATGGTTTGGGTCACGGTCTCGCAGCAGCCGTTGCCAGTGTCGGGAAAATGACAAGCGCCATCGGCACACCATCACCATCTATACCATCGCCATCCGTAAGGTCTTTTGTTATTCCTGCAGTGTCTTCCGAGATTGACTTTTGCCAGAAACTAGTGCAATCTCCCGAACATAGCTTCACAGGGCCAAGCAGGACTAGTCCAGGTATGTATCTATTATCAGGCAGGTTTATTCTATATCTGACCGCGCTATAAAACAGTAATGACAACACCAAAATCAGCGGGATCGAATAATGGGGCTCGAGAACAGCGTCGCATGGAAACGCCACCAGCACCGTCCGAACAGCCAACGCGACCGACACCGAAGGCTCGCAAGTCCTACGGCCCAGAATTTGATTTTGAAGAGACCAAGGTGTCATTCCAGCAACCGTCGTCTTCACAGGACAACGAGGATTCGGATTCCGATGACGGTTTGTTTGCCAAACCGTTGACTGCGAGGAAACCAGAATCAGATGTGAAGCAACCAGGGTCTCCGTTCCCCGAGACCGAAAAGAAGTCCGCAAAACCATCTCTTACACTGAACACTGAGGCAAGACCAGGAAAGGGGCTCAGTGTGAGCTTCAAATCACCCACAGTTCCTGGAGACTTCTCTGCTGGGCCTCCAGCTCACAGCCCGAGCGGAGAAAGCAGTGACTCGAGAGCGCATCAGCCGGCCACTGCCGCAAGCTCCTCGAGTCATTCTCCCGCCGAGCAAAAATCATTACGGAGGAGTTCATTCGCCAGGGACGATGTCTGGGCGAGCAGACCTCCGGTCGAAGGAGTCATAGAGAATCTAGACGATTACTTCCCTGATATCGATCTCGATGAACCCTACTTGGGCGCAGCAAGTCCCCCTGCATCGCCCGTTGCAACCCCAGTCCGGGGAGTAGCGGAGGACCAGTCTCATGGCGCTGGTCCATCTCAAGCACCACAGCCTAGTCGCGAAGCATCCGATTCCTTCAGTTTTGGGGAGCCTACGATGAACGCCAACAAAAGTATAAGTGGCAAGTCTCGAAGCAACGCCGGTCGTTCTGCTAGCGGGCTTGGCCGTATGAAATCCATCAGAGAGGTGGCTAAGGGAGCACATCAAGTTCACCGAAATCGCAGTGTGGCCTCGTCCAATAACGCGCAGCCCGGCACGATCCTTCGCCGTAAGAGCACCAAAATGTTTGGAGCGAAGATCATGCAAATCAGTCCAAGACCTGGCATCCGCATAAGTCAACTGGATCCTATCCCGCAGAACTCTGTTCCACATGGAAATGTCCCGCAGAGACAGCCTACTTTCCGAATTGTCCGGGGTCAGCTGATTGGAAAGGGGACTTATGGAAGAGTGTATCTCGGTATCAACGCAGACACTGGTGAGCTTCTGGCTGTGAAACAAGTCGAGATCAATCCCAAACTCGCAGGTCAAGATAAAGACCGAATCAAGGAGATGGTAGCAGCGATGGACCAAGAGATTGACACTATGCAGCATCTCGAGCATCCTAATATCGTGCAGTATCTTGGTTGCGAGCGAGGCGAATTCTCCATTTCCATCTACCTAGAGTATATTTCTGGTGGCTCTATCGGTAGTTGTCTGCGAAAACATGGCAAATTTGAAGAGAGCGTCGTCAAATCACTGACTCGTCAGACTCTTGATGGATTGGCGTACCTCCATGATCAAGGAATCCTCCATCGTGACCTCAAAGCGGATAATATCCTTCTTGATCTCGATGGCACATGCAAGATCTCTGATTTCGGAATTTCAAAGAAAACCGACAATATCTACGGCAATGATGCGTCAAACTCAATGCAGGGCTCAGTCTTCTGGATGGCTCCTGAAGTCGTACAATCGAAAGGCCAGGGCTACAGTGCCAAAGTTGATATCTGGTCACTGGGCTGTGTGGTCCTGGAGATGTTTGCGGGTCGCCGACCTTGGAGCAAAGAAGAGGCTATCGGTGCGATCTTCAAGTTGGGTAGCTTGAACCAAGCACCTCCTATTCCCGAGGATGTATCCATGAATATCAGCCCTGCAGCTCTCGCTTTCATGTATGACTGCTTCACGGTGTAAGTAGATGCCCCTCCCATCATTTATGGCATTTCAAGTCTAACCTCCCATGTACAGTGATTCAGCTGAGCGTCCAACAGCCCAAACTCTTCTCAGCCAGCACCCCTTCTGCGAACCCGATCCATATTATAATTTTGTCAATACCGAGCTCTATGCTAAGATTCGTCACGTTCTGTGAACCGAACTCTTATAACCCGCAGTACTGTATTAGCGATCCTATTATACACCTTTTCCTGCTTGCTGTATGTCTTTTCTATCTGCATAATACCCCGCAAGGTCTGTTGCGAGTCTGAAAAGATCACTTATTCGGATTTTACAAATCTCATGTATGAACTTTTAGTTAATAGATCAAAAATTATATGTGATTATCCGTTGTTCTGTGCCTCTAGATGGCTGGATATTTGGAGAGACTACAGCAGTGCTTGGTACCAGTAATTCACTTCTTATATCATATGTCTCGACATAATTACGAGTTATGCGTCTTAAGATTCCGCACGAGAGTATGTTTGTATGTATGTACATGGACGTGATCATGGACTCGTCTCGTCTCATCATTGTCATTACTATCCCCGATTAGCATGCACAGTGTCAAGAGCCAAGATATGGATATGGCCTCTGTTCGTGACAACGTAGACGAGTCGAAGCAGGGATAGCTTCTATATGCTCCCCCTTCGACTGACGTCCTGACTCATCTCATCGTCTTCTTCATCCGAAGATCGTATTCCTGCAATCCCAACCCGGAAGACCTCCTCGCTCCATTCGGCGAAGGTGTCAAGGTCCCACACTGCATCTTCGCGGCCCTTGCCCTTTTTGCTGACTGGTTTGCCCTTGTTCTTCTCCGCGGTGCGGTATGCTTCGAAGAAATCTTCGTACATCTGTAATACGCGATCCTGCACGGCGCCTACCAGAGTCTCCTTTGTGCGGACATCGTCGAGATAATCGTCCAGGGTCTGTCGGAGGATGGGGACTTCCTTCTCGATGTTTCGACATGTAGGGTTGATAACGCCGCCACGTTCCATGTTGCGGTTATCGACGAATTTCGTGGGTAGAGATGCGGTCATTCTCGTCGCGAAATTGTTGGTGAAATCATTAATGACGGTTCTGAGCATTCCGTCGAGCTCGACCTTGGCATCTAGCATGTTTTCCACGACTCGTGGGAGCAGGCCCTGGCCGACGAGACGCATTAGGTTTGCGGGGTTGAAGAGACCACCGCGTTCTCGAAGCTCCCAGAATGTATTCGTTACGCCGGAGAAGTCCAGCGAAATGTCTGGAGAGACATACTCGATGTCAAAAGCAACAATTTGTTGCTTGAGGATGAGTAGATGTTTGATCAAGAAAAGCTGTCCGTCTGCTGGTGATGCTTTGCTTGATATGAGTGCACTCGCTTGCTGAAGGGATATATTCGTCTGATGGACGATCTGATGAGCTAGGTCATCAAAGACGGTAGACTGTTTGGATAGTCAGCAACATGATTAATCTTAGAAAAGGGGGCGCCCTTACATTCACAAGTCTATATATTCTGCTGAGCAGCCAGATGGCTTTTCGAAGCGTTGGGTACCATCCTTGCGCGTCAGCTTGCGAGTCGAAATCCCATCTGACTTCTCCAAGTTCTCCTTCTGCTACGGGATCAGTGTCCTCTTCGACGATCATCGGTGTCTTTGGCAGAGGAGTTGTAGGCTCCGCAGTCGACACTTTCCGACCTGATATCTGATTCCCTGTCGCGGATACGGTGATTCGCTTGTTTAGAGCAGGATAATCGATATCTTCAGGACGCGGTTTGTATCTCTCAATCTCATCTCGCAAAATTGCCTGGGTCCGAAACACGAGACGGGTCTGGACGTCTTCTAGAGCAGGCTGGATTAGGACTGAAAAGTCAAGCTGATTCGGATCCAGATATTCGTTCTCGTCCTCCGGGTCAGATAAGTATCGCGTCTGGAGGAGACTGCAAAGCTGACAGAGCTTGACAAGTTTGTCCTCGCGCAGGATTCTCGGTCTGAGATGATCGTAAAGGGGTTCGCAGATTGACTCCAAAAACTCATATAAGCCTGTTTGTCCATGGAACCATTCTCCCCACAGCTCAAATTCGTCCAAGCAGATACCACGAATATAACTTATGCTAGCACGCGCGAATCCCACCAAGTCTGTGGAAGTGCTTGGAGCCTGTGCGATGTCGTTCAGCTTTTTTCGTACCAATGGTATGATAAATTTGCTGCGCGTCGCTGAAAAATTACTGTGAAGCTCCGTAAGAAGACCTTGATACTCAGCCTCAGCGCCCTGATCGGGGTCCAACGAAGGGACAGCTCTTTTCTGGATTTCGAGACCGATCTGTTTCAACTCAGGCGCACCAACGCGGAACTTTGCATAGAGAAGGGCCGATATGGTCGTCTCATTAAGTTGCTTCTCAGCTACTCTTTTCGAAACACCAGATGAGATTTCGCGAAGGGCAGATACGAAATGTCCACGGATGAGAGTGAGGGCTCGTGTAAGAAGCAGCCTATATCGAGAACGGTATACTTCGGCCTCTTTTTGTTCGGACTGGACACTGTTAGCCAGGGATCCCATCACTGATGAATGAAATACCGACATGACTCTCCATATAGTCCAGACATTCGTCCAGGCGCCTGAGCATATCCGAGAACTCCTGCGAGCGGACCGTGCTTCCAGCGCCCGGTGCATTGAGTCTCCTGGAGGCAGGCTCCAGAAAATCATAGTATTCAAGATTTTTATGGATATCATCCGCGAGGTCGGAATTGCGCTTCTGGGCGGAGAGGAGGCCCTCGCACTGCTTTTGGAAAGTGGACGTCTGAGATTCCACCGCACTGAACGACTGCGAGAGCTTAGAGAGGAGATCGAGTGTGGAGGATGTGTCGGAAAGAAGGGTATCAAGATGAGATTTCGACATCTGGAGTTGATCCAGACAGGTCCTAGTGCCACTCTTCGTCAGGATCTATTATATCGGTATAGAGCTGTTCTGCGTACTGGTATTCCTCATAGCTCGACTCAAGCAGGTCGCCCTCCACTTCATTGTACCATCTCGCAAAGTCCGCCTCCGTGCCAATTTCATTCACCAGCTTACGAGCTTTTGGCCTGGTGACCGTTTGATCAGCATCTCGAACTTTGGTGCGCACTGGGAGACCCCAGGGGTCTGTCGGGCGCCGAGGCCGCTGTCGGACGGTGTTGTGCATTATGAGGCTCAGTCCCCAGGCAGGACTTGCTAAGGAATCGTCTTGGGACGTATGCCTGGGTACATGAACAAGAACGGCACCGTATCAATCAAGCCATAGATCAATATTGAGACCTGACGCCAAATAATCGTCCGTTGACCGTTAGCGACAATGTCATTCGTGGCCGCTTAAGCTTCGTGCTGATTCTGCCGCCCAATGCCGCCTCTGTTGATCTGTTTAGCGTTGAAGTGACGACAGAAGCTCTTTTTTAGATCTCTCAGTGAAGGTCTGCGATATCTACACCTTCAATTGCTGCTGTGTGGTTATTTACTTGGCCGGCAGGTGTTATGAGATAATCTGCGAATAAATGTCTGTCTGCACTATGCTCGCTAGCAGGACTCGACAACCAGCGACAAAAGTCGCTACTTTTGCTGCTGCCGCGAAAAGGACGCGACCAACTAGACTACAATGTCGATGCTATGCGAGCAATAACCAGCAGAAGCCATCGTCTTCACTGCTGTGGCCTACCCTTGGCGCGATCGGTGTGGGCTCAGCAGCATTTGTCGGCTACACCTTTCTAACAAATGAACCTCAACCGGCACCGAGAACACCCGCAGAGCTGGTTTTCGAGAAGTCAAGGAGGACTGACAAGCCGTCGAAGGAAGATCTCAGTGCGCAACATGTCCAGGTGAAAAAGAGCCTGGAAAGTCCGGGGGTGTATGCATGGGGTTCAAATGAGTATCGCGTGGTGGATCCGGATTCTAATGAAGCCATTGTGAAAATACCACGGAAGATCTCTTATTTCGATGGCAAGATACTCAGGGACCTCAAGCTTGATGAACGATCAGGTGCTGCAATATCTGAAGATGGCGACTTGATCCAATGGGGCAAAGGATACTCGGAGACCGATTTCAAGCCCACGAAGACTCTGACCGGCAAAAATCTCGTTTCGCTTTGCATGTCTCGCGATCGCGTTATTGCTCTGTCGTCCAATGGAAACGTATACTCGCTCCCGATCTCTAAGAACGATCAGCAATCGGGGCCGAAGCCGCGCGAAAGTTCCTGGGTGCCTTATGTGGGTAGCAGAGCCAGAGTCAGCTACCGTCTCCTTCAACCGCGCTTATCCCTGGGCGAGAAAGTCACTGCGATCAGCGGAGGAGAAGAGCATGTTTTGTTGCTCACAAACTCCGGGCGTGTCTTCTCTGCAGCTTCTGCGACGGATCATTATCCATCCCGTGGTCAGCTTGGTATTCCCGGCCTGACCTGGGCCACGAGACCTGAAGGTCCTGTGGACGCCTGCCATGAGATAACAGCACTCCGGGGAACCAAGATTGTGCAAGTGGCCAGCGGCGATTATCATTCTTTGCTTCTCGACAAGGATGGTCGCGTGTTTGTATTTGGCGATAACGGATTCGGCCAGCTGGGAATTGAATTTGATCCGGCATTCCCTTATACCGACGCGCCAACTTTGCTGCCCTTGCAAAAGCTCTATCCGGGAAAGATCTGGAACCCGAAAGCTACGAGCATCGCAGCAGGTGGCGCAAACACCTTCTTTACTGTGGATGCCACTCGTATTCTCGGACCTGAGGAAGACAAGTCGCTGGTTAGGGACCTAGGGCACATCACTGCTGACACATGGGCTTCAGGAAAGGGAATTACCGGAGTACTTGGCAATGGAAGGTGGACGCACTTGCAAGATGCTCCCACCAAAGTGAAAGCTCTCAGCGGCCTGGCTGAGTATGATGAAAAAAGGAAGAACACTGTCCCTATTCGTCTGCGACAACTGTCTGTCGGTGCTACCCATGCGTCCGCGGTCTTGGACAACAACACTCATCTGGACTCGTCTCAACGCTCAACCAGCGACACGAATTTTGGCTCCGATGTTCTTTGGTGGGGAGGCAATGAGTACTGGCAACTGGGAACGGGAAAGAGGAATAATATTCCCACTCCTACCAACATCAATGCTCCTCCAGACGCCGTGGGCAAGAAGACTGATAATGATCGACGCCTTCAGATCATCCCACGCCACAAGGGAAAACTGGGCAACCGGACAGTGTCCATGGAACAGCGCGTCGAGTGTGGAAAGCATGTATCCGCTATATACTCAGCAGTGTAAAGTTCGATCTCTATCTAATTTATGTATGATATGTGACATAGGAGTAAGCGTACCATTAAAAAGTTTCGTACCTAATGAAGTATAATAGTCGATCTGGGTCGCGAGACTAATTACAACTAAACTGCACATCTTACTATAGCACTAAACAGTGCTCCTCTGTACTATTAACCGAGCAGTACAAGGTAATATATAGATAATAATCCGATTATTCTTCCCATATTCTCATTAAAAGCTGTGTCTTGAAAATGCAAACTCGTCAAACACAGCGAAACGGGGAACCCGATATCACTAGCGCGGAAGCTTTGACCACACCTTATCCAAAAATTTCCTACGGCGAAACCGCATCGCAAATGGTTTCGACCACAATCTAAGATACCCCATTTCCCACCCACTGCACAGCGTGTATCGCAGCCATGCCTCGCGAAAAGCAGAAGAGAGGCCGGCGCGCCGAAGAGAAGAAGCGCAAGCGTGAAGAGGTCCCCGAAGAGGCTGCGACGAAACGGCCAAAGCCCTCTACCGACAACGAGCAGCAGGTCGACTTCGAAAACAACGAAGACTACATTGCCCTCGAAGATGGGAATGGAGAAGGCCAAAATGAATATGAAGGTGGCCATCCATCGGGCGATATGCCATTCTATGGTCTGCTCGATACCGAAGAGCAAGAATACTTCTCGCGCGCGAGCGAGCTGCTCGAGTTGAACCAGTTCCAGGATGCGGAGGAGAGGCAATTATTCGTCGAGAGTGTCTACAGGGAAGCGAAAGGGAAAGAATTGAAGATTGCGTGCAGTCAGTCCTGCTCGAGACTCATGGAGAAGTTGATCTCCATGTCGGATGTTCATCAGATTCGGAGGCTGTTTGGTAAATTTTTGGGCCACTTCTTGCACTTGGTGCAACATCGGTTCGCCAGTCATTGTTGTGAGACACTGTTCATTCATGCCGCGCCGGCTGTGACGCACAAACCATCGAAAAAGAAGAAGGAAGAGAAAGTGGTGGATGTTGAGGAAGGGGAGGAGGAAGATGAGGTTCCGGACATGTCCATGGCTGATATGTTCTTGGCCGTCGTGGAGGAGTTGCAGGAAAACTGGGGTTACCTGCTAACGGAGCGATTTGCGTCACATACCATCCGAGTTCTTCTCTTAGTGCTCGCCGGTGAGCAAGTCGACGTCGTTTCGAATAAGTCCGTCGTGGCCAGCAAGAAGAAGGAACGTCTAGGCGGTACTCCAACTGCAGAGCCTCCGGCTGAGAATGCCGTCACCCAGAGGAGGCCGGTGCCGCAGTCGTTCGAGGATACCTTGAAAAAGATCATGAAGGATATGACGGCTGTATTGGACAACACATATCTCCGGGCCTTGGCTACGCACCCCGTCGGAAACCCGGTGCTGCAGGTCCTGCTATCTCTGGAACTCTCCCATTTCGGCAAGTCAAGCGCAAAGGACGAGAACTCCATTATCCGCAGGCTCATCCCGGATGAGACATTGGAGGAAGGGTCTGAAAGTGCTCTGTTTGTCAGAGGTTTACTCTACGATCCAGTCGGCTCACGATTGCTCGAGACGATTGTGCGATGTGCCCCCGGAAAGCTCTTCAAAAATCTCTACAAAAATGGTATCAAGGAACGCATTGGTTCCCTCGCGCGAAATGAGACCGCCTCGTATGTTGTCCTACGCGTGCTGGAGAGACTGGGTAAAGATGACTTGCAAGCTGCTGTGGAACTGATCTTGCCTGAAGCGCAAGGTCTCGTTGAACGGTCCAGATTGGTTGTTCCCAGGGTGCTAATCGAGCGATGTGTGGTTCGCGGAGTCAACACCGCGCCTATCGCGAAGGCTCTCGAAGCTGCATATGACAAGGACCCTGCCACCAGACTAGATCAGATGCTGAAACTCCAGCCAGCATCCCAACAAGAAAGTCAAGAAGAATCCCAGCCCAAGGGAGAGCCGCAGAGAGAGCCGGAGAACCCAACGGCCAGAAACGCGGAAAAGACGCACGGCTCTTTGCTCGCGCAAACCATGCTGGGCGTCTCCGGTCCGCTGAGTGGAATGATCTACTCCAGTCTTTTGGCTAAGTCATCAGAGGATCTGCTTCAGATGGCGATGGATCCTATTTCCTCGAGAGTGCTTCAGCAAGCGCTCACCCTTCCTACTTCAACCGCTCAGTTCCGCCGCCAGTTCACGTCGCGCTTCCTCGGCCACATGAACGAGTTAGCCCTTCACTCGAGCGGCTCACACGTTGCGGATGCCCTCTGGCCCGCGACCAAGGACATCTTCTTCGTTAAGGAGCGGTTCGCACAGGAGCTGTCACAAAATGAGCTCACCCTCCGCGATTCCTTCGTGGGACGAGCCGTATGGCGGAACTGGTCCATGGATCTGTATAAGCGACGACCAGGAGAATGGAAGGCGAAAGCCAAGGGATTGGGACCTCAAACAGAGAACGGTTCTGGCCCCGCAGAGCGTCCCAAGTCGAGGATTGAGCTCGCGCGAGCCCGTTTTGCAGAGAGGACAGCAGAGAAGACAGAACCAGCGAAGAAAATGGAGAGTGAACAGAAATCCGTTGCTGCGAAGTCATAGAAGACTTGTGATTCTCATGATAGGGTTTATTGTAAATAATGAATACAAAGATGGGGGAGGACTTTATATTGTTCTCCGGTTGTTTGCGCGATCCAAATCTTCTCACAATCAAAAGATGAATGTAGATTTCCACTGCCTTGTCCCCCGCATGTTGTTCAGGAACACAGCCCAATCACCAGGTTTATTCTTCCCTCCTACAGTGTCGCAGTGTCGATCAATCCGTCTCTGTCTAACAGCCGGGACTGATCCAGCTGGGCAGGTCACAGATGGGCTTTTCTCATCAGCGCCATTCTTGATGGTATTCTAATCTATATCCCGCCAGGTCTCTTATATATACATATGTGAAGCGGCAGAAATTCCCTAGTCTTCTTTTTTGATAAAATGGTGACTTAGCAACGCCGTGGCTGGAATCTTTGCCGCTTGTCTCGCAGCAGCGCGGGGCAAGAGTAGACCAATATCTTCGAACCCCGCGCTGAGGTGATTCGGTTAAATCGTCGTCTAGATAGTGAGAGTAAGTAAGTATATAAGTATATTCATATAGTCACTTTCTTGCGACGTATGATTAAGATATCTCTGATGATGTCACGCCGCCGGGGTTTGTCGCCATCGCGGAGAAGCCGGTGTCGCAATTGCCGTCTGCTTTTGGTGGTGGGATGAGACAGAACGGCCTTTGGATTCTTTTTTTTTCTTTCTGTTGTTGGTCCGGTAGTGCCGCAATTATTATTGTCCCAAGAAAAAAAATAAAATAAAATAGAACAAGCAGTCCCAACGATACCCGGTAGCACAGGAACAAGCTCTGCGACTGCGACTGCCAGAATCCATGTCTGTTAATGGTTCCTCAGCACCCATGCCAAATGGGAAGAGTCAGAGTCGCGCGGAGGAAGTGCGAAATGTGAGTCCATCAACGTCGAGTCAAATGCAATTGAACGCTTTTTACTGTTGCGCATCGCTCTGTAATTTCTCCCTCTTCTTCGTTTTTATGGTCCTTGCTCTGACATTTCAATGCTCGTTTTCAGATCTGATCCAAAGCAACATTCTTTACTAACGGCGGTTTCGCCTTCGTCTAGCTTCTCAATGCGGTGCAAGACCTTCTGATCCCATTCATCGACTCCGCAGATAAAGACCCTTTTAAAACTGGAAGCGACCGGTACGGTTCCGATGGAGACGTTCGCGACGCGGTGACATCTCTAGTCGACTACCGGAGACCGGAGGACTTGCGGGATACACTACAATTAGAATTCCCATCCTCGGGGAAGGGACAGGAAGGCTTGCTGCAGATCCTTCAAAAGGTTCTGCGGTACTCTGTCAACACATGGCACCAGGGATTCTTGGATAAGCTGTACGCTTCAACGAACGCTCCAGGGGTTGCAGCGGAGTTGATTCTGGCTACGTTGAATACCAACCTCCACGTCTACCAAGTCTCTCCAGCCCTGACTGTCATTGAGAAATACACCGGAAAGAAGTTGGCGAACCTGTTCGGACTCACCGGTCAACATGCAGGAGGAATCTCTGTCCAGGGCGGCTCAGCGTCCAATACGACGTCGATCGTGATCGCGCGAAACACACTGTTCCCACGTACGAAGACGGATGGCAATGACGGATATAAGTTTGTTCTCTTCACAAGTGGCCATGGCCATTACAGTATCGAAAAGGCTGCACAGATGATCGGTCTTGGAAGTAAGGCTGTATGGGCTGTCCCCGTGGACAAAACAGGGCGTATGATTCCGTCCGAACTTGAGAAGCTCGTTCAGAAGGCCAAGGACGAAGGAAGGACACCCTTCTATGTGAATGCCACCGCTGGAACAACGGTCTTTGGATCCTTTGATCCATTCGAGGAAATCGCGGCCATCTGTCAACGACACAACCTCTGGCTGCACATCGATGGATCCTGGGGTGGCTCATTCGTCTTCTCTGGGCGTCAGAAGCACAAGCTTGCCGGGGCAGAGAAAGCAAACAGTATCGCCATTAACCCTCACAAGATGCTCGGCGCGCCAGTGACATGTTCCTTCCTCTTGGCAGCTGATATCCGCCAGTTCCATCGCGCAAATACTCTTCCAGCTGGCTATCTCTTCCACAACGATGACCCAGAGCCAGTGACAAATGGAAAGCCCGCCGATCAAGCAGACCTACAGGTCGACTCTCCTGAAGTCTGGGACCTTGCAGATCTGACACTACAATGCGGCCGCCGCGCGGACTCCCTCAAACTCTTTCTCGGCTGGACATATTACGGCTCAGATGGCTACGAGCGCCAGATCGATTCCGCTTGTGACATCGCTGCTTACCTCGCGACTTTGGTATCCTCGAATCCGAATTTCATCCTAGTCAGCGAGAACCCGCCTCCGTGTCTACAGGTATGCTTCTACTACGCTCCCAACCGACAGTTCGTCTACCCGCCAGGATCCGCGCCCAATGAACTCGAGCGTGGCAGGCGCAACAGCAAGATCACTGAGAAGATCACGCGCGGCATCGTGAGCAAAGGCTTCATGATCGACTTTGCCCCTCCGAGCGGCGACGAGGAAGCCGTCGGAAAGGGCAAGTTTTTCCGCTGCGTGGTGAACGTTCTCACTACGAAGGAGACCGTGGAAACACTCGTCCGTGCAATTGAAGAGGTTGGACCCAGTGTGGTTGAAGAGCTGCGCGCAACAGAGCCCCATGGACCCGTGTTGAGAAAACAGGGGCCCTTTGAGCGTGGTCGTGGGCCTGTTGTTCGGCAGTGAGGGGGTTCTGCACCCTCGTTGAATCTCTTCTGATCAGAAACCACTCAAAAAAAGACCAATGGACTTATGGGTATATATCGTGTCCTTTGGGACACCCAAGTGCATAAGGAGGGCGGCTGTCCCCATTTACGCTCCATCTTTTGGATATAGATCTACGAACATTCCACTCATACGGAGCAAGTACATACGTACATAGAAAGTCACGCTCCCAAACCATTTGAATATAAATATATATGGCGAATATAGAAATGTCATGACTTTAAATATCTCCGCTTTGTGTCTGATCCTAAGTAAACATTCAATTTTGCGTGGGGTATATTCGGTCCGATGTTGGTCCCTGAACTAATCGAACTGTTTCTCATTACTTTATGCCGCACTTCCAGACAACAATATTTCAGCTCCGGACTTCAACTCGTTTCTCCAATACCGATCTGGCCTCTGATTCCGTCAAGGTTTCAATTTCCAGCTCAGAAAGCACTTCTCTCGCGCTCTCGTTGTTCGCAAACAGCCTTCTCTCCACTTCCCAAAGATCCAGACCGCGTGCAGATGTCGACTCTGCTTCTGCTTCTTTTATCTGCTGGTCCTGACTCACATTCGACTGCTGGGATCTGATCTGCAAAGACAGCAGGGTCAAGCCCTCTTTGAGCTTCCGGATCACCAGCGCCGACTCGCCCGGTTTCCCAGCTGGTCCGAGAGCCTGGTCAACTACATTGCAGAGATGGTCCACATCGCTGGCAAGTTGCATCGATCCTGCTGTAGAAAATGTATTCCGTAGTAACACGTTATCCCAAATATAAGTCTGGGTGGCAAGGAGGAGCTGGCGCGTTATCCGTTTAAGCGGGGCTATACCAAGGGCACGAGCAAGGAAGGAAATTGTGGGTGAGAGGGTACGTATAGCGGCAGTCAACTCGGAGCTTGGAGGCAATGGATAGCCTGCTGATTCCGAATGGGGTGATAAAGTTGCCCATGTCGAAACGCGCGAGTATGGTCGGAGAGCTGACTGTACATCGTACGTCAAGGTGGAGATAATGATGGATTCAGAACGGAGCCTAAGGCGGCGGTAGGCCGATGCAGTCTCGTCAAACAGAGCACCATCTGCGGCTGGGCCATGACCATGGCTGTTATGGTTGTCTGCAACGGCTTGTGAGGTGCGCGAAGCGACGTCCGCAACAGACATCGGCCCAGCGACATTCTTGCCGCCGTCCTTGTTGGCTCTGACACGGTCTTGGAGCTCATACCAAAGTTCAAGGAAGAATACATCATCACTCCAGTCCTGCATTTTCTTTTCCAAATACTCCGCGCTTCCGAAAACTCTGCAAAGCCGCTCGAGCCCAGCCACACCTTCAAGGTCGGCCTGTCCGTCAGATCCTTGCACGGTGCGTCCAATTGTGGACGTCATGGCAAGATATGCTTCGAGACCAGAGTGTAGACGCTCATGGAATTGGTCGAATATCGCAATTTGGATGTCGATGAGGAATCGTAGTCTCTGACTGAAAGATGAAAGTGGACGGTACCGCTCTGTTATAGTCTCAAGGAGGTCATTGACCCGAATGGCACCTTTTGTAGGCTTGGACGCTGAAGGCTCTACCCCATCATAGTCAATGTGGCCACTGTCTGGTGTATCGATGATATCCTTGTACCGAGACAAAGCAAACTCCTTTTCCACTTGAAGCCATCGGTCAAACCAGCCTTGCTTGGTCAAAACTTCCCATGTCAAGCCCTTCCAGTGATCCTCCAGAAGTGGATTGGGCGAGTATCCCCATGTATCCCGAATTTCGTTATCAAAGCCCATTAGCTCGTGTATGAAGTGGCTAAGGAGCTGAGGGTAGGCCGAAATCTGAGGGAGCAAAGTCGTGATTTTCTGACGCAGTACTGGAAGCAAAGCTGTAATAAATGCATGCGTAGCATTCAAATAGTATGGCTGCAATCCGGATCCCGCTTCCTGCGCCCTTTCATCGAGAATCGGCTGAAGATATGTTGCGAAGAAGCCACTATAGGTACTGATCAAGTCCATGACGTGGGAAAGAAAGTATTCCGGCTAATTACCAAGTATTAGCCTCCCGCGTAGATGTATTTTTGGAGGGATTCGACCATACCTTGTCAAGTCTATTTGTAGGTTTCTCTCCGCTAAAGTGGTATTTGAACCGAAGATCGAGTGGATGTACCATCGCCTCTAACGGCAGGAGAATAGGCTGTTCAGCACCCTGCTCAGACTTCCCAGTAGATATGCTCCTCTGTTCTAGTTCCCTGTTTCTCATTAGTCAGCTCATGGACACTATGAAATGACAAGAATGTAGCTTACGGCTCTTGCAAACTGAGTAGCAGGCGCACTGAGTCTGCCCACTCCGCCACCACATCGTTGGTGAGAACCAGGTCCTTTTGAGGCCACTTCATCTTCTCAAGACTCTTTTGCAACCTGCTGGTGAAATCCTTCTTCATCTGGTGCCATAGTGTAGACGCTAGTTTCTCTGCATAATCGACCAAGTGAGGGGCAGCGCCTTCTGCGGCTGACTGTGCGTTTTTCAACGACAATGAAAGGTTTCGCAGACGAGTATACGGTTGCAATGAAAGTTGCGGCGCTGACAGCACATTCTCGAGAGCTTCCTTACTACAATGTGTTAGATGACCGTAGATTGCCGTTCAGAGGTGGTAGTGGGTACCTCAGCCGATCGACTTCATTCAAAAGTTCCATGTATCCTTTCGAGATATCAAGTCTTCTGAGCTTCTCCATGCTAGCTTCAAACTGTGCTACCGCTTCATCGCTCGTGTCCGACTGGGTTATAATCATCAATCGCCTGTCAATGTCCGCTTGTTGCCTATTGAAGGCTTCGGCCTGTTGTCGAACCGCATTCGCATGGTCATTCGAGGCCTTTGTTGCCTTCTCTAGTGCTTCTTGGGCTTCAGCTAGCTGATAACGTTGTATGTTAGCTTTTGCGATACCCTAGACTGACGTCCGACGGAATTAAGCGCTGGCCGTACCTGTTTTTGTTGGAGCTCTTGCTGGGCGCGCAAGTTGGAAAGAAGAGAGTCAAGACTCTCCAAATCGGTCGAGGTCTGTATTTTATCATTGAGATAGTCTTCCACCCTCGCACTTTCGTGCGGTGGGAGGTGGGAGAATGAAGCCGCCATTGTTTTGTATAATCGCGGAGATCAATGTGAAAGGTGTCTTGACGAGGTTCGCGGGAACAGCGACGTCAACGGTCGTGGAGCTAGACTAAGTATTACAGCTGCAAGTCCGCGGGCCAACAAGCTGCAACTCGCAACTCCCCATCACATCGCGCCAGCGCATCAGGACACTTTCGAGGGTCAAGAATACGCTATCGCTTTCTAGCGTACAATATATCCTCTCATATTCTACCATGGGTGATCAAATATGCCCAGTCCGGCCAAGAAACGCAAGGTCAACGAGTCGGAAGCTCCGCAGCAGCGTATGAGGAGTATCGAATCCTTCTTCCAAGGACAAGCTACCAAGCGCGCAAAGAAAACCGAGGAGTCGCAGGAAAATATCACATCAGATAATCAGGACGCACTCTCAGATGAAGCACTTGCTCGCAAACTACAGGCGGAATGGGATAAAGAGGACGGCTCGTCTTCATCAGCTACCAAACCCTCAGGAAATACAGCGCAATTGGATGAGTTGAACAGTACTTCCAATGACGGAAGTTCAAAGGATACCACTTTGAAACAGGTCATCTCGTCTCCAAAGAAAGAGACACTATCTTTACAGTCTTCGACAGGCACGGAAGATGCGATCTCATTAACTGTTCCTTTTGATCAGAGCCCTTTGACCTTTGAGCCATCCAAATACGTGGACGAGCTCAGGGCATACTGGGCATCCGAGGGTGGAGATGCATCGTACGCACTATTAACAAGAGCCTTCGTTCTTGTGAACAGTACACAGAGCAGAATCAAGATCGTGGACACCTTGGTGAATCTGTTGAGGGTCCTTATTGAAGGAGACCCATCGAGTCTACTCCCTGCTGTCTGGTTGGCAACGAACTCCTTTGCGCCTCCATATGTTCCTCTGGAGCTTGGCTTGGGAGGTTCTGCGATATCGAAAGCGTTGAAGAAGGTCTTTGGTCTCAATAGCCAGGGTCTCAAGACACTTTACGACAAGCACGGCGACGCTGGAGACGTCGCTTTTGAAGCCAAAAAGAGACAAACGTTTACATTGAGAAAACCCAAGCCTTTGACAATCAAAGGTGTATATCAATCGTTGGTGAAGATCGCAAAGAGCAAAGGTACCGGGAGCCAAGAGACAAAGCAGCGGATCGTCGAGAAATTGCTTCAAGACACCCGAGGGGCTGAAGAAAGCAGATACATCGTGAGGACTCTGGTGCAGCATCTGCGTATCGGAGCAGTCAAAACGACGATGCTAATTGCGCTTGCTCGAGCGTTCTTGATTTCGAGGCCAGTAGGCGCGGAATTCTCTATTCGTTCGACGACGGAGCTTTCGCGTCTGAAGAAAGAAGAGCTTGCGGCACTATATAGCGGTGCCGAAGAGATTGTGAAAGCATCCTACGCAAGACATCCTAATTATGACGATCTCGTTCCTTGCCTCCTCGAGATCGGAGTAACAGAGGAACTATTGATCCGCTGCGGACTGTGTCTTCATATTCCTCTGCGGCCAATGCTGGGTAGCATCACGCGTGATCTTGCTGATATGCTTACAAAGCTTCAGGGTAGAGACTTTAGTTGCGAGTACAAGTATGATGGTCAACGTGCACAGGTTCATTGCGACGCTCAGGGAAAGGTTTCGATATTCTCCAGACATCTAGAACTCATGACGGACAAATACCCTGATCTTGTATCTCTGGTACCTGAGATCCGCGGCGAGGGCGTCTCCAGCTTCATCCTCGAAGGAGAAGTGGTCGCCGTCGACCAGGAGACGGGCGAGTTGAAGACCTTCCAGGTACTGACAAACCGTGCGAAGAAGAACGTCGAGATAGGTGCCATCAAGGTCAAGGTGTGTCTTTTTGCATTTGATCTGATGTACTTGAATGGCCAACCTTTGCTTGACCGGCCGTTCCGAGAACGGAGGGAGCTGCTTCGGAGCCTATTCGTGGAAATCCCAAATAGGTTTACCTGGGTCAAGAGTCTGGATGCGACATCCGCAGACTCGGATGCTGTGTTGGAGTTCTTCAAGAGTGCTACAGATGCAAAATGCGAAGGTATCATGGTCAAGGTCCTCGACAATGCATCTCCATCGGGTCCGGCCCTAGACTCGGCGGACCCAATGCAAGATACGGACGAGGCCAAGGCTCTCAAAGCCGAATCAAGCAACAGTCGAGAATCTAAGAATGGCGGTTCGACCGAGATCAAAGAGACCCGATCACGACGGAAAGCACTCTTGTCGACCTATGAACCAGATAAACGTCTAGATTCGTGGTTGAAGGTCAAGAAGGATTACAGTACAGCGTCTGACACGCTTGACTTGATCCCCATCGCAGGATGGCACGGACAAGGCCGAAAGGCCAAGTGGTGGTCTCCCGTCCTCATGGCAGTGCGTGATCCAGAATCAGGGAGCCTCCAAGCAGTCACAAAGTGCATGTCCGGCTTTACGGACAAGTTCTACCAGAGTATGAAAGAGAAGTATGCCGAAGGCAGCGACAACGTTATCGCGCGACCCAGTTACGTTGAATATTTTGGCGAACCAGAGGTATGGTTTGAGCCACAGGAAGTGTGGGAGATGGCCTTTGCCGACATCACACTTAGTCCGACTTATACTGCCGCCATTGGACTCGTGAGCGATGAGAGAGGTCTTAGTCTCCGCTTCCCACGCTTTCTCAGAGTCCGTGAAGACAAGACGATCGACGAGGCGAGCACCTCGGACTACCTTGCGAGTCTATACAGAAAACAGGTAGAACGGTCGAAGACTGAGGAGCAGGATAAGCCAGCAAATGAAGAGGACACGCTGGGCTGGCAGGAGGACTAGCCGTGGGGAGCTTCGCTTGGATATTCTAGTGGAATTCCTCCTTGGAAACGTACTCTAGAGTAGAGCGGTAATTTTCATTATCTTATGCCTCTTTTGCAAGAAACGTTGGGTGCTGCATTATGTCCTTGGGCCTAACGAACATTGTACATATATATACACACATATATATGTATCTACGACCTCATCTACATAATACCAGCCAAAAGGATATATGTATATGCATATACCTACACAATCGACTATTACCCCCTAATTAACCAAAATAACCACTCTACAAAGACCACTTCCCATGATAATAACCCGTCTCGCCAGAATCGATCATCCCACCTCTAGCGCCAAGACCACCCTCAAATGCCCTACGTCATCCCCTCTCCCGCCCTAAAATTAGACAAAAACCAAAAAGAAAAATCCCCATTGGCAGGATAGAGTTCAGCCCAAGGCAGCCAGGGCCCACCGCCAACACAGCTTCGCATGGCCCTAGTCCGTTTGCGACGATAGTGCTAACGCGAAAACGACACGACACGAACTCAGACGCGTCGGGCCCAAAGAACCCCGCTTCAAAAGAAAAATATTGCAGTTTTGGCCGCGCACAGAAGGTAAGTCCTCGCGGCTTCGGGCAATGGGGGGCGAGAGGGGGGTCAATTGTAGTATACTGTGTATATTTTGGCGTTATTGGAATTATAAAGTGAAGATGGTAGCTATAAAAGACGTCCTGATTTCAGGAGCCGTGAATTTGAAGGTTTGTGTGATCTGAACCAAGGTAATTTGGTCTGTGGTATCCATCCACCGAAACCCTTACATGCAATGTGCCCGAAAACTGCTTCACTGAGGAGCAACGGGAAATGAAAAAAAGGAAAGCGGGATTAGATAAAGAATAAAAAAAAGGAAAAAAAAAGTCATTTTTTTTCTCTCCTGCGTGGGGTATGTACCCAACCCACTTGCATTCCACCCATCGCCGTAGCAACCATATCCATCCCATATGCATAACCATGATCTGGACCATTCTCTTCGGAAAAGTCCCATATTTGCTGGAAAGGAAACGTAATGAAAAGGGAAAAAAAAGGAAAAACCAAGGGAGAATCGTGGTGTTGCGGTGCTGGATAACAAGGAGACGTCGACGTATGGACCGTAGCCAAACAGAGGAAAGGAATAAAAAAAAAAATTGGAGTGTATGGACAGGGGTCGGATGTAATATCGATGAGAGAGGAATCAAACACACGAAATAATGCTTTGGAAAATGACGAGAGCGCCGTGGTGCAGATGCATTGGGGGAGGAAGGTTAAGGGAAGAGCTGACAATGAGGATTGCTATAGAATCCCATATCGTACGCACATCGTACATCATCAAGGGGTCGTGGCAGAAATGTGATTGCTAGACAAAGGAAAAGGGGAGACACATAAGGAAAAGAGGATGCGGATGTCATCCTGATAAAATAAACGATTTCATGGCCGCAGCTCTCCACCTAGCTGCAAAGCGAGGCCGGAATCTTTGCCCTTTCCCGGGCTGTCCACATTAGGAGGAGGCAGATTGTCGAAGTTCAGTCTCTTTCTAGCGTCCTTGGCCGCGAGTGGTGTCCTTGATGGACCGCCTGGTGTTCTCCCACCCCAGGGGACCTGGGCTGGGCTGGGCGTGACATTGACGAAATCCGCAAAATTGAACTGCTGATTGGGCGTGCCGAAGTTGGCGAAGAGACCGCCGCCCGGTGTAGGGGTCAACGACGGCAGCATTGCGTGTTGGCTGGGCGGAGTCGACGGTAAAACGTCGCGGTTTTGCATCTTATTGCTGATCGCGGCGGGCGTTGGAGAATTTGCCAGATAGAGGAGCAGATCTGCCCCGTCCTCTCGTTGCAAAGCCTTGTCGGCCCGCGTCAGGCGAGAATGGTTAGGAGGTGGGGTGCGCGGAGGCGAAGAGCTGATCATCGACGAACTGACGTTCTGAAAACTGTGTGCAGGGAGATCTGGATCGTTGTCATCGTCGGAGTGGTTATGGCAACCTGGCGACGAAAGCTCGGGGATCGTCGGAGCGTCCGAGACAAAGGAAGCGTGACTGGTATACATGGACCGGGGACGGTTGAACCCTGGAGATGACTCCGGTAGCCGATGAGAACTTTTCCACGAGACCCGAGCCATTTTCACAGGACGGTCCGTTATCGAGTTCGACCGCACCCGCTTTCGACTGGCAGTCAGCATGGGGTGCATCGCTCCAGGATTGAAGGTCGCTGCGTGTCTGTTTCTCGCTGACCTAGGCAATTCCTTTGTGAAAAGCGAGGATCCCAGGGGAGGCGAGGTTAGCGGCGTCTCATAACCGTTTTGTATAATTTCGGATGAGGAATCGGACGGTCTGTCGCTCGTGGGAAAGCCAGTCCGGACATCTTCGTTCTGACCATGGGTGCCCAGGGCACGCAGACGGCCATTTTGATATTTGACTTTGGCAAGGCCTAGGCGATCCTGAAGACTAAGGGATACCTATTCAAGAGAAGAATTCGTCAGCACCAGAAAGGAGGGGTTCTGGAGGGACCTGCTGGGCGTAGCTGGTATAATATTCCATCAAACAGATCCTACCTGAGCAATGTCAATTTTGCGGAGTGTTCTCTCAGCTGAACTGCGTGGGCTGGACAGAGGCATGGTGGACTCGATTAAACGTAAATCAATTCAAGAACATCCGGAACCAGAATTGCTTTGTATCCTGTCACTTCAGACGGCAGCTCCCAGAGTCGTCAACTGCAAGATGCACGCGAGTGGAAGGATCCGTCGTGATTCAAGGGAGGAAGACCGGATTGGATCCGTGCGAAGAATAGCAGACGGGGAGGACCCCAAATGAATGCAATGAGAAGGACCGGACAAGGCCCGTAGCTGCACGAGAAAAAAAAACACCAGACCCGACCTGCACGGTGGTATCAGAAGTCTGCAAAGAAAATGTATGAAAGCTCTTTGAGATTGACTGGAGAGACGAGAGAGAAAGGCTGAGGCAGAATCCAGCAGTGGTGGGACCTGGAGCCAAAGCGAGCAACACGCCGGGCCAGAATCCGGGCGCCGTCTCCTCAGCCATCGCGGCCGGAATGGGCCCTGACTCGCTGCTCGACGCTCCGTTTCAGCCCTTTTCTCAGGGCTATCGCTACTTAGGATCTTAGGGCCTCATTCGTGCCGGATTTATCAAGTCTACAGCCAGCCTAGGTCGACCATGCGATTTCCACGTCATTGATTATCCCGTCCAGAAGCATACAACAGACACTAGATAGCATGCTTTCAGAGTCGACACTGTGTTGACGATGAGAGAGAATGGATCATTCTACGGGCATAGTTAAGTTGGAGAGCGCAGTACAGTACTTAAGCATACTCTCGCTGTTCTGGTTATCCTATCCTATCCTATTCTTCTAACTATCCATCTATATCTCCACAGCGACTCCATGCCAGCACTGCTGCCCTTGCAACCAACCTTAAAAAAGCCAGCGCCCTCAAGCTGTTCAGAAAATCAGGACATAATAATAGTTAATCAGGACCCACAATCCCCCTTTGTCAGCGATCCCTGCAGTTCATCTCAGGTAGGACGATGCGATCTGTATGGTAGTCCACTCATCGCTGGATAGATACGATCCCTTTGTGTATGCTGGTTCCCTTTTGTTTGCTATGTGGAAGTAGGGTAGAGTGATTATATCAGAAGGGGATTCGAAACAAGAAGGGCTCCTCTCGATAAATAATAAAAATTGGGGACTCGCGACTATCTTGACAATCACTCGATCCTTGCATCTGCACTGTAGGGTTGTCGTCCGTGATGGTCAACTTGAAGATAAGTCTAGTAGATACCCTGTTCAACTTGGTGAGTCCGGGATCAAGGTGCAAGAGGAGAGTCCTCACATTCCCGGTTACGCGTCCTAAGGTATCCGAGGGATTGTCAGTTCGGGACGGAAGCTCAATGGCTATAAGTACTCACTTAACTATCTGGGAAGTCCGTGCTTTCTCATCCGTGTTACAGTAGTTAGTTAACTTGATGGAGAATGATAATAAATAATATCGATGCCGGATCTTTCTGTCCTTCGAATGCGAACTGAGACAGCCGTCCTCTCCGTACAGTACGCGCGGACAACGTCTTCCAAGCACGATGTCCAATGCGCTTCTGGCAGATTCTCGATGACAGGACCCTTGGCAGGAGGATTCGATTTCGCATTAGATAGCTTTAGCATCAACTCTAGAGGAGCTCGAGCGGGGCGCGGTACTTAGTGGCTACTTAGTTAAGAACCAAACCTGGCCATTATTATTATTGGCATCAAGCGACGATCGATCTCACCTTGGCGCAGTAGCACTGAGATGCCATGCCCGACAGACGGCTTGTTTGAGCTGGACCAGACGTATTATTATTAGCATCTCTGAACAAGATGGGGTTAAGAATCCATTTCGCACGGTCCTATCACAGAGTTATAGCCGCCATCCCGGCCACCGTCGTGCCGGAGGGTGTGAATTGTGAAGCTGCACGTCACTGCAGTCATGCCGTCGAGAAGCTCAAGCCCCCGGCTTCCCGTAGTTGGAAAGATCACAACAGATATATCTTGCTGGATGAGCAGACCTCCGGACTCGAGAAGCAGAAATAGAAACGTCTGGAGTCGATCGTCAGGATCTCCAGGTTGATGGACTCCCCCGCAGGAATGGTGCCGTGAAACAAGGTGGCCTCCCTGGACTCTGGAGCGGCCTGCGCTGACGGCCACATATCTCGGTGGTTGCAATCCACGAGATGATAACCGGATGCTAAGACTCTCGTTGGCCTGTGGAATCTGGGTCTACGTAGACACTCCCGTGTCAGAATTATTCTTATTAGCTATCCAAGCAGAGACGACGTAGTAGTATGTCGTTAGTTAGCAGTTCTGTACAATTAACTGATCGCGCTCCCCGGCTCATGACCCACCAGTGTTCACTCGAATCTCCAGCTCATTGCTCCTGATCCTTTTCCCTGATTTCTGTCTCGTATTTTCCCTTTTGCTTTCACATCTTCTTTTCTTTTATTTCCCTTGTCGTTCTTTATTGCTGGGTGCCGTCTTTCCTTGTCCAACCTTCGGTGGGAATTTGGCTGCTTTCCTTCGTCAACTGCGACCGGTTTGCGATCGCTTTCCACCACAAGATTGTCAGGCCTGCCCCTTCGTTCCGCCGTGTGCCTTGAAAGGTACCTGCCGTTCCTTACCTGTGGCGCACGCTGGGAAAGCAGAGAGTCACGATTCCATCGTCCTCGTCAAATGATCCAAGTGCAGGGCGGTAGTCCGGCGTCTAAATAGTCGACATGTCCATCTTCAAGGAACTGCGACGGCGATCAAAGGCCAGCTTTCGGACTAACGCCTCCAGCGAACAGTCCAATGGAGACATGGCCTCGGGAAAATCCTCTTCGACTATCGAGACGTCGTCCAGCTCGACGCCTCCATCATCCATCAAGCCCGATCTGTCCTCTCAAAATCTTCCCGCATTGAGCCAGACCAGCAGTAATACCAATGCTTCGATTGCTGCCTCGCCTCTTCCGCAACGTCCAGTACCGCTCACATCTCAATCGACCAGGAACAATGCCGTAAGCATATCCAGCGAACCCTGCACCTAAACGTGCGACCGGAAGCGGTCTGCAAGGGGTAGTGCTAACGAGGTGGTAGCAGACCGGCGGCTCATTCAGCAGCAATGGAACCTGGAGATCGCCTCCTCCGAGCTCTCCTTACGCTCCGAGAATTCTTTCCATTTCAGAAAACTCATGGGTACGAACTGCGCTTCACGTCCATGATGGACGGATAATCAACTTAAGGGGCGATGCTGACTGAAATGATTGCACCAGGTGCACCAAAAGGTCCTACTGATCTATGGCCAAATCGCAGACCCCAGGCAGCACGTGCTGGACGGGACCTTGACGGTCTATCATAACCAGGATACGTTCCCTGCAACAAGCTGGCCGGTTTCGGAATCGCATTTCAAGGCCCTTGTTCATCTGGTGCCTGGGCCCAACAGGCTGCGATTTGATTTTACGACACCTAAGCTATCCGCTGGAGCTGCTCATTCCTCCTGGATGAGTATCAATTACCTTCCATTGGTGAATACGCCCCCACTGGACTTGGTGATTCTTATGGGAAAGGATTCAAACGGTACTTTTGACGCTGTCCCAGAGAGGATACAGAGGGAGGGCAATGGGCTCGAGACGGCTATCCGAAAGTACCGTATGGCTGCTTATCTGTGGCAAGCATTCACTGGGGAACAGATGTTTCGAAACAATTTCGGAAGACGATGTTTCCGATTCGAAGAGGAGTTTCAGCCCGGAACTATTAGTTGCCGCGACGCGGAGTCTGGCCAGATGAGGAATGAAGCGAGAATTCATATAGTGCGAACCCAGAAGACGGTGGCGGAATTGAGGGACCTAAACATTGCGCAGCAGTACGGTCCTGCGACTAGAAAGGACGAGCTCTTCAATATCGCCAAAGACGCGGTGCGCGATTATTTCAGGGTCCAGCCAGGACAGAAGCGTTATGTTTCTGTCTTGCTCCTAGACGCCCATTGGGATAAGAATGCTCAGACAATCACAGGACACGCGGCTCTTGGTTCAGCTGGAGGTGAGATTAAGATGGCTATTTTCGGCTCTCACAATCTACAGAGCTATCCTTCCTGCATGGAAGAGGTTGTCAGTGCATTCACGGATTGTACTCGAACAGATACAAACTATGTGGCCAATGACTGCGGTGAATCCGGCAGTAACTGGGAAGCTGCCAATATCGGTATAGGAGCCCACCTCCACGAGGTCGGTCATCTCTTCGGATGCCCTCACCAAGAGTCCGGTGTAATGCTTCGTGATTACGTTCGACTCAACAGAACATTTAGCATTCGCGAGTCGTTTTCCACTCGCACAAAGTCCCAGGGATTGAAGGTCTGTCTGCCTGCTGATGAGTGTGCGTGGCATCGACTCGACGCCTTGCGTTTCCGATTCCATCCCTCCTTCCGGTTACCGAGTGACGCTCCCTGCAGCTATGACGACAGTGTCCAAGTTTGGCCGGTCGATAACGGGAAGATCCTGATTACTGCAGCTTCCGGTGTTGCGTTTTTGGAGATTTATGCAGAGGGTGATGACACCTGTCACTCTTTTATCGAATTTGTGAATGGTGAAACGGGCAACTGCCCCATATCCAAGCAGGTCACGATCACGGAAGGTGAGCTACGACAGCGTGTTCCTGAAGAGAAGAAAAAGAAGGCGATAAGGTTGGAGATTTTCTCTGGTGGACTTGGCAGACATACTGTGCATGATCTGGGGGCACTAAAGTCGAAACATTCCTTGGTGAAGCTACCTAATGGGCAGCCCGGATATAAGGGCAGCAAACTGGGCTTCTCCCAGATGGATGGCACTCAACCACAAGAAATCATTCTGGAATGCGCTAAACAGACGAAGTTGTTAACGTCCGTAAAGATCTACCACGGGTATGCGTTGGATGGTATCGAATTCTGCTATGAAGATCGCACCAGCCAGCTGTTTGGAAAGAGAGGGGGAAAGCCAGGTGGTGATGAATTCGTGCTCGGTATGTCTAGTTGATGGAAATTTTCTTTTTCTTATTTGCGACTAAGCGGTTAGCAGACACACGTCGTGGAGAGAGTATACTCGGTTTCTACGTTAGAGCTGGTCTCTGGATTGATGGCATCGAAATACTCACCAGCCTGGGAAGAAAGTCAGGCGTGTTTGGTAATGCCAGGGGCGGATCAGGGTATGTACAAGGACTTCTTATCCCTCAGGTTCTTAACCCGGATAATTGGCAGACTAACACCGTGAAGGCATACTTTGATACCACCCCGTGGCTTTCGGATAGTCGGAGTTTCGGGGTCATGCGGAGCTTGGGTTGACGGCTTCTCCTTAATAATTTCCCGTTAATATTGTGCTTGGATAGCAACTATATGTCTCGGTACGGGATCGACGCATTTATCTGACATGCCATGTCATGCCAGCGGAGCAAGCACTTCTTGACTTGCCCTTCGAACCCTAGCATTTTCACTATTGCGTCTTCGATGGGACACAGCATGGCGTCACCACTGCAGGGGCTTTCGTCCTACTACTACTGCGGTCTTGTCTCAGGTATTGCGGTTGCCCTCGGGCTTACTTCGAAGAGACTCGTTCTTTGGTTGTTTTTCCATGTGTCCCGCCATGATACCATACATCTATACCGGGCGTTGTCCACTCCTTTTTGTTTTCTCCTTTGGACAGCGAAGTCAAACTTCAAAGACAAGGGATACGATTCATGATTCTAAAGGGTCTTCGGGTTGTGCTCAACTTCTATGTATACGGGGTTTTCTTATTGTCGGTCGATACCTCTAATATCCTCTGGGTATCTCATCGGTGGCGTCCAGGAGTCTCGGGTGGTTTTCGTGGAGATGCAGTTGACATTACTGTATGACATTACATGGCGCTAAGTACAGATAACAGGCGATGGATAATATATACACTGAACCACCATGAAGTAATACCGTCTTAGAAGTTTGTAGTTACGACATATCGGTCAGTATTACTGAGAGGTTGTTTAGCCCGGAGAGAGATGTCACTTCGTGGTGCTCATTTCAAACTGGGTAGTTCGTTGTAAGAGCCTTGGTGCCAACATTGGAAAAAATTATCAAAAACCTTGAGTGCCAGAGCGTAAGTAACGGCCTGCTAACCATCGGAAATGGTATCTGTTATTGATGCACTGATCTCAAACTTTCTGAAGGCACTTTCGTTGCAGATTACAGATTGTGTATACGATGCTGGCCTTTACATAGTATTAAATACTCTCGATGCCTTGTTCCAGGTTCATGTTCATTAGGTAATACTCCGCATATGCTCTTTCTACACCTCTGCGGGGTCTTTTTATATGATTTAAAGTGGCTTCCAAATAGATCGTTAGAGATAGCTGAGCGAAGGACATTATGTTGGAATTTCTTTCGTTGTACATGTCTTTAGTGAGTCGTGGTTGCTTACCTGGTAACTTGTTGAATCCTTTAGCACGGAAGCAGAATCTGAATTGCGTGCTTGAATCTAGATCTGGGGGGATTTGATCCCATATTTATCTTTAGCATACAAAGAATCTAGATCCTTGTAATCTAGTACGTTCGATCCAGTTCCATCCAGGAACCTGCTGTAGACGGGTGATTGCAGATCACCTGGCGTTTACTTTGTACGCCAACATCACTAGTATAGAAAATATATAAAATTTGTCACTATATGGATGTCACAAGAATGAGCAAATACTCATTTCAATAGAGATTAATATCTAATAATTACAATAGCCTATTTTACACATCTTAATAGCAGACATTCATACTTCTTACACCTTCCAGTGGTATCCCTTCCAGGTACGCGATGTATTATTAGTAGTTGATAGTGGCGGATGTTAAAAGCAACTATAGCTTTCTTTAATTATAGAAGACCTGCATACCTACTTAGTTAGAGCTTTTGCTTAGTAGAATCCAACTTCGATAAGGGATCTAGTCTAGCTTTCTAGCAACATGATTGATTTTTGGGGGTCGTTGTTTTCCAATATCGGACTTCTTTGATAAGCTTAAAAAAAGCGTTTAAGCTTATTTTATCCTTGGGCGTCTAGTTAGTGCTTTCGACTACCTTCTATACTTTCTATGAATAGTGCACTATTTCACTGGTGATTTATATACCGTGCAACCAGTCAATCATGCAGGAGATTATTTCCATGCTTACGGACTAATTCTTCGTGTCTTCTTTACTCTAGCCTATGCAACACAACTCTCTGCCTCAGGAATACAATCATCATGTCCGAAAGGAAAAGAAAAAGAAAAAGAAAAAGAAAATCCAATCCCGGCACTTATTTTACACATCACTACCCGTCCTACCTTATTATCCACGTAAAAAAGAGACTATCCGAACCGGCGGGTCCTATTCCCAACTCCTGGGAATTAAAATTCAAACCCTGAACTGCGTGGCTTCCTCCCCGACCCATTAACCGGCATGCAGGGCTTGTGGAAAAAGATCCCGGTCGGGAGTCCTCCGCCCGGGGTGTCTAACGGGTTAGCAAGAGGTGAGGGGGGAGGGGGGTTGAAGATCGATCAGGTACCAACTACCAAGAAGGTGGAAACTTGGGAAACTACTGCTATTACCCCATAAAAAGAAAAAAGAAAAAAAAGAAACGAAGAAGAAGAACAAACAAGAAATGATACGAGACGCGGCACGGTAACATATGCCGTAGCGTAGATATGGTATGTGGGTTGGCTATGCGATGTTCGTTGCTCTCTGCTTATTATTAAGCTGGCAAAATTAATTAGTTAGTTATTAACTTGTACGTTGATAAGTTTCTATTTAGACAAGGGAGAGTATGAGAACGGTACTCCGCATCGGGTTTGGTGGCCGAAGGAAGGGAAGGGGACTGTCGGCCGGGTAAGCTAGTGGGAGGTTATTTGGGGGGTTGTATGGATTGTTACCGTTTGCGTATGCTGTATACCGTAATATGCAAGGGGAGAAAGGAGACAGGGCAAGGACAAGGGGAAGGGGAAGATCTGAAAGGCAACTATGTACTACGTAGATCGGCGGTGGTACGAGTGAAGAAAAGGATTTTCAAGGTATATTTCTACGTCTGGAGTAGAAAGAATCCAGGATATGTATTGTACAGTAGATATCTATACATGCTATTAGAATGCCTGTGATTAGTTGCTACGGTTGTTGATCAATAAGGCCTCGTGCATACCGTATAGTACCGTGAAGGTACGAGGGAGATATAGATGGTAAATCTTAGATGTTATATTTGATATATTGCAGGATAGGAGTATTTATGATACTTGAGTTGAATGTTATATAATCTATTACTCATACGCCCGGTAGGATGGTTTGGATTTCTTGCGTAAATCGACCGACTATTGCATCTAATATATACTTCTTTTGGGGATCACTATTACTTAGACGGCGCAACTTGAAGAAAATACTACTGAGCTGGATTCTTTGTATGTAGCAAGATTGTATAAGGCGGTGTTAATATAAGAAAGATAACATTTACAGGCCAGACTACTTAGTGCTCCTTATAAACAGTCACCTGTGAAGAAACGTCTTCATGATATGGGGGTATATGGGTACGTGGGAATGACGCATGTACAAATGCTTAGCTGTGCCTCTTTGATCTACAAAATCGAGATACGTAACTGCATAATAGCCCAACTGGTCCTGTATACGTACAGTGAGCGTGGAGTCGAGATTGAAAAATCGAGGGGGTTTCCGCCCCCAATCGTTATCGTATGTATGTACATACATCGGGGAGATCGACCTCTCAGATCTCAACAGTGACATTTCATTGCCACTACTTACTAAGTTACCCCTCATCAACAATTAATGATAGAGTTCTGTTCTCCATGGGTATGTCAAGAGAGGTTGCAATCCGGATCAAGCTCGGACCGGGCGACAGATTAAAGAATGAGCTAGCTCGGTTTCCCCATATTCCGCTTCTAAGTATCGCCCGGTTACCCAATCAGGAACAACTACCGGCAGTTTCATCCGGCGCAAACTTCTTTTGGAGAATTAAAGCAAAAGGATCCACCTGATTAGAAAAGAAAGGGTACGATTATCTCCGCGGAAGGGAGATCTTCACTTGCATGTCGGAGATTTGCATCGGCATTGGTTGCCCAAGTTCTGGGAAAAGCCCCTTTCGTCCAAATAAAAACAAACATGATCAGCGTTCGAACCAGAAGAGTTATAGAACGGAATGGGGGAACACCATAAGAGGGCAGATGCAGAATCTTGCATCATCTTCCCCATCTGTAACCATTATCGATCCATAATGGTCTAGACAAGGTCGATACGATGGGGACCGATGGCGTTAAACGGTCGCAAGTGCGCTATCGTGGCCGTATCGTTACGAGGGAAGGCTTGTTGGCGTCTTGTTGGCGTTTTGTTGGCGCCCAATAACCATGCCAATCTGTGCAAAGATGAGCTTACATGATTCGGATAGATTCTTTCCCCGGACAGGAGAAGGAGTTTTCGACAGGGGTCAGACGAATAATATCTCTGGTGCACTTCCTAAGCAACCTGAGGCTACGAGAGATGAGCCGCCTATCCCCGATACCCGCGCAGACAACGCTATGTTGGCCTGTTGGTTGATATCAAATCTTCAGCCAGAAGACGATAGTCGGATATCCAATCATGCCTCGACCCCAACTCATCGAGTGAGCCATAGCTTTGCAGACCTTCATCTGCCAAGCGTCTTAAGCCTGAGGCAGTATCTTGTTTTGCTTGCTTTCGTCTCTTTTCTTGTGCATTCTCTTCTGGACCGTTCAAAAAGGTGGGCTAAATGATGCTGATGAGGAGTTATGGTATTGGTACAAGCATCTGTGCGTGCTACAGGTATGGAGAAACATGTACCATAGACCAGCGTTCTGGACTCGATGGTGCATACTGCAGCTATCTCGGGAGAAAGCCGGAAGTGAGACGATATACACTACGTCATAGCTCACCGACTGCGGTGAAGAATCATTAGCGATCATTGACCAGTAGTTCTGAATAAACGGCAGGCGGAGAAGGAGGAGCCAGCAGTTCTGCATTCAGGAGACTGGGTAATCAATTATTATCGTTCCTATAATTATCTCTGGATGGAGACTGTTTCCACGTCTGTATCCGTACTACTACATGCGAGTCAGTGATACCTTAGTTGAAATTAAGAAGACCAATACGGCAGGTAGTCTTGAAAGACTGACAAGGGAAAATTACCGGTTGATGATTGGTGAGTTGCGTCGGCTCTTTTCACCTTCTCTGCGCTGCAACATGACGATCGCATTGTCATTTAACCCAACCGTCGTAGTGGTCTATCTCATGCTTACTTATGCTAGGCTTCATACGCTGATGAGCCTATCAACGTTCATTTCCGAAGCTGCGGATGATGTCGAAGTATATCGTGCGTGAGGGTAGATCATCCGTATATGGTAAATCGCGATCGTACCGTACTCATGGTGGACTCTCGGGAAGACAAGCCGGAATCTTGGTATGGTTTCGTCATTGTGTTTCTTTGCTGGCGAGTCGAATCTCATTTTCGTCGGCGGTCAGTGCATGTAACGGTACAGAATGGTTCGAAAATCCACAGTAGTACTGTCATACGTATGGTAGTATTCGTAGGGATGTCAGACCTTGTACATACCATAGTTATAGGATATCCGTTGATCTGTCAGCAGCGATCGAACTTTGTTCCGAGAGCGCTGTCCATTCTGAAAGGCATCGAAGAGTGCCTCCTCAGGATGCGAGTTGTTCACACATTCATGGCGAATTCCACCATCTGCTTGGCACCGTATCTCCTATCACAGACATATGACGCAGGATGCATGTCAACCACATATTTCCGTGGTCGTATTTGATTTCATAAGGAGCTGAAATAAAATGAGCAGCCGAGAGCGGGAGGGCAACAACTCTCCCATACCATAAGTGGGAATCTATCTGTTTGACAGTGCAAAAGGAGAGCTGAAGAGCCCATTGCCCCGTAACTCTCTGATCTGCGTTCCAGGGGTCTGAGGCCGCATGATTTTTCAGACCTCTCACAATAAGGTACACGACCTGATGGTCAGAAGATACACACTATAGGTCATCCACAACCGTCACCTGTTAGTTATAGGCATCCGGTACTATAGTAGTCGAACTGGCGACTCCTGGCGCCACTATTCTCCGGGAAAAACCAGGCTGCTCAGGCAGGGAATCATACATAGTGTCCAGCAGGGGATGTATTCTGGCTCAAGATTATTTGGCGGGTAAAGCCGTTCATTGACCCCATATTCAACCGAATCCGGCGCTTGCAGGTCGGCTGCCTCCTGTCGCATACGGATTGACGCTGATGGTCTCCGCCAGAGGACACGCATTTGTTCAGTCCACGAATCATATATGGTCCTCTTGCATCAACATGGCGCTCTACGGAGTAGACGGGGATCGGATATCGATGCACGACGGGCCGCTCATGGCCCTCGCGCGGCCGCGCTTGACCTGGTGGATAACCACGCGGAGAGCCGGCCGATGGTTTCAAGACGCGAACGCGAATTGTTTTCAATACGAGAAAGCTTGGACATTGCTTCTATCGTAGTTCAGCGTCATTCGTAAATGGAAGCATATCTTCATATCTTCTGTTCGCTGTTCTCTTCACCATGGTTTGTCGTATGTGGGTGGTTTGTGCGCGCAACCAAAGATATACTTCTCCGCTATAACTACCTAGCTGCCCGATCCTCTAGCGGTCGCCAAGAGGTGTAGCGGCCGGATATAACAGAACCCTCATCCGGAACTCCGCCTTCAACGGAACTTGGGGATTTGTCGAGTGACATGCAACTAGGCTTCGAGCGCCATAGGAGGAGAGTGATCTGGCTACGGTAATGGTGATAAGCACTGAATATGCACCTAGGTAGGGATAGGAATCTGTCACAACTGAGAGCCTATCATCCCGTTGCTCTCGATACGGGTTGAATGCCTTGCTGGTAGACAGTTCTTGGCAAATGAAGCCTCTGCACTCAAAGGCCAAGTAGTATCTAGAACCGGTGCGAAACCAACAAGCAGCGCTAGCCGGTTCAGACAGCCGGCATTCTTATTGTCACAGGACTTGAGTAACTCCTACGCACTCGGTTTCTGACTCGCTTGGGGGTGCGTCGCACGTTTCATGCCCGTTGCCGTGGGATATGCTGCTGGTAGGACCTAGAGAAGATTTTCTCAGAGTAGTCTAGACTAGATCATGCTTATTAGCCTGAACTGGTGCTATCGCCTCCGCACTCGACACGCAATCTCAAGGTAGAAGAAGGTAGAAGAGAATGGTTCGTAGACGATATCGAACGAAGGGACATGTTCATTTCGGTAAGCGATGTGAGCAGACGAGCGTTGTCCACTGGGGCCGGCCGGCGGTGAGATCGAAAAGGTCGAGACCTGGGTACCGACAATTATTATTAAGTCAACGTCTGGAGAGAGAGAGATCACTCCGATTCGCGACTAGACCCGTGCTTTGGCCCGCGGTTTCTCCGGTAGTTGAGTCGGTAGATGTACGCTAGTGGGCAGGCGTTGAAGTTGGTTGAACGCGGTTGCGGCTGAGAATATCTCCGTTGTGCACGCTGATTGGCGGAATCTCGGCCCGGAGTCGATGTCGTTTATTTCAATGCACGAACGCACTCTAATAATCTAGATCGTGGGATGTCGTCCATTCGTATCATTCTCTGGCATGGGGTATGTGAGATGCATAAGATGTTCTTATCAGACTATAAGGGTAATGGTGTACGACAAGCATGACGGAAAAGATCCTTTGAAGATCGCTTCGATTTGCAGTTCCGTGGCTAGCTCCGTCGTGCTTCTCTGTATAAAATCTTGGGGCAGTATCTAGGAGTGAAAGATCGGCGATCAGGGACTCTCGAATGGGTATCTGAGCCGTCGGCACACGTATTCATATGTACACTTACTCCGTACATGTCGCGAAATAGCGACGGGGCGTATTGGACGGACAGCTGTTGATTCTGATGCGAGACACGCTCATTTCCGATAGGATTAGGGCACTATATCAGAAAGATCGGACGGAAATTAAAGCCTGCACCCCTGTTGATGCCATACGATAGTGAGGAAACGGTTTGAAGCGTACATGATTGCTTATCGCCATTGATAATCGGTTATTAATAGTGCTCCGTCTTAATGCGCTAGTTATCATTGTGAGACGGTTTATAGCGGGGAATGGTCGAATCAGTCAGGGGTGACCTGAGATTCATGGCAAAGAAAAAGCCCATATTGCGCGTCGTTATGTATCTTCAAAATGGAGGATTGGAGAAAGCAACGTCTAGACGTTGATGCTTGCGGCAGCCTTCCGAAAGGGGGATTCTCCTCCACTACTAGTGTACTAGTGTCTCCCCGATGTTCCGACGCTTCTATCATCCATCCAACCAGCAATGACCGGCTGTATGGTATTTATCGCCACGATAGCATAATATGCTGGTGTTGCACGATTGCAATTTCAGCTTCCACGTGGATGGTGAACATGATCCTCTTTTGTTGTGCACCTGAAGATCCTATATGGTACTTCAGTTGTGCGGAGTATGACGTATGCGACCACGGATGTGTTTTCCTCACCTTCCAGAATAGTATACTGGTTGTGCGGGGGATAATAATTGTAAAAGGAGCAATTTCAGTCTGGGGTGGCAATACGTACTTGGCCCTGTGAGGAGAGACCTGAGACTCGATGAAGAAGTCGGAAAAATAGCCGTGAGCGTGAGGGCGTTAGTCACGGTTGACCCATGGATAGGTTCTATCAAGAGGAGCGGAAGGCCAACTACAGTTGACCTCTGGACAGTACAGTGGGACGCAAATAAGACAAAGGTACAGTACTTGGCATGCCTGACGATTGCTAAAGAGACGGTACCGTAGAGTAGACGCCATGTATAAACGAAAGCGTTTCGATCTGCAACAGGTGACAGCGGTGGTTGCGCTGGCTGGCATGATGCACCACCCAGGCGTCATCTGGCACCGGCGCATATGTTTTCCTTTGCATTTTCATTGGCTCCTGGAGCTCGAGTTATAGATATCATACCATACATCCATTGATTATGGTGGCATCTAGCCAACAGTATTCCATATACTCCAGTAGACTTTCCGTCACTATGCTCACGACCATTATCCGCGCACACACGACAATTTGACCTAGCGGGCGCAGTTTCCAGCAATGGTAGTGAAAAATTGGACATTCCGTGCCTTCTGCTATCGGATATGTGCTCTCTACCGGATATCTCAACCGGACATGGGGGAGACGATCTCCTCCGCCGTCCCAAGCATCAGAGCTTTCAGAGCTGTCTGCAAGAGAAATTATCGTTCCAACGGGGTACGACTCTATGGAGGCGACGAGGCGTACGCCACGGCGGAGACCAGCTGCACGTCATGAATATCTTTTTTGACCCCGGCGACGAATGGCTCTGTCGGCTTCCGCAGTCAGCAAGAACAGAACCTCAACCTTTCCCAATGCGGGTATCTATACAGCCATCCAACGTCGTCCCCAAAGAAGCTGTTGATTGGTCCCGCCAGAAAACTATGTATGGCACACACATCAGTGGCAATCTGAGAATCCAATCTGTATTGATAGCTAGACGTGGGGACTGCTGGCGCATGTCCGGCGGGTCGAGGAACGTGCGGACAGCATATCACGATTGCCCAATAGGCATCTTCACCAACAGAGGAATCGGAAGAGGTGGCCGATGTGACGGGTCATAGTCCATGGGAGGGTGTTTCAAGGGAGTTTGGATCATTCCTGAGAGAGTCATAGTATGATAGAACTAACCCAGTAATGATATCCGATAGCCGAGCGGAGAGACGGCAGGGCGCCAGTAGTACCAGTACCACGGTCATACCGATGGGTGGTTTGTGACAATAATACCCACTGGGCGTATTGGTGTATTGGCGATACAGACCCTCCTCTCTTAGACTCTAGAGTAAGAGTAGTAGTCGATAGAGAGTATTATTATTATTATATTACCATTATTATTATCCCCACCGTCGCCGTTCGCCCACAAGTCCAGAGAGGAACAGCCCCCGGCTCGGATCTCCATCGCATCTCCCCTTGTCCTCAATCTCGCCCTCTCGTTGCTTCTCGCCAATCCTTCCCACGTCACCGCTAGTATTATTATTTATTGTGGTCGTGGGAATAAAATCTCATTACTGTTTTGGTCCTGACTTGTGGAGGCGCCCCAAGTCACGGTCCCCCATCTTCCCCCGTCTTCCACAGCGCAAAACACCCTTCTCCGCTCTGGTGGATTTGCTCTTGGGATTCGAACCCGAAATAGGGAGCTTTGGTACCCAGAGTCCATCTAGACGGCACGGGTCCATCGTCGTCATTGACCCTACCGCGTGTCCTATCATCCTGGATCTCTGTCGTTTAGTGCATCAGACGTTCCGGCCCCGTCGTTGCGCAAAACAAATAAAGACCTTCTGGAACTTCATGGGCACAGATCGTCGTGTTTTATTTTAAACCTTAGAAACAGCGGCTAGTAGCTGTCTGGTCACCGAACAATTGTAAACGCCTGAAAAACCCCTCCCCCGGCGCATCATCTATCCTCCTGGATTGATTTCCTATGACCACCAACCTCTCTAGATCTGCCACCATTACAATTACCTCTGGTTGTCTTCAACTACCAGTGAAAAACCTGTGAATCCAATTCCCATCATTCTCGGGGCGCCGTCGCAAGCAAATCCTTGCTGCTGTTGTGGCAATCTGCTTATATTTGGTGGGATCTGCGGCGACCCCGAGGTGCACGCCTGCCGTGACTTTCCTCCACGCTCACTCTTCTTGTCGCGCACGGAGTCAAAAAGGAGACTGTTCGAAGGAACAGAACCTCTCTACTTGGAATACTACAGGGGTTCCACGCTTTTACGCGATCCGAATGTCGTCTCAGTTTCGCTGCTTATCCATCTCTATTCTATGATATCTCTCTTGGCAACTCTCGTTCAAACCGTTTCTTAAATCATCACTGTCGTTTCCATCGCCCCCCATGTTTCGCAACAGGTATGATCTCTTTGCGGAGAGCCATGAGCGAATGCGCAGCGTCGACTGCGTCAGCCCTGTTCAGATAACTGATGGATCCTTCAGGACGTCGCAGAAGCCAGATGAGGAGCTCATCTGCAACTTCAAGAAATCGTTTCCCAACGTTGTCGCAGGTGTTACTTTCACCGGTGCCGGCCCTCCAGAGCAAGGAATCATGGAACCGGGGATGCCAGCAAGGTGCGCCTACATCTGGCATGTTGACCGTTTCACATAGCTGTCATCGTCGTCTCGACCGCAGACAGCACCCAGTCTCCCAGCGCTGACTTCCAATTTTTTGTACAGGGTTACGGAACCAGAGGATATTAAGGTCAATGACCCTACGCCGCGAGCACTGCAAGACTTCCGATTTACCCCGTCTCTCATGGACCCGAATTCCGTCGCCTTCATGTCATTCGCCAACCAGCCGCCCGGTTACTACACGCCGACCCCTGGTGGCATGACAACTCTCTATCATAGCTCAGCAGGCGACCTACACACTCCTACTCTCGGCCTAAACTTGACCACGCCTATGTCGCTGCAAAATCCCGTATCCGGACCTCTTCCTGTGGATCCAACAGTGGAGATGAATCTTCACTTGCAGCACCATTTTCTTCCGCAGCAGTTTCAGAACCTCAATCCTTTCGCTCAGGCAGCTTCCTTTGCCCCGAACACATTCATACATCACGGCGACTCTGGCTACGATCCCATGGAAGATGACGCGGCAATGGACGACATGAATATGCCGGCGAACCCGTTACATGTGGTGACCGCCTCAGATTACTCTGGCATGCATTCTCCGATCGAAGGAGAAAAGTAGGCACCAACCTAAATTTTTTGATTCAATGAACTAGAGATTGACCCTTCTCAACAGATTCCGCTATAATGTGACTCTTCGTGCACCCACAGCCATGATCAAGCATGCAGACGAAATTCCGGTAACATATCTGAACAAAGGCCAGGCGTACTCGATATCCGTGGTTGACTCAGCGCCGGTGCCAATGGATGGGACCCCGATCAAGTACCGGACATACGTGCGCGTGTCCTTCGAGGATGAGCAGCAACGGACAAAGCCCGCTGCCTGCTGGCAACTATGGAAGGAAGGCCGTGGATCGAATGAAGCTCACCAGAGAGGCGGAAAGCTGTTGGCAGTTGAGTACGTGGATCCGATCCAGGGGGGAGATGATCAACACCGTCACCCGCAGATCCAATTGGAAAGCGCTTCTTTTGATGGATTCTGTGTAACCTGGACACCCAATCCGGCGACCGGGGCCTCTGATTGTGCCATCTCAGTCCGCTTCAACTTCCTCTCGACCGATTTCAGCCACTCCAAGGGCGTCAAAGGCATCCCCGTTAGACTATGTGCTAAAACTGAGATGCTCTCGACTGGCAGTCCGACGTCCAACGCTGCTACTGAGGCGGAGGTCTGTTACTGTAAAGTGAAGCTGTTCCGTGATCATGGTGCTGAGCGCAAGTTATCCAACGACGTGGCACATGTCAAGAAGACAATTGACAAGCTCAAGCAGCAGATTGCACAGGCTGAGATGGGAGCGGGTAGTTTCGGGAAGCGGAAGCGCAGCAGTGGCTCGATTGCCATGAAAGCCTCCGATAACAGGCCGGTCAAGATCCCGAAGCATAAGAGGACTTGGTCTATAGACTCGCAAACTGAAAGCCCGGGAAAGCTCCCCGCAGAGGAAGATCTTCACCTGAAGTTAGCAATGTTGCAAGATATGTTCTCGTCGACTAGGCCCGTGAGTGTGCTTAGCCTACGAGGCGATGAACAGGATGATCCGGACCTGTTCCCGGTCGCGTTACCCGGCGAACCATACGATATCACGAAGTTCGAAGCACTCTCCCGTCAAAGCACTCGGGAATCTAGACCTAGTTTTGACGCGACATCGGGAACTTCAGTCATGTCGCCTACGAGCAGTAGTGTCTCGCTGAATTCCCCACATCGCCCCTCTTATCGTCAGCTGTCAAACGTCCATTCTTACCAGGTATCGCGAGATAACTCTCGTGAGCGTGCTAGCATTGGTGCGCAGAAGGTACTGCTCAGCCATCCCATCAAAGTCCAGAAGGTTCCTTCTGAAGGCTCGAACGTATCAAGCGGATATATTGAGGCCGTTGATATAGATCCGACCTATCGCCCCCCTTCCGAACGTCCAGCTAGACCGATTGCATGTTTCTATGTCCGTTTCCCGAATCTGGGCGACGGCGATGATTACTACCGGGCAATCTACCTCACTGAACGAACTGCTCGGGACTTCCTGAGTAAGATTACAGAGAAACAAAAAATGGACCCTGAGCGAGTCGTCCGTGTCCTACGGATAAACTCCAAGGGTCTCAAGATTATGGTCGATGACGATGTAGTGCGAGAACTGCCTGACGGTCAAGATATGGTCGCTGAGATCTCGGAAGCCTCAGCGTTTGAGGAGCCCGTCACCGATCCCTCTGCGGTAGAGATCAAGTTGACATATTAACGAGCGAACGGCATCACTTCCGGTCGAGGCTGCACATGCGTCGTTAAGATTGTCTCTACATCTTTCGCTTCTCTGCCTCTGTGTCATTCTCGACTTGACGGACCCGGCAATCTTGGACCTCCAGCGGGCATTCGCTGGCCACATTTGCTTTCCTGTGATGAGGGCTGCTTTCCCCAGTCTTCTACAACATCTGCTCTGCCCATCTTGCGCAGTATTGGTGGGGCAGTATAGGATGATAATTATGACTTTTCAATATTTGTTTCTTTCCCGGTTCTAGTTTTGAGGCTGTTGAACTTTACAGTCAGGTGCCTGTTATGCGGTCATCGTCACCATTATGGGTTGTTGCGCATCTTTTCTCCAGTGTCATATCCTGTGTGGACTTTTGCTGGACGGGACGTACATTTCTACTTTGGGCCAGAAGGTCTGGCCCACAATTTCTCTTGCTTTTATGCGGTTAGGGAAAGGTCTGGGTGGTTTCTCCGCTTGGTTGGTCTACTTTTATTCATGGGCGGCGTTGAATACGAAGATAATACACGAGTCTTCGAGCAATGATACCCATGTCGTTTCTACATGATTTGCGATATTTCTTCTTTTCTCGATCCAAGTGACTGACGAATTCTGTTTTCGCCCATTTCACGGGTCTAAAAATGGCGTTGAACATCTGGAGGCGATATACGAGACCTCGGGGTGCGGCAACACAGCATACATACCTATATTACATGTAATGCTCTTTCATGCGCTTTTTTTCTTTTTCTTTTCCTTTTTTTTTTCCCTGGGAACATGCACACGAAGTTTGATACCCCATTTTCCGGAATGCTATACATATTAGAACCTTTCCTGTGTTGCCGATGTCTTCTCTTGGGGGTCTGTGCGACTTTTGCCTTTGCTCTTCTATATACCCACATGTTGATCCATAGGGCTTTTGTCGCCGCACATCGCAAGCCTGGTCTGGTCCATGGTACCTGGCTGTCAAGTGTCCCAGCAAGGCGGTCTCCTGGGGAGTGCGGCCTTGGAGAGTGTTATGACGGATTCGATTGTCTGCTGAGCAGATAAGGGGCAATATCAAGCAGCATAGATACGAAAAACAATGAATACTCTTGATAACGCAGTCAGTCCTTCCTCTTCTCTCCTATTATTGTCTCGTCTGAACGGTCTCCGCCGAGTGAACGTCCAGCAAGAAGCTTGGGCCCGTTTGTGCCGACTCTGGGATGCCTGCGAGACTAGAGAACGCCATAAAAACATGGCCAAGAAGATCAACGGCATGTAGCAATCCACAACGGCGTCCCGATCGACTGGGGCGTGTTCTCCGTGGGGGTCCGCTTGCCAGAGTGATGTACAGTATGTATGTATCTGGTATTCTAAGTGTACGGTATACTCAACGGGTCCCCGTCCCTTACCGTACGGTATTGCGGGCCCACGGCATGTGTCGGGCCCCGCAGTGGGGATGAGCATCGCATTACTCTATTATCGACGTCGAATGGCCGAGGTCGCTTTTGTGCTTCGGTGGGGAAGGCTATGGAAACAATCACAATTGGCTACGGGTATTATCCGATAAATACCGTAATTACCGTTGAGGTACCGTATTTGTATATAGCTCCTTGCTATGAGATGAAGCATAGAAGAAGAGTACACTGTCTAGGTAGAGTGAGTTACTGCTCTTCTCTCACCATATTCTTCTCTTCTCAAAGACATCATCATAATGGCGCCTGCCCACCCGGAAAGGTCATAGACGTAAACCACTTTCCCGGCGCCGGTCCAGGTCGATCTCCCTTGAGCGCGCCGTTGTGTACCATAGAGTTAAGTAGTAACTATATCTAGGACTAGTCATACTCTACTAGCGTTCCTGGAAAAAAGCCTCGTGGATCACAACTGACCCGGGGAAGTGTCCGATGACGTCGGCGCCGTTTTTCGACATTTCAGGTCTGGACCTTCTTCTTCTCCGAATTCTCACACTCGGCCGATCTCTCTCTAGAGTCTCCTCAGACTCCGTGGCTGTCTGAAAGGCCCGCAACCCAAACACCAGGCGCGAAAAGAAAGCCCTCGTACCTGACAGGGTTCTGATGCCAAAATAGTTCAATTCAATTTCGACGCACTGGCCCCCCTTTTTTTCTCTCTCTCTCGTTCGAGTTACTTACAAGTTACGATAGGCGTGGCTTGGCCTCAGCCGGGGCTCTCCGATCTTCCCGTTGGGTTTGGGATCATGGATGTGGCAGTTATTAATATTACGGGCGGGGAGAACTAGGTTTTACTACGGGATAGGAGGCGTTCCTGCTAGGGGAGAGAATCAGTTTTAGGCGAGTATCTCTACGGATGTGCTTTTTAGGGAGGTCATAACATGCTGATGGCCGTAGCAATAAGTTAACCCTCAAAAAGGCAGAGAGACACCGATCACATGGAGAGCCACGTAGGTACTACTGTACATTCAGCTGTATGATGTAGTAATGATATTTTGTGGTGTAAAAGTAATTAATTAATTCTCTTGTAAGTTACTCTCTATGGTGGTAGTAGTCTCCTGTATCTGAGACTATTATTATTCGGGCAAACCATCCGCTCGGACGTCCGCCTTGGTATTGATGCCTCGATAGTTAGGCAAAAACTCTCTCTCCAGCCACCCCCCACGGACCATCGAGTTCACAATAATAATAATGATGATCATCACATCAAAGTTCAAACACCGATTAAACTCACATCATGTTGTTGCTCGCCCGTCCGTGCTTCCCCGTCTATAGTGTAACCATCGCACCGACAGTGCTAGCAATGACTGACAGAACGCCCGGTCTGCATGATGATGTATCTTCGGTAGATTGTTCCTTCCAATCCACTCAATGACCGTTATCATTCCTTTCTTTTTTCGAGGGATGATGCGTGTACAGCTAGTAGCTGTCGATCATCTTTCTCACACCGAGTTTACCATAAGCGCTTCACTCTGTCACACGCGATGATCAATCATCATTGGTGAATATTCGCGCGCGCCGTATGCGATGTTGCGAAACACTTACTTAAATTATTACATGCATCCGGCTTAAACCAGGGTGGACAATGCCTGTGTTTACATCCCACATGCAGGGATATCAACTTAATGCCCGCAGTCATTGACGCAATGCGCGAGTCAGTCCAGAATGGGATCTGCTATTTGGTTTTGGGGTGTCTAACAAAAGACGCCCCCATGACACCATCTAGCATTGGCGTGGCTAAACCCCCAATCATCCCCAGTCATTATTCTGCTTGTTTTCATTTAAAGGTCAACAGAGCCGAGCCGTCTCGGCAAAGCAGCTTGTTCCTATCATTGAGGCACCCGGTGATTTGGGACACATCTTAGATAAACTAGTATTCCACAGCTAACTTAATCCAGTGTTCTGTAATAATAGTAACCACTCTAGATAATAATACCTTGGTCGTACTCCCTAGGTATTGTTGCTCCATCGTTTCGTTATCTTGATTTGTCAGGACCAGTAACTCACCGATCTTGAGCCTAAATCTTTCTCGATCCCGGAGATCCCTTGTTCAATGAATTCAATTCGTCTGTAGCTAATTCCCCAAAAACGCCTCCATTCTACACTAGTACCTTCTAACCTTCCAAGTAAACTCATCCGCTTACGAGTCCCTCTCCTCTGCTTCCCTTTGACCCCCAACCTTCTCCTCCCCCTCACGCCCCTGGCACTATCCCAAGAGGTCTGACCGTTGGAATACCCACCTTCAAACGAAGTCTGTGCTTTGCTTCAACTCTAACCCATCGATCGACAGCGTCAAGTCATAGCGTACATCGCGGAGAGCGGAGCCCGCGCATCCGCTGACGGGTGGCGCCTCTGGGCTCTCAAGCCTCAACGCTTCCATTCTCGTCACTAGTTAATTTAACCCAAAGAACATGCTATAGAGGATATTACTAGTCTAGCAGTTATAGAGTGAAGTTAATGTGCTTGCTCTGTCGTAATGTATACAAACTTGAGCATAATCATATACGGAATCAACCAATGATGGCCGATGCTTCTGTCGGGGACTCGAAATTGGATTTCACCACAAATGAGCTACTTGTTCTATTATACTCTATAGGTGATGATCTGAATGGTTCACATATCTGTGATGACGCATTATGAAGTCAACGCCCCTTTTCGATCGATCCACCAAGGGAAATCCATAGAGGCTGAAGAATCAATTGTTATGAAGAATAAATCGAGTACCTAGAGAGATTTACTACCTCCGACTCAATGTGACCTGTATGGGAGATTAGCGTGATTTCTTTTTGCCAATCGGTTGTAATATCTCCTTTTCTTTCCATTTTTATTTCTCCCCTTTTTCTTCTTGCCTCCTGGGAATCCTTTCGCCTAAGGTGAACAAATTAAACAATATAGTGTAGAAAAAGTTCTAGACTGTGGCGATATATCCCGTGTACCACTTGGGAATCTATTATCTAGTCCTTTTTTTTCTGGATAGAAAGAGGCCGCAGAGTAGCTAGATTAGCCGGGAGTTATATTGTAGTGAGGATTTTTAGTATTAACTCCGGCGCTAAGATCTATATTACTTACATCATCTGTGATCTACTATCTGCATACACTACAGATTAACTCCATTATCTTGGTTTTTAGAGCGAGACCAGAAACTCTTCTCCTTGAAATACTTATTACCGCGATACTATACATTCCTGCAGGGGTCCGTATTATCTACCCTTTGTGATATCCAGTCTGCTAGCAATATCACTATGCTGCCCGCTGAAACTACCACCCTGGCACCTGTGAGGACATCTCACTTCCCTACTCGCTTGAGAATGTCGCTTATATCTCCTTGTTAGGTTCTCGCCCCTTCTAAGTCCGCGTCTACTACAGAGCCGCCCGTCAAGAACGCTACCCTGCCACCAGTAAGGACATCCTAGCTCCCTGCCCGGTTGAGTGAAGTCACTAAGATCTCTTTACTAGTTTATCGTCCCTCCGGGGTGGACCACGAATCCTCGAAGTCCCGGGTATAAAGCCGACTGGGCGGATTATAACTCTGAGGGCCAGGTTTTTGCTCGATGTCATGGCCTTGCACCAGCGAGGCCGATAATGGAACATATGGATTCCCTGATGGTGATTTTCCAATCGGGCGACAAATTCTATCTCTGGGAGCGCGTATCTGATGTCCTTGCTGAAATAATTTCTCAAGATCTGTATGACATTACTACTGTTATTGCTGAGCGAGGACTTCGAGATCTGCGTAGGGAGGTTATCCCTTGTCTTTTCGATCCAACTGAGTTGGCTGACCAGTCTTGAATGGTTTCTTTTTGTACCAGATTATGCACTCTACTTTGCTCGAAGTTCGCGATATTTCCTCCCCACATACGAACTAGCTCTTGACAGTTGGCACACAATCTCCTCACATTGGTCCAGACTTCTCCAGACGAGTTATCCTCATATGCTGGTGGAATCACGCCTCGTACGTGTAAGGCGATTCCATGGACGGTTGCAGGGTCAGTGCGCCTATCTGGTTAGCTTTACCTTTCAAAAAAGGTCACTCTGCGCCAAAACTTTGAGAGATGAACTTACTTCAGTATATGAAGAAAAGGGTATGTTTTTGCACAATTTCCGAACGCAATACGGTTCCCGGTGAGCCTCATCTCGGGGCAATCGTTCATCGTGTACCCGCTCATTGCCATCGCCTCATCATCAATCAAGGAGAACCGCGCTGCCTTCACCACTGACGCCCATGTTCCAATTGTTAACAGCGCACTGTATCCTTTGAGGGACGCGCCCAAGAAGAAGCGGCCTTGGTCTTGCCCTGTTGCGATCCACGTGCAATTAAACATTGTTGGTTTGAGATTGCCAAGAGTCGTACACCACTTAGAATACATGGCAGTGAGTGGTAGGTAGAAGCTGCGTGTTGTGGCACTGCTAGGGGCAATCCGATCGAGGAGAGAAAAAGGCCGAGTATATCAAATAGACCCCGGAATGGGATCCCATCATGGATAAACTCTCTCAGCAAGTACTTCGACGACCTCGACGGGTTTGCTGGGTCCCACTCAGGGTTCAGGGTGCGTGCAATCGTCTGATTCGGCTTTAAATCTGGCGACGCAAACATAGTACTTACCGTCCGGCGGGCTCGGTAAGTAAGAAAGGGACGCGTGATGGGTTAGGGGTAGCTGTGGCCTTACCACAACATCTGAATCTCATTCACCATATTAAAAATAATATTGCTCTATGCCTTCTCTACATTAGTAGCTACTGTATAAACAATAACTACTTACTGTATTAAGCCGCATTTGCGGCTAGAGTCATCCCAACAACAAGAACTGCAAAATCCGTCATATGTTTCTTGCTAAAGGTTAAAAATGGCCCATATGTCTGTAGACACAAGTACGTGTCTTTAGTAATATCTGCATTTTCGTCCTTTAGATAGCAAAGGTAATCATCGTGGTATGAGGAAAATGTGATGTAGAGTTTATTGTGATCCTGGGATATAATTACAGGACTAAAAAGTTAGCATCTGTGTATCTTATAAGTTTAAAGGATATCACCATACTGGTTGTTCATGAACTTTTGGTCTATCTCAAATTGCCTCAACCAGCCGACCATTTCGGCCGTCTCTTGCATCTGAATAGATTGCAGGTCTTTCATCCTTGGTGCCTTTTTAACTTCTATTATTGCGAGGACTTTCTAGGAGCTTCGAAAAGCTCCGTCTGTGTAAGCAGTGAACGAGCACTTGCCGAAGATTGGCGTCAAAGACACGCGTTCAAAGAGGAACTCGAACTTTGAGGTCCTCACTAAGCCAGAAAATAGCCTTAGGAATGCTATTATGGCCGCGTTGACAGTTGCCTCATCAGGCGCTTTGAGCTGTTTATTTGAATCCGCTGGTGATGCCTGCTATTCTATGGCTGGTCTCTCTGCCCTGACTTCACTAGTTCTGGTATGCAGAATATCCCGTGTGCTTGCGAGAGCCACATTTCTGGCCTTCTTGAAGGCTCCTGTTCCGGATGATTGGCCTGACTGTGTAGCTGGAGGAGCTCTCTTCACCCGGTTCGACCTGCGGAGCTGATAAGTATCGTATCCGATAATTTCATGGAAGTCTTTGAGCGTAGCAAATATCGACGGGTATCTCTGATCGGTGATGGCAAGGTCTTTCAGATATATCTGATGGTCAAGCATATCAGTAAATCTTTTGAAACTGTCCAGGTTGTTCACAATTGATTTCGCGTGCTCCCAGAACTTGTCGATGCCGTATAGGTAGGTATCATCAACAAACTGGTCAGCGGTCTTTATTATCGGCCAGACTGCTCTAAAAGCAACAAATTGTGTCTCTGAGACCTTGGATCCCGAGCCTATCACTTGGCCGTGAAGATGGTAGAGAGACACGTTCTCCATCTTTCCCTTCTTGAGGATCTCTGCTAGTTCGTTGGGAGAAGATGGTACGAAGAACCCTTCGACTTTCGCGTCATCTGAAGGGCGGGACATTGTGGCAGTTAATATTTAAATTCGATCTCTGAGGTAAGAGTGTAAAATTGAAGAATTCTGGAGAGCACACTAATATGTGCAGACAGCAGCGTAACGTGACTAGTCAAATTTCTGGAGTTGGCTAGAAGTATCCTGCATAATCCTGCATGAAGATATCAGTGTAACACTTTTTCGTGATGCTCAAAGAATCTTACTATCATTTTCTCAAACCCAGAAATTTTCAGCTATATTTGATTTAGACTTTCAAGTGGCTCCTAGATATATAACTACATATCTTTCAATGTGCACTATTAAAGGTCAAACAGCTAGGCTGGTAGATACAGATAGAGGGACCTATAGAAAAGATTAAATAAACGGACAAGATGTGAAAGAAAGGAAATACCAGATAATAGGGAGAATTAGTTGAACTGGGCAAGGTAAAAGCAAGGAATAGAGGTAATGAAATAATAATATAACTTGTAGGATTATCAAATTGTATACTATTACTGAGAATGCAGACTTAAGTATTTAGCTAATTGGAAAATAGGCCAAGGTTAGCATATCGAAGATATTTCTGTAAGACTCTAAGAGATAAAGGCTAAAATGTACTGTATTTATAATAGTCATATATCGGACCTAATTAGAAGCTCTTACCCCCTAATACGCGAAAACAGTCAGCTCTAGATAACTAGTACCAGAGCTCTCTGTAGCTAGTATCAACCTGCAATATGAGCCACACATGTGAGGCATTTGGACATCCAGTATTCTTATATGCGTAAACTAGGGAAGTGATAAGCTAAGACGTTACACACGTGGGGTTCATTTAAACCCAGAAAGTTGAGTACTTGTCTAACTTGTGCCATTGGAGTTATTTACCCTAAGCCTCAATCGAGTGAGTTGTATTGTCTTTGTCAGTCTGATTCTCTCCGATCTTCGTTAATACATTTTCTAGTTCTTTATCCATAGGTAGTGCGTCGGAGGACTTTTCTATACCCTTGTGGTCTTGCTTAACATCTAGAGCTTTTTCCCCTGGGCCTCAACTGACTGAACAGTATTACCTTTACCAATCTGACCCTCTTCAATATTCGTTGACACGTTTTCTGGTTCCTTATCCGTGGGCGGTGGGTCGAACATATTTTCTAAGGCCTTGAGAGCAGGCTTTACATCTGCCGGTTTTTCCTGGGGACGATCAAGTCGTACTTGCTGGTGCGTATTACCGACCCTGTCACTTGCAATCCATCGTAGAAATAGGGACATTGACTTGTGAAATTCCGCTTTTGTCCTGAAAGTAAACAGTTTGGATTTCTGGAGAAGAAGTGCATTGTTCGTGACATGAGCCTGCAGGATTCTTCCCTGAAAAGAATTCATAAACGAGATTACTAGGACCTGTACAATCCCATAACATATCCCATTACCAATTAGTACAAAGCCAATATAGCATATTAATAATGCAGCTGGAATGGAAAATGTTCAGTTCAACTTACAGGAGTAATATAGTGGCTTTCCAGGTAATCATGCTCCATCTGTGTTACCATTGTTGCAAGGATTGTCAATAATTCTCCACGAGAAATATCATCATTGCCTTCATAGAAATGGTGGAGGACATGCAGAACATGCGGTTCATTTTCACGTCTGTATGCAGAAGCATAACTGTTGTTTATGAAGTAGATTTTGGTAATGGCATTGCCTAAGGGGAGCATTCCCATATAATATTCATTTATTATATCAGGACACAGCCCCCTGTTAACAACAAAGGTTAGAATTGCGAAAATAGCAAGAGAAGTAGATTCTAAGTACTAACCTTAACCTCCATGTTTTCAAGTTGTAGAGTGTTGTTGTCGCATTTTCTCCGGTGCCAACTCGACGACGGGCATGAGCTAGTTGGACGAGCCAGCCCCCTAATGACTGGCCAGCTATATCGCTATTCTCTTCCAAGTGCTTCGCTATCTTTGACCAACAACGGACAGATTCAGAGAGCCGTTTTGCTCCTTCGTCGTTCTCATCGAGTGGATATGCGTTCAAGGCCTCGACTGAAAGAGGTCTAAAAAACTCATCGCTAGGATGTAGAGTATATTCACCATTATCATCAACTAGCGTCATATCCTCGATTCTAATCCCAAGGGATTCGGCTTGTTTGTTGGTGATATATATGGGGTGTTCCTCAAGATCGTAGACGGATTGGAGCATTTGAAACAGAGTATCGCAGGTCTTTTCGCGATCATCTTGATGGGTTTTGATTTTATTCTTGCGCAGATTGGTAAAAAACCTCTTAAAGCGGACAGACATAGTGAATTCAACAGTTTTAGTTTCTGGCAGTACTGGAACGAAGGTGTCGGAGCAATATCACGGACTGAGAAGATTTTGCTGACTTGCTAAGCAACCAATATTCAAGAGGCTTAGTCGGCAGCGACAGAGCCGCACTGTAAACAGCCACCTCCCGAGTAGAGTTGAGTTGTTGCCATCAATCCAGACGGTTGGTATTCCATTTATTGTATAAAGGAAAATAAAATGTAGGAGTTACCCGGCGGCTGATAGTCATGTTAGCGCCTTAAGAGTCTTGCCGTGTTACAGTGCACTGACGTAAGTACTCCAGGTGTCGGCACCACAGAAACAGGACTAAGAGAAATAAGCTGTTTTTAAATGGACCTGTGGCTGCTTTCTGTGGCATCGAGTTAATGTTTTACTAGGCAATAGTCGCCTCTTTTATTTTCTTTGTTCCACGGGTGCATCTATAACAGAAAATCTACCTAGCTTCAGCATAGAACATAACAATGAATAATGTGAGCAAATTAGACATTTCCCTACCTATGGCAACCTTAAAGTCTAGGCAATAATACTTCCTCTTTATTCACTCGCCATCTCTAACTCTCCTACTGCAATATTTTCTTTCTTCATCTTCCTGATTTGTCAACCTCCTTACAGCAATGTCGTCCCCATCCTCGCGCTGGTTCCATCAAGGAACAGAGCCTGGCACAATCATCTCTCTCGATCAACCTGTCCCTTCGCGGTGGAAAATCCTCGAGAAGCTCAGTGAGCGTAGCTTCCAGGCGAGTGAAGAAATGCGTCGTCGCCATGGCCACCACTCTTTAGCTACGGCTAAATTCCTCTGTTGCGATCCCAAGAAACCCTCCAGAAAAGCCTTCATGCGAGTTTATCTTCAGATTCCTTCGGAAAACACTGAGATGCAAGATCCGAAGACGAGATCCCGCCAGGCCACAACATACACGCCTCGAGAGTTAATTGCCTACAAGACTTTTACTGAGAATGATTTCAGCAATGTACCAAAGCTTCTAGGATATAAGATTAGCACTCAGGATAAGTCAGGGTTGGTCCCAAATGGGTTTGTGATTTTGCTGGCGTGGGAAATAGTCCCAGGTCTACGCCTCGGTGACAACCTTGGGAATGATCTATACTGGACTCTACCCGCTGCTGAGAGGGAACATGTCCGTATAGCCTTTATGAAAGCTCTTCCGTATGTCGATCCTCCCGTTTCCGGATCATGCTAACGATAAACTGTAGTCAGGCGATCGAGAAAGGGTATGATCCTTATGCGCCGGGTCTCTCTAGCCTAGTCTGGGACAGTAAAACAGGCACCCTGTACGTTATTACATGTTGGATTTTATGTCAGATAAGTGGACTAACGTTTTCCGTTCTCTTCAGTTACTTTATCGGTTACTATTACGGCATTAGCGACGAACCTAAAGATCGGAGCAACATCAAGATCGGTCCTGAGGTCTTACCGCGCTATGGCCTCGCGAAACCCTCTTCGGATGAATGGCGTAATGAGAATTGGAACGGGGATACCACAGGATGGGAAATGTAGCTCAATATAAAGAGGGCTTCCATCTAGCACATCCCTTTCTAGCGTCATCATTGCTCTTAATAAAGGCACTTCTTGAATCTCATGTGAATATGGTTGGCCAGTACCGGTAGCGACTATTGCATAGAGCACAATACCTTTCTCCAACTGCTGGCAACGCTATCGATAATACTTAGGGCTGCGGATTTGCTTCTTCTTTGAAGCAGGATAGTTCAACATAGACATGCCTCAGGAAATAACAGATTCGGATGAAGAACGTGGGAAAGTACTGACGCCGCAGAAGAACAACTGAATGACGAAAAGAAACTGTAAAGACTAGAGTTCAGAGAAACTCAGTAGTACAAAACTTCTCTCTGTTTTGATGCAGGTCATCGAGCAGTTTATATAAGCTAATAGCGGGGATAGACTTATTAAATATTAGAGGAAAAGAAGGGGAAGTATAGAAGTGTATCTTTTAACTTTCTCTCATATACTCTTTTTAACCTTTTTATGTAGTACTTATTAACAAGGGTATCTTACAAGAGGTAAATGTAAAAGGACATTAGCAGTTGAAACAGTGGACGCGCTTAAAAACATAGTCCACAATTGTAATTCCCCTATAACGCATCGCTACTCCCATAATATGCTCACTGATATTATGCGCTGATCTTCTGTTGAGGAGTTAGTACTTTACCACTGGAGCTCATGTTTGGAAGAGGGCTTACACTGAAGATAGAAAACAAAAGCAACGCCGCATATCCTCCCCAGGTATATAACGTTCCACATGCATGCGGTAATCTTCATATATAGTCATGCCATCTGGCTAATGCACCGTTTGAAACTCGGTGACAAGCCTAAGACAACACGCTCCAGCCGTCCACTCGCAGTTTCGTGGACTGCAGGAAGGTGTACAGTCCGGTAATGCGAGCAGAGAACATCCCATGTTCATTGACTCGACGTATCGCTCTGGCCATCACCGGCCTTCTCAACTTGCTTTCCCAATGCGCATATTCGGCACCCATCTTTGACCTTGTCTCTGAGTAACCGGGCGGTGATAACCTTGGGACCGACTGTGCGAGACGTCGTAAAAGATGACAGCTCATCTGCTGTTGGGGGCCGTGAAGGCGATAGAGGACGACTCGTTGCATCTGGGGTTTGAGCTTCTGGGTTCCCGGTGGGCGTCTCCGGGTGGAGATGCGAAACATGGAAGACATGGCCACATGCAAAGCCAACAAGTATTTCCCTCTCTGCGAGTGTGTCAGCTTAGAATCGCGAAGCGCTTCCATGTTGAAAGGTGAACGGAAGACCTAATGCAGCACAAGCGAAATTGGAAAGAGAAATTCCATACCGTTCACACTGAAGGCTTCATGACAGCCGGCGCATCTTCCTGGCTTCGGCTTGGGCTTCTTCGCCTGCTTCTCCCCATCGACACCTGCTTCGAATTGCGATTCCTCTCCATTCGGGGTGGATTTCTCATCGATAACGTCGAACTTAATTCCTCGCCTCTGTCCTTGTCGTAAGGTATCCATTGCTATGGCTACCTCGCCCTGTAAGACCTTTGCTGCGCCTTGGCTGATGCTAGCTTGAATGTCGTGCTCGCGGATCATCCGGATAAGACCTTCCCTCAAACCCTCGATCTCTAAGCCGCTGGGTATGCGCCGTACCAACTTTATGGGATCAATAGACGTTCCCGCTTCTGTAAGAAGACCATGAATGAAGCGGGGTTTGTCCATCGAGTAGTTAAGAAGGTCTTCCCACAGGTCAGGATCATCCTGAGACTTAGCAAAAGCTATTGCCTTAGAAACGTCTTTCAGATCTGAGAGAATAAGGTTTAATGCCTTCTTTGTTTGTCCCATCTTGGACAGAAGATAGATAAGCTCTGGCGTGAAAGATCTGGCCTCGCATATTTCACAAGCCGCGTCGTAGGAATAAGCGGTGCTAGATTGCAAAAATTCCATGAGCAAAGGCCGGTCGTAGTCTGCAAACAGCTCCACAGCGGTGTCCGCAAAAGGATCAATCAGGGCCTTTCCTTCGTCAGCGGCGAGCTTGTCAGCAGCATCTCTGGCGTGGCGGCCGCGTCGGGGCTTTTCGTTTTCCGAGTGGAGAGATTCTCCTCTCCAAAGAGCTCGCAGGTAAAAGTACAGATAGAGATACTGCCTAGCAGCCTTTAACTGTGTGAAGACAGTCTCTGGAGGAACTATGCCGGTGTAAGCCTCGCTCACGAGGAGTTTTATCGGTTCAGAAGTTGCTTCCTCGAGCTCCGCTATTGAAGCGGATCTCATCTGCTCCTTTGAAACGCGGATTAAAATGAGTCCTGAAATGTCGTCCGAAATAGCATCAACTAGACGATAATCCCTTATTAGCCCCATCGCGGCATCTGCATCTTGCAGACGGACATAACAACGCAAGGCCTCGCGGTAGTGGCCACCTGCTAGGGAAATCTTGGCGAGGCACTCCATGAGAATCTGCCAATCTTCCGTGTCAGACGTCACATCTTCAGATTTCAACTGCTCTTCGATGGCTACAGCAACGCTGCTGGTGTCGAATATCTCAGTGGGCCACTGGTCTATCAACTCCTTGAATCGTTGTCGATCTCGTGCCACATAATGCCCAAGTATCACTTCATACACAAGTGATGGAAGCGGAGGACGAATATTGACAGGAATATGAGGAGTAATCTCATCAAATTTCTGTTCCTTGGCGAATGTCCATATCCAAGTTTCCCACCTCGAGGTAGTGTCGAGGACTTTCCCACACACTTCACCGGCCTTCTTCCAGTCATTTGCAGCAATACGTTGCTCCACCCAAAGCTCCCCTATTCTGCGCTTCTCCTTCGCTGCGACAGAATAAGTTGCCTGACCAACAGTTGTTGCTGACGCGTTTTCATCAGCAAAAAACTTCACGAGACTTGTCTGAGATCCTGCAGGTGTGCCGGGGGGGCTATCTTCATGGTCGCCGGTCGAGATCGCGACCTCTGGGTGTTCGTCTATCAAGTCCCAGGCTTGTTCGTATTGAGAACGTTCTTCAAGCCACGCCAAATGATCAGCGAGTCCTCGCTTCACGGCAGCTACACAGTCATACGGACTGTGGATGAAAACCTTCACGCCAGTAGCTGCAGCAACCGCTTGCACCTCCTTAGATTGTATTTCACCGCCCCCTATTCTCCTCGAAGCAAAAGAGCTTGGAGCCTTGATGGAACCTCTGTCGCCAGCGCTAGTGCTGCTCCTAATGCTTGCACCAGAACTAAACAGCCGAGCAGGATATAGAGTTGCATCCCACAGACCATTACCCAACGCCCCTAAGGCCCCTTTCTGACTAGTAGGTATCGGAACCCTTGAAGGTGAAAGAACGCTCATGTGATAGTCTGACGAGGAAAGATTCTGGTAGTTGCTAATCGAAAGAGTGTCCGCACTGATTTCTTCCTTGCTTTCGATGTCGATAAGCCGCAACTCGGGCTTTAATCCCTTAGGCCTGCGACGGCCCGAGCCATTGTCCTCAGCTTGGATGTAAGCCAACACAAGGAGTAATCGAGGGCTATAGAGCGAGATTCCGGATATAATGCAATCGGTTCGTAGACTTTCTCAGTTAGCATCGGTCGGGTATGCAACAAGCAAGACGTACATGGTAGCAACTTCTGCAGAGCCTATCAGCTTGCCGGCGCTCACGCCATCTGGATTGACGTTGATCACCCAGATAGTACCACCCCAACCAACTACAAGCTTCTCAATCTTGCTATCGGCGACCGATGGTTCAGAAGCGGTTACATCTCCTGAATTACGTCCAGATCGCATAAATTCGTCGTCACTCTCCAGCGCTCCTTCATCGACCCACTCAGCGCGGGCCTTCCATACTTCTGCCATCTCTTCCCAACCCGGAAGATTTGGGCGATCAACATGACTGATTCGCTTCCAAGCAAACTCAGAATCCGATGACTCAAGATGCAGATTGGATCTCATTATCTTGATTCCTTCTTCATTGACCCAGGCAACATATTTCCCCGAGGTGGACCACTTGATTATACTTATCGCTCCTTCTCCACTGTGCAAAACCGTATCCTTGCCCGTGTTCGACCCTAAGCCCAGAGACCCAAGCCAACCAGAAGCTGCCGCGGCAGTACCTCCCATCGCCGTCGAATTCTCACGCGCACCAACACGACCGCCAACAGTGAGAACTAATTGGCCTGCCCTCCCTCCGGAGAGATAAGTCTTGTCATGTTTGTAATCTGGAGATAGCGCGACTGCTTGAACTGGTCTGCCAAAGTTCCGGAGAAGGATATCTTTAGGATCAGTCAAAGAGGCAACACAGACATTGCCATCTATGGAGGCGGATGCGATGTAAATTGAATTAGAAGGTGTCGCTGGAAGAGCAGGTTGTCGGGAACTTTTCGGTAGCGAAAGTGAAGTAACAGAGGGTGACCTTAAGGATCCCTGCTCCTCGGACTGCCTATTTAGGTAGTCTGGCTTGAATGCAGATGAAGCATGAGACAATGGCGACACGGAGATAGACGTTACGCTCGCTGAATGCGCTGGTATTACGCGGAGGGACTGGAATGAAGGCAGCGCTAAGACATGCTGCACGGGTCAACATCAAGTCATGCTCTTCAGACGGGATTACCACTTACAAGTCTTCCATTGTGTGTGCCAATTATCTGTGAATACCTGATTTAGCAGATGATACACAGGTCGAAGCCCGACAATAGCATACCATCTTATCTCCCGCCGTGACGAACGAGCTTGTCGCATCTCTGTTACGATACACAGGGTTTAGGTGCTTCGTCAGGTATGCATATTTCAGGCGGGGTTCTTCGTCGTCTTCCTCCTCGTCGTCTTCCTCTTCATCATCTTGGCTGTTATCGTCGCCTTCGTCATGTGAACCTCCATCGTCCTCATCTGCGGCGCGCTGCGCTGCGACATTGGCGTCATCGTCACTGTTGTCTCCTGGTTGGATGTTGGCTCTCAAGTCCTCTTCTGCAGTCGGCTCTTTCTGTGCTAAGTGCATGTCAGAAGGGTTTTCCGGTGCTTCTGTGGTACTAGGCGTACCCATGGCGAGAGCGTTCGTCCGTAACTCCCACCAGTACTCCGAAATCGACTCGACGAGCTTGATAGCTATGCTTGTTATGCTATGCCAGCTGGGGCAGCCCGACATTGATGACTAAGCACCTCGTGATTGGGTCGGAAATCCGCGTTTCTCGGGCGTGCCGGACTTTATCTTTGCTTATCCTGTTAACTCGCTCACTCCGTACCCTATATACCAGGCAGAGAGTCACTTATGTATCGCATCGTCCCATTATTCGAGACACTCTTGTCGTGATGTTTGCCAGGCCGTATGTGTGCTCGGCTTGCAGGAAGTCAACAGTATTTGGCGTCCTCCGGCAGCCCCGAAATCAGCACCTACACGCATCGCCGCCGCTTGGTCTCCCTCGTCGGAAGGACTTCTTCAGCTCGAATGCTTACTTGAAGCAAGAACGATCGCAAGGAGACAGTGAAGCTGCCCAATCGGAGCTCGAAACGCAGAAGCAGAGACGCAAAGCTTCCCGGACGCCCGCAACGAAGACTTCTTTGCGCCGGGTTGCGGTAGAGGCACAACGATCGAGAGATGGGATACTATCGAAAGCTCAGCTCTCTGAAAAGGGCCTGTATAAGACCAAGGTTGCTAAATTGATTTCCTGTGAGGTTTTGGTATACGGTGCTGATTCCCTGAAAAGATCGTAACTGCGTATGCGGTAGCAGAACAGTTTAATATCTCCAAGGTCGTTGATATTCTACAAGAAAAGGGATATGAACCGGACCCCTTTGACACTGGCTTGTATCCTCAAGTTGTCCATATCCAGGTGCCTCTAGATTCTCTCCGTCGCATCAGCAATCCCTCGGGTACAGATCTCTCCCCTGACGAAGCCGGCGATGTGTTCATATTTCCCTCTGGAACTGTCGTTTCGTGGTCACTACCAGAAGGGTTCACTTCATATTTTGCAACGCGAACGTTGCTTCCTGCAGCGGAAGGGCCGCATATCGATGATCTCGAAACCGAGGATCTTGAATACGTGGAGGATCCGCAACGAGAGAACAGCACGATCAAGGGTGACACCATCATTCTCGGGACAAAGTCTGTGGCGCAAGATCGAAATTCGGATGCTCCGGTACGCCAGTCGGTGGATACGGTATTGACAAAGATTGCATTCTCATCGGGCCTTGCTCGGAGTACGAAGCTTGCCGTTCTGGAAAGCCTGCTTTCTAATTACTTCGAATCAACACGGACTATCCCAACACTTCTATCCAATGGATCGCGACTACCATTCACTCGCGATTTCATCCTGCGCAAGACGGGCCAGCTTCTCAGTGTGCGAGCGCAGCTCAATCTTTACTCAGAACTCACGGACTCTCTCCCTGACATATTCTGGGATAGTCGCCATGAGCTCGGTCTTGAGGGATATTACGAGCAAGTGGGACGTGCTCTGGACGTGGGTATCCGGATTAAGGTCTTGAACGAAAAGATGGACTACGCGCAGGAGATCGCAAGTGTGCTCCGAGAGAGACTCAGCGAAAAGCACGGTCTCAGACTGGAATGGATTATTATCCTTCTCATTGCAGTAGAGGTAGGGTTCGAGGTATTGAGGCTATGGAAAGAGAGAAAACATGAGATAGAAGCACGGGCGCAAAAGGAGCGAGAACAGTCGGAGTCCGAGTCCGCTATTACTAGACTATAGACGGGCACCGCTTTGCTCCCATTCCAAGGATGAAGAGGATGCCTATATCACTATTTACGATACCCTGAGGCCCAGGCTTTTTATTTGCCTGGGAACTCGAAACTGTTTATTGAAACATCTTCATGCTTTGTTGCGGACAAGAGCATGCCGCAGCTGTGGAAATCTCAAGGCTGTATCAATAGCCTCTCCGCTAGTTTAACAAATAAGCCTATCAAGCGCAACATCTCCGCTTCAACGAGTTTTGCGATGTGCAAGCTGGAGGGTTCTATATTGGATGTCCTTTTGAACCCGACTGCATTGCTGTAAGGTGTAAGCAAAGTTAAATACCTACCTAAGTACCTAGGTCGTTATCGTAACCAGATACCTACGCAGAGCATTTCCGCCCAAGGCTCCAGCATACGATCTACCACACCACGAGCTAACTTAGTTACGGTTAAGGTTATTAGTCATCTAGGTAGTCACGTTCCCCAGTCCCGGGGGAACCTTGGATGTCCCATGGCCACAACCTGAACTCTCATCTTTTCGCGTATGAATAGTCTATTTTGGGATATAGTACGCGAGTATATATTCCATTATAGATCCAAATTCCATTATCCATCCTTATCTCTATCGCAGGGTAGGTCTGTTTCGAAGTCAACAACATCTATGGTTACCGCCGGCCCAATGAACGACCTTCCCGCCGTTATGTCCGGGATGTCACAACGTATCCCAGGACCTCAGCAGATTCTGAAGGTCCTTACTGGATCTCTGGGTCTATCTGGCCTGCGTGGCTCAGAAGTTCTACCTCTGGAAGATGGCTACTCCTCTTGTCCAAAGCCGCAGCTAAGCTGCCAGACAAGTTATCAGGGCCAGGATACCTGTTGCTTCAACTATCCTGGCGGACAGATGCTCCAGACACAGTTCTGGGATGCTGATCCGGCTATTGGTCCTGATGATTCATGGACCATTCATGGACTATGGTAAGTTGATAAGATAATGGGCATGGCGCTTCACCGCCATGTGAAGCATCATGACGAAAACTCCACCTTTGAATGATAGAACTGATCTGCTTTTTAGGCCTGATCACTGCGACGGTGGCTTCGATCAGTTCTGCGATCACAAAAGAAATTATAATAACATCTCGTTGATTCTTGTCGATGCCGGCCGGGGCGATCTGCTGGATTACATGAAAGAATACTTCAAGGACTACAAAGGAGACGATGATTCGCTGTATTCGCATGAGTTCTCGAAACATGGAACCTGTATCAGTACCCTTAACCCGAACTGTTATACCGACTACTACCCTCAGGAAGAGGTGGTAGACTACTTCAACAAGACCGTCGAGATTTTCCAGAGGCTTCCCTCGTACGAGGTATCTGAGCTACATCCTAATCAAATACATCGAATATCGATAAGGGATCAAACTAATAATGAACAGTTCCTTGAAAAGGCCAATATTGTCCCGTCTTATGACCGCACCTATTCGCTGGCCGACATAGAAGATGCGCTCAAAGAAGGCCACGGAGCCGACGTCACGGTCCGATGCCACTATCAGTCTCTGAACGAGATCTGGTATCATTTCAACGTCGCTGGTCGATTGCAAACTGGAGAATTCGTCCCTACGAGCCCAGGTATGTCTAATCTACGCTCACAAACATTGTTGCCTAAATCTGACGAAAACTTCCGTAAACAAGATGGGCCGAAGTCAAACTGTCCCAAGACGGGAATTCACTATAAGCCCAAGAGATCCAAGCCGCCTTCTACCACAACATCGGCTCCGTCCGATCCAACCAGGTCCCCGTCCAACGGTAGAGGGCATCTGCAAGTGTACACACTGAACCAAAAGCGAGGATGCATCATTAGCAAAGGCACCTGGTTCTCATCAGGAACATGCGCCACTTTCAGAATCAACAGAGCTTCTGGTAAGGGATCTCTAAAAGCCAACTTGCGAGAGAAAACTATACTGACCCGAAGCCTGAAACCCAGACGGTTTCACCCTCCAATCAAGAAAGGGACACTGTGCTTTTTACAGAGACATCTTCAGCTGCAACAATCGCGTCCGAAACCCCACTGTGTTCACGGTAAGCAAATCCCCTCGGTCCACCCACCTATCTCAGACCCACTAACAAAAAGCCCTTAATTCTCTACAGACCATAGACGGAAAAATCGCCTATAACGGAAACACCACCTTCTTCGCAGATAAAGCCCCCAAGGGCCCCACCCAAAGTAAAATATTTGCCTCGAATGATGAGCACCCTATCGAGCTCTCGATCAAGTGGCAGGAGGTCTGACAACCGCTTAGTAGCGGAGCGATCTGGTTTCAACCTAGAACATAATAATCGGAGTTAGGGTCGTGGTTCAACATAGTCCATCTTTATCATTACTAGCAGTAGTTACTTGTATACGAATAGCCTGCTTTAGACTGCTCCAGGAATATAATATGATCTGCTTGCTCAGAGGATGCATCTTGATTTTGCGTTTCTACTGCTAGTTAGCATAAATCTTGTTTGGCGTACCGACGAAGTTAAGATAGATACTGGGACTCTAAACAGTATAGATAGATAATGCGTTGCAAGCCAGACTGGAACATTACAAAATAAACAATCAAGTTTCCAAAAAATGGGCAGAACTACAGAATTGGTCAGAACTCAGAATTTGCAGGAATCAGTTTTATTTGATTGTCTAGCTAGAATACAAGTCACCAGGGACTGCAGAGAGAAAAAGAAGTATCTGCACCAGAATCATTTTCACAAAACAAAGGGCCATTTTTTTCATTAGAGCGTGACAAAGGGAAAACATGAAGTAATGTGGGAGTTGACAAAAAAAGGAAAGACCAAAGAGAAACTCCATTCACTGTGGAACCATGAAACCTTGAGCCCTCATATCGCCGTCGTATCAATTTCATACAAGTGTTGTACATTAGGTGTTCGGCGTCATGAGAGTAAAGTTCCAGAACATACCACATTAGGGGTGAGCCAAATCAAAAGAATGAAAAAAAAAATTTTTGCAACAAAGAAAGAGTCATCATCTCGTCTTGTGTTCATGTCGTTTGATGTCATTGGGCCTTAAAGCCGCCACGTCGTTGGGTCATTGAGAAATTTCACAGAGAAGCATAAAAGGTGTTGCTGAGTTCAAGTCGTGTTTCCATCATCCGTCTTCCCCGTCTAGTCCACGAAGAACTCCTTGGAGAATACATCTGATGGCTGGTCTTCCGGAAACTGGGCAAAGAAAAAGTCGTCTGCCAGATTGGGGCCATTCGGCATACCTTTCACGTGGTACAGGCCGTCGAATTCAGGAAAGTCGGCCATATCAGGACCATTCATACTCGAGATTTGAGTCTTACCAAAGGTGGAGACTGCATCCTGGTTGATAAAGATGTCAAGGTCGGATCCAGTGGTTGAACCACCGAGGGTGGGAATGGTGTGAGGGGATGACATGGTGTTGGCACCCATCTCGGAGAGCAGAGGGAGGTCCGCAATTTCTTCGGGGATGTTCTCAAGAGGACGCTTGGAGGGAGAATGAGGCAACATGTCATCTTCCATTCCCGGAGTGATAGAGCGGTGACTGCGGGCCGGAGATGGCTTATTGCCTGTGCTGCATCCAGGAGACGCCGGAGGAGTGAAGGTAAAGACATCCGACGATAGACCCTGGCTGGACATCTCAGAGTGGAACATTGGGTCGCTGTCCAAGGGGCTGGAGCCGCGGATACTCATGTTCTCAAAGACATCAGTTGGAGGTGAGTTCATGGAGCCATCTGAGCCAGAGACAGACACTGACGATGACTTCTCGGCTGCTCTTTGACGGGTACGAACTGCCTTATCGTGTCTCTCCCCTATGTCGGGTCTATTCTTCTTGGGGCGGCCACGCTTGGTCGTCTTTCGCACAACGCCCTGATAGCCGCCAATACACATGCCCCTTTGGCGGTGACGAGTCAATGCATCGTGGCGTGCAAAGACATTTCCGCAGAGGCATTCGTACGGCTTGTCTCCGGTGTGGATCTTCGCATGTCTCTTCAAATCGTGTCCGCGAACGAAGCACTTGTCGCAGTGGTCACACTTGTATTGACGATCTCCAAGGTGGGTCTGAATATGGGACTTGATATTTTCCTTTCGGCCAAATCGTCTGTCACAGCCGGGATGCAAGCAAACCCACTTGCCATCCTCGGGATCAGGACCAGATATGTAGGAGGCGATTTCATCAATGCTAATACCTGTTTCGGTGATTGATGCATGGACCCGGGCGTCGAGGTTGAGGTTGTCAATCGAGGCAGGCCGAGGAGAAAGTTTGGCCTTCACTGGCGATGCGATTGGCGCCGGGCTCGACATTCTCTTGGGGCTTGGGCGTAATGGCGTGGCTGAAATTGGGACCTTTGGTGCCTTTCCAATGTGCTCTTCGGGACCGGGCATATCGGCAACTTCAGGCAACGAGTGGAACGAGGACTGGGAGGAACTGGGCGAGTGATACTTGCTCTGTAGTGTTTCTCGGGACGTTGAGCTGGTGAAGCTCGAGGGCTGGCTACCGAAGACATCAAACGTGTTGATATCAAACGAAGCGGTATTTGGGGGAGATGGGACATTAATTCTGGGTTGCGTGAGAGAGGTCGACGGAACTCCCTGGAGCGATTTTGCACGCTGCATGAAATACGACTCTGGTGTGTTGACAGCGCTAATGCTGTTTCTCTTTGCAGGTGATGACTGCATATTCTGGCCATATCTGCCAAGGTCCACGGACTTCCTAAATGGGGTCGTGGCTGGTGTGATCGGCAGGTAATCTATTTGATGTCAGAAAGGCTTTTCCAGCCATGCAACGGACACTTGACTCACTGGAACTGATCTGCTTTTTAGGGGTACTCGGTCTGTGAGCATGGGGACCAATGTCTGACTGCACAGACATGCGCCTCTCATGGTCAGAGATCCCACTGCGTTCGGGCATGGCTGCCATGTTTTCGTTCGAGAAGTAGCGCCAGCTGGAATTGTCGAGGAACTGGCCATATGGCATGCCCGATTTCGCGAATGATTGCTGCTGCTGGATGTGTCCGAAGTCTCCCTTGAGGGGCATAGTTCCCATCTTCTGGAAATCGAGAGTGAAGACATCCGGGCTCATGCAAGCGTTCTCTGAGAACTGGTTTTCGTTGCTGCGATGGTTAGTAAGAGCCTGAAGATCCTCCTGGCTGAAAGACTGGTATTCGCCAGAAGAGGACATCGGCATGGCTTGGTAAGACGGGCTCGGTCGAGTGAGTCGCTGCTGCTGCGCTTCTCGAAGCACATGTTGTGGATGCTGGTACATGTTGGGGTTCGACAGCGCATCTTCTGGACACTGGTATCTCTGATGCTCCTGGCTCCGCTGATCGAGGCTAAGACCTCGTCGATGCGAAGCGTATTGGTGCATAGCGGTAGCAGAGAGGCTGGAGGTCTTCATGGCTTCCATCGCCGTGGGGGTCGAGTTCTGCCGCCGATGTTGCCGATACCGTGTGTGAAGGTTGCCGCTGGGATCAGACAGCATGTTGAAGGATACGGTTCGGAAGCGCGATTAAACACGGTCGATCGACAGGTACGCAGACCTTTCCGGTCCGAAACTGGTGTTTGAATGGACAGTTAGACGGGCTATCGAAGCTATTTGACAGGTTGGGAAGCTCACCTCACGCAGCACTAGCCGTTCGGCCGGGCTCGAATTGTAAATGCCTTTACGACAGGTCAGTCGTGGGTTCTTTGTCAAAAATCTTCAGGAAACGGGGGTGGTTGGGGAGGGTGGTAGTTTGTTAAAGTCTCAGGGAGTCCTCCGCAGTCTCAGATGGTCAGATCTCAATCTCTCTCCTCTTGGAATCTTCACACGAGCTCGCTTGGGGGTGTGTCTCGAGACTTCTAACAGAAATCGCCTTCAGACACAGGATAATCCTTGATCTGGAGTCTTCAGAGAAGATGAAGAAAGGCCAGAGTGCCGATAGAGGTGGAGAGAAGTTGAAGATGTAGAAACATGCAATACTCTAATGAGATCTACTTCCATGGTTCCGTCAACAATGATATCCGTTGGCCCAGCAACGCAACTGGGCTGAAGCGTCCGGGAAACAAGCCGCACAGGCATGGCCCCAGTTGGTGGAGCGATGTCGCCTGATAGATACTAAATCAGCTAGTAGTAATACTCCGTAGTCTGTTGCACGGGGCATTTTCCAGGAAACCGATGGTCTGTTCCTCCTAGTCCCCGATCTGATGCCTGGATCAGCCAGACTGGGCTGTAAGGAGATCATCTTAGTTCGCTACTTAGTGACCTCTGACGCAAGCCCACGTCAAGATGTCTGGCCCGTTACCTATGTTACTAGTGATTTTTGCCTGGTGTTCCCGCTATTTTTGAAATCAAGGAGTCTTCTATTGAATTGGAGTTGAGACGTGTGTCGATAGATCTCGTCTAGTCTACAGTCTATATCTACAAATTATTGGAGAGTAAACAAACTCCCCGATCGGTGTTTCATCACGTGACACGACCGGAATATCTCACACTCCGTGTCCCGGCGGGACTCGCGAAGTTATCTCACGTGATCACACAATGGTTTTAACCCGTCGGGCTCGGCACATTTTAAAGATGTTTTACCACGATCTCGAAGAAGGTTGAGGAAGACAACTTGTCGAGGTGAGTACTGATGAACGATTCCTGGCTGTTTATGTCGCATTTCTCTGCAGCTGTCTATTCTATATTGTCCGGTTCTTTCTCTACAATATGGACGCTGCTGTGAAATCTGACTTTCTGACTATGCCGCAAAATGAAACGTCAAGTGTGAACAGAGATACTAACTGTCGCTTTACAGGCCTTCGTCAAGATGCAGATCTTCGTCAAGACCCTCACGGGTAAGACTATCACCCTTGAGGTGGAGTCTTCGGACACCATTGACAATGTCAAGTCCAAGATTCAGGGTTCGTAGTCCCCCCTTGCCTTTCAACAATAATCATTATCGCGGAGCGAAAATACTGACTCTTGTGTGTTCTTCCAGACAAGGAGGGTATCCCCCCTGACCAGCAGCGTCTGATCTTCGCTGGTAAGCAGCTCGAGGACGGTCGCACTCTCTCGGACTACAACATCCAGAAGGAGTCGACCCTTCACCTCGTGCTCCGCCTGCGTGGTGGTGGTAAGAAGCGCAAGAAGAAGGTCTACACCACCCCCAAGAAGATCAAGCACAAGCGCAAGAAGACCAAGCTCGCCGTCCTCAAGTACTACAAGGTTGACGGTGACGGCAAGATCGAGCGTCTCCGCAGAGAGTGCCCCTCTGCTGAGGTGAGTCTTACCCTTTCAATCATAACTCTTCTGGCTTTCAGATTGACTGACATCTACTTCCAGTGCGGTGCCGGTATCTTCATGGCTGCTATGCACAACCGCCAGTACTGTGGCAAGTGCCATCTGACCTACGTCTTCGACGAGTCCAAATAAATGGAATAATCGATGGATCGTTTCGCCCGGTGACGGATCTTGATAGTCTTGTCAGGAGTGGCTCTTACAGGGAGCATACTTTGGGCGGAATCGTGGTACAGAGGTGCTTTGGCAGAAACTAGTTCTTGAATAAAACAGACTAGAATTCGCCACGGTAGTAGCTGCTTCGTCAATAAAATTACAGACACTTCCGAGCCTTCCTTAAAATTCTGTTCCTGTTCACTGTAATGGCTTCCTAGATGCATCGCGCTGTATACTTTTGCTCCCTTAACCTAGATAACCCTTATTCGTTGGGAAAACCAGCCCTCAAGTTATCGAACTTGCTCTCGGGGAACTCCAGCGCATTAGGCGATTGATCCAGCGCCGCCGGTCCTCCAACCCCTTCCACGAAGGTCCCTATCAGACTTCCCTCATGTTTGTTGGCATCTTTTCCGCCCCGGTCACCACTGCTTTCCCACCACATGCCTCCGCCCAGACCCCACTGTTTGATGAAGTCAATCTTCTTCTCTGCCATCGGCACTGTATCATACGTGACCATGGTCCGACTGGCTGGATCATAGCACCAAGAGCAGCCAGCCTTTGGATCCAGATACTCTTTTGCCCCAGGCCTAGGAAGCGCCTTATAGTCCCAGACGCCCTGCTCCCAGCTCCCCTCTCCGGTACCAGAGAATGGTGTACCGGGGCCGTCTGTGTTTGCGAAAGCTCGACCGTACAGCGGCATACCCAGAATCATCTTAGAGGGTGGGACGCCGCCTACTTGGATGTAGTGGCTTAGCGCGCCGGCAGTCGAGAAAGGCGTTGTGGTAGGATTGTCAGGGGATGGGAAAAGGTTCGCTTGATGGCCAGCCTTGCTGTCCCAGCTCCCGGCGTAATCGTAGGCCATAAGGTTGTAGAAGTCCAGATAGGGAGTCATTTCGCGAAGTTTGAGTTTCGTGTAATTCTGAGGGCCTATATAGAAACGTTAGTAAGGGGTTCATTGAGTAATGTACGTACATTGATTATCGTGTAGATCTTACCTGCCGGGCAGGCAATGGTCAAAAGGAATCGGCGATTATGTCCAGCAGCCCTGTCGAGAGTCTACAGGGGGCAGATTGTCAGCATCCAATCTTCCTCGCGATAGAAATAGACACTCACCTCCCGACATTTCTGCAGAAGGAGGACGAAATTCTGCGCTTCACTCTCATCTGCACATCGTTTTAGCGCTGCTTTTAAGTCACGTTATCGTATCATGCCACTCACCCTTGGGATACTCCCAATCGATATCTAGTCCTATATAGAGAGAACCAACCCATCAGTAAACTGATCTTTTCATGAGTCTCAAAATGTCATCTAGCAACTCACCATCTAGACCCAGGTCAAGTACTAATCGAGTTGCCGTTTCGGCGAATTTAGTCCGTCCAGGATCCGTGCTAGCCGGCTGGGCGAAATTGGAAGAATAAGTCCAGCCGCCAATGGAAAGCAGCACTTTGAGTTTCCTGTTGCGTTTTTTGAGAAGGAAGAGCTGCTTGATGCAGCCGTAGACGTTGGTTCCGACGTCGTTCCATGAATCGGTGGGGTAGTGCTTGTCGGTGTCAGACCAAGTGTCGGTCAGGTATCTAAGGAAATATAGTCAGAGCAACGGGCTTTCCCTCCTCTGTCTTCGCTTTGAATCTTGGAATAGCGAAGGCATTGGCCATTATTGATAGAGAACTTACACCTCTCCACTGTCGGGACGGACATTGGCAAAGGCATATAACACATGTGTCAGCTTTTCGGCTGGCAGGTCTTGCGGATTATGGTTGCGGCCATAAATTGCCTAATTGATGGATCCCATTTAGTTTATGTCCGTTTTTGCAAGATCTCAGTATAACATTCTGTCGTTTCGACAAGCGTAACACTCAGAGCCCGAGACGCGCTTCTTCGGCATTTCACAGATGGATAAGCTGAGTAGGACACATACCCAATTCACAAAATAAACGACTGATTTGATTCCCTCCACGTTTTGCTGCTGGGGAGCTCCGTGGTGATGCGAATGTTTATGACTGTGGCCCAGCCCAAATATATCAGATAGATGAGTGTGCATGTTGAGTAGGTACTTATGATGATCTCCTCCTGGAAAGTGAGAGGAGCAAAGAACGCTGCGATGCAATCAAAGCAAGAACTCCGTTGTTGACGGACCTGTGGCTGATACCGTACTTTCAATAAGAGTTTATATGCGGAACGTTGAATTTCGATCCAGCACAAAGGTGAGTCGGGAATATTAATGTCTATTTCTACATCAAGCGCCTTCCGGAACTCTGAGACGGGGTTTCGTCTTGGCACGCCTCACATTACGCCTCGCTGCGGATGTCAATAATAATGATTCAAGTGGATATTTCATTGGCCCTTCGATTAATACTGGCTAATAATAATGTGACTCTCGAATCACTACTACTAGCTACAGGTGCCCTAAGTACCTTTAGAGCGCTCAATGTGATGGGGATGTGTGGCTGAGGGCCTCCAGTGTGGCTTGGACACGCCGTAGACCTACGCATGATGGGGTCGTCTTTCGCCCTAGGTCTCGGAGAATAAGTACCTACCTAGGTAGGTAAGTACTAGCATTCAGTGCGGCTTCCTATATAGGTGTGAACGATGTCTTTTTTTTAAAGCCTCGATGAAGCGTATTATTAGCAACGTTGCCGTTGTCGATCCCCGTCGGTTGCGTATGTGGTACCACGGAATGGTGGTTGCCTTTGCGCTTAGCTTTTTACTTGCTTTCAAGTGGGAATATGAGCTCTCTACGGGGTGCTTTCTGAGCAAAGGATCAGTCTGCAGCATGTTTTTAATGGTCATTATATACTGTGAAACAAGATATCTTTAAATATATATATATAGATACCTACTTAGCGGTTTATTTATCCTGCACTAGATAGTTCGACTAAAACTGAAAATCTATATTCTATGGCAGCCAACAGTAGATTATTGCCTAAGTAATTTATCTTGGTGGCGGTTATAGACTGCTTGACACGTTATCTGACCATTGTTACTGGCGCCTTCAGTTATAACGTATTTCCCTGCTGACTGGACCACCCGACCGACCGGACCACTGCCGTATTATATACAAAATGCCCATTCTCTAGACCTGAATATCTCAACAATTACGTTTCTAAAGATTATGAGAGAAGATATATATAAAATATATATTATTTCAAATATATATGCTTAATTATATCTGTTTAAATTCTATAATTCTCTGGGTATTTTCCAAATAATATAATTACTAAAAATTACAGTACTTGATCATATTACCTAGAGAAGAAATAATTTTTAAAATCTAAAGTTTGAGTATATATAAATATACTGTCCTAAAAAGCTATATATTAAATATTACATATATTAGATTCGTGGTTGTTGAGATATTCAGGTCTAGAGAATGGGCATTTTGTATGTAATACGGCAGTGGTCCGGTCGGTCGGGTGGTCCAGTCGGCAGGGAAATATGTTATCTTTTGCCTTATTACTAAAATCTGGCCACCATGTTGGAAAAAAAAAAAATAAAAAAAAAAAAAACCGACGCCGTCCCGACACTCAAGTTTCAGAGAGCCTGCCGGCATAAGATTGTTCATCAGTTCGCGCCTACTTCGCTTGGTATGCAGAGAAAGCAGGTCTTTCTTGAACATATTTACGGTCTACGCGAGATCAGGCGTAAATGCCCCTTTTTATGCGCAGGAATCGGTGATAGCTCCTTGCTCTCTTGGAGCTTAGTTGGACGATTTGAAGTCAATGCGTAACTAAGTGCTACTGTACATCTTAACTACTACTACTAGTTACTACTACTACGATTTTGGTATCTCGGATATAGTTAATTAGTCCCGGATGCACTATTATTATTATTATTCTAATTGTCAGCATTACATTTCCAGCTTAAGCAGTGTAGAACCCTTGCATCAACAAACCTGTTAGCCTTGTTTATAGTTAGTTCTCTGAGCGATGCGTGCATTCAGAATATCACTGGTGTTTGCAGTAGTATATACTTATATGGCGTGCGTCGAAACGATATTCCCTAAAGCGATTATCAGGGCACCTTACGATTTGTATTGGGTAGATAGAAGATCCCAGGCCTCTGAGGCTGAAAGGCGAAAAGTCGAAGCTTCCTCGACCATGCAATTATAAATACCATTTCGCCACAGTAAATATAATACCAATAGACTAGTTAATGCCATGCATGTCGTCAACTGCATCACAGAGTGGGCCGCTGAAAAAGAAGAGAGCTAAAAGTGTCCCTTTTATTATTATTATTTCTCCTTTTCTTTCCTGTGGTTTTTTTTTTTTTTTTTTTTTTTTTTTTTCCCTTCTTCGTCCCACGAGATCTCCGATCCCTGCGCTAGTTCAACCGTGCTGGCGGATCTGGGCGACCTTCATCAGCTGAACGCTTTCCAAAGACTAGCCATCTCTGCGATCTGATTAGCCCTGCAACAGGACGCCGGTCGCCGATAGTCTGACTAAAACAAGCCTTAGTTCCCCAATCCCATACAATCAACTACCTACCTAGGTACTAGATAACTAACAACCCACAAAAAGACGACGTGCGAAAGATTCCCCGTTTCCTGCAGTTAAAAAAGAGAGCCCTCCGATTGAGTTTATGGTGGAGTAGGAACTTTTGCTTCCTTTTCAGCTGTTAACTGTCGCCGATCCGGATTCTGGGGATACCTTCCCCCCTTTCGAGGCTGCGGACAGGGTCGGATATAACATAGTACAATCACAGAGATCAGAAGGATATATCCATATTCTAGGCTAGGCTAGACTAGACTAGACTAGACTGTTAGACTACAATATGAAGGTTCTGGTTTCATTGGTGATCGTAAGCGAAGCTAGATGACTTTCGTATTTCCCCGTAGCAACTTAGGGAAGCACAGAGACAAGACGGTCATGGGGATGACGACAGGTGCCCCTTTTGAGTCTTCTCTGATCGATCGCCTGGCCCTGTCTAACAGAAGATTACTGGCTAGATCTCCCTGAGCGCAATCCTAGCTAAGGTAGGATAATCAAGATCCGAGATATTTGGAGCCGCCGGAATGACGCTCTTCGAACAGAGGGAGGGGAGGTAATGTAAAGGCATCAATGATATGTAGCTGAGATTTTAATTTAAACAACTTTTTCCTGAAACGGAATCTATCGAAGCCAACAGCAGCGCCGACATGATATTTAGAAACAAGAGGGTATAAGTATACATTGGAAATATATATGTCACAAATTTTCCGTTCGCTTGAGAGCGAAATATACGTAGAAATTCTACCAGCAAACAAAAGGGCGTCCTGCGCCCGAAACGAAATTGTCGTGCGCGTTTTCTGATAGCAGTAAAAACAGTGCAACTTGGACGACAGGTCGGTCTATGCTTCGTCATATCGATGAATCATCGAGGGAATGATGAGATCTACAAGGATCAGTGTCCCCTAGATCGAATGCGGATTCAGGATTGCGATCGTACATAGTTCAGAATGGTCGCTAGGGAGGGGTCGTCGTCCAGCCAGTGTCCTGCTCGAACATCGGCGGTATGGAGATCCGAAACGACATGCTGGTCGGTAATGTTGGCAAGCTCCTGTAGGCAGGTGTACATCTAGTCAGCCTCTGAATACCTGCCTTGGTGGTTAATCGGTAGGAAACACCAACTTCTCGTAGGATATCATTAATTCTGCGCAATTGAGCGGCATGGCGCTCGCTAGGTCTTTCACCACGAAGCACGTTGGCTCGATTGATGGCCCAACGCCTGGCTGCTGCAATTCGAAGGTATATCTTGTGTGCCTGGAACCGCCGGACACTTCCGTCAAGGATAACCCTGTCCGAAATTAGTTAGCAGCAGGATCTCTGGATACCTTGCGACAATAAATCTGGGGGGATACCTCTGCAGTTGTACTTTCTGTGCCTCGTCATCGGCACCCTGATTCTGGATGGATGCCAAATTATATTGAGACGATAACAGTCGTTGGGCAGCATCGAGACACTCCCTCATAACGGCAAACCCTTCCTCATGCTGTTCTTCCGCCGGTACTTCCATCCTCTGTTGCGAAATATGGAGTTGAAGGGTGCGGTAATCGTTGATCAATTCCGCAACCCTGACAGCCCGCGCATCGTTGACTACAATATTCCACAATGTTAGGCGATGTCAAGTGATATTGTACGGCGCGAAGGTTTTACGATCTTCTAGATGGAGAAGTAACACTTACGTCCGTCAGCCATGTGTCCGGATAAGCTCGATGCTCTCTATGTATGATAGGACGAATGCAAAGAAAATCAATAGGAAAGTACAGTATGAGCCAACAGAAACTGCCTCCTCTGATCATTGTCATCTATATTCCCGAGGACGAGATATTCCTTATAAGGGCATGCACATATCGACTCTGGATGGTACTCCTGAAGACCAAAACATTGTTGAAAGGGTCAATTGGAGCATCTTGAAGAAGGTGGCTGGCTGCACCCAATAACTGTTGAAACTTCCGGACGAAGAGATCCCAGCAGGTTCCTACCCATCTCGGTGGATCTAGATAAAAGAGACTTCCTCGAAGAGACCCGCGTATCCGCAACATTAATGGAGACATAGTAGTGTCTGAACGCCACGGGATCGTCAACGGCAAGCTAGGCAATCGAGAGTAGAGACTGGTGAGGTTCGTCACGGATCGATTATCCGTGGCATGCAGGGCGAAGCTCGTCAGGTCCCTGCGAAATTCGACTGCGAATAAGAGACGCCGCAGAGCTTTACGGGCTTCTTCGGGCACGGGCGGACGGTGGATGCCCTGGGCCTTCTCTCGATTCTCTCGATTTTTGCGATCTTCCGTTTAGGGCGGCCCCAGCCGTGCGCCAACTGCTCCGCCGCCCGCCAATTCTAGCAATAATAATGGCCCAGCTGCCTCTGAATACCCGACAAGCAAAAAAAAAGGCGTCATGGAATGCAGTGGAGCTAGATACTTACAGCCTTGCGGGTAGCCGCATCCTTGACAACTTGACAGTGACCAAGCTGAACGTCGCTCCACCGCGATTAAAGAGCAATGGCCCGGTCGTTGAAAAACGATCTAGGGGCTTCTCAGACGGCAATGATATTGGAGCTCTCCCTGCATTTAGGGTCCCAAGTTGCCCGCGTGAAAAACCCCACAACCGAGATGTGAAAAAGATCCGTGACGTTGTTAGGATCGAGGCTTACCTGGACCAAGGGACGAAAGAGATCCATACTGTCCTACCTTAATAATCGAAGCGCCAACAATCGCAAGTGCACTGCCCAGCCTACTGGACCACACGAAAATTGCCACTGATACACGGGCGCACCTGACGTTCAACATCACCTGGACTGTTGCACGGGGGCATCGACAACCAACTAATAGGCATGAGAAAGCCGGAGGCCAAGAGAAGACCGAAACGAGAGCCCAGCTAGTCACGTCACAGAATCACTTGTCATTTATTACATCTGCAAGGGACCCGAAATCCATACCAGGCCACGAGTGCTAAATCGTATCTCCTTCGGTCTCATCAACGCCCGTTCTAACTAGTCCTTTTCACTGATAGCTTGCAACCGCTCGTCAATCTCATCCTCTGTTAGTGCCCGGAACTCCGTACTCGTCCCTTCCTGGCCATCGGTGCGAGGGCCTCCAACAATCCCGATCTCCAGCTCGCCTTTCTTGAAATCGACGCTGAGGACGTTACTCAAGGTCGTGATACCCAGCTCCACCACATCCTGCCAGCTACCTTCCGCGTAGTCCTTGTTCTTCAGCTTCTTTTCCAGGAAGTTGAGAGCCTCTTGCTGCTTAGGCCCCGAGGCAGTTGCTTTGTAGCCTACGTAGTATCCAGCTGGATCGCACTTGTACAGCTGTGGACCGAATTCCGAATCCACCGAAATAAGGGTCATGGCAACTCCCAGTGGGCGCATGTAAGCCTGAAAACCGTCTATGCGTTAGCCATCCATGTTGAGCTTCGTGACGATATAAGGGGGCTGCAGACTCTTTGTGTGTAGACTTGGTTGATATTGGCAAGTCGCTTGGAGAGGACATCGCAGGGCATCTCATATCCGTACTTGTATCGAAACTCCGCGGCCTCACCACGGGCTCGGTTGACCTGTGCTCTGGCATCTGCTATGGATCCGGTCATGACACATCCAACTGATGGAGAAATCTTGAAGATATGCGACACAGAAGCAGGATCGATCAACTTGTCCTGCGGTCTTTGTCAGAAAGGGCGCAACGATATACGGCTAAGGTTGCCAACTTACAGGGACCTTCTTCTGAGACAGGACCACGGCACAGTTCTTCCCTCTCACCCCGACAGATGTGATATTTGCAGCGGTGATAGCCTTGAAGGCATATTCTATATGGAGATCGTCGTGTTAGCGGGCTCCGCGGGAGTGATAGACGGCTGAAGGGTCTGTCGCTAACGGGACTACCGCTGGACAAGACGTTGGCCGGGGTATTACTGACCAACTTGGTACAGACGGCCTTGGTCGGAGAAGATTGTAATATGCCTGTCGTAACCTGCGCTTCCTGCTCGGATGATATTCGTCAGTGATCGATGAAGTCATGGTCGACAGGGCCATGCTGCGCTTACCGGACATGGTGGCGACGGCAAATTGGACCACTAAAGGAAGAAAGACGGAAAAGATATATCAGAATGGGGTATTCTTCAAGTATGATGTTAGATCGTGGAAGAGAGAGGTGGCCCAAGAGGTTCGGTGCCGCAGTGATGAGCTGAGGTGTTGGACGCGTGCGAGAAGCTGCCTGGCCTGAAGCTCCCGACGGCGGGAGAGAGCTTCGTGTGCCCAATGGAGTAAGCTCGATTCTCCGCCCACCGCCTTGAGGCGGCTAGAAAGAGAACAGCAGGATACTTTGACTATATACAAACACTTTTGATATTATAGCCATTCGCCTTATCTAGGAAGAAAAAGAAAAGCATAGAATTTGATACTGAAGCATTGTCCAACTTAAGCACCCCACGGTGTTGCTTGTTCGAAGACCTCTCCCGCAAGAAAATGGACACGTCAACCTCCATCGCTCTCGACATACTTAGAGCTGATCGAGGCAGTCGAAAACTATCTGGGACACGATTGTGTTAAGTAATTAATCTCTACAAGTGCAAGGCAATCTAGGGCACTGACTAATACTTTACTTTCTAGGGTTTGTATACTGCAGCTCCCTTTCAGGGCCAAAGCGAGCTTAGAAATTATACCCGGGATCTCCAGGACATAAGCAACCGGTATCCCTCTATTCTTCGGCAAACTAAGGTGCAGTGAAAACTGTACCATGAGTACACTACCTAGGTGTATTCTGACTCTTACTTATAGCAAAAGTCCGGCTCGTTCATAGTAAGGTCCCGTATATGTGGCGGAGTCATCTGGAATCGAGAAGATGGACTGGCCTGTTGTATGTATAGTATCTTCAGCAGTGTTTGCCGATGCAGACCCATGATAATAATACGTCAACACAACCCGTCAAAAGTGCGCCATCCCAACACCAAGGTCCATATGTATCCTTTCACATAAATATCAACCACATACGACCATAGGGTGTGGAAAACAGGGCTTCCCGTCCGCTCAGCCGTACTTAAGCCGCACGCCGGCAGGTTAGTATGGGTGGGTGACCACCAGCGAATCCCTGCTGTTTGTATATATTCGTCTTTTTTTTTCATCTTAAGTTTATTTTGCCTCTCCCAATTCTTATTATTAGCTATTGTTGGCAACAATGATTAGGTTATGCTATTTTTGAAGTGTAACTAATAGATCCATAACTTAGTTAAATAGTTGAGAACAAGACTAATAATAATACATCCATGTAAGCTTTCCCTGCAGCAACCACCTACGCGAGAATGGCCATTATACAATGCCTGTTGTATACTTTGCCTTTGCTATCTCTTCATTTTGACAATTTGTCTGCCCATCGTTCTCCCTTTTCGTAAGCTGAGCTGAGCTGGTTTAAACAAGGGCTCGGGATAGTGGGCCCAAAACAATGACGTCAATTCGGAAAGAGTGTGAATTGGATATAATCAATTCACAATAACTTACCTATGGCCATGATTTGCGGGGCTTCCTTCTCCAAAATTTGGCGAGGTTGCTGTGAGAATATCCATTCATAATGCCGCCACGACGCTGACGCCGGGGTATGGGTTTATTACACTCTGCATCATCCACCAAGAATACTAAATACAAAACTTCTGCCAGAAGGTGGCACATATGACTTCTGCTGCCAACAGCAGGCGCAAGGTGTATGCATGGATCGTAAGAAAATGATGTGAGGAAAGAGAAGTGTGACTGAATGCTTTTAGTCCTGAGTCTATCCCACCGACCTTTTTTAAGTTCACTAGGCCCGAAGACTCAAGTCACAATATCAACAGAAACTGGCAAGCAGAACACGTATTCGCCCGAATATGGTGTTTGTTTGTTTTAGAGCTGTATTTCCTTCTCAACTTGCTCTTTGACCAGCTCTCTCACTGCCTGCCAATCGTTTTCGACGGCAATAACGCGCTTTTCCTTCTTGTCAAGGCCGATGAATTCTTCCGGCAACACCTCCTTTTCGAAGTTAAATCCCTCCTTATCCTTGAGAGCCAGCTCGACGGCACCGGCGAACTTAGCCGGATGGGCTGTTGAAAGAGAAATATGCGGAATATTTGGGCCAGCGCGCTGCAGGGATCGAAGGGCAGCCGTGACGCCGACGGCAGAATGCGGGTCCAGGATATACCCAATCTGGTCATAGATGTTCTTGATTGTCTCGAGAGTCTGCGGGTCACTGACTCTTTCACTGTCAAATGACCTGTGTGCGCTGTCGAGAATGTCCTTGTGGACGGGGCCAAAACCGCCCTTTACTTTCAGGTCGCTAAGCCAAGTACTGACTTGCTGATCTGCCTGTTTATTGCTGGCCTCGTCATCTGTGCTTCTGGTGCTGGCGAATTCGTGTGCCAAGAACCAGAGAAGTCGCTCAAAGTTGCTGGAGACCAGTATGTCCATCGCTGGACTGAGTGTTTCCCGCACGCCACCTTCGTGAGCCTTCGCTCCGTCTACATCGAGTCCACCCTCTGCCTCCTGGCCTTTAGCCGGCTTCTTCTCATACCGACCCGTCTTCCAGAATCGATCGAGAATATCATTCTCGTTGGTTGCAATAACGAGCTTGTCAACAGGAAGACCCATACGGTACGCAAAATAACCTGCCAGTATATCTCCCTGTGTCAAGCCTGTTAGATTAAGCGTCTGAATGAATGGAAAGAGGGGATGCTGACAAAGTTTCCAGTCGGAACCACAAAGCGCACTTTGTCGCCGAGCTTGAAAGTATTGGAAGTTCTCACAAGAGAGAAGTACGAATAGAAATAATAGACGATTTGGGCGAGGATTCTCGCAAAGTTAATCGAGTTGACCGCACCGAGTTTCAACACGTTGTTCGTATCAGAGTCGCCGAACAAGGCCTTGACGATGTCCTATTGCATTGTGAGTCCAAAGTCCTGCGTTTCTGACATTCTAAATCCATACCTGACAATCATCAAAGGTCCCTGTCACGGCAAGATTATAGACGTTTGCGTCTAAGCAGGTTGTCATTTGCGCCTCTTGTATGGGACTGACACGGCCCTTCGGGTGCAGTATGAATATGGATACATCTTTCTTGCCTCTGAGACCGTAAATCGCTGCAGATCCAGTCTGCGAAACAAGTTAATATCTTTGTTGGATCCAAGGCAGTAAAAGAGGATGGCTCACATCACCGCTCGTCGCACCAACCACAGTCAGATGATGTCTATCTGCTAGCTGGTTAGGTCCCATAGCCTTGCCATAATCCAGCCATATACATTGCTTGTTAAACGCACCTTTGCCTTCTTTCCCGTGGTTTTTCCGCGTGAGAAAATACTCGAAGAGATTTCCTAGGAATTGCAAGGCGCCTAGAGTATGTTAGCTTGAGAAATTGTCACAGCCATGCGCAACGTACAGTCTTTGAAGGAGTAGCTGGGACCGTGGAATAGCTCCAGGAGATACAAGCTGTTGTCCTTTAGATGAACCAACGGCGCAACATCCTTTGCACGGAATGTCGAGTAGCTCCGATCAATGATGCCTTTCAGGTCATCCGCTGGGATCTCGCTGCGTGAAATGTAAAGGCTGAAAATCTGGAAGGCCAGGTCCGTGTAGGAAAGGTCGCTCCAACTCCGCTGCGGTCGTCGTCAGTCTTTAGATCCATTGAGACTGTTCTGGAGGCTAAAACGTTGTCTCCGGCGACGAGCGCTCATATGATAGCGGGATATATGGCATTTCGCACGTACCCAGTCCACTGCAGTGGGGATTTCGTGAGGCAGGAAGAGACCACCATCCGCGGCGAGGCCCTTCAGGACCACCGTCTCGAACGAGAGCTTGGAGACATTAGCATGTTGTCGGGGCGTATCACAGGTGGAGGAAGCTCACGCCATAGTCACCACCTCTGGTAGAGTGATAGATTTGGGACTCAGTATGAGCCCTACCCGTAGATTCGTTCGCCATGGTGCGCAATTGTTGCTTTGCAAAGGCTTTGCCCCTCGTATGAAGGTAAGTTTTTGGTATCAGCCCCTCCGGAAGATAGATCGTCCGGTCTCGCCGCTGTTGCAAACGGGAAGAACAGGCCACGTCAACGGAGATGATGTCTTGGTGTCCTGAGTAGCTGAATGTATAGGCTTTGAATTTAGAATTGAAAGGATCTCGAATAATTTTAAAAGTTTAGGCAAGTTGTGGCCGCTCTGAAGAGAGCCAATGCTGTCTTCAAACGATGCTGAGTCGCCGAGCGCCGATCTCGGATGACTCACAAGCCACTTCCGTGGTCGAATTGGACAGGAAAGAATAGTTGCAAGATTACCACAAGGCAACATTTTCATTATTAGTTGCGGCAAAGGCCAGCAGTCTGCATAAGAACTAAGTACGTTCCTCCACCTTTTTTTTCTCTCTTTCTTTTAAGATTATCGGAGTAAGCTGATAACATGTTCTTATCAAGATACAAATCGACCGGCGACATCCTCGTCTCAATAAAAGCATAAGACATAGCCAGTCATACCTCATGCACCGTTAGATAAGAATGGACCAACGAGCTACTCACAGATCCTTCTCCCTACATGAAGTGCTAGGAGAAACAGTAGCGAGACAGCTCAGTCCACCTGTTTAGATGATGCTTACAGGGTGACGAGGGCAATCATTGCCACGGCCATTCCGAGAATAGCACTAGGCACTCCATTGGGAACACCGTTGCTCACTGCAGTTCCAGATGGATAAGGCGCGTGAGTGTAAGTCGAGGACGCCGAAGTCTTGGTGGCCGACACGCTAGAAGCCACAACAGAAGTCGTGGCAGCAGGGACCGAGGATGCTGCAGGACTGGAAGAAGCTGTCTGCTCCGAAGTAGTGCTTGTCGAGGTAGACTCCACAGAACTATAAGGAGGGATCGGTGCATATCCACTGGAACTATATCCACCAGAAGAGATGGAAGACGTCTGAATAGGAATCGGAACCGGAATCACTGGCGCAGAAGAAGTCGTAACTTCAGAAATAGTCGCAGTGGTGGTGCTAGTCTGCGCAGTGGTTCCAGGAGCGGACGAGCAAACTTCCACGGTCACAGTGGTAGTGACAGTTTCTGTCAAGGCTGGCGTCAGTAAGTTTCGTCGAGGAATGATTTAAAAATAAGCTTAAGTCTACACAGTTACTTACCGGCGCGAGCGAAAAGCTGGTTGAACTTGGCAACGTAAGGCGCGTCATCCGCATCATGGAGGTTCAAGTTGTCTACTGGATATCAGCTCATGCAGACAAGATATGTTGGTGGCGGACATACCATCAAGAGCCTCAAGGCTCGTGACATAGCCCTTCAGGGCATCAACCTCGCGAGGAAGCTCTGTGAGTTGTGATTAGATACCAACGATATTCGTTCTCGAGATCCTCTCAATACAGAACTCGAGACCATTAAGACTTCTTATGTCTCGTAGGCAGACTTACTGTCACCGTGTCCAAGGACCACAAGGGCCCAGAGGACAAACAACACAATTATCTTGGAGCTCATCTTGGACATCATCTTGATGCTGTTGTGGGAGAAGATAAACTTAACGAGCAGTGGGCAGTCAAGATAAAGCTTTGAACGAGCGGATTTGATGAAAGTCTCCAAGGATGGATGGTGGTGAAGAAGGTTGAAGAGGATGAGGAAGGGAAGAAGAAGGAGAGAAAGTGAGAGAAGGGGAGGGGCTTTTTGTTGTGAGCGAGCTGGGGGACGCGCCAAAAAGGAAGGCGCGTTGTATCCGGAGGCCTCCCACGAAATGGCCGGCTCAGAAATCTCACTTCGTTCCTTGAGATTTTCACTTAATCCTATATCTTTCAGCCTCTCCTCTTTTACCCGAAGGCTGTCTCCAGAGATGGGAGACATTCTGGAAGACCACGTAGGCTTGCAGACGAGCTCATAGCCCCGAAAATGCCGAGAGATGAGTTCTGCACGTATAAGCTGCAGATGCCTTCCTTGTCAACATTCATTTTAATTTGCTTCATATATCCCGGTTGCCCTTCTACTACTTTCCAGTCGGTCTATTCATGAAGCATCGAAGCCTATATGTTCATTTAGACTGAGAGTATTACGTATACAGCACCAGCAACAATCCAGATGCTCCAGCTATTTATCTTGAGAGCGAGAGAAGAAGGCAGGGATGCTCTTATGCACAGTCCGGTATTGCTTCTGATTCTATAATCCTCTCACCTCCTTGTGAGCATATTGTTTTGGATACCAACCGCGAGCTCCTAACCAACGCTGCCATACTGCCGCTGGCTCCTGACTTTAGATAGTGCCATGGATAAGCCTTCGATGGGAACCAATGACAACGAAAAGCATTATTAGACTTGAGTATTGCTCTCTTTGCTCGGACCTGTCGTCTCGAAAACGTATTCATGTCGTACGGTTATGACGTCTTGATTTCATATAGTCGCAAAAGTAGTGTTTTTCGCTGGCCTACAGCTAAATGTACACGGTCATCGCAGGGAGTAACTCCTTTTTACTAATACTGGCATCTTATTGAAGTAGTTTATTTAGCACTCTTTACGTACAGCCTAACTACTACACCTACAAAACTATTCTCAGGTTCTTACCCCATTTGCTTCGAATTCTCTTCCTACTCATTTTCTTTAAGAATCATAAAATATTGAGAGCTAAGACGGAACTTCTCCAGCGCTAATTGTCCAATGATAAGTATACAATTCTCAGCCTCACATTTCTACATACATGGTAAAATCCTTGAACCTCATAGTATAGTCTACTATTCTTGGGGAGGCATTATATAGACAAATACTGGCCAGGTGAATTAGGCTCTTATGTTTCATGAATAAAAGAATCATTTGCATGTAGTACTACATCTGTTATTCTGATGAGACCTCTGGCATTAGCATAATACCACTTACACGCGAAATCCGAGATTCTAAACAAATTATAAGTCGGGTTCACACTTCCCTATAAAGTAGATATTTTCAATGGCGCGGGGATCTCTACCCAAGTCTTGAGTACGTAGTTAGATTAGAAATGCACCGCTCAAACGCCGGCATTTTACCTCGGCGTGAAGCACATTTTCTTGATTAGGAATGATGTGCGAACAGAGTGATGATTTGTTATAACTATATCGAGGATACTATAGGCTCACCTTCATGCGCTAAATACGCGACTCTCTTCTGCACGGACTTCTTCTTCACATGATGCCCTAGGGCCTACGGAGTACGGAGTACGGAGTACGGAGTAATGATAGTGTAAAAAAGAGGTTCTTCTTGTTCCGAGGCTTGGTGGATCGATCCTGATTAGTCTATCTAAGGCTAGTCTAGCTGAGTGGAGAAGGAAGCCAGGAGAACATGCTCTAAGCGAAAATTGTTGAGATGGCCAAGACGTTGCTCAATGCCAAAGAGAGGCTAGTTAAGTGGAAAGAGCTAATATATTAATGGCGGCCAGCGGACGGGCACAGTCTTATTCTGAGCGTAGAAGGCAATTATCAGCTCCAGTGCGCATATTATAGATATGCTTCCTTTGCTGGCAAGCAAGTAGGGAAGAATTTACCATGTCTGGAGTGGTCTTTCGCTAAACACGGATTGTCGCATCTGGGGTTTAGTCTTCTTTTCCTGCGACATTGATCGGGGTACGCATCTCGGCGACCTTCTTAAAGGGAGCGGATGCTCTGGAAGTCTCCCGTTTTGAGTTGCTGTTCCCTTCCTGAGTCGCCTTGCCTGGAGCAGCGAGAGGCATAACGATATGAAAGGAGATGGGAGGAAGACAGTCGCCGTCGTCGGCACGGGTATGGCAGGGCTGACGACCGCATATCTTCTCCACCATGATCCTGAACAGAGGTACCAAGTTAAACTGTTAGAGAAAGTAGGTAAGCGGAATTAGTCATTCGGGTTCAATAGTTAGAAGCACAAAAGAATATTTCCCGCCAATTCGTGACTGACGGACTGACAAAACCACCCTGGCGCAGGAGAACCACCTGTCTCTGAGTTCCGAGTCTATCCAACTCTCATCCTTCAGCGATGAAAAGGGGAAGACAGCCAGCTGGGCTGATGTCCCAATGCGCGCGTTCGCTGGCGGATTCTATCAACAACTGATCCAGATGTACGATCATCTTGACGTACGATATCATGCACAGCCATTTCTCTTCAGCTTTTCTAGATCGTCGCAGACAAGCTCGCGGTTATATATGACGTATGCATCAAATTTCCATCAAATACCATGGATCCCAGGGAAAGGTCTTGATTTCCTGTTTTGGCTGGTAGAGGCAGCATACGCACTGCTTTGCTATCTGTGGTTCACCATCTGCTGTTATCTGGTTTTCCCCTTGGAGGGGTCCCCATCAAAGCGTGGGGAGAGTCTCGGAGAGTACCTGCACAGGATCCATATGCCCGAGTATCACACAAAATATTATCTCTTACCCTTAATGTCGAGTGTCTGTACCTGTTCTCACCAGGAGATGTTGAATTTTCCAGCAACGGATGTTCTGGGTTACAAAAAGCGCACTCATCTACAACCACATTTTGTGGTCGAGGATGGGATTCGGTCCGTCCAGGATAAATTGTCAAAGGGTGTTGATGTGCGTTTTGGAGTTTGTCTGACGAGAGTGGAATCCCGGGGTGACAGCGTGGAACTCACATGGACCGACTCAACTGGCGTCGCTAAAACAGAAGCCTTCGACCTGGTCGTGCTAGGAGTATCGCCGGATATTGCCGCATCTGTGTTCGAACCCGTAAGATCGACCCTGGGACAGATTCCGACATGCAAGGTGGACACAGTCGCACATACAGACTACTCTACTCTACCTCCTCTGTATCATCCAATAGAGAAACATGTCGTTTCTTCAGCCGACTCTCTTGCCGCTCTGATTCAATCTGAAAAGATAGCTCAGGGCATCCATTTGTGGACTCGAGATGGAAACTCAGAGGCCGCTCATGAACAGCCCTGCGGGGTAATCGTGACCACGAACCCCCTGAAATCGGTTGATCCAGCCAAAATTATCCGGTCGGCTACGTTCACTCGTGTCCTTCGTACTCCTGAGAGTCGCGAAATCATCAACGGCATTTTCCTGGGTCATCCTTCGAGAGTTGGCCTCGCATCAGGGTGGACGAATGGAGGCGGAGGAGTCTACTTTGTTGGCGGGTGGTGCTGGGATGGAATGGTATTATTGGAAGGTTGCATTGTCTCTGCGATGAGAGTGGCGTCAAGTCTTGGAGTACAAATACCCTGGGAGCAAATGAAGACGACGACTATGTAAATAAAAACTATACACAATCTTATGTAGAAGCAGTATTCATGTAATCTAGCCTCGTAAGGAGCGTATTATGTTTGAGTCCGTGGTAGTAGTATACTCATGCGTAATAATAAAGGCGATATTATGGGGTTCCTTCAATATTCCTAGATGGATGCTATACGTAGAAAGTAGCAAGCAGGGAAGCCTCCGTATATATTGACGTATAACGAGCATTTAGACGTTAAATTTTATTGGTGCCCCTCCGTGGGGACAAGGCGACATGGCTCAAATTTGGTGTTGGGAGGAGGAAGGCGTACTTAAATAGATGTTCAGTATCAGTCAATACACTGCAAACGCCAGTGAACTGAAATGTAGGACCCCTCGGAACACCTCTGCCAGTAAAGCGTTCCCCCGAAGTACTCTAGTAGTACAGCGGGTTCTCCGGGTCTGTGAGATCGAAAACCACAGCAGAATGTGGCTTACCGCCGCCACGGTTCTCAAATTCCTGGCTGAAATTGATGGAACGGTTGAAGGAAATACTGCCATCATCGTTGATGTCGATGTACTGTGCTTTGAAATCGGCTGGAACGTTGACAATACCGATTTCACCCGTCTGCACGAAGTAATCGGTGACGACAATGTGCTTTTGATCAGGCGTGACCTTAATGTAGTGAGGGCTAACGATGGGATGTACCTCATCGGGATCATCGAGACGCTTGACGTTGTTGAGGTCGCTAATGTCCAGAGCAGCGACGTGGTTAGCCGAGGTGAGCGTCACGTACAGGAACTTGCCATCCTGAGTAAGATCAGTGCTAAGTAAGAACTGGTTAGTATCTGATGCACGGATTTTCAAGAACATAGGTCAACCATACTAGCTGGCGATAGGGTTCGATGCACGAGCCTGATCGCCCAAGTCGAAGAGGAGCTCTGCGACACCCTGCTTGCCGTTGGCATCCTTGCGGGAAGGATAGACGATCCAGATCTGACCGCTACCCACAGTAGCCGCAATAGCAGCACCTTCAGGGTTGCCAGGGATGAACTTCACGTCCTGGATACCTGAACCCTGAATCCATACAGTGGTCAGACAGTATGCTCAAGCTCGATCCGGTAATGAAACTCACGTTAGGGATAGTGATGGTGTTGAGGATGGTCCGAGTCTTTAGGTCCCAGAGTCGAAGAGTGTTGGCACGCACGACTCCCGTGCTGGGCTTCAGAATTGACAAAGGAACAACGAAGTCAGAGGTCAGGATGAAGTTCCTCTCCCAGTCAATTGAGATACCATGGGGAGAGAACTGCTCGCCCAAGATATTAAGAGTCCCTTCGACATCTTCGGGCCATTCATGAATGATGTTGAAGTCGGCATCGGTTTCGATGAGCCTGCCGGGGGATGTACCAAGAGCAGCTAAGAAGAAAAATGTGAATATCGAGATCTCTAGCACAGGGTTTTCTCAATTGTACTTACATCCCATGTATGTAATGAAAAAACCCCTATTTTGCTTGTCAATTCTACATCCTAGACTACTAAACTGTAGACGGGGGATCGTCTTACCCATCAGGCTTTGCACGAATTTCGTCGGCGATGGACGCAAGAACACCACGGTTGCTCTTCGTGAAGGCAGGACGATAGGGGTTGCTGACGTCGAAGTAGTATGCAGTGTCTTGAAGCTTCAGCAGTGATAGAAGACCTCCACCGACAAGGGTCTTCCCATCATGAGAAACTCCCAGATGGTGAGGGTCGTTGCCACTAGTGGGAACGTCGGTCACATAGATGAGTTCTCCAAAGGTGTCCTAGAATGTCTTAGCTGCTATGAAATCGAGCAGGAGTTTATCGTACACACATCATCTAGACTGTAAGTAGCCAGGAAATCGGCATGCTCCTTATCCCCCGCTCCGACCCAATAGTATCCGATCTTCTTCGGTCTAATGTTACTGGGGGTGAAAGGAGGGCTGTCAAGTGGTGGCAGGGGCGCCTGGAAGATGGGCAATGCCGGTAGAAGCTCATAGAGAGGTTGGATCAGAGGCGTCGTCACACCTTGGATCTTAGGTATGAGGGGAGGGAGTGAAAGAGCTTGAGAAAGGGGAAGAAGCCCCAGGACGCTAAACCAAAAGCCAGCCATTGTTACACCTTCAGCCAGATATCAAAACAGAAAATGTGCTCTAGTTCGAACCGGACAGTGATTGAAGTAAGGAATGGATTAGCATGAGCACATTTGAGGTATTTCCTCTTAGTATATATGCTTTTCTGATCTCATATTGTATCTACTCCTGAGCCTTCTTCTCTGCAGAGATCTCTTCAATGCGCAATCCATGGCCTCGATCGTGTCATTGAAAGAGGAATAACGAAAGTTCAGTCTGCGAAAACCCTAAACAATGACTATTGTGATCATCATCGGCTAAACTGTGATATGATATACCGCCACAAAAAAGGCTGGATAAGTTGGCGAGAGTTCAAATTATCCTCTCTCGGCGAGGACAGCCAACCGCTTCCAGGCATTCCATTTCCGAGATGTCGATAATATGTCGTATCTTGGTTACCGACAAGGCTATGTTACCTGTTAAGGGTTAAGCTAATGCAAGCAGAATAGGAATGCTGCCTCTTGTGGACCTGATGCTCGGGAAAATATACATATACGGGGCATGCGGCGCAAACGCGGGTGATATGAGCTAGAAAAAAGCACGCCTTATTCGAATAGAGGCCATTTCCTCTCAGGATACCCATTCTATCTCAGAGCGTCAAAAACTACCGGAAGAATCATCAACACCGAGCTCGGTTGCCACTTGACCTTTCTTGGAAGAACAGTGCTTCTCTTAGACCAGTAAAGCTAGTTATACTCCCAGAACTTGTGTATGATACAACCCAGAGGGAACGGATCATCTCATGGAGTCACACAACATTTTCTGTTAACTCCATGATTCGGCGATCTAGGAAAATATGATCGCTCAACTTTTATGACAGGCATAGCTTGAAGTCGCGGACCCCAAGGGAAACCTAAAGCAGTTCCTTTCCGCCATGAGCGCGGGTTGAAGGGGTAATCCAAGAGGAATAAGCGTCTAGCGCTGAATCGAGATAATTCATGAGCTGAGTCTGTGCGATGGACAAGCACGACATCGTTCTCGGCTTTCCCAAAACATAATACATGGTCCTCGGGATCTACAGGAGCTCCCAAATACGAACCCCGAGAGACGCCGAAATGATACGGACTCAAATGTCAGCATTGGTAAACTGCAACAAATGTTAGTCGCTTGTTTTAACGTGCAGCTCTGGGCTATACCAGCCGTGTGAACTTGAAGGACAAAGTTTAACGGGTCTCCAACTGACCAAAAAGAGAACCTACGAAGTGATGGTCTCCTATTACGCGATTCCACTTAGTCCCAGCATCTAATCCTCAATCTCCGCACTGCAAGCTTGCCGATATTGGGGGAGAAGGAAAGTGAAAAGCTCCGACCAGTCGTTACCAGTCCTTCAGACTTCAATTGACAGACGCTCGACGATATGTGTTTCATGCCTTGAGCTAGGCAACATGATGAATGTGATCCAGCTGGATCAGCTGCCTCTCCGGTCCAGACATCCCAACTGAGGTGAAATGAAGCTTCCTACTAGATATTTTGCACGGAACTTGGAAGTATGCACGGGCCGCCAGCGGAGGGCTTGGCATGCTGGCTAAGTATCCCGTGCCAAGCATGGCGACATACTGCTTCATCCTCACTCCATTCCTATATCACAAACAGGCTGTGCTTCTCCAACACAAGACCTCGCCAAGATCGCACTCTGCAAGTTCCCACTGATCTACAAACGCCTCAAGTGTGCACCGATATATTGTGGATCAGAAAGATGCTCTTCACTAGACGATAACAATAGCCACAATCTCCGCCAGCGCATCCTTCAGGGACCAAAGCTCTATCTAGCTTTTTTGCTTCTAAATGACGTGATGATCGTATTTGGAATGGAATCACGAGAAGTTGAACAGTTTCCGTTTGTTTTGAGGCTAAGCACTGGCGTTTTTGGATGAGTATACGATGTCGTGATGGTTTTGTATACAAGGCAAACTCAATTGGCTTTGGGTACGATACCTTTTAAATACCCGATCAAAGCCCCTATTGTCTCTGTCTCATCCCGTCTCGACCAGGTGTTCTTTGTTTAATTGGGTTCACAAATTACAGGCCAAAACAATGAAGTTCCTTCCGCAAGTCCTCTGCTTCGCCTCCCTCGCTGTGGCATCCCCTGCAGTCAAGCGTTCAGGGTTCGGTGACGGTGAGCCTATCAACGATTCGGGCAAGGGAGCTCCATTTTCTGGTAAATACTTCCTCCCTTTAGTGTCAGAACTTCTAAGGGACGTATGTACTGAGAATTTACAACTATCAGGAGGAACAAACCATGCTATCGATATACAGAACCCGGATAACTTGGGCCGCGAGTCGACAGACAATGGATATGTTCCGAATCTGAAATGGAGTTTCTCTGACTCTAAGACCAACCTCTATCCTGGAGGCTGGTCTCGGGAGCAGATCACGTCCGATCTTCCACAGAGTCACGACATTGCCGGTGCCCAGCAGCACCTGATAAAGGGAGCTATCCGTGAGCTGCACTGGCATCGAGTAGTAAGTGACACCGTTCAATTCCTCCGGGAGAGTAATATGTTGGCTCACTGTTCTTCTGTAGGCTGAGTGGGGCTACGTCTACAAAGGAGCTGTCACAGTCTCCGCCGTTAATGAGGACGGCCAGTACGAACTAGACACAGCCAAGGAAGGCGATATCTGGTATTTCCCCAAGGGACAGGCCCATACTGTCCAGGGATTGGAAGACCAGAACGAATACCTTCTCATCTTCGATGATGGAGACTTTGAAGCGCAAGGGTTGGTGCTTTACTCTGCTATTAATTGAGTACCGCCGTATACTTATTGTCAATCTGCACAGCACGACTTTCATGATCGACGACTGGATAAAGCACACTCCAAAGGACATTCTTGCGAAGAACTTTGGTGTTGATCCCTCCGTCTTCGGCAAAGTACCTGAAAAGTTCCCCTACATCCTGAACGGTACTGTCGAGGAACAGAATGTCACTGGCGGAAACGGTGCGCTCGTCGGTAACAGCTCTTTCGTGTACCACTCGGATCAGCATGAGACCGAACCCGTGCCTGGAAACGGCGGTACCTTCCGCAAGGTGGATTCTACTACATTCCCAATTGCCAAAACTATCGCTGCAGCAGTCGTCGAACTTGAGCCTAAGGGCTTGAGAGAACTCCACTGGCACCCTAATGTAAGAGCACTCGACCGCTTCCAGCAAACTATTTGAGCTAATTATATTTTCTGGTAGGCTGAGGAATGGCTTTACTTCCACCAGGGACACGGCCGTGCTAGTGTCTTCATTGGTAGCGAGAAGTCACGCACCTTCGACTTCTCTGCCGGTGATACTGCGGTCTTCCCCGACAATTCCGGTCAGTATCCACCCTATTGGTTTTCATTATCGACATAACTGACCATAGATATAGGACACTACATTGAGAACACGTCTGATACCGAGAAACTCGTGTGGATTGAAATCTACAAGAGCGACCGTGTTGCAGACATCTCTCTCGCTCAATGGCTGGCCCTGACTCCTTCACACATCGCTGCGCAGACCCTGAAGGTCGACGAGGAGGTTATCCGCCATATCAAGAAGCAGAAGCAGATTCTCATCAAGGGAACGTAAGTCTGTAATCGATGCTGCACAGCGGACACGTCCTCATCTAGATAACAAGAACGAGGATCCTGGTCTAAGGACATATAGCATGTACATTCTATTCTTCAATTGGCCCCTTCATTTAATATTTAATATAAATATTGTTTCATATTATAAGACAATATCCTGGTAATTTCCGCTTCTAATCAGAGTATTAGAATTATATATTTTTAAGGCTTCGATATAGCTAGTAAATTAGCACTAAGGAAGCTTAGAGGATCTTCCTATATAAAGATCTACTGCCTTATTATTATATAATAGGTATAACTTTATTAAGAGTTATTATTAATATACTATATATACTTCTTAAAAGATAACTGTAATAAAGAGAAATATATTACCTGCGTAATATAGAAAATTTTTAAATATAAATAGTTATATATAATAAGAGTTATTACTTATATAAAGCTAAGATTTAAAAAGGTTTAAAAACTATATTTAACTTAAATAAATAAGAAATCTAAGTCTTTATTAACTATATTAAGTTTTAAAGCGCTTAAAAGTCTATAAATATAAAATATATAATACGCCTATAAAGCTTTCCTATAAATTAATATTAAGGCAATATATATATTTTATCTTTTTACCTAGAGCTAGAAAAAAGACTTATATAGTATTTGCAGCTAATATTAAAACCCTTAGTTATATACTATATTTTATATTTATTTATTTAACTTAAATAAACTCTAGTAATAATCTAGTTATTATTAAAGTATAGGCTTAGAAAATAAATTTAAATAAATAAAATAAAGTAGTTAATACTAAGACTAGTTATAAGATCTTTATTTAATTAATTTAAATTAAAATAAGCTATTATAAGTAAGCTTAATAAATAAAATATAGCTTAAGGAGTTTAAATTTAAATTAAGTTATATATTAAAGATATTTTTATAAAATTATATAATTTCTTATATTAAGAACTTAGCTAGCTCTAGGTTATATAAACTAAATTCTTTAATTACTTAGCTAAAAAGACTATAATAATTATACTTAAGTGTAATTAAGCTAGTATTAAACTATATAGCCTAATAATCGAGATTCTTAGAGGTTTATAAAATACTGCTAAAGCCTTATACCTTATACTTTATATAAATATTAGCTAATAAATCTCTTTAAATAATTTATTTTTTATACTAGTATTATAATAATACTTCTTTTCTTAAAATTAAGCTTTATTAAAACTATTTTTTAACTTTAGCTTATTTAAATAGTAGTAGTAAAAGTTAGTAATAATCTCTTAAATATATTATAAATAGTATATAGGCTTTTTAATTAAATTATTATAATTTAACTATTTAATAATATATTATAGTTAAAGGCTTTTATAACTTTAATATTTCTATTAAGAGTTTAAAATATCTTTAATAATTTATTTTTTAAAGCTATTAACTTTAATAAGTAATAATAATAGTTATTTTTATTTAAGTATAAAGTCTTTAATAATAAAGTAAAGTAAGCTAATATTAAATATAGAATAAATATATATTAAGATAAATAAGTTAAGCTAATAAATATATAGATTAATAACTTTAATAATATAAAATAAGCTAAAATTCTTTTAATTAAATTTCTTCTAAAAGTATTAAATATAAATATTTTAAATATTTAATTAAATAAATTATCTTATATAATAATAATAAGCTAAGGTTTAATAATAATTAATTTACTCTTTATAATAAACTTAAATAATATAAATTTAAGTATAAATATAATCTATAATATCTTATATCTTTTTAATAAAGGCTTTAATATTTTTAATAATAGGCTAATTTATAGGCTAAATAAGCTTAAATCTTATATATAAATAGAATCTATAATTAATAAAAAAGAATAATACTTTAATAGTCTTAAAATAATAAGAATTTAATATAAACTTAGCTAAAAATAATTAATTAATCTAATTATTTTATAAGTAGCTAATATAAATATATAAGTATTATTTTAAAATAGTATTTATTCTTTTAATTTAATTATTAATCTTAAGGTAATATAATACAGTTAGGGGATAAAGTTATTCTTCTATTAGTTACATAAGGAAGTAACTATATAATTAAGTTATTAGCCTAAGGCTCTCGCATCTTATATCTTTATACCCTATTAAAATAGTAGAGGCGATACTAAGGTAATATTATATGCCTATATCTATATTAGTATACCCCTTTTAAGAAAACTATTATCGTTCTTAATAATAGAGTATAGAAATATATATATAGATATAGTATAAGATATAATTAGATATTTCTATAGTTTATCTCTTTCTGCGCCTAATTTATAATCTAATATTATTTATAGAATCGCCTGTATTTCTATAATTTAACTAATAATTTAAGATACTAGTTATACTCCTAGATAAATTCTTAAGTATTAGCTAAATTCTTAAGATAATACTATATATTATAATAAGCATTATATCTCTTTTAATAAATTAAATACTTAATAATAATCTTACCTTAAATTTGCTAGATATAATAGTTAAATAATATCTTAATCTTATAATAACTAATATTAATATTTTTTATATTAATATATAGTAGTAAAATATTATTAAAGGATATAAAATATTTAAAAGGATTATTTATATAATATAGCTCTAGATAAGTAATAGAGAAGATATTATAGTATTTTTAATAAGCTAGAATATTTAGCTAATATATAAGATATTTAATTCTTTATTTAATTATAAGTAGTTCTATATATTATATTAATAACTTCTTTCTAAAAATAATTATACTAAGGATATTATATTTATAGTATAATCTTAGTAAGACCTTATTATTAAAGGTAAAATAGATTAATTAATAATTCTTATTATATATATGCTTAGTATCTATAATAGCTAAGTAAAATATTTTATATATATTAAATTATAAGATAAAGTCTTAAATTTCCTTATTATAAAGGTTTATAATATTACCTAGTTTAATACTATATATTAATTTATATAGAGATCTTATTATAATAAATAATAGACTAAAGTTTAATATTAATTATATTAATAATAAAATCTTAAGCTAAGCTATAATATCTTTTAGAATAATTAAGTAGTATTATAAGATAATCTTAGCTATTTAATTAGTTTATTCTAACTATTTATTAGTCTATAGGTAATATATTATTAAATAGAGTAACTTAATATTAAAATGCTTAAATAAGCCTTTTTATAAATTTAATAAAAACTTTAAATTATAATCTAATAAAATTATTAATAAAATACTTTAATTATTAATCTAGAGTTATTTAAATAATACTAATACTTAGTCTTTAGCTATTTATATATTTTATCTTAGTATAAATATAATTTATTTTATAAATTTATAAGTAATAGTTAAGATTTAATTATATAGCTTTATATTTAATAATCTTATAATAAAGTCTATAATAATTATATAAAAAGGAATATTTAATATAAGAATAAGCTAATAGCTACTATAAGGTATATAATAATATATTTAGTTTATCTAGTATAAATAATAATACTTAATATATATTTTAACTTATTTTATAAGTTTATAGATTATAAAGTTATAAATATTAATAATTATCTAATAATACTTAAGATATCTTATATTATTATAAACTATTTTAAGAATATCTTTAAGGACTAACTATAGTATATAGAGATATTATATATTATTAGTATTAATTATATAAAGGAGTTTATTATAAATTATAAAAAAAAGATATATAAAGTTTATATTATTTTATAATATAATAAAGACCTTAAATTAGTAAAAATTAGTTTTATAGCCTTTCTTTAATTAGGCCTTAAATATTTCTAATAACTTAATAAGAGTTATATTATATTATAGCTTATCCTTAATATTATTAATATATATAGTCTTAAGAAATATAATAGCTAAATAATATTTAATATCTTCTAGTATAGAAGTATTTAGCTTAATAAAGAATAATTTAAGATATAATAGTATATTTATAATAATATTATTATATCTTAGCTTATATATAAGTATAAGGTTAAATCTCTATATATATTATAATACTAAGATAAGATATAAGTTAGTCTAATCTATAAATATTAATTAAAGAGATATTTACTTAATAATTATAATTATAATACTATAGTTTATAAAAATAATTAATAGCATTTAATAGATTTTAATAATATAATATATCTTATATAATACTTATACTAAATATACTATTTTTATTTCTATTAGCTAATATTTCTTTTTAACTATATTAAGCTACCTTAAAAGGAATATAATTAGCTAAACTTTTAATTAATTAAATATAGCTTTAGGAGATTTATAAACTATAGAAAAATAATAATTATTTAATTAAATCTTAATATTATTATAAAGATAGTATAGTATAATATTAAAGCTAGAGATATTAATATTAATATTAAAGTAAAGCTAATACTTTAAATTATAATATATAAGAAAGAATAAATTATTAAAATACTTTTAAATAATATTATAAGTATTTATCTTAGCTTATAAGAATATAGCTAAGATTATATTCTTTATAAAACTCTATTATACTTTGCCTTTTATAAAGGCTTTATTAAAGAATATTATCTTCTAATCTTAAAGCAGCTATATAATTTTAATATATTAAGAAATATATTACTTAAACTATTCTATTAAGCTAAAATATAACTTTAAGACTTAAGCTATATAAAGAAATAAAATATTAATTACTGCCTTTATCTTCTTATTAATAATACTTATTCTTAATAAGTTAATATAGTAATCTAATAACTATATAGAGAGAAATCCTATAAAGAACTTCTTAAGGTTAAGCTTAATATTTAGTTCTATTATAGTACTAGTATAGGGGATAAAATAATTAACCCGCTAGCTAATACTTACTTAATTTAAAAGAGTAAGAACTATACTCTTCTAGATTATATAAGGAGTTATATAACTTTATAAAGATATTTTTAGCGCATAGCTTAATTTAAATTTAAGCTTCTTAAGTTATATCTTATTTATTAAGCCTGCTTATAATAGCTTATTTTAGTCTAAATTAGCTAAATAGAGATCTTATAGCTAGTCTTAGTATTAACTATCTTATTTTATTTATTCTAACCTACTCCTTAAGCCTATATCTTAATATTATATAGCTTCTTACTTAAGAGTTAATATTATTAATAATATTTATCTTAATTTCTTTATTCCTGCTAACTATTTTAAAGAAGTTTATTAAATATA